GGCGTGGGAACATCATCGGACGAAGGTCCGGAATACGGGATATGACATTAGTGCTGCCTTCAGGACAAGCACTAACAAATGTTTCTCTCTGGCAATCCAGTGGGCCATTACAGCCATGTATGGAAGGAGATTAGTATTCGACCAGAGGTCAGACGTAAATGAGATCTTGCCGAGTGCTCTCTGAAAGATGTAAGATTCTGTGAGTCTCGACAATTGTGTGCTTACCGCAAGGTCGCACTTCAGAGCTCCAAAATATTCGTCGAATGCTTCAAGTATCAATTTGCAAATTTTAGTCCGATGGAAAATATCTGTGTCTTGAAGCTCGGGCCACAGAATACAGAGCAATCGTCAAAATTCAGGGCCCTCGACGACATTAATCGCCTGAAGATAATTAAGAACAAAAATATGTAGAGAGCAAACGACACACCTGGTCATCGGCGACTATGAATTTTACAAGCTGGCAATGCAGTTCATTCAGTGAGAAAACAGGTAATACCTTGTCCTGAAGTCCCGAAGTTCCTGGGAGTGAGCCGCTAACTCCATGATTGGGGGGGGGGACCAAGTGAGCTGATCATTTTCATTGGATCCTTCAGTGCTTGAACGATACCTCCCAACGTCCAGCCACCTTCAATAGCTTCTTTCAAGGCTGGTATGTATATGGGCCACTGGTTGTGTTCTAACGCTTTGATGTAACACTGGGTGTGAACTTGAAAAAGGTGTTTGCAACGGGTTGAAGTTCCAGTGCTCGTGCTGTATGTGGTGATAATATATTCCAGGTCTCCTTCACGAAGTTCTCTGGTGAAATCGGTAAGAAAAATCAAGGACTTGTAGACCCAATACTTACTCACAAAGTTTGCAGACTTGGCACTTATTGCTGGTGTCATCCCTGAAAAAGTGAACCGAATCTTGTGCAGATTTGGTCCACTTTCCTCGACCACCTGTAGCATATGGGTCAGTTTGGGCGGTATCTGTGGTTGCTTGAAGCGGGCTAGGTGCTGCTCCATCTTCATCCTCATCACCAGAAACATCGAGGTTGAAACATTCTCCCTCATCTGTTGTGCGACTTGGACCAGCGTGAGTTGGAATGTTGGGTGGGGGGGTCGACGGGTGATATGAAGGGTGGTAGCATTTGCTGATGCTAACATGGTAGTGGGAACGCGGGCGATGGCGGGAGCAATAGCGGGAATAGCAGGGATGGGAGCGGGGATAGTCGGGGTGATAGCAGGGATAGCAGGAGTGATGTGGAAAGCGGGGGCAGCAATAATTGGGATGGGGTCGACAGTAGGAAGGGGTTCAGCAGCCGTGGGCGCCACAACAACTCAGGGCCTGCTCTGCCCACGTCGGCGAGGAGGCATGTTGAGGATGGGAATCTAACCATACAATTTGCTGTCTATATAAAGTGAGTGCTGGGTCCAGAGTGCAGGGCATCAGCAAAATTTCCCGCATGCGGCACGCTGGGCACATGTTGTATGATAAATTGCAGCACCCGAATTAGGGGCAGAACAAGGGCCAGTGTTGCCATCTATCTGTGATCAATGAATGAGAAGAGGTGGATAAGGTCAAGACCGACCATCTTTAGAAAGTGAGATCATCACCCGCCACATCAGGCTGTACCAAATCGTGATCTCCATAAACTGGGGGTGGACAACCGGGATTGGATGGCAAGCTCACATCACGCTATCGCGCAAAAGGGTGAGCATTGAGTTAAAAGAAAATTCTCACTTGATAGAAGTACGTACCTGAAGTGACTTGGCTCCAGAGGCTCCTAAATTTCAATCAGATGGATATTGATTAACACCCACCCACGGCTAAATACATGAATTAAACACAGACTTCAGCACAACACTTCCAAATGGCAGCGAGAGGGCAGCGATGTGATGACGAAAGGTCCCAAACATGGCACAGTTGTATGGTATGTGCATGGAGCCAGATGGCCCGATCTCTATTAACAAATGACATTAGTATACTCTCCGAGCCATGGGGGCTTCAAAACACTGCACAGTGCGCAATCAATCGAGTGAAATGAAATACCTTCATCGATCGCCTGATCAATTGAATTCTGACTCTATATCGCGATGCGATAAAGTCACCTGGTGAAAAGGGAGCGGTATGTTGGTCAATGTCCCTGCAGGAGCACCATGGAAGTGTCAATCTCCGGGTTCATGAAGGTTATGCAGCTTGAGGGCCTGCACAGCATGTTGATGGGGAAAAAGATAGCACGAAGCTCATACTGTGAGACTCAGGAAATTCAAAAGGGAGAATGATTCTGATTGGCTATTTAGTAATGTAGTATGCACACTGCTTCGACCCTACAATTGGTACGGTATACACATTGATGTAAAGATAAGAATTATGTATATCGTCAATGCTGTCACGATCTAGCGACCAGTCCCTTTTTCCGGCGTGATATTGGACTTTTTTCACAGAACGAGGGGCCATTACGTGGGCGTAAGCTTGCAGACAACATGAGCTTCATTTCACAAGTCGGAACATGAACAGATACTCACATATGAGTTGATCTGAAAGGAGGTTTGGCCTTTGGCAGACATGGGGTCACCGCCGCGGCCACCAAACATTCATCGGATAATAGAGGGGGGTGTCACAACCCTTATGACGAATTAATGCAGGGGCAGAGACTAGGACTCAAACAAGGATATCACAACAAGAGAAATGGAGAATAGCAGGTACGTCTTGGATTGCTAGCAATGAGCTAATACACAAGAGGTTTGAACTGAAGAACTACTGACTACAACGAGCTACCTATATACATATATTGAAACGGAGAATGAATCTGAGTATGAACTAGCTAGCCAATCATTAAATAGAAAGGAATCGTACAATGTTTACATAATAGAATGTTCTGGAAATGAGTCACGTGATACTATCTAATCTTATCTTATCTAATCGCAATCATAGAATACATCTTCATCATCGATCATCGGAGATATTTGAGTAGTGGGCGCTAATGGAATAGAGGAATTCGGGTTAGGGTTTGTGAAGGTTATAGGTACAGACGCTGGTTTGGGCGCTTGTGATGGGCGCTTATTGGGTGTCTTACGAGTATTCAAGAAAGAATAATGATGTGTATTTGGAACTTGTGACAGGGGGACATGTGAAGGAATTGTTGGACTGGCTGAAATCCAGCGAGTATGTTGTTGGTACAGGAAGTGTGGTACGGATACCATGGAGCAATGAACGGAGATGATCATAGTCTGGATCCTCTGAGAATGCGAGAGAGCGTGCATAGATAAGCATAGTCGCGAATTCAACAGGAATTCCACGACATACAGTGGCTCAAAAAACTGTCCGCATGTTTTAACATTTTTCACTATCTATGATATTATGTGAGAATGAACAAATTCCTCAAGGACATACTTATACCACATTGTAGTATGGCTTCAGGGCTTTTATTTGAGCCCTACACCGTGGGAATCGGCGGAGATATGGTGGAGATATAAGGCTTATAAAATGATGACTCATGTGGACAGTTTTTTGAGTGTATATTAAAACTATATAAATCATTATTTATGACACCATAAAAATCATGCCACTATTATATAAATTATAAAGTGGTGTCATTATGTTATTTTATGACTATATCTAACTATATAAACCAGAATATCTCATGTATCATAGTCATAATCACCATGAAAGCCATCTCCTCTGCTCAAAGAGATAATATCCTCTCTAAATATATCAACATATACGTGAGTGACTCGAGATCATCATGACGACCTGGCTCGACTCCTAAGTGATTGTTGATGGAAGCGAATGCGGGAGTGCCAGTGAGACATCAATTCTGGCGAAATGGTACATGGAGTCTGGTTGAGGTGTCGCAGTATTCCTTCGCGATACCGAAATCGATGATAAAGACGGTGTGCCTCAAATCATGGAGACCCACAGTGATATTCTGTGGTTTGATATCACCATGGACATAGTTGTGTGAGTGGATGTACTCGAGACATGAGAGCTGTGAATGGGTTAGCCTATCTGCGACAACCCTACTACAAACTGACTGACCAGCTGGTCCGCTAAGTTTACCACAGTCTGAAGGGCAAATTTTCGATTGTGCAGGAAGAGATCATGCAGCGATGGCCCAAGGAGGTCAAGGACCAAAGCGTGATATGTTGACTCTCTACCGAACCATAGGGCGCGGGGAATTCCAACTCCACCTTCAAGTTGTTTCAAAATATCGTATTCACGCTGCACGGAAGATGACCCGTCGATGATTGGTTCAAGTTTAATAGCGACTACATCATCCGTGATGATGTTTCGTGCATGGCACACGACAGCTAGATAGTGGGGCCCATATGTTGACTTTGAATAAAAATTTAATAGGCATGTGAACAACATACCGTATGATCCCGATCCCAAAACATCGCCCAGCCTAAATCTGCCATCAACTCGAATGGGGACCTTATTCATGATATAAGAGTAGCAAAAATACAACAGTGAATCAATGAATGGAAACGAGAGAAAGTGAGAACTTCCAGCAGCCACGTTTGCAACCCAGCTTGAGCTGGTTGGAGCTGGCTCAAGCCGTGGTCCTTAACCTCTTGGGTTTTAGCTGGTTTCAACTTAGTTCGTGTGATTAGCAAACTGCATCAAATTCGCAGCAGTGGCTCAGTTTGCACAGGGACAGCCAAATACCAGTAAACGGGGCAAAGCCGAGCCCGAACGGGCCGGGACCGAGCTACGGCATTACTAGGAACAGCTGGAGAACAAGTATTAGAATATGCTCAATAGGCCTACCAAATTAAAATTTTAAAATCAACGCTGTGGAGCCTTGCCCAAGATGAAATATTGTGCAAGTGTACCCCAAATGAGTGATTTTTCACCCAGATCCCACCAACCTATCAAAATAGAAACTGCAACATATGTAAAACACACCATTCCGAATCTACTCCAGGCGTCTCTATGTCAATAGAACAGCACCACAGCGTGCTATTCACGATAGCATAAGTGTAGCATTTGAAATAACTGCCAATTCACAACATGCATTTTGCCAATCAGGATAAAATTAGGGAGCTCTACGATAATACCAGTAGTGTTTCGACGGAGGACCTATCATATTCGTGCATGGTATACTCGTAGCCAAGGGCATAAAAAACTTACGTGCGGTTGTAAGACACATTGTATAACAAGACAAGATAAACAAACAGCGAGAAGAGGAGATAGCAGATAAAAAAATCAATCGGAAAGCCGGCCAGGGCAAAGATATGGGACCAAGAATGAAGTTAATGAGAGGAGGAATCGGGCAATGTTCGCCTAAAGAGTCCATGTAGTCGATATGAATGCCGGGGATATAATGCACAAATGGCGGAAAAGAAAAGAAAAAGGCAAATTACAACTCAGAATTCTTTCCCGGTCATCAGTGCGTAGTCACCAACAGTTGTCAATTGGACTTACTTTGGAAAGAGGCAGGGAAACACATACAGCGACCCTACGATCGCTATGCAAACACCTCAGTCACAGTCCGTCGCCTCTCCCGCCTTTGCGAAGGTATAGTGACGGTGCGTGACTGAGGACCCCCATTGTCACCTTCCCTTTCGTCACGAATGCTGTCCAATGACATACGAGCTGCTCGTACACCAAGCGTCCGCCGGCGAGTATCTCGCTCCGTCTCTGAACCGGAAAGTGGAGAACGGACTTGAGCAGGCGAAGGCGCCGGAGGAACGTCTGTGTCTTCTTCAGTGTTAGAAGAGGACGTAATGGCCTTCCTTCGTGCCTCGTCTCGTATGTGCTGTTGTTGTAGCGCAGATAGTGATACTTCAGAAGGACGCGAGAAGGTTACAGATGAACGAACAGAGTCTTTGGAGTCGACGCGGGATAGAGGGAAAGTTGAGTTTTCAGGGGAGTTGGATACCGTATGAGTAGTTACAGCGGTTGTCGTATTGGCGAACGGCAGGGGAAGCCCTCGGATAGTAGCGGTGGATGTGGCAGATGGTTTGCGATGGTTGCTTTTGTCCAGCAAACTGCTCGTCGACCTACCCATAAGCGATTCAGAAGGTAAGGTGGGAAGAGGAGGGGGGGATAGCAAGAGATGGAAGTGGTTTTTGTTGGCCCGCAGGCACACCCCGAGCGGCAGGTGTTGGTGAAGGCTCATACTCCAGGGAAAGATCAATGATATCAGATGAGATATTATGAGAAGCGAGTGCATTTGACGTCATTTGATGATCACGTTGTTCTCGCGGTTGTTGTGAAAAGCCTACGCGTGGCAGACAGCGGCAGCGGAGGGAGAGTAAGGGAATTGCGTGATGAGGAGGGCTGATCCTGATCTGGATCACGGTCTCTTGACGAAGGCGGACGTGCGGCAACTCCTTCACCGTGGCCAGTTAGCCTTCTAGACAAGTCAGCAGTGGGGGCAGAAGGCTCCCAACTCCGTCTTGACTCCGCACTCCTCCTTCCATCCTGTCGACTTCTATTACTGCTCCTATCTATTTCGGGTGTTCGGCGGGAAACGTCATCACCAAGGCCGCTTCTCGAGTGCTGTGGTCCGGGATCGTTCAAAGCACCAGCGGATGCCTCCTTCACAATTTTGCCGACTCCAAGCAAAAACCCCTGTGATCGTTCGGACGACTTCGTCGCTCACACGCAGGCTCTCGCGATACTCCCCTCCCACCCTCCTCCAAATTTCACCCGTGGGTATCTCGCCCGATCTCTCATCATCCATTTCGGCGTCAATCTGCTGTTCCAGCGCTCGATTTGTACCCGTTCTCAACAACGCATTCAACTTCTCGGAAGCAAGAACGATGGTCTCTGCGCTGCGGAACAGATCTGACACAGACGCAGACTGATTTGGCAGACGGGACAAATTGTTCTCGAACATCGTCAAAGACTCAAGCATGAGTTTAGTATGCTCCGCAGTCTGTTGGTGACTGTGGAGACTGGAAACCGACCCATTCCCAAGAGGGTGTCATTGTAGTATGACGTCGAGTGAGTGTCCCACTACGTGATCTGTCTGGTGGTGTTGGTGCTGCTGGGGCTTGTTGAGGAAGCGGACGGACACCAGGCGATGCTCCCGAAGGTTGTCGCTCGATGCCCGAGTATTGCCGTCTAGAGCGGAGCAAAAATGCTGTGCCCCGTCCAGCACTTCCATCCTCCCCATGATAGAACTCTGCCATCGAGGTCGCTGGCCTTGAGGAAGCTGTGCGCCCCCCTCTCGAATCTCGTTCAACCAAAAGTGAAGATGATGCTCTGCTCGGATCTGACGATAGGTGTGACCTTGTGGAGGGACCTGCACCTTCACCAAGTCGCGCGCTACTCGAGCCGCTTGCCGACCTCCTGTCATCAGTCGCTCTATCGTCGTCCTCCCCACTCGACGGTTCGACGGGTATTAGAGCCAGACGTCCGTGCGCGACGTAAAGACACATGCGAGTCATTGCTGTGCGCAAAGACGTCATCGTTGGCCTGGGTCCCGTTCCGCATACCTATGCCAGCAGCACGTAGGCCTTCACCAACCAGCCGTCCTCCAGCTCCCAGGGTGCTTTCGGCGCTGCCACCGCGTTGTGTTTGTTTGCGACCAGAATCTGGAAGGCCAGAGACATCGTCCGATAGCCAACGCGTTTGGTGACGGCGTGTCAGCTCGCGAACGGTTGATGAACGGTTGACACGAGAGCCGCGCGGCGAGTATTGAGGATTGGGATTTGCGTATGAAGAGGTCCTGTTAGAGGTGTTGGCATTGCCATCCTGATGCGAGCTGTGATGTGGTGTCATAGGCTCAAGGGAAGTCTGTGAAGTCTGCCTGTCAGCGGGAGTCAAGGAAACAACAATAAATTGTGTTACCCTGCCATCCAAAGTACGGACTCTATCACCGTCTCTAAACTCCCTTGGGAGCGGGTTGCCGCGAACGTCGGTTAGCGCTACCTGTACCTGTTGGACTCCGTCGTGAAGATGCCACGGCAGCTAGCGCAGCGCTCGTCACGTCGTAAGATGCGTCATCTCTGGGCACAGATAGTGCACTGGCGATAGATACTCGTTTCCGAGGAGTATGCGAGGGGGCAGGAGAAGATTGTCGAGATCTAACCGGTGAAGCGGGAGCAGATGTGCGGCGCTCTCTTGTGCTAGTGCGCGGAGGAGGCGTTGATGAACGTTCTGGAGATGAAGAGCCATACGAGCGAGAGTTGGAATGCGAAACTAGTGTACGAGGGGAGTTGGAGCACGCTGACTTTCGCGTTCTGTTTCAGAACCAGAAAGTGCTCTATCATACTGTCTTGTCATAGGGGCAGAATGGCGAGTGGGAATGGAGGAAATTCGGGAGGCTGCAGAAGAGGAAGATGAGGAGGGAGGATGGCATGGATGGGAGGAAGCGGGGATCGAGATTGCACGGGAATTTGCACGGGAATTTGCAGAAGAAGGAGTGCTTAGATGGGAAAAGGAAGAAAGTTTGTTCAAAGCCTGTGTTAAGAATCAAAAGTAGCAGCCCAGATAGCATAATTCCAAGTATAAAACGTGGAAAGTCGCGAGGACGAAAAAGTGAGGTTAGAGTTGTTGCAATTCAATTTGTAAACAATACATACAACACGGCAAGTTACCAAGGGCAGGCTCCAATTAGAATGAGCGTCAAGGAACCAAAGGAGCACGTACCATGCGGTTGCGCTCAGCAAGGCTTTTAACTCGTTGCAAGGCCACGAGGTTCTCGTTTGGGACTCTTTACTGCATGACTGCGGTCAAGGCGAGCGGTGTCATCTCTTCATTTGAATAATCATTTTCGTCGTCGTCATCGTCGTCAATATTTCTGGAAGATTTTGAGGGTGTGGGTGGGTGTGTCTAGTTACGGTGGGTCATGTTTACGCTGCTGGCATACGAGCAGGTCGCTGGCGTAGACTGCCCGCGGTTGCACTCTTGTTGTCACCTGTTGAACCGCTTCCCGTTGAATTGGTTTGCGGGTGGTGAAGGAAGACAAGATGAACTTGACACTGCAATTGGGCTTTCTGGAGGCTCAGGAATGTCAGGAATGATCTGCTCCTTGGGGTAGTAACGATCCCAGGAAGATGGCGGACAAAGGACGCCTCGAAGAAGAAATGAGTGGGCGCGGCGTTCATCAAAGCCTGAGAGGCTAATCATCAACCACAAAGAGAAAATAAAAGAAACTTGACAGCGTACTCGCTGTGAAGAACAGCGAGTAGAAATTAGTGATAAGGCAACTCGACGCCTTGGGCAGTGACGACAAAGCAGATGGTCCAAGGGAAACAGTCGTGGGAATTTCAGGGACATACTTATGTCTCGATACCGAAGTCCGAATTAACTTCGCTGCGGCAGCCGGCACATTCCAACTCTATCGTTGCCACAATTAGCTGATCACATTTTGTGAATCGCCACAGACACATCACGATGAAGTGGACGCACATATGCATCTGTGCATGATAGTCAGGGCTGTCAGGCTCATATTCTGCAGAGGGATGTGCGCACTTTGTCTGATCCTGCAGAAGTTCAGAACTACTACTTACTAAGTCAAACTTAAGTGCCCTGAGCCCATCCGGCTGGGCATTAAATAATCAACGACGTTCGTAGCCAGGAGCCTTACTGACGACCATCTCTGAGATGGAGAACACCGAAGATGATGTGAGTGGACGTGATCTAGTAAACCGCCTGACTGAAAACCGATAACAATGTCCATCAGCCTGTTCAAGATCATACCGCCATTGGAGACGAGCTGTATGCCCTGTTTGCAGATCAAGGTGATCTGCAAACCCTCCAGCTAGCGATTGGTCATTACAACGCAGCCCTCGCTGAAGATGTCCTTGATTCCCAATGCAGCAGAAGCGACCAACTTTTGAAGATGGGCACTGCACTGTCTCGGCGTTTCGATCTCGTTGGTGATACCGCTGACTTGGACGTTGCCATCAAATGTCACCGTGTGGCCATTGACCTTCAAACGCCGGACAGTCCCGATGTCCCCATCATGCATGCCAAGCATGCTCAAATGCTCATGAAGCGCTTTGGACTCCAAGTGAACCAATCAGACCTTGATCGAGCAATTGAGCAATACGCATGCATCTCCGATCAAACCGATCCTACACACGAAACATGGCTTATTGCCCTCGCCGATGCACTGGTCACTCGCTTTTCCCACTGGGGAACGTCAAAGACCTTAGCCAAGCTATCCACCTATATGAGTCTGTAGTCAACTTCGATGCATCCAACGCACCCACTTTTGTGCTTGGGAATCTATCCCTCGCGCATTTCTTTCGCTACCAACAGGAAGGTGACGCTCCAGATCTCACATCATCCATTGCCTACTCTACAGAAGCTCTTGATAAGATACCCTCCGAAGATCAAAACTGTTCCGTCCTGCTCAATAACCTTGCGAACGGCTTAATTTCTCGCTTCAAAAAGCTCGGGAGCACTGATGACTTGGAGCAAGCCATCAAGTCCTACGGTTCTGTTATTGAACTATGTCCGGCGGGGCACAAAGGGCGTCTCCATGCCCTCAGTAATCTAGCGAGTGCAATCATGACCCGTTACGAACTCCAAGCGTCTCTAGCAGACCTTGAAATCTCTTTGGGTTACTTCCATGAAGCGCTCAAAATTTGCCCCAGAAACCATTTAGATCGAGCCACATTGCTCGATAACCTTGCGACTACCCTCCGCAAGCGTTTTGAACGCACCGGAGACATAGTTGACCTGGAAACAGCCATCGAAAATCACTATGAAGCACTACATGTTTTGCCGCCGTCTCATCCCCATCACTCTGACACATTATGCTCGCTTGGGAACGCCCTCCAGTCCCGGTTTGCGTTTCAGGGGGATCCTAATGACCTTGACGCAGCTGTAGACCGCTACAGCGAGGCCCTCCGCCTGCGTCCTCCATCACATCCAGAACGTGCTGATTTGTTAAACAACCTTGCCAACGTCGCTTGCAAACTGTTTAACGAATGGGAAAACCCACATCATCTCGACCTATGCATCGAGTACTACTCTGAAGCGCTCCAGTTTAGCCCAGAAGGGTATCGTCGGCCGTTGTTGCTTCACAATCTCGCCTCATCTCTTACGACACGTTTCGTGTACCATAATGACGTCAAGGACCTGGACCGGGCATTGGAGCTAGGTGCTTCTGCATTGAAACTACGTGAAGAAGGCAATGTATATAGATTATCCTCTCACGTGGTGCTAGCGAACGCAAAGGGTCTCAAATACAAACTTGAAGGTGATCCTGCCATGCTTCAAGCTGCATTTCAGCATCTTGACGAGGCAAGCAGTACATGCACTCCTGGTCATCCGTCCCTTCTCGACATCTGGGAAGAGTATTCCCGTATCCACCTTCATGCCTACTCCAAGGCACCGCAATCTACAGACCACATGGAAGAAGCATTTCGGTACTTTAGAATGGCGTCAACTCACACATCCGGGGGTTCGCTGCCCAAATTCGACGTTGCGTTACGATGGATTAAAGAAGCGGAGACACATAAGCACTCATCAGCACTGGATGCCTACCAGATTGCTTTGAGCATGTTCGACCGTCATGTCGCAATGACTCCGTCCATAGAATCACGGCATCGCATAGTGTGTAAATACGCAGCCTCGTTGGCTGTAGACGCCGCATCGTGTGCTCTCAGACGTGGGCTGGTCACACTCGCCGTGGAGATGCTGGAGCACGGACGAGGTCTTCTATGGACATACCTCGCCCGTTTCCGGACGCCTCTGGATGACTTGCAGAGCGTCGGTGAACGTGGCTGCCAACTAGCCTCTGAATTTCTAAGGCTGAGCCCCCTTCTCGAAGACACAGCGTGTGGTGCTGTGACTGAAGAGGGGTTACACCACTACCGATGTCTCCTCCGGGAATGGGACGGTGTGGTAGATCAGATTAGGCTCGTAGACGGGTTCGGTGACTTTCTTCTCACACCGAGCTTTTCTAAGCTTAAGGAAGCTGCAAAAAATGGGCCAGTGATCATCACCAATGCCAGCCGATACTCTTGTGATGCAGTAATCATCCATCACAAGCACGACCCAATCCACATCTCCCTGACTGACATCAACGCATCCGATATCCTTCGATTGTCTTCCCAGTTCAGGGACTTTGCTACCAATCGCGGCAGAGGACGCTCCACAGAAGGGCAGCTTACTGAGTTACTACGTCAAATATGGGACGCTGTCGTCCTTCCTGTGGTCAAAAAACTAGATTCCTCTCTTCACCTTCCCAAAGGTTCGAGGATATGGTGGTGTCCCACTGGTCGTTTCAATAGCATCCCGCTCCACGCAGCAGGCCCGTTCTCGAGAGGAGAGGAAGGTCTGCCCAATCGCTATGTTTCATCCTACACACCGACCCTTTCTGCACTCCTGCGGTGCCAAAAACCACGTCACGTTCTCAACGATAAGACCCCTCCACGGGTTTTGGCAATAGGACAGGCAGCACCCGCCGGTGGTTTTGCGAAGCTCGGGACCGTTGATGAAGAACTCGATTCGCTTCAAAGCATCTTAGCGCCCGCCATTCCGATGACACGAATGACTGGCGAAGGCGCAACATGCTCAGAGTCCCTCCGCGCTATTCATACAATGCCCTTGGGTTCACCTTACCTGCCATGGGAAGCAAGATGTGACTCGCCCTCTCAAGTCATGCTTTGCCATGAGCGACGGACCCCTGACGCTCTTGGACATCGTTCACGCACCATCCGAATCCGTGCAGTGTTCAGAATTTGCATTCCTGTCGGCGTGTCACACCGCCGCTGGGGATCGTACAGCCCCAGACGAAGTTGTGCATCTTGCTGCTGCGATGCAGTTTACTGGCTTTAGGGGAGTTGTTGGAACTATGTGGGCTGTGGATGACGCTGTCGTGGTCAATATGGTCTCGGCGTTTTACGAAGCCCTCCTCGAAAAATCACCGGAGGGATTAGATTCTGAGCATGCAGCACTGGCTTTGAATACAGCTGCAAAGAGAGTGGATAAAAGTGTCGTTCCATTGGAACAGAGGATTGTGTTCATCCACATTGGAGCATGACTAGAAATATGCATAGGGAAAACGTACATACCAGTTGAAAGGCTAGATACAGATACACTGTATTATTTACGACTCCTAGAGGCGACACGTTTACTTTTTCCTGGCCTCTTACTACCTCCTGCACCCCCTCGTCCTGCCTTCGGTCCATGTCCTCCCCTTTTTCCTGGTGCAGAATCAAAATCGTCTGTGGAGACTTTGGTGTTTTGTTTTGACCTCCGGCCTTGACCACCAAAGCCGAATTTTTGATCGCGTGCATTACGCGCCATTTTCTTTCCACCAGGGCCTTTGGCATGCTTAGCAGGCCTGTCAGCAATGGCATCTTCAACCGCGATATCAAATGCATCGCCATCTGCGCCATCGGCTTCAGCATTTTCCAGGGCACCTTTGCGTTCTACGAAGATATTGATGAGTTGATTGTCTCAGCAAGAATCAAAGACATACTTCTTTTAAGCCCTTTAAGTCGCTCCTCCATGTCCTTTTTACTACGCTCTCTTTCCTTGAGCTTCTCCATCTGCACCTGCTTGCCAAACTTCTTCCCCTCCCTCTCTCTTCTCTTCTCTTCCGACTTCTTGATCCCGGCACGTTCATCGAGTAACCGTGAACGAAGACGCTCCATGTGCGCGTCGGACTTGACCATTTCTGCAAAATAGTCTGAGGGGCGCGTAAAAGGCAGAGAATGAGAGGCAGCAAGCGTGCGAGCAGTATTAGCAGCGTGTAGCGCTTGTTTATAGCTAGATGCAAAATGAGCTTTTATCAACGAAGCGGAATAGAAAGTATACTGACAACGCAAGCTCGCGATTGAGGTCGTCATCCACATCGACCTCTATTACTTGAGGATACGATATAACGAGGGTATCTGTCCATGGTAATGATGGGTCGAGCCGAATTGCCTCTCTTATGCGACGAAGAGCAATCTGTAATGGAAAGTCATGAGCTTCGTATGTCGCTCGATCAATGGACGAACACATACGATGTTGTCGATTTCGACTTTTTGTTTTGGAACCACATCTTCATCAATATAACCGTCTTCGAGATCATCAAGTGCCACCACCTCTTCTTCATCTTCTAAACCATCTGAATCTGCTTCGCTCCCATCCTCGGGATTTTCTTCGTCTTCAACTTCCTCGTCCTCCTCCTCACTGTCACCGGCTGAACCCTCGTCCAAATCGTCCAAACCATCTTCTCCAAGAAGTTCCATTAGCTTTTGCATTGCCTCCTCATCGTTTTCCTCGCCATCACTTCCACTTCCTTCTTCTTCCATACCTTCGCTTTCTGCCCGGTCGTCATCTGAGACTGTATGCGATAGTTTTGCTGCTGGGGGTGACTTGACTTTTGCTAGTTGCTTTGTGTTTCGTTTCGGTGCAGAGACTTCTGTTTTGGACTTCCGCTTCTTCATACTTGCACCTCTCTTGACATCCCTGGCGTCCGCTGACATGGCAGAAGTGCTGGTCAAGTTATTCCAGCAAGTTGACGCTATGTAGAAAAACGACAAATTACCATTTGAGGTCCGAGGAACCGAATCTTGAATTTTGATCCGAATGCGGTATATATTATGAGGAACTTCCTAAGTGTTGATCTAACCACAGCTTGCCAAATGATTGACCGGCAGCACAATCGACGACGACCAGATCCACTCTCCAGATGTGAGCCGATAATTTGTATGTCTCGGGTCTTGCTCATAGGCGAGCTATTTCCTCAGGTTCTAGTAGGTCAGGCACGACTCGGGCTGCATCGCTGCAAGGCCGCCAACCCTTTGACATTTAATGTCTTCGAGCAGGAGGTTGACAGCCTGAGAGTAACGGATCGCGTTCTAGGGATTTTTGATGGATGTAACTAGGCTTGCTGTCCATCCGGCTGGTACAATCTCTACTTCCTGGAGGAGACGATGGGTTTGTGCGGGTTCATCACTTCGAGGGGCCCAATTTCACAACGAAGCCATACAACTTGAAGAATCTTAATTACTCTCTAACACAATATTCTATTACAGCATATCTACTACTACAACCGAGCAGAGTACACGATTCAATCGTTTCTATCAAGGCACATTTAAACACCGACATGGACGAACGCAATCCTTTGCTCTAATGGTATACCTTCCTCGACCATCTGTAGGGCTTGGCTCAGAGCCTTTGCCGCGTTGGTACAATCCATCGCGCCCCTTGACTCCACGACAATAAAATGATAGAATGCCGACGCTATCCGCCGCGTGACCTCTTCATCCACAGCCCACATAGTGCCAACCACGCTTTGAAACCCTGCCATATGAAGTGCGTGGGGAATGTGCATGGTCTCATGTCCTTCCGTCCCACTAGATCCACGGTTCACAGATAAAAACGCGAACTCCGGCGGCCGCTCCACTTCCGCCAGGGTCTGTGCTATCTCCAACAGGGACACTGGCTTGTCGTGCAAGGGAAAATGCGATTCGAATGGGAGGTCGAAGTTGGGTTCCGCTCCGGAGGCAAAGTGAATCCATGACTGTTCTCGAATGGTGCAAATGACATGTTCGTATGTTGCGTCGGCATCCGTGATGCGAGTCATGGTGCAGGTCGGAGGAAGCACTTTGCGGAGCATGTCGATGTCCTCCGTCCTCTCGTTATTGCAAATAGCGGCGAATGTAGATGACGCAGGAACTGGGGTGGAAGGCCTCGAAGATTTGCTTTTTCGACCTTTGAGAAAATTGGTCAAGAAAGGAGTGAATAATGGCCGGCGCGGTGTGGTGCTACTTTTAGTCCTTCTGCTTTTGATGAGAGACGACAAAGTCGGGGTGTAGGAAGATATGTATAACTGCGAGAGGTTCAGCTCAATACTCTGGTATAGGCCTGCGGCATGCAATGGCAAGGCTGTAAATTTGCCAGTCGGGCACCACCAGATCCGCGAACCCTTTGGTGTGTGTGGCAGAAGACAGTCAACCACAGGACTGACCACCAGGTCCCATAACTCCGTAAGCAAACCAATTAATCGTCTCTCCCTGTCGCGACCAGGGTCGGGATCACCAGAATATCGCACGATGTCGTGAAAAAGAGCTGCTAACCGAGCAACATCTGTCAGGGTGATATCTGGAAGGGAATAAGAGCCGGTTGTCCAGTGGTAAATATGATGATGGCATTACACAAATAGTGGCTAGCGTTAACCACGATCACTGGTCCATCAATAGCTGCCCTCTGAATGTCGGCAAAGGAAGGATGTATGAGGAAATTGCTGAAGCCATTCAGGCGCCTGATTTGCGCGATCACCGCATCCCTTTGCTTCTGTAAATCTCTGTGGTGGTGTGAGCTTTCTCGACTACTCTGCCACCCCCACCCGCACTCTATTTGGTGGTTGAGCTGCTCAAAACTGTTTGCAAGACGAACTCCCTGCTTGCCGCAGCTCCTGAGATCATCTAGAATGCTTCGATGGAGAGCCACCTGGGTCCAGAGCAGCAGGCGTCCTTGTTCTAGCATTTCAACTGCTAGATCAGGTTGTTTGTGGCGAATTGCCGCAGAGAATGCATCTAGCATCAGCTCGGCATGCCGTTTTGTTAACTCCTGTCGGAGCTCTGGAGCCTTCGCAACCGTAACGCAACGGTCTAGAAGACGCAAAGCCGTTTGGTATGCATCGACAGCAGACGCATGCCTAAACATCTCGGCGCTCCGCACCCAATACAGCGATGCACGGAACGCGGCCCATATCCCTCCAGAACCGAAAGCCATGCTCAGCTCATGATAGCCAAGAGCTTCCTTAAGATCCATGGAATGCTGAAATACGAGATAACGAAGAAAATATATTACGGATAGTTCTGCGTGGATGTCAAGAAGCAGCGAATGCCCTGATCTACAAGCATCTTTTGCTGCACGAAGGTGCTCGAAGGCGCTATCAAGCTTCTTTGGGTCGTCCCAAGGCAAGAACCGGGACCGAAAAATTCTTGCCATAGTCAGCAAAGAAATTGGTCTTGCTGGATGTCCCAGCGGGCGAGCATCCAGTGCTACGGTGCAGTGAAGTGAGGCCTGGTCAAGATCAAATTCATCGCCGAGGAGCTCAAACCTGCTCAATAACGCGCAAGCCAGGCCGGTCAAGGTAATTGGCCGGTCAACGTGAGTTGCGGGGTAGAGCTCAAGAGCTTCCCGATAATATGTGATGCAGCGGTTGAGTTCGTTGAGATCTTTATACTGCCTGAAGTACATCTCCAAGGCAGAAGCGATATTATTCAATACGACAGGCCGTCGAGGGTGGTCTTGGGAAAATAACGCTAATGCGTGGTTGTAGCAATTGAGGGCTGTTTTGAAATCTGCTAGTTCTCCTTGTTGCTCGAAACGAGCATCAAGGCAACTCGCCAGGGCTGCCATCGTGGCTGGTCGACGGTGGTGACCGACAGGATGTAGCTCGAGAGCTAGATTATGGTTCTCAATTGCACGGTGCAAATCAACCATGTCTCCACATTGTCGAAATTGAAGTAACTGTGCATTTCCTAGATGATCAAGATGCAACCCCTGATCAGGCTGTCCTTCCGAATGGATGCAAGCAGTTCGATAGTGGCTAATGGCGAGATCAAGGTCAAATGAGTCACCCTGATGTTTGAAACGTGCGAGTAAAACATCAGCGAGGTTGTTAAGTGCAAGGGCATGATAGGGGTGTTCTTGAGAGCACAGATCGAGTACAGCCTGATAGTACCTTCGGGCTGTCTCAAGATCAACTGCGTCTCCTTTCTGACGAAAACGCTCGAAAAGGCCACTCGCAATTGTGCGGAGAGTTTGTGGTCGGTCAGGGTGATATGTTGGAAGAAGATGAAGCGCGGCGCTAGAATGTTGAATGGACGATTCGAGGTCGTTTAGCTCATGAAACCGCTGAAAGCGGGACTGGAGGGCTTTGGCGAGGTTATTAAGGGGAGCCGGGCTTTCGTGAGGGGATGATAAGTCGACGACCGTCTGATATTGGTCAATTGCACGCTCTGCATCCTCAGCGTCTCCGCAATACTCGAAACGCGAAAGGAGAGCACCGGCGTATTTCATGATGAGGGTACACCTGGCTGGGTGGTCGAAGGGACATTGGGATAGTGCAGCAGCAAAGTTATCAATGGCAAGGTGGATGTCACTGAGCGTGCCGTCTTCTTTGAAACGAAGAAGAAGAGCTGTGGCAAAGTCCACAAGGGTGACCACCCGCATTGGATGTCCAACTGGGCGAAGAGCCAATCCTTCAAGGTGACATTCCATGGCACAAGCAAGATCTGCACGACTGCCCTGTTGCTGAAAGCGTACGACCAGGGCATTTGCGAGATCGCCCAGTAATTGACTATAACCATCGGAGGACAGATTAGATATTACGCCCAGCGTTCCACGATAGTGTGCGATGGCAATGTCCAGATCTGAGGGGTTTCCTTGCAGAGCCTTCGTGTAAAGCTTGTGGGCTCGCTGCAAGAGCTGAGGGTATCAGTTGGCAACATGGCATTAAAAGGTATAGTCGGAGCCTAGTACCTCATCGATTCCCTGCGACGCAGGATCTCCGAATATAGGGGGCTTTGACATAGGTGAATACCGAATAGTCGTTGTGCTCAGCCAATGACTGTAACTAGTAAGTGGTAAATCATGGTACAAGGGCTAGTGTGCGTATTGTGGATATTCACCTCACTGCTGTTGTCTGCGGAGTAAGTGGATCATGATCTCAACTGAGGATGGGAGTTTTTGTCTGTCAGGTATGAATTAATGACAACATAGGATGCATGCCATAATGATCAAGCTTCCAATTTCTGCTGAGCATTATCGACGTTTGCTTGTGTGGGCAGGACTCCCCACATTAGGGTAAAATCTATCAAATGCGGTGAAATTGATGTGAAATGATACGAAATATGCCTTCCAATCCTCCCCCGGCCTGTCAAACGCACCGTAGTAATGGCCGCATCGAGAAATGACCTAACACTCATCAATCCTGAGTTTGTCGACTAGGCCCGGGTAGCTCATTCTTGCAGAGCCAACAGGACAAGGAGGCTATAGTCACTAGTGTCAGTGGCGGTGTGGGACCTGCAACGAGCGGCGAGCCTGAGCCTCCCGGTTACTACATATCTTCTTGTTCCATCTGGAGATGTGGAGATATACCTGCGGACGGATCTATGCAGAGAAGACCAGGTCTATATATCACGCCCTGGTTGCTCTCTCATCTTTGAAAAAAGTAGGGATTCTGAATTTCTATCAAGTTGAAGCAAAGAGGTTCCCACGGTCTTTCGGACCCGGTTTCGTTTCCATGTTATGGGCCAACTCGGCAGGGTCTCCCTTATGTAATTCTATAATAGGTTGCCCCTGGGAGGATGTTTAGCTCAGCTCCCATGCAGAGGAAGCTTTCTTGTAGTACCTACCACTGCAGAATGACATGAGTTATATCTCCTCCCTCAATTCCCATGCCATCCATCGGCATGCTGGCAGTGATGTCCCCTACCGCTGCCCCTGCTCACTGCCATACATGCTGCACTGTCCTCCTCTACCCACAACTGCTCAAGTCCATCCGAGTCAGTGTCAAGCCTCCTCATTGTAGGCTATAGCTAACGTGAACAGCACTTCCCAAGTTTGATATTTCACGGTCAAAATTCGCACGGCACATTCGAAGTTTACACAAATGTGTCGGGGACTGGCGCGGCCGAGCGCCGTTACGATAATGGTAATGATGATACACAGGTGCCGAGTCATTCAGCTGGCAGCGACAGAATTCTATTAGTCCGACTCAGTGGAGCTCTTGTCACTCGACCCTGTCAAGTTGCACACACACTGGCAGTAGGGGATCCCAGCACATCGTCAAGCAAGGTTTGAACATGGTTACATGCCAGTGGCCACGTAGGTTCAGCCTGTATTGCCGAGACCCGAGTATCCTGGGCCCTCAACTTGGTTGATCCCATCATCGTCTGGAACGATCCACACTGGCTCAGAATTCATTTCCATCATATATACATTGATGCCTCAAGGCCATCTGTGAGTGCGTTTTTTTTGCATGCGAGAGGACGTACTTCGTGATTATGTAGTTACTCATGACGTCCCAACAGACACCATATATTTGTGGGACTCTGTCAGTCGGCTAGTCTGCATAACCCTGCACGTTTTCACGTGAGCATTACGCCTGATAGTCGGATAATATAGGAGACACACACAAAGGGTCTTCCTGGGTCACGTATATAGCTAATCTTCAACATCTGCATGAAAAGATCATCCTTCCTCGTTATCTGATAATGTCAACCAACTTTGCCCAACAACCAGGTGAGTGGACGCTATGTAGCCAGTGTGTTGTATATTTTTGTTTACCATCCTTTGGAAAGTCCCGGGGTCGGTATCTGTGGCTCATGTGATTGCCATACTCTGTACCATCTTTAGGCTTGTTTACCGATGCTGGATTCATCACTTGTGGTGGGAAGACGCATGGGCGGCATTTGCACTGATCTCAGACGGTAGAAATTTCCTTGCATACTGCATGATTCCGTAACCAACCATTGTATCCCCCAGTTATTTGCATGCTATGCATCTGGATCCAAACCTCGGCAAGTTGTGAGTATTTGACTTCGCGCTCCAAGATTTACCTTACTACTTTTATGTCAGTCCCAATCTGGACCTTCTCTGCGACTTCCAGCTCCGTTGTGTGGTGCGCATCGTAGCTCCGAGTTACTCGGTTATATTTCTAACTCACTAGTCCAGGGCTGCGCGCATGAGCATTATTTTCTCTATCATCCGAATCGCCAACCCCTCAGGTTACAATTACCAGAAATGGACCACCTATCTCATTGCAATATCCTTCGTGTGCATGTGGGTCGCGATAATGATACAGAAGAACATCACGTGCGTCTTTGTATGCCACACGACCAAGTCGGTAGCGCTCTTGCAAATGATTAGTCAGTGCCTCTAATTTATATCCCTATTATGGTCCTCAAGTTTTTGGGTTCCTGCAGCCGACGTCATCGCGGATGTTTCCCTCATCGCTGCGCCGCTGCAGTTCTGGAAAAATGTAAGGCTCTCACGCAACAGCAAAATATTGATCTTCTCCACATTCGGCGCATCGTTTATTATCTCCATCATCACAATCACTCACTCCACAATGCTCTTCCATTCCGCCTCAGAAACAACGCTCATCATCGCGCACGTCAAGGTAGGCGTGCGCTTACTTGCCTTCCTCTGCAACACCTGACAGAGGTTAGGCCGCTCTCAGTCTCGTCATCTGCAACCTCCTGGTGATCGTCACTTTGGTATACCGCGTGCGCTGGAAGGAAGCACTTGATCCAGACGAAACATTCGGATCTCCATTAGTCTTCACGAGCGTCGTCGCCGTGCAAACCCCCGCTAGCGCAATTCCCATGACATCACACACTGTACATGAGGGAACAGCTCGAGTTGATTGACGATGGGTACAGACTAGGCAAACAGAAGATGAAAGACGCAAACGTCCTTTGTGCCGAGGAGCGCACTAGCACGGAGGGGTGGAAAGCAACATTAGCTTGGTGTGACGGCAGTGACCCCTGGCGGAGTTGCCAAAGATGATGCGCAAGCACTGTATTCACCTTACATCACAACAGGGGTGTTTTATGTGCTGTACGGTCTTGAGCTTGTCGAATAACTGGAATTTTAATTGATCGTGTGGTTTACCTTTTTCTTGTTCATTGTATGCAGCGCGAAACCACCTGCTTTTGGGTCATCTGGAGGAACCGGCGTCGAAGATTCAAATGCGATCTGAGTGCCGGCTTGAGCTACAAACTCACACCATCCGCTCGTCACTGATGATATGTAATTCAGAGCCCATTGCAACGTGTTGTGGATCATAGTATATTGGCGTGTACTTAAGTTACGCAGAATTTCCGATGGCTGCGCATAACCAAGATATTGATGATGAATTAGAAATACAGATACAGGGCAAACGACAATATATGGCCCTGCCTCTGGCTGTGGCTGGTAAGTCATGATGTCAATGCGATGTCTTCTTGCTGAGAAAATTGGATGCTAAAAACCGCATCAGGGAATTTGAAAATTTGAATGCAATGAACGAACCAGCTTTACTTGGGAGTATGTACGGGAATATAGAGACAACCACTGTAGTAGGGACCACAGTGAAATGGTCGCACAAAGGTGTGTTAGCGTCAGGTGTAGCGCAGGGGTCAAGAGTGAGGCAGGCATAGAGATCGCAGAAACCAGGGTCTTGCAGGTCCGGGGTCCCAGAGTACATGCACAGCACGCACACACACACACACACACATCATACACCGGGGGTTTCGACGTTTTACTACATTTTGCCACTAGTGAAATCACATTCTAAATGCAATCTAGAGCGCTCCAGAGCGTTCCAGGCTAGGTCTAGAATGCTCTAACCAGGTCTAGATATGCTTTTGATTGAAATTTTGCAAGAGGTAAAATGTCCAAACCTCCGATGTGTCACCCTCGGACTTTGTCGTAGCGTAGTGCTCTTCACCACTTCTTGCCTTGCTCGCGACACGTAGGCACGCAGTCGCAGATACACCGCTCCGTCGTGAAGGACCAGCCTGAAATGAGAACACATGGACTTTGGGTGTGCGCAAGGATACAATAGACGTCAAGTGCCTCGTTCTTCAGTTGCCCTGCCATCCATCCACCGAGAATACAACATGATACACGAAATCTGAGTCCTGAAATCGGACGACTTCTGAGCCTGTGAAGAGCTGCCACAAGTGAACGGTGCAGGCTGATGCCGAAAAGGGTGCCAGCTGGGTTCAAGGCGATATGCCTAATCCGTGTTTCATCACCATGGCCACTCCAGGGATCACCATCCTGTTTCCGGGTGGATGTCCCACAAACGGATAACAGGACCACCTGCTGGGGGGAGGTAGACTCCATCGTGGGTTCAGGTAAGCGAACTTCTCTTATCGTAAGGTTCAGTCGCTATCCTTTTCATCTGAAAATATGTCAACGGAAATGACGTCGTCTTGATGACCTTGTCCTTAGTATGACTCAGGTACTGGTTTCCCGGAGTCTTTCATCTTGGGCCGTCCATCTGCCTCCACAAACGCAACGGTTTTGCTCGGCATGCCTAGCAAAAGTTAGAGAAGACCCATATAAGAATGGAATGACCTACTTACCTATCGCTCAAGTGATGGTTTGTGATCAAGGTACGTTGCTGTGCAATGCAATCCATAAAATTACATGAACGCCGCGCATGGTCTGTTTCCCGGCGTCAAATGGTACTAGATGTGTCTATACATAGCGCCATGCAAAAGACAACTCCGGAAACCTGAGACTTGGAGTGGACCTGATACAACCTGACACCGAATGCATGTCAAGGTACTTCCTCCACTAGAATAGAAATAGGTCATCTAATTTAACAAGATGCAAATACAGCATGAGCGGAGACAATCGTACGATATATCATAGCACAACGACCATCAATCAGAAGCAGCACATGAATCCAGCGGCGCTGTACACTTCTGTCAGTACAAAAGATTTTCGTCTAGTGCACGAACGAGCGCTCTCCACCCCCATTGATATTCCCGGCAGACTCATGCAAGAGCAGCACAAAGACGCCAGTGATGCCATACACGACAACGCTCGTCCACACCGGGAACCCACGATTGAAGACGAGAAGTGCACCGCCGAGCAGAGGGGCGATCATCCCGCCTCTGAAATTGACGCATACAAGTTAGATTGTAATTTGGTAATAATCAGAAGATGATACGCACATTCGTGATAGCGCGGATGCGATGCCGCATGCTGTTCCCCGGACCTTGGTCCCGAATATTTCCGGTGTCCAGCTAGAAAGCGTTAGTACCATGCGCTCATAATCGGGAAACTACTGGAACATACCCATACAGTACAGCATACATAGTCTGTATCGGCTCAGTAAGAACGAGGAACGGACGTATTTCAAGGAGAGCCACCCACCGTCGCACTAAGACTAATCCCCACCGAACTCACACGCACTAAAAGCGCGCTTCTGACGAGCGCGAATACGATACAAAAGAATGCCGTGACGAACGTAGTCGCAGCCAGTGAGCCCCGCCGGCCAAGAGGACTTTCAACCATATAGGCTCCGAGCTGCAGCCGACCATCAATATCAACGCATTATGTAAAAAAGATAATGGAAGACATACAATGGCACCAGGACATCCTCCCATAGTAAATATTAAAACATCCCACAAGCTATCTTCTAGAGACTTGGTCGAGGTATCATCACTCGACCCAGTTTCAAGCAGCTTGGGGAGGTAGACATTAAACATGGTGTACGCTAGATACTCCACATGAAATACCGATGGCTTCGCATGATAAATAGAAAACCCACCTAATGACATAAAGAACCACACGCCCCACATGAGTACCGTTGTCCGGAACCACTCGGGGGCCAAGACCATGCCGACACGGTCTAGCCATGCAAGCAGCGGCCGACGCACCCATCGAGGTAACACACTCCCAACACGCTGTTTCATCTCAATGGAAACCACGGATGACGTCCGAGGGTGTATAGTTCTTTGGCGAGGCCGCGGGCGCACTTCGGGGATGGAGAGAAGGTCTTTGGACTCGGACTCCGAGTCTCGAGAGGAAGAGTGAGAGTTATGCCCGCGCGCAAGGCTTTGTCCGTGCGGAGGCACCTCACCAACGGGAGTTATGAACGAATGTCCATCTAATGAATCATGAGAGGCTTCGTCCATCGACTGGTAGACTTTTGCCCCATTCTGGTCGTTCGAAGTGCTGCTGCCATCCGCACCTGCATCGAACAACGTCTCGTTATTTGTGCGAGGATCTTGGGAGCTGGAATTAGGGAGGAATGGAATACGCTCCCCTGCAGCTGCGTGTGCTTCGGAGATGGATGGAGGCCTGTCATCGACGTCCTCTATCTCTATTGGTAGCTCAGAGCCATTGAACCTAGAAATGAGCTGGAGACTTTCTAGTGCTTCTTGGTGACGACCAGCGTGTACGAGGTACCGCGGAGACTCGTGCAATCGGAAGAAGACCATACGTGCGAGGAACATCGAAAGTGTCTGTAATGATCAAGGTCGGAGACGGTTACAAATCGTCTGAGGAGTGGACATACAATGACACCAAGGCATACGAGCATGAATTGCCAGCCTGTGTTCTGGGTAATGACATCACAGGGCTCCTTAGGGGGACATGAACGAGAAGGAATGACTATTAACGCAACGCCCGCAGATAGAACAGAGCCGAGGGAGAAAAAGACGGAAAGGGCCGTGACGAGATATTGCTTCCCGTTAGGCATATGCTCGAGAAGAAGGGTGCCGTCAGTTGGCATTGAACCCTAAATCGAAGACGTCAAATAAGCAAAGGAGGTCAACAAGACGGGAGATTAACGTACACCAACTGCGCTACCAAGGAAGAACAGCAGGATACATAATGACCAAAACGACCATGCAAACGATGAGAGGATACCGAATAAGGCAGTGAAAAAGAGTGTTGCGTTAAATGCAGCACTGCGCCCCAGGAGGTCGGAGCAGGTTCCCCAGCCCACAGCGCCGAACATCATGCCGGCGAACATGGACGATGAAAGAGTCCCGATGTAGTTGTCAGGAACTAGGCGAGGGTTATGTGATAACCCACTGTGGGCATGAAGGGAATTTACCTGAAAAATGCTGTTGTACTCTAGGGAGAATTATTGCAACAGCTTGAATCCACATCTGAGTGACATGTCAGGGAAGTGGGAAACGTTTCTGTGAGCCACTCACATTATCTGCCATCCATCCTGATGGAACAGATCATAGTCAGTTATGATTGACAAGAATATCGTCGAATAGCGAGGAATTGTAGCATCATGATGGTACTCACCGAATCCGCATAATGACAGCAGCGTCCATTGATAACTCCCTGCTCAACGTCAGTACCAATATGAAAAACGCGAGAACACGACGCACCCATCCCAATCCTATCAATAGTTTTGTCCAACGGCGTTCGTTTATCATACTCAGCATCCAAATCCACCTCGATGTCGTCCATACCCTGTTCCGTATCCTCAAAGTAGGACATCCTATCCGCCCAGAAACCCGATGCGCGGGAGGGTAACAGAAGCCATGACTGCAGGGGTGCGACCGCTTATATATTTGGGACTGCTTACGCGAGTAAGACGCAAGAGTGCGGCAGCCTGGCCCGGGATTGGGTGTAAGATAGACCGGTGTTAACGACACTCAATGGAAGCCTGGTGGATGAGCAGAGACTCGCTCGATCGATGATAAGGATGATCAAGAGAAGGATGGAAAGACCTAGAGTGTAGAAGACTGCACTTTGCACTTATATCATGCTGTGCTAAGACTGCGGCAGGTTTGAAATGATTTCATTTCGAACTGCTTCTGACCGCAACCGACAGTTTGGCTGTATCTGATAATTATCGATAAAGTTCCAGTCCGTTTCATACATCTGTTTAGGTAGTACCGGCTGACAGTCCGAGAAATGTACTAGCATGCACTGTACGCCGGCAGTTCTTCCTGCTCTCCGACATCATCGCCAAGCTTTCTCACTTGTCTATCCACCCTCCATCTCCACTCATTTCCTTCCAGCCACTTGAAAGACATACCGCCAAAATTTACCGAGACGTCACACTCCCCAGACACACCCACAGCAGCATACACATCAATCCCGCTGCGGTTCTGCAAGTATATACCTGTAAACGCATCTGGCAGGCGTTGACCGTCGATTGTGAAGAACATTGCACCTGTGGAGAAAGAATATCCACAACCGATTGTGTGGCCAACGACAGACGTAATGGGTGGAGAGCCCAGTGGGAAGCAGGGACGTCCGCCCTCCGGGTCCTCAAAGAATTTGTGGAAGTCGTCGAGGTGAAGGCCTGCGCTCAATCGATTCCAGCCTGGGAGCCTCCATGATGGGTACGGTCTGCAAGTAGTTCCTGACGGACAAAAATGAAGTGAGGTGGAAGGAGGAAAAATATGCATACCAATTGCGATGACGCCACCTTTGGATGGGTCTGTCATTTTGTTTACAGTGATCTCGAAGTACACTCCACCATCATTGGGAAAGTGATATTGACCAGCGATGATTGGCAGGTTGCTGAGGAGACATGTATCTGGGCAGCCCACTCTAGAGCGTATCTGCGAGAGTCCGCCCTTCCTGTCTGAATTATGGACTACTACGCCAGGGGAAGAGTCGTGAGCTTGGATTCGCCATTCAGAGCACCCATTACTGTCGATGTCCGGGACGGTCCGAGAGGGTAGAATTGTTGACGATTCAACAGGATGTCTCACAAAAATCCAGGGCTTCTTCGTAACTTTCATTTGAGGCTTCGTTCTGAAGACCGTATGTGGATAATTGTTCTACTGCAGGTGCCCATTCAGGAGGAGGAGCACCTGACGGAACTTCATCAGGCTGCCGGAAAGCATGTCGCTGATGGTGTTGTTTGAACCAGTCCATGTAGTTTGGAGTTGGATGTATGCACAATAGGAGTCATTGCTATTACACAACATCCGAACATTGTGTCGGAGTTTGAAAACAACAATGGTCTCGACATCAAACTACCTATCAGCGTCGAAAGGTTTGCATTTAGTGCAAGAATCCCGGCTCGACTGTACGCCAGTCAATCCATAATTCTGGTAAATTAAAAGGTGTTTCAATATTTGATCTTCAGAAATACTATTAAAAAACCCTTGCCTGATTCAATTGCCGACGGTCCACAAGCGCTGCTTCGTACTCCCAACTGCGCGTGGCCTGAACAGCCAGATAGAAATCTGAAAGACTAGGGCTGCAAACAGTATCGGTGGGGATGGAAGGTCTGCGTAGGTCTAGGTAGTATCACTGGTATGACACGATTGGCAATCATTGCAGGAGGAAATGACAATGAACCGCGAGCCTCGGTTTCATTCTGAATTCAGCCAGCGAGACGCAAAATATGTGTCACCAACCTCGTTGGAAATCATCCAGGCTACACTCCCGTGCCAGTGCCAATATTCTTTCCCCAATAATCAACTCCAGAGTCCAACAAAGCTAAGAGCGACAGCTCGGCGAGCTTTCGCGTTCCAACACCTCACCGATATTCACTCCCTCACGATCAAGACTGAGCACACCGTCAACAATTGACAAGTGGTATGGTTCAAGCAAGACAGACGCACACATCTATGCTGAATCTATTGTCCGGGATTTCATTTGGCGCTCGTTCATGAGGAAGTGGAAGAACGATTGATAGTCAAGGTTCCTTGTTCCATGAGAAACATTTGGGAAATCTGCAGAAATGCCTACCTGTGAGGAAAAAAATGTCAGTCCAGTACTCAATTAGTCAGACACGAGCTTACCAGTGCGACAGGGAAGTATTCGTGTGAAGAGACCATGATATTTGAGTGGAGATGTGTCAGGTTATGTAAACCACGAGACTGAGCTGACGCGCCACTGACGGAGGCGTGGATGCGGTTTCACCCAGGGATGATTAGTACGACATGAATAAATCTTTGTGACAAGTGGGGACGAGGTTTAAGCTTGACGCACGAACAACGGTTCCTATCATCGAAGAAAGACATATGGACTATAATCACAGTGGGGACTTTCAGTGACAATTCTGGAACAGGAAGTTTGTCATGGCTTGCATTCCAAGGTAAGGGTGGAATTTCAAATATAGGTGATGTTGGGTTCGTGTCACCCACTCTCTATGCAGTTCTCGAGGCGGATTTCAAACATGGACAATCCATGACAACCCGGTGCCAGCGTTGCACCTGAAGTAAGTAAACCTCATGGAGACATCGTCGATATCCAGCGCACGAACGACTTTTTGGCATTTCAATATCCGTGGTAGTGCCAACGGTAAGGCAACGATTTCGACGTGCGGCCGCCGAGGGAGACGATACTGTACTGGGTTAGACCTGTGTAATAGAAATCAAATGCAACGGAGATGTAGTGTCCGTGCAAACATTTGCATTGGAAACACGATCGTTGCAGGCTTAATATTCGGGTAATTTGCCACTAGGCAGTATGACGGAGTTTGAAAATGATTATGCAGGATATCGACGGGCCTTCCCAAGTTACAACGGAATTAACGGTCAACAGACACTACGCACAACCGTTCGGCAGTTACGCGGGGGAACAGGAACCCGAGGGGACATATATGCAGGTAATACGGGAATAGAATGGCGTTTCCTTCCGATGGCAGAAGTCCACAAATAAACAACGATTTGTAGCAAATAATGAACGAGCGCCAGTTGACTTGCAGGTGACAATTGAAGGCGCGCAGTGGCTGCTGGGAGTACGTGCGATTCACCGCACCAGCATCATCTATATCAAATGAATCAGGAAAGACGATAGCGGGCATTGTGGTTTGCGATCCTAGCCAAACGTGCCCGAGAGACACAAAAATTGCCCAGCTTCAGAGAATGGCAGACAACCTAATGAGCACTGGTCAGCCGTTCGCCACTATAATTGCTCACGAACCGCGTAAGACCCAGGCTAATATAACAGACGCCACGAATCATAGCTTCCAAATCCTCTGCGAAGGAGTCTAGCAGACCCTCGAAAAAAAACTGCAGCCAGCACAAGGCAAAAGACGGAATCCAAATGATAAAATTGAGGACTGTCGCCATTCGCGGTTTCGTCTTCTTGCAGGACAGCATCTGCATCATAAATAACTCTGGAGATGGTACGATGGGTCGGTGGAAGCATACGGGAAAACATCGGTGCTGTCACCGGACAGTAAGACAATTGCGTGCGGGAGAGACGACGGAGGCAAAAAATTGCTTTGAGGAAGTGGAGAAGTAGATGTGAGTACAATCGAGCCCGAGAAGCAGGGCTGTGTCCAGACTCCATATTCACCTTCGGGTGTCAGAATTTTATCAGACGGAAGCAGCAAAACATTTTGCACTCAGGACTGAACGAAGTGAAGGTCCAACGTAGAGGTCCACAAGGAAAACTCCTGGAAGCTTTTGGACAACAGACCAAAACAACGCCTCCCGCTTTGCCTCACACGGCGGTGAGTCGTACTTACTGGTGCTTCTATTGGCTCTCGTGCCCTGCTGGCAATATGGCACAGTTTCAAAGCTTCAAGGGTGCTCAGGATCGCGTTATGCGTGTAGCTTCATCATACCTTTTGACACAATCGTGATAACCAAGAGTGACCCCATGTCGGTGTGTCACGGTGACGTGGATCGTCGATATCCCTGACTCAAGTCGATACGTGAGTATCAATATTTTCCTGATCAAAAGTATTGCTGTTGAACTCTAGTACACAGCATGTTGCCCGTATTTTGCATTATAATGAGGATATTACGAGCTGCGTCTATTACACCACCAGTTAGCTCATATCTTCATATAAAAGATAATGTCACCTCGGAGACATATCATGGCGGAAATTCCATCTAAAACATAATATAGTGCTTTCAGTTGCTAGATGATATCATGCCCTCCCTTTATCGCCCAAAATGTAAGAACTTCATTGGGTCTGGCAACATGACGGGCGGCAAAGGTAAGTGTTTTTGCACGTTTACAAATAAAAATGTGACTGACCCCACATATTTTTCTAGGAATCTGTGCTACGTGCCTTCGAATCTGCTACCTAGCAAGTTTCAGTGATGGTGTATCAGCTGTCCGCTCGTCTGGAGGTCACTTGCCGCCACAAAAGTTCACCATACCTGTGGTTGAGTGTGCCGTGGCTACTATACATACTCGACCAGAACGATAATATCATTTTTCGGATTCTTGGAACGTTCTTGAAGTTGTCCTGCTTCAGCCAATGTAATGACATATCCACTAGTGAGGAAGCCACAACTTGTAGGTCTACAGAGCATGAGCGTCGTGCTGTGACAGGTTGGCATGTCTTGCGCATTGTTGCACATTTGGTTCCACAAATCAGTGGATTCCACAGAACGGATACCACGGGTGCGTTGTCTTTGCAAAAATATCTACAAACCTCGAATGGGTCCTTTATTTTATGTTTGTCTAAATAATTTTTGCGCGAGGTTTAAAAGCCGACACTAAGTCAGTTCCCTCTTTCACGCCTCCCATCGTTTTCTTTAATTTTGCACTCCCATCTGTCATCTTAAATCCACATCTCTATTAAAATTCATGAATATGTCTCGGTAAGTCCACTCACTACTCAACTTCGTCTCTTCGTATGCTAACAATTCCTTCCGCATCTTGTCCCTCATATGATAGTGGGCAAGCAACTGTAGATTTCAGCGACATGTCAGTGTTCAAGAGTTGGATGATGCAGGTCAACTCATGATTTTATTAGCCTCGAATCGAACGAACCTCCTTCATACACGGGCAACTCCCAAGTCTCTCTGGAAAGGTCCCATCCGTATGGATTACCGCCACACCATATGCCTGGCCCTCCGTTCTTTCCTCCTCTTCCACATCAACCTCACTCATACCCGGATCACTACCAGTTTTTACTATCCTTACAGCAATCGTACGTGCTTCCGCTTCATCCAAAACGTTGACTCAAACTCACGGCCTTCGGCAGAGTTCGCGACTCGGATGCACGCGATGAACTAGATGTTCACACGCTCCCAAGCGCGCAACATCAATACTCTGACACATCCGTCGGTGACGAAAATGTGCCGGCAGGACCAGTCGCCACTCAGGTGGTTGAAAAGATGTAAGCCAGTCTAATTAACCTACCTGGACCCGGTAGCTCACGTCCAATCACAGCCAACCGTATCATGCCATCCACATGCCGGAGGAGGAGTACGTGTCACCCCAATCTGAGTGCCCATCGTAGCTAATGTATTTCTCCAGAACCTTACATGACATTCGAAATACTCCAATGTCGTTCCAGACGTTAGATATATTCAGCCCCCCGGTTGATGATCTCCCTCAGTGGCCCCAGAGCCAATCCTCCGATTTTCAATATTCTCCGATGGCCCAAGCGCACTCTCATCCGGCTCAGAACGGACTTGCTGCCAACTACAAAAACTACCTCGATGCTGGTTGTTCCCCGGAATCTTCCACTGTCATGGACCCAGGTACTATGGCAGCCGGGCAGTCCAACACGCCTTACCCCCTGCAGGTGGGCAATTTCGGCGGACATGCTCGTCCTGTCGATGGGATCGTCGCAGACTCTGATGGAACTCAGTATCTGAGTGAGGACGCCAGATTGGAAACGTTTTCCTTTGTTCCCTACGACACAGCGGCACCTCTCAAGCGTAAAAATTTCGAGGCGGTTGAAACAGCTGGCACCAACAAGTCTGGTGCGCGCAAACGCAGACGCAGACGCGTGAAAAGAACCAAAGGAATATTTGGCGAATACGTCTTGGCTGACGTGAATGCCACTGCTATGGCCAAGCCTCTCATCGACCACCACCCCGTAGACGTCAGCGGCCGCAGGACCCATGATGCCCAGGGTAAGGTTCTTCGAACCAGAAAATATGGTGTAATGGAGATCGACGACCCCCACCATGTTCGGTCTCCCACTGTTGCGAATGACCTCCCTGCGGGGTTGACGTGCGTACGGGCATGCGAGTGGACCGATGAGCCTTGTGGCTTATACATGGAAATGAGTAAGGAACGCGTAAAAGAACATCTGTTACATTGGCATGGTGTCCGTGCTGATGAGAAGACTCCCTGCAAGTTTGAGGGTTGCTTAGATGAATTGCCTATGTTGAGTTTAGGCCGCCACGTCGCAACGGTTCACTATGCTACGTCCTCAAAATGTGATTATTGCGGTTATGAGCTATCGAGGAGCGATTCTGCGAGGCGGCATCATGGGGTGTGCGCGTCCGTCCAGTCTGCAGCAGAGAGTGCAGGTGACACGTTCGAACTCCGGTCCTCGAAGGTGGTCCTCTACGGGTACATTGTTCCTACCCGGAACGCCAAGTAGGACGCTGTACGACTATGTATATCTTCTTACCTATGTCACTCTGCTGACCTTCATATTGTAGTGCTCTAGATTGATCTCCGAGTCTCGAACCCAATCTTACATTTTGAGTTCTGCTAACTTTCTTGATTGACTGCACTCGTTTTATTATTTCGTATCATCGGCATTGCTTTTGCCTCAAATATTACAGTTCATGCTCTGTATTCCCTTCTCTACGTTATCACTTAGGGTCTCTTCGGTATCCGCGAACACCAGCGTGCTGCATCACCAGAAATGAATTCTTCGAGCTTCCCTGCTTTACCACTGGTCCTTTGAGGGCAAGTCCTCAATATGCCACCAGACTGGTGGCACACACAACATAGACCTTCCACAGCATGCCGCTACTTTTTGGTCGCGCTCAGCCTATCAACAGGACGCGAATATATTCATTATCTCAACCTTGCTGACTCAATCTACTGGCTGCTAGTGAGCACGTTAATCACCTACCGAGTCACTGTGTACTTTTGGTGTAATGCAATTAGTGATGTCACGGCTCAGCTGACAACTTTTGTAAAAAATGGGCATTGCGAGCTGAATAAAATTCCTAAATTCATGAATATATAGATTGGGCCAAACGCCGGGAGGCATCTAAGGGCATCTTTTTACTGGGATGCATTTTTGCCTTGCTATGAAACAGCTCAGCAAATGGTTCAAAAGCCTGAACCATTTGCTGAGCTGTTTCATAGCAAGGCAAAAATGCATCCCAGTAAAAAGATGCCCTTAGATGCCTCCCGGCGTTTGGCCCAATCTATATATTCATGAATTTAGGAATTTTATTCAGCTCGCAATGCCCATTTTTTACAAAAGTTGTCAGCTGAGCTGTGACATCACTAAATGCAACATAATCCAGTTTTACATATTTTGACCTTGACTGAAAATCGGTGAATTTAGCGGTGTTCACAAAAAAATTCTATGAATTTGACTGTGGAATTATTTAATACTAGTGGACCGGACTTGAATAAAATTGCAAAGTATGATTTCACTCGAAACCAGGTAAATTATCAAGAATTATCGGAAACTACCTCTATTTCAGAGGGGAGGTTTTCCTGATGACACGGAAGCTGGATGTAGCTATAGGACTTCACTCGGAGGTTTACGTTCTTATATATGCGCAGGTTACGCACCAAACATGTACTATGTGTGACGGACAAGTGGGAACGTTCATCCTTCGAGATCACTGCCGTAATCTGGCAGTTCTTCAAGCTTCAGCCCTCCTCTACCCTTTGCCAACTGGGTGTACAATTCATCGCGACTCTTTACATTGAGAATACGCCACCCTTCCTGGCTTGCCGTGTTCCATAAGTAGTAATTCTTGCTCGATAAGAAAACGTAGCGCGAGCCATTGGTCTCGGCGAGCTCAAGGGTCGCTGTCAAACCAGTGGAATAATGGAGCACTTTTTGCACCGTGTCCGGATTTATGAGTTTGGCGGTCCATCCCGTTGGGACAGGGGGACTCTTGGATGAGTCGGTATCCTGCAGAGGGCAATGAGTATTTTGCTGAGCTGGGTGTACTCATTGTGTTACCTGAGAAAGTTCTGCAACAACCTGACAGGCAGGAGTCTCCTATTAGCATCATAACATCGAAATCAAGGGGAAACATGCAGTGGGACTCATTACGGGGAAGACTTTAGTCTGACAGGTGCGGCCTTTATAGATCTTGTTAGGCTGAACAGTAGGAAGATTCCTCCTATTCAAATGGAATTCAACTCCTGCGAGTGGAAAGCGGAGCACTTGCATCCGATTGAGATACTTATGATGAGCTCGAGTTTGTAAGCTTGACTTGTGACTCCTCCGCACGGTATATCCCGGGCCGAGGGTGTTGTTTTCAAAGACAAGACGAGCATTAATATTCGACTGCATCTTTTCTTCTAGTATCTAACTCACCTTACATAAAAACAAGTCTTTGAAGTTATATCACACCTTTGTCTTCCTGGGACGTTCCTGACCACTTCCATACATCCTCTGGTTCCTCCCTCCGCATGTGAGTAGTTGTTTGGATCCAAAGGCTTTGCCAAACAAAACTGCACAGCCCCTCTTGTGGCCCGCTACATCATCCTACATTATTTTAATTTGTCTTGTTTCACAACTCGGAAAAAACTGAATGGACAGATCGAAATGACCTCTACTTATAAACCAATTCAAACCTCGAGATCGAATGTTCATATTCGACCGCATTAACACAGCTTCGTCTAGTGTTTGAAGTTACAAATGAGAGGCTCATCGGAATATCAGGCCCCCAGGTAATACATGGCTTCATGCACACGATCTACATCACCATCTCCGCAACTGTCTACTTTACGTTTTCTTCGTTCTGCGTCACCGTGTCAATGTTTCCGGATTCAGAACTGGCTCGGGGGGACAGTGCAATGATACCTCCCTGATCGACAATGTTTATTTACTCTGGCCTCTCCCTGATCAGTGAGTTATGTCATTTGCCCAGTGCTGTGCAGTTACATAGCGTTGATGCCAAGAAGTAGGTCACGACGCCACTTTTATGTATCGTCGTATGCAGTCGGTGCCTTGCACAGGTACTCATCTTGACCACAGACCGTCAGTCAGCGATAAGTAGGTTATCTGCCTTGTTGCCTGGGACTTCCCTAACCATTTTACGCTAGGCATGTCCAATAATGCAGTCGTACCCGCAGAGCGAGATCAAAAGCCCAGCGCGAAAGGCTACAGGCAAGCGCTTGGGTCACGTCGAGAGCCTTTCAAGATATTTGAAGGTCACAGGCAGCCCATCAGGTCCATTGCCACATTACCAGACGGCCTGAGAATAGCGACCGGGTCTTGGGATAGGACAATATGCATATGGAGGCTTGAGGATGGCGCGGAAATGGTGAAGTGGCAGGTGAAGAAGAACATCGGCTCACTTGTAATCTCGCAACACGGGAAACACGTGGTTTCCGCTGAGGGACTGTTCCCAAGCGCTGACGATATTCATACAGAGCATTGGAAACTTTGGGTGCGTGATGCTGAAAGTGGGAAGGTTGTCGCAGGTCCCTTGGACACTCATACCAACGTCGTGCGTGGTTTGGATGTTTCCCCTGATGGCGAAATCCTGGCCAACGGGTCGTGGGACCACACAATGATTTTATGGGATACCAGGTCCTGGCAGAGAAAAGGCGGTCCTATCTGGTGTCGCTTATACGTCCTTGACGTCCGGTTTTCCCCGTCCGGTCAACTCGGTATTGCTACTAAAGAAGATATCCAAATATGGGACTTGGAGCGAACAGGAGTGTCTTGCTCAATTCAAGGGCCATGCTGATTTCAAAGGTGTATGGAACATGTCACTCACCTGGACTCTCGATGGTCTCCATCTCCTCTCAGCAGGTAGTTCCGGTGACCCTGCTATCATCCGCTGTTGGGACACCTCTACCTGGAAACAGGCTGGTGGCTCCTGGACTGACCACGACACAAACAAGGACATCAACTATATCATAATGAACCCAGCAGGCACCCTTCTCGCAACTGCGTCTGGCGACCACACTGTTTACTTGTGGCAACTGCACAGAGGGACAGAAGTTGCACGGTACAAGCACTCGAATGGTGTGTGTTATATTGCGTTCTCGGTGGCCGGATGTTTTCTGTTCAGTGGCGGCTGGGACTGGAAAATCTCACAATGGGAAATACCAGAGGAGGTGCTCAGAGCAGCACGCGGTCATCCTTTGGCCGGGAAACTAAGGAATAAGGTGACTCGACTGTTTGTCATTATGCGCGCAAGCTCACGTGCACCCACATCAGTCTCAGGACAAACAGAAGGTACTTGGTCTAACCCCATATTTAATTACCTTGTGTTTATACTGATCTTAAAACCAAGGATATAAACCGCTTTTTTTATGTACATGGTTTCATTATCAGCGATTCAATGTATGCTTAGACACTCTTAGTCTGGCCAGCGCCACTATAAGATGCATGGGCGCTCCGAAGGGTCTCTTCCACAGGCTATTTCCTCTGCAGTGCTACGCGTTAACACACTATCCACTTTGTCTTCTCCCTTTCATGTTGTCAAGAGCTTTTTCAACAACATTCGGCCGTCGTTTGACAGGAAGGGGAAGAAAAGGGAGCATCTATCGAAACCAGAGGCTCCGGAAGTCATTGATGTCCCTCTGGGACAAGTGTCATTTGTTTGTATTTTCCAATTCTATTGGGGTTGTACGATCTGACTGTGTCCTTTGCTAGGGTGACGTTGTTGGTGTGGATGACGGAATACGACCATATGCACTCTTCGTTTGCCTCAGCTGGTTCCAGAAAAAGGAGAAGCTACCACCGCCAGTATACGACGTCGACCTCATGAATGATGAATAAGAGGGAGACATTCTCGGTGTTCCCTTACCTTATCAGGTATCGCAAGTTTATTCGCTCTCTTGCTCGATGAGTTCCCTGATGTAGTTTGTTTTGTAGCTGCAGTCCAATTCGTCTAGCAGGAAATTGAATTGAAATCAACGCTAGCGAATCACAGCCTCTGGAAACAGGCCCGGGAGAACCTTCGATAACGCAATCATTGGGCGGTTTTAGTCTTAATCAGACCTTTAAAGAAGGAAGAAAGTCGTTCCCCTTTTCTCAGGGGTGTTCCATTACCTGACTACTTTATTATGTATATGCTCGCAGGCTGTCTCGTTCCTTCCCCTTCTATTGATTTCAATGTTAACAAGAAATGTCGCGTTTTCACGTAAAGTAAAATACGCAGTAAAGCGTGAGAAACATAAGACATTGATTGCCTCGTGTCAAGTGAACGCGGCCAAACATGTTGCGCTGTCGTAGTCCGCTACTACCATCTCCATCTACCAATCTATCAAACAACCATGAGTGATACACCGCCAAAGCCGAAGCCAGGATCGCTGCGTGACAGGATCGCTGCGTTTGAGAATGCTAACAAGAGTGCAGCGCCTGGACCTGGCCCTGGGCCCGCACCACGTCCAAAGCCCTCGACCCTCCAATCATGGAAACCAAAGGTACCTTCACCACCTCAGTCGCCAGAATCCGAGCGCAAGACTGCGGGGATGTCTGCATCAGACGCGATGGAGAGCATCGGCAAAGGTGGAAGTCTCAAGGAGCGGATGGCTGCTCTCCAGGGAAAGGGTGCGTTTGGTGGCGGCACCCCGCCCCCGATCCTCCCCAAACCTGCAGACAAACCAAGGTGGAAACCACCGCCGCCAGTATCACCTCCTGCAGATGAGGTTGTTTCCCAAGATGGGGCGATTGATGCCCAAGGGTCTTCTCCCCCTGCTACGGGTGATCCCGATCATGCCGACCTAGAAGGCGGACACGAGGCCCAGCAAGATGCCGCTGAGATTGAACAAGATCCGGAGGAAGAAGAGAGGCAGCGCCGTGCTGCGATCGCTGCTCGTATGGCTCGTCTTGGTGGTGCACGTGTTGGCGTGGGCCCGCCTCTGTTTGCCGCCAAGCCAGCTCCCAAGAAACCAGCGACCCCTCTACCGCAGGATGAGGAGGCGACCCTTCCGGACTCAGAGGGTATGCCTTTCCATCTCTAGTTTATTGTATGGAATAACGTGTATCCTAGTGACTTCACCTCCTGCGGAAGCTATAAGCCCTCCTGCTGATTTCAAGGATGAGGCGCAGGCTGATCCAGGTTATTGTCATGATTTCTTTCCTCAAATCAGTATTAATGAAGTGCTACAGATTACCTCCCTGCCCCTACATACAAAGACTCAGACTCTTCTTCGCTCTCCCTTACAGATTCCCCGTCCAATGCAGCAACTACCCGCTCAATGCCGGTACCCGCCGGTCCACGTCGTGCAGCTCCCCCGCGCAAGAAGGCATACAAGTCCCCTCCTGTGTCCCAGCCCCCAGAAGTTCCTGTACTTGATGTGGCACCAGAAATTTCTCGAGATGCCCCAGACGCTGAACCCACAGAAGAACCTGCTGAGCCTACTACTGAACCTGAACCTGAACTTGAACCAGAGGCCAGGCCGTCTGTTGTGACAATGACGTCACAAGAAGTAGTCGAAAGTCCAGAACAAGTCCAAGTCCCATCCGCGGATCGGATTCTCGTGATCGGCGACGTACAGAGGGAGATTGGTGAAGTGGGCGTGAGTGTCGAGCTTGACACAGCCGAGGTAGACCCCGCAGACAAGCTCGAATATGAAGATAATTTTGTCGATGCCGATGAGCCTGTGCCTGAGCAACAAGACCAGGAGCAGGAAGAGCAGGAATATGAGGAGCGTGAGCAGGAGGAAGAAGAAGACGAAGCAGGAGAAGAAGCACGTAGGCAACGTGTGGCTGCTAAGCTTGCCCAGATGGGCGCGTTTAACCCACTTGCGGGACTCCTGCCTGTACCCCACCACGATTCCATACCCTCACCTACCGCTAGACGTGATTCAATTACTGCTCAGCCTGTCTCTGTCGAAGAACCTCTCGACGTCGGTGAAGTAACTCCCTCTGCCACTGCTGCTCATATCCCGCCCCAGTCCCACGCCGAGGAAGAACTAGAACAAGCCAAAGAAGTAGACGAGCCCGCTTCTCGTGCTGGTGAATTCTAATTTTACCGCCTGTACTTGTGTTGTAGTGTATTAATCGAACTTTGGTTGCTTTTTTTGTACCAGCCGAGTTCGACGATGGATCTCAGCCTGACTTGGGGGCAACTCGCCGCGTGCTATATCAAGAAGAAAAGGACGAACAAGAACGATATGATGGTTCAGATCGGCTTTTGAATGAAGCCGAAGCTTGGGAGCCTGCATCACAGTCACACGCTCTTGATACTCCTCATCTACCACCGCTGAGTCCCATCTCGCAAGAATACGAGCCCGGCCAGGGCGATCCGAGTCAACCAGGCACAAGCGCCCAGGACAAGGAGGCCGTATTGACAGATGCCGTTGGTTCAGCACCATCATATAACGCGCCCGATATCCTTGCACCGGAATTAACCCCAGACCAGCACCAGGCCGACGACGAGATGGCCCCTGCCCGTATCACACGTCCAATCCCGCCTCCACCTGTTAATTTTTTATCGAAGCCTCCATTTGCACCCTCATTCCCATCGCCACCCCCCAGACCACCATATGCACTCCAGGCTGACGAGGAAAGGCCCGAGTCGCCTGCACCGCGGCCTGTACCTCCCCCTGTGAAGAGTGGTACGTGATCATTATACGTGTGCGAAGCTGACGTGGCGCTGAGTTCATGGTTTGGCAGTGAAAGCAGTCCGAGGAGCCACCTGCACCACCCTCTCGCGTTGCTCGGCGAACGAGTGCGAGCGTTAGGTCTTTGGATATCGCGGATGAGCCGCCCGCCCCACCACCTCGCGTTGCTCGGCGTACGAGTGCGAGTGTCAGGTCTGCGGATATGGAGGAGCCACCTTCCCCACCCCCTCGCATCGCTCGGCGTACGAGTGCAAGTGTCAGGTCTGTGGAATTGGAGGCTCCGCCCACGCCACCGCCTGTGCCGACCTCTCCTCGCCCTTCGTTGCGTAGACCGACTTCTCCACCGATAATCACCGCACTTCCACTGGTTGTTCCTGTGACGACGAACGAGGAGGACACTGAGCAAGGTGTGTTGTTGTCGGGTTAGTATCGTGGCGAGTTCTGATGGGATTATCCTTTGGCAGAGTTCTCCGATAGTGAGACACCCTCTCAGCCTCAGCGAACTCAGGAGCCTGAAGAAGAAGACGAGGATTCTGTGCGCAGGCGAACCATCGCAGAGCGCATGGCACGTTTAGGCGGGATCCAGTTTGGTGCACCACCAGTCCCCACGCCACTTACTCGACCTACTTTTCCTCGTGCACCTCCCCCTACATCTATCCCTCCTGATGAGCCTGGAGTTGATGCTCAGGAACCTGAGGAAGGAGATGAGACAGTAGATGACGAGGCTGCGAGGAAGCAGCGGATCGCCGCAAAACTTGCAGGTATGGGTGGTATGCGGTTTGGGATGTTACCTCCTGGTGCAGGCGTGGCACCTGCCACTGCTCGACGACTTGCACCAAAGCAGGATGATAGTGAGAATGAAGACGCAGCGCTTCCTGTACCTGCACCTGCTCATCCCGCGCGTCGGCCACTACCACCTATTGAGGTCGATTCGGAACAAGAATACCGCCAGACGAGGTCAGAAGACAGCATGGGTGTTGAAATGGAGGAGAACGAGGTCGAAGAGGTGTATTATTCAGATGCAGATATTCGAGAGCCAGTTGAGGAAGAGGGCCCTCCCCTGCCTCCGCCCCGACGGTCGTCTTTGACGCTGAGGCCTTCAGAGGTACTTCCGACCCCTCCTCCGCGACCGCCCCCTCCTGTTGGAAGACCTCCAATTCCATCCATCCTTCCTGCCCTGCTTAACCGTCGCTCTAGCGTTGCGACGGGATCGTCCTCTAGGAAGTCCTCGGTCGACTACTCAAGTCTGACCGATACTCCCGTACAGAAGCGGCGAATACATACAGCCCAACCCTTGGAAAGCTCATCAGATTCTGGTACCCAATCAGAGTATGTGATGGTCGAGCCTGAACCAGAGGCCGAGGAAGAACCCCTTGCGCCTCCACCTCGCCGTTCAAGTCGTGCCCCTCCTCGCTCGTTCCCACCGCCTCCTCCTCCCCCTCCATCCGCCATCGACCCTCCTGAACAGATGGCTAGCACTACTCAGTGGGAGCTCCCATCGATCCCCCAGGCTGCATCAGAATTTGGCGATGAATCGGACCTGGATTCATCCAGATTCTCAGAAGACTCGACGTTCCATGGATCCACTTCAATACCAACGCGTAAATCCGACTCTCGCCGCACCTCAGGGCAGACTGCTCGTCCCGTTAACCAGCAGCTCAGCGCGGACGACCTCATGGCGCTCTGGGGCAAAATTGGAGTGCAGATGGTGGAGTCTGCGACGGGGCTGTTTGAAAAATCTAAACGCTCGCTTGTTGGCGATGGTTCGTATGCGGGATTTGTCAAGGCTGTCTTTGCACAAGTTCCCGATGCGCAACGCGTCTCAGGGGAGGGTGAGGATTGGGGGTATTTGATCTACGTGCAAACCGCCGGCTCGGTGCAGCGCCGCGTTGCTGATATCCTGCCAGGCGACGTGATCGCCTTTTGGGACGCGAAGCTCAAAGGCCACAAGGGGCTTCACACGTATAGCCAAACTGTTGGCGCAGGGGAGAACGGTCCGTTTCTAGGTGTGGTGAGTGAGGTGGAGAGTAAAAAGAGCAAAGTTCGCGTATGGCAAGCAAACCAGCACGTCGGTCAGCAGGTGAGTTTGCTACGAAGATGGAGGCGAAGGGCGAACGGCATGCTGACACCGAAGGCTACACAGACTGTGGAGAATGTAAGTTACAGGTTGGAGGATTTGAAGAGCGGGGTTGTTAAGGTACGTCATCTTCTCTTTTTATTTTGGTAGAGGGTTTACTGAATCCTGATTCATTGTCTCTGTTACAATGCTTAGGTGTTCCGTGTCATGGAAGCCTGACCTTGTACAAATTTCATTGCAATTGTATCATATATGTATAATCTGGATGGATCATGTAATACTTTGGTTTTCATTTATATTCGGAACCTTCATGTATAATTCTGTGGACTCTCGCCTATGTATTCACGCGCACGCACAAGTTGTGGCATGAGTCAGGCATTGGAAGAGCCTTACTCTTCTAGCTTAGTAACTACTATAACATCGACACCTTAGAATAGGCCCATGCAATCCACTTCTCCACCAACTACGGGCCTTCGACCAGAGATTCAGTATGTCATGATCACACTGGGGCCTTGTTTTTTTTTGCATTAGAATGAGTCCTTTGGGGTCATAGACATGTTGGACATGTCTCAGTCATTTACATCTTTTCATTCGTACGTTATCCTCAAATTCCTACTATTGGGTCGTATACCTCTGACGTACTAGCTAGGCACGGTAGGCACAGACTCGATTTCAATACGGCGGCCCTATTGGGAAGCGAGGGACAACCCTGGAGGGCGGCTTTCTTCAAGGATCATTCACGCAAGCGCCTCGTTCGCATTCCCTTTAGCTACCCTCGACCATGGCAACATGGAACGTCGTAGGCGAGATTGCAAATGTCGGGGGCGTTACTTCCATAGTTCAACTATCTTTGCAAGTCATCCTTGCAGTCAATAGTTATGCTTCATCCGTTGCAGGGGCAGAAGCTGCACGTATGAGCCTTCGTAACGAACTCCTCTCCCTTAACAAAACTCTCAACCACATATATCTCCTCCTTCAGCAGTCGAATGCTGCATTGTCAACACGAGCAAACGACTTATCTCCTTTGGACAGCGCATTAAAGGAGTGCGAGAAAGTTTTGCAAGGTCTTCGTCAGCGAATACCGGAGAACAAACGTCAGACATGGTTCGGTTCAAGACTAGCGTGGCCATTTCAGCAAGCCGATATAATGAAGGCTGTTGATACATTGGAGCGTTGCAAAAGTACCCTTTCGCTGACAATCTCTAGTGGTCTCCTGTACGTGTTTATATATTTAGATTCTGGGTACTGATACACAATTGTCAATGCCGATTATCTTAATCCCAGGTCACGCGTGACCGAGCTTACAGCTACAACCGAGGAGATTCAGGTGAACGTAAAGGATCTGGCAGAAAACATTAAGCAGGAAATTAGCAAGAGAACCAGTAAGCAGGAAACGATCGCGAAAAGGCGCGAACAAAAGCGGCTGGAGATGCTGGCTGGTATGTCTATGTAGCCACTATTCAAACATGTTATATCGTTCATGTGCGCATTTACTCAGCACAAGAACGAAAGGACTTACTACAGTGGTTGGGTGGGTTTGACTGCACTGTCAAACATGAAGAAGTCTCTGCCCAGCGACAAGAGAGCACGTGCACCTGGGTGTTCGAAATGAAAGCGTTCCGTCAATGGAACACGCCTCAAACAGGGCAGTGTGGTAAATTCCTATGGATCAATGGCAAGCGTTAGTACTTATCTGAGCTTTAATTATGAGTGATTTGTGCTCATTATACCTCAGCCGGAACAGGGAAAACTGTCATTGCGTAAGCACTCATCTTCGTTAGCAGCCCGCGAATACTGACAAGGCTATCCAGTTCTGCAATCATCAACGAGCTCTCGGCCCGCGGCGAGACACTGGTGTATTTCTACTGTGATTTCCGCCAGGAAAGGACCACAGACGGGGCTACCGTTCTACGCTCCCTTCTTATCCAGCTGCTGAGACAAGCACGCGACGGATGGAACGCGGAATTTACCGACCTCTTTCGTAGAAAATCAGAAGGGGCTGAACCTCCCGCTGACACTGATGTCTTATGTAACCTCATCCACTGCTCTCTGAAATTCCTTCGACGGCCCGTCGCGATAATCGATGCCCTTGATGAATGCAAACGCGTCGGGACATTCCTTACACGGCTGGTTCGTTCAGCGAACGAAGGCGAACTGCGACTTCTTATCACCAGTAGGACGGAGCCGGCCATTTCTAGTGCTCTATCCGGCTTACCATCGTTGTCGTTAAGCGACTATGTCCGCTTGATCGATGACGACATGGAACTTCACATCGACAGAGAACTGGAGGTTCGTTCGAGGCTTGCATCTCTCACCCCGGATCTGAAGGATGAAGTACGAAAATCGCTCTTGCAACAGGCTGACGGGATGTCAGTGAACCCCTAGGTTCATTTGCTTTCCAGGCTAATACTTCGCTCGACAGGTTCCGTTGGGTGAGTTGCCAGCTGGATGCCATCAGCGCTTGCCGATCTGTGCAGGGAATATCAGACTCGCTCAAGAGTCTCCCAAAAGGCCTTTACGAGACATATGACAGAATTTTGCAGGAAATTGAAGAGGGCGCACCAGATCGTAGGTCTATCGTAGAGCGGACTTTGATGTGGCTGGTCGCTGCTCTGGAGCCACTTAACCTATCTCAACTTGTTGAGGCATTGAGTATAGAGATCGGAAGCACGACACTCAACCAGAAGCTCAGCGTGATGTCCCCAAAAGATCTTTTGGAGATATGTAGCTCCCTGGTGAGCTTCGATGAGAGAACCGGCATCGTTACTTTGTCACATTACAGTGTGCGGGTAAGGTATATTCCTCCCCCCATAAGATGGTTTCTCATGCACGCTATTCAAGGAATATTTAATGGCAGGCGAAAACACTCAAAAGTACCGCTATCTACTTGAAGATCCCCACCGGCATATTGTCCAGTATTGCACGCAATATCTATCCAGCGATGATGTTCTTAGTTCCACTCACACCCGCCCTATGCTGCGTTATGCACTTGATCTTGGGCTTGGGGCGCATATAACTTCTATCATACACGAGGAAGACTCTGTACTTTCTTGTCTGGAGGATCTCCCGGAGCAGATATGTGTTCGACATCCTTGGAATAGCCGAATGGCTCTTTTCAACCCCTGGCAGATTTGGCTTGCTGATCCCCAGAGCATCTGTGACACTCTCATCCGTTTTGGACCTGACTGGATGGTACACAGGCATCTGCTCAAGCATCGGGAGCATTGGAATCATGTGCTACAATATGCAATTTTAGAGGGAAGGACACCACTCGCCAATGTTGTATTGAGTCTTGGAAGAAATGTCAATTTACCCATCACAATTGGTTTGGAGACTACAAGCCCTGTAATGTTTGCCATCCGGCACAGTCCACAGGAACTCGTCGAATGCTTCCTTCGTAGAGGTGCTCGTCTCCCAGTTGACGCTATTCATACTGCACTCGAGGAACGGCAGGATGTTGACGCCGACATCCTTTCATTGCTCATTCAGTATGGAGCGAATGTTCATGCAACACACATCCATTTCCAGGATAATCCTCTCCACACTCTCCTTCGCAAAAATGCTCAGAGCCTCGTTGGTGCAGGGCGCGAAATCAATTCTCGAGACCCAACGGGAATGCCGGGCAATTCAATCCAGGCGGACCATGCTCTAATTGGATGTATGGATACACGACGCGACTGCCTCGATATAGCGGGAGTTCTCATCGATGGAGGATGTGTATTGGATGCCACCGATGGAGCGGGAAAAACTCCCCTTCATCTTGCCATTAAACAGCAATCATTCTCTTTCATAGAATACCTAATAGGAAGAGGTGCCCACATTCCTGCGGACGCTATCCATGTTGCACTTCAATCCACTTCAATAAACTTGGACGTCGTGTCGGTGCTCGTCCGGCACGGAGCAGACGTCAATGTTATGCAATTTGGTGTCAGCCCTCTCCACGTTCTCCTCGCTCGCTGGAATTGGGGGGACGATTGTCTAGAGGCAGTATTCGTCCTCGTCGAAGCCGGGTGCAACTTGGATGCCATAGATAACAACGGGAATGCCCCGCTCCATCTCGCTATCAAGCGCCAGTCGCTCCCTTTAGTCGAGTATCTTATCCAAAGAGGGGCTTGTCTTCCAGAAGATGCCATTCACCTTGCGGTTCAACCTACCCATGATTTGGAAGTCGACTTGAATCCCGACGTCACTTCTGCACTCGTTTTTCACGGCGCAGATGTGAATGCGTTGCGCTGCGGTGCCAACCCACTTCACACGTTGCTTCAAGGCATGCAAAGACGAGACTGTCTTGCAATAGCTCGCATCCTTATCGATGCAGGATGCGAATATAACTGTCGAGACTCGGCTGGGTATACGCCACTTTGCCTTGCCATAATCCACGAGGTGTCTTCTGTGACGGAATACCTCCTCCTGAAAGGTGCTTTATTGCATATAGATTCAATTGGCATTGCCATCAAAGATAGCAACTTGAATGTGGGCCCCGATATCGTTCGAAACCTTCTCCAGCACGTTGCAGATGCGGATTTGTCCAGTCAGCTGCTTATGCTATTGGGCCATCATCCATTGTCCCAGCTGTCGCATGATAACAACTGCCTAGAAATTGCTAGAGTTCTTGTTGATGCAGGATGCGAACATGACGCTGTCGACTCAGCCAAATATTCACCCCTAATAGATCTCGCCATCACTCAGTCGCTCCCCCGTGTCACGCAGCACTTCCTTCAAGTAGGCAGCCCTATCCACGTAAATCATCCGGTAAACGTCGCGCTCAATGGCGACACACCTGCTCCGTTTATCAACATCAACATCCATCCTGAGGAGCAGCGAGCCGTACAGCTACTCGCATGGCAGACAGACTGTCGATTCCAGACCATGCGGGCTCTCATCGAAACCGGTCATAACGCCAATAGCCAAGATTCAGCTGGACAAACACCGCTTGGCATCGCTATCCAAAAGCGAATTCCATCTGCAGTCAACTATATCCTCAGAAAACTTGCATGCGGACAGCTCGATTTCTTCTGTGGAGATGGACTAGAAGAACACAATGCGCAGGTCATTGAGGCACTGCTTCAGAGCAGTACCCCACTCCACGTGTTGACTCGCAACGTATTTACAAGTCCTGTTAGCACTTACGACTTCTACTTTTCAAGCAACGGGATGCATGGTCCATTCTGCGAGCGAGACTGCGGGGAGATACTGCTTATTCTCATCGACGAGGGCTTTTCAGTCGATGCCATAGATTCATCGGGAGACACGCCCCTCCGTATCGCCATTCAACGCCAGCTCTTCCTTGTTGTTGAATATCTTCTTCGACGGGATCCAATAATTGACGTCGACAGTGTCATCGCCGCATTCGGCACCCAGTCTCACGTGTGGAAGCACCTTCTTCAAAAATACATGTTAAATGTGGAACCCTTGCATGCCCTGATCTCACGAATGCACTCCGGCCGCACTGGCGTGGACGAACATGCTTACCTGGCAATTACGAAAGGCATTATACGCGCTGGCTGTGATGTCAATGCGCAGAACAGCAGTGGGCTAACTCCTCTTCAGTACATGTGTAGACTTGAAGTTGATCGAAGATACCCTACAGTCAGAGATTTTCTATGCCAGGAAGGGGCACTGTAATCAATGGGGTGTTGGGACTTATGATGTTACATAGGAGGCTGGCTACCTTCAGGGAAAGAAACACTTAGATCATTACTCAGTGCATCATTATATCCATTTGTTGGACCTCGGGTAGATTATTCGGTCAAATATACAAATTCATTATGTCAGTTATCATGGGGGTTTGATCAAAAGGAATTAGGTTGATTGCTGCAGCCGTTTTTGTTACATATTGCGATTTTGGATGCTTGAGTATATCAGGAAGGCGGCAATTTCAACAGTTTTGCACGCGGCAAACCTTTAAATTCAAGTAACTTATATAGCAGATTGTAGTTAATAACAAGTTGGTGATGATGCGGATGATGCATATATGTAGTAGTGCTTGAGTACTCTGTGAAGTGCTTCAAGATCACGCCATCAGTCCATTAGAAAACCTACCAAACTCACCTACTAAAAATTTAAGTCAGAGCCGGAGTCAGAGCCAGAGTCCACATCAACACAATGCGTATAACCATTTGGTCCCTCGCGTTCTTTTTCAAGTGCTGCACGCGTACCATGATGTAGTTTGCGAGTTTTGATGTAAGGGATGGCGGCCTTGATGATTTTCTTCCATCCCCGTGAAGTAGTCTTCTTAACAGAGATCATTACCTCCTCTGTCATAACACCCCAATGCTTCCGCGAGAATCTAGACTCGACATGATCTTTAGGCTTGACACAAATACCAGTGGAGTACATCCTCAGCGCACGCTCCACCTCACAAACAGTCAGTAGATAGTGCTATCGAGCAACAACAATCTTACTGAAGCAGTTGCAAGGACGAGAGCACCGCGAGGATTATCCTTCTGCCGCAATGCCTGTGGAATACATTCTCTGATCTCCAGATAGAGCGCAAAGGTGTCAGAAATTGTACGAGAGCAGAATGCACCCTTTGTTTCCTAGATAACGCTAAATATGATGCCCGCAGAACGCTGGTACACTTACCGTGCGTTCGATATGTCCGTCTTCGTTCATGATGTTTTTCGCTTCCTGCCACATGAATGGGTAGCATTTTGCGGTCTCTTCATCACCGCGTATCTCTGAAACTGATGGGACAAGGAAGTTGATGTGTTGGGCGATCTCGTCTGGGTTTTTCAAGCCTATGCTATGCAGGTAAGCTGCTACAGCGATTTCGCCGCGTTTGGCAAATTCATGACGGTATGCGCTCGCACGTTGGAGTAACTAGGAAAAAAATTAGCAGCACTCTACGAAAAATGTTTCACTTACCAAAAAATACACTGGGTCATTCGTCTTTTGCACAGTGTAGTCAATGTCTGTGAACGTCATGTTCCAGATCTCTTGCAGAGTATCGATATGGTTAGTAAGATCCCAAGGGTTCTCGAGGGTGGAGACGAAGTCAAGCCACAAGGGACCCAAGTTCTCGCGGAAGCGCTTCTGACTGCCATCCGGTAGATCCTCTACGCGGAACCGCGGCTGTGGTTTCTTTGCCGGTTGTTGTGTGGAACAAGCAGGGACGTGAGCCTGAAACTGGATGACTTGTGGAAATGTGTCCGTGACTTCGCGTTGAGTAGATACGAGCGGAGTGGATTTACGCCGCACACCAGCGGCGCCGTCAACAGGACCACACGTCACAGATCGCGAATTCGGTGGAGGACTTATAGACGCGCGCCGCAGGTCATTTGTGGACACACGCTGAGAAACTTCGGATGGCGCATGCAGGGAGCCGTTCCGGCCAATGAGATTTGACTCCTCTTCCTCACCCTCCTCAACAGCATCGTCTTCGTCATCATAGCCCGTGACGTAACCGACATTGTTTACTTGCGTTGGTTCGAGAGCTGTTTGATGTAGCAGAGTTTAGTCGGTATAATAAAACAAAAACTCGCCTTTCTTTTCCTTTGGATGAGACTCGTGAGACTTGGAGGTTTGCTTCAGGTGCAACTTGGCAACGTCACGTGCAACAATTGTGTGCCACTTGGGAAGAAGAACTTCAACTCTGCCAGCTGGCTGGGAGATACATTCATCGCGTTTGAGTTTCTTTGATGTAGACCTAAGAGCAGGGATTGACAAGATGCAGTTAGTGTTGATGTTGATGTCAGATGACCGATCATCAACGATATTGATGCGAAGTCTAGATCTCACCTCTCATCATCAGTACTAGCACTGAACACGACGCGCTGCTTTCGCTTCCCGTGCTGTGCCAGTTCTGGGTCCTCCTCACTTCCGTCCTCCTCAATATCAAAGCGATACTGTTTCTTTGTATCAGCTACCAATCTTTGCGGCGTCGGTTGTTTTCTCACCGTATGCTTGTATCCATGGGGTTCTCTATTTTCCACAGCGGCTGTCAGATTGCAAACAATTTGTTAGAGTCCATCAGCCTTCATCGATATTTCGATCATCCGCTCCATACCTTTTCCCCCTTGCTTCGGGTCGATGAGTTGATTGCGAGCATGTGTTCCCGAAGGGTGCGTGGCCATCGTATCCAACGGTGCTGGTGAACAAGTTTCTCTCCATATGTCATCCTCGTCCATCTCTTGCTTGACCTGGGCTACCTTGTCAATAGCTGCCATTTTTCCAGCAGTTTTTCTAGCCGAGTAAGCACCAGGGCGCAAGATATACCCAGGGTGCTTGTCTCTGTTTGATACTCGTGTTGCTGGAGCCATAAATTCTGACAGGCAGAGCATGCAGAAACGAAGAGAATGTGGCGCACGGTATTAGATCGATCGCTGACTTGGATTTCCAATTCGGCTCACAAACAACGCCTGTGGGTCCAAGGCTTCTGATTATTCAATTCTGTTCGTGTGAACTTCATCTACAAAGACAACACGGACAGAATTGTGCATCTCGAGCGCTGATCGAGGCGCCTGTGGCGAGCAAATTCTAGCCCCGAAAGTACTGTGTGAATCCGAAGACTCTGACCTGTTGTCGTGGCTGTGTGCGAAGCTGGGACAACACCGACGGTATCAAGCCTCCACGACCAGAATGAGCACTGTACTCAGATCCATCCATGACTCACGGCGTGTCCGAGTCCGACTACGAGTCAAGCTCGATTGACTCAGACGATAACTTGGAGGTTGGGTGCCTGACTACCAACATCTTGTCCTGAATGATACTGAGTGTGAAATCAGTGGAAGTTCTGAACCGACAAGAACCTGAGGCTTGATTCCGGGCCCGAGTTGCCTGATGGAGAGCGACCACAATCTGAGCCTGCAGATCCGTTGTTCTGGTGTAAATAAATTTCCGACCGTGCCGAGTAAGCACGACGTGATGCAAATCATGGCGGACCGCAACGATAACAAAGAACCCCCATTCGCTAGCAATTCTGACATGCACAAGACCGTTGAATCAATCAAACTTGGTGATGCTCACTGGCAGTCAGTTATATATGATGAACGTGGACCCCTTGCATACCTTGATCTTACGGGTGCCCTCGACGAATACACCCTACAATCAAACATTCTTTATGTGGGAAAGGGACGGTGTAACGCAATAAGGTATTGGGACTTACTAATTCCCATAGGGTACCCTTCAGCGAATATAAATAATTATACCATTAAGTGACTCGGCGTACGATCATGTCCGTTACTAACTTCACTTGGGGCTCGGTCGCATTGTGTGGTCAAATGTACGATTAATTTTGCCAGCACTAGTGAGTTCATGACAACATAGTAAAGGCGCACATTATAAAGATATCATGGAGGCGTAGTGATACCTGGTTGGCTTCAGGACCATGTCGTTAGTACTGATGATACGTGGGGGACCGCAGACAATCAAACAATAGGACTTACTATTGGGGCAGTCAAACGTCGATTTATTGAATTAATAAAACCGTGACAATACTTTGGCAAGAGAATCCATTATTGTTGAGTGTATCCTTTCGCATAATGAGCCATAAGTCATTTACACAAAACGCATACTCACATGAGGAGGCACCATCGACCTTGACTTTCTTTGCAGGCTTTCCTTGGGTGACTGTAGAAGAACTATCAGGTTGAGGACGCTTGCCCCGTTTTCTCTGGAAATTGCAGAGGGTACGAGTCAGGCCGACGTAGAACGAAATAACGTTTGCGATACTGACAAATCTGTCATCAAATTGCCTCTTTCTGCACAAAGACACCAGCATGATGAGTTTTCAAGCAGCACAAAAAAGCGATCAAACTTGCCTAGCGAGTGCCTCCTCAGCTTTCCGTTTATCCTCCTCTTCCTACTCAGACGATCGAGTACGTCAGCAAATCATCTAGGCAAAAGATAGAGAATATCTACGGGGGCCCACCTTCTTGCTCCTCTGGAATCTTTCCAAAAAGGACCCATCGTTTGAGAATACGTTGACCGGTTTCGGTTTCGGCGGGACCTTACTAGACGAGGTACCAGGAGGCGGAGTTGAGGACGAAGTAGCCATGATCGGAAAAGCGTATCCCAAGTAAGCCTGAGGTGACGCGGTCATCGATATTAATATGCTTTGGCAAATGTATTTCTACGGGCTCTGGGACTGGAGTCACTGGATCAATGAATACAAAGGTTTATTCGGGAGCTGACCTTATATAGTCGTATTTAGTACTATTTACAGTCGATTTATTTGTAGCTGTTTAACTGTTGGCTCTTGTTCCAGGAATATCTTCGTGACTCGTCGGCCGTCCGATATCTGGAGTCTGGACTCTGTAGCTCTGACAGTACTTGTGACTAGCGGGACCTCGCCGGCTCTAGAGCTGCTTTCAATGGCACGACGGAGCATGCGAATTCGCTTTGGCGGATGTGGTTTGATATCAGATGGAGTCCAGATCGCTCGTCTCGCTCTCACTGACTTTTACGCTTTTAAGTGCTTCCTCTCCTTCACACTGGAACACTCTCGCAATATTAATATTCCTTCGGGCCATTCACATACCGCCGCCTCTGTTCCCAGACGATATCTACATCCGGAATCCGGATAACAAGCATAATGGAAAGCGATGCGTGTTTTTCATAGCCTGCCTTGTGAAATATCTTATCGCAATACACCCCGAAAGACTACTAGTAGATCTTTCGAACCGAAAGCAAGTTTCTTCGTTTGTATTTTCAGGCGACTTTACATGCAGCCATATTTTTTTTCCGAGCTGGCTGGAATCATGATATCATTTGGACGAATCCCTGCATTGCGTGCAGCAGGCTCAGGCTAGCATGACAACCCAAAGACCACGATATCAGCATGCACCAGGGAAAAGGTACCAATCATCCAGTAACCGCAATGCAGCAATACCGTCGCAAACTTCTAGACACACGAACTTAGAGTTTACTACAGTGCCCATCGTAGTTAGCAAACATCCTGGCGCGAAAGAGCTGCTGTATCCTTAATGAATGGTTCACGACGTCGACGTAATTCAGGCTATCGTGCCAACAAGAGCACAGAACTTGCTCATGATCAAGCGCTTCGATGCTAGCACCCAACGTATACATGAACGTTTGAGCAGTACGTATGGTCCACACAAGCCCTGATAATGAACATCTCTTTACATAGGTGTGCAACTGTGCTGGGTCTATTCCCTCGCACGACCCCGCGTGCCCCTAATGGTACTCGCCAACCTGCAGAGAATGAAATGCAAATAGTACATCGGTCGGCGTGCCCCCGCGTGAGAAGGCGTCGCAGAAGACCAAAACAAAATCATCAACAAGGACATGCAATCTACGAACTGTTCAGTCTTCGCATCGGTTATGATGCGGATATAGTTCGTCTCACCTTCGCATGAGTCTTTCATATTGAAGCTAATTAGCTGGTTCAATCGGTGCATGCATGCGATCGTTCCCGGGCTCTCCTGAGATCCCTGTCGCAGTTTCTCGACATATATGAACGTCAGCACTACCAGGTCCAGCATATGTTCGACTGGCGAAAAGACCTCTAGGTATGCTTCATGTCCTGCCTTCTTGAAACCAAGGTTCACCGGGTGATGCCGCGCGACTTCTGTATCACCGAGCATGAGCTGATAGTCATGCACTACGTTATATATATTCGGTTGAAAATATGTGCAGCTGACTTACGATGCATTCGCGCGGACCGATCTTCCACTTGTATGATAGTCCGTCAGGACCTCGGAAAACACGCCGCCTGTAAAGTATTAGAACAACTGGACGACCACACGTATTACACCCTCACCGTCCAAGAATCCCCTTATTCGGAATGAACTGAGACGTCGCCAATTTCATCCCGTCATAGTGGATGACAGATGAAGAAAATGTGTGCCACTCGATATTTGCGAGGATTTCCGACGATTCTACTCTGCCGATGTTGAATTCGTTTGGGACATGCTTCTTGATGACTGTCTCACGAGTGCCGAACGAGAAGACGGTCGAGGTCGAGTACAGAACATGACCCTGCTCATTTGTAATCACGGTGTTACGTACATGAGGTGGTTTGAAGGTGAGCTTCATATCCGGTGTCTGCGGGGTCAAGGATATTCCCCAGGTTCTTATCGTCTGCAGCGTCAAGTTACAACAAAGTAAACATGTACACTATCGTCGTATTCGTGAGAGGGCCTGTCAAGATATTTTAAACCCCGAGTCTATGGTGCTAATAATTTCATAGACTCAAGAGGAACGTGACGTCGTACAGAAAAGGTCCTTACTACAGCAAGATTTGGTAGGCCACTTGACCGAGAAACCCGCCTTAACAACGATGTCCGGTGCCCCAGAACAGGGGATGAACTGTACAAACTTGAGCGCGCGTTCGACAAATATAGCTGCAGCGTACATGAGGTTGTACCAAAATAGCTTCATGGTGAAACATCAGCCATATATACTTGTCAATCTGGCATGATATTAATGAGCCTTGTTAGCACTGCTCACAAGAGCTATGTCTTATCGGTTACGGATCCTGAATTAGAGTGACAGGCCTATGCGAAACGTCAATATGATGCAAGATCAATGTTAAACGCTTTCACAGCGGTTAAGTAGCAAGAGGCATGGGAGAGTATCCGACTCACCGAAGGAAACTTGAAATCTGTATGTAACTTGCAGCTGCAAATTTAAATGGGCTTGTGTGTGGCACCGGTCCACCGGATGATTCAGGTGAACCGATGGCTAAATCTATCGCCCCTTGAGTCGGAATAGACAATACGACTCTCGCCTAGGCCCCATGCGTGCTCCTGCGGGCTCTCGCACCTGAGCCTCAATCGCGATCTCCCGGATATGATTTCAGGAAGGGCTGCAGGGCATTCGGCTGCTGTCGGTAGACTTCTGACTGCGGCAAGGGCACGATGTCTGCGGCAAGTTTAAATCGCCGATATAATTCTTGACACGTTTCTGTCAACTGTCAAGGACGGGTACACGCATTTCCGGTACACCAAGCAAGTAGTGGATGGATTCAATATATGCCCGTGCATGCTCCGACTTCCATAGTCGTCATGAATGACGAGGAGGAGTTAGTTAGGCACAATTTTTAGAAGCGGCATCGATATTATGTCACCCTCATAATAGATCACACACGGCAAGGTGATCGCGTAGTCTTTAGTTGACATCATTTGGCACGTGTTGCTGGCGCTGTGGGACCAGGGGCACCTTATAAGGTGCTCACAATTACAACTGAACCAGCCTTCGATTTCCCTCTCCAACTTCATCCATTACCCGCAAAATCATTCTCAACATCGACATGGAATCCACCGCTAAGGCTACCACCAACCAGCCCCAGGCTGCCGTCCAAATGAGTACGTTCTTTGCGGCTGATAAAAAATACATTTTATTCATGGCTGCTGCGGGTCGCTTTCAATAGGCGTTGTGAGCCCTGCTCCTGCCAACAACAGTCAGAACCACCAAGAGCACCACGCTAAGCGTCTCCGTGGAGGAGGAGCTGCTAAAGTACAGTTTCTCGAAAGTTGAAAGTCGAGAATGGTGGTTGACTTTTGTTCGTTCTGCCTAGGACTGCTTCCTTGGTGCACTTGAATGTTTCCTGTGCTTCGGTGAGTCCAGACTCCAATGACACCTTTCAACTGTAAACTAAAATTCTTCATAGAGTGCTGCAAGGTGATTGGTGGAAATAGCGACTTCTTCGGAATTAATCTGACTGCGACTGTCATTTTAGGACTGCTGCGAATGCTGGGCAGATATTATCTGTAGGTCCTACATCCTTTTTCAGATGGACGGCGCTGACTTGCGACATCTAGGCTGCCCTTGCGAGATGTGCTGTTAAATGCCCTCCCGCCTTTGAAGTCTGCTCATAGTCTGTATCTTTCCTTTCACGACCATGACTTTTGTAACACCGCCTCCTCGATTAATATTGTACTGCGATGATTCAGTTGTTGTAGAGATCAGATAGGCTTGGCATATTATGTACCTTTGATGTTCTTGAAAGTTGAAACACGCGTACTACTATTCGGGGTTCACGGCAATCAAGTTACGTTTCAACGGGTACTAATTATAGGCCCATGACAAACGTTCGAAGATGCTAGATATGGGTTCAGTGTCGAAGGGCTCAAACAATCTCCTCCACCTGTCCCCCCTCCCTGGATGGAACGGACCATGGCACTATACTGAATTTACCCCACCACGCCGGCCATAGTGTCAACGTAGTAACAGCAACCCAGCAAAGGCCTACAACGACCAGTGTTGCCGGATTTGTTGAGTGGAAAACAGAAATGCCCAGAGCGGTAACAAAGCAGAACATTCTGCGCGGAAGTGAATAAACCTTGAACCATGCTATGCAGAAATACTGCTTACGCCCAGATCAAATATGCATACGGAAGGCTGTACATGATCGCTAGCGCTTCAACATCTGATTGTGTATGAACCATTCGGGCCATGAACGTTGCCTTGAAGGACAAATGAGCATTACACCCTTCAGCATGTGAACAGATAACGCACGGCGCCTTTAGCTGAGTCTGTGCCCCATCCACGGCACTCGACAGCGAGAAGCATGGATACCACCAAGGAACTAACGGAGCACATCGCCGACAGATATATGACCACGGCTGCTGCGCCGATGATCCCAGGAACGGCCAGAAAACCAACGTTAACCGCCAACATCACGGTGGACTGGCCAAAAAGGTTGATCACGGCAAGTGACAGCTTAAGAAAACCACTTACAAAGATGGTAACGTTGCTCCAGTCGCTATTGAGTCTGCTAATGTGCTTGGACCACTTAGGATAGTTCAAAATATTGTCTATCCATGTGTTTTGCAGGAATTTGTACTGTGCAGCTGGTGCGCCCCAGAGGAAGGCGTTCGCAAACCTCAGTCGGAGTGTGCCTTTTTGTCTACTTTGTTCAACTTCGTAGACTGACTGGTCAGCGTTGAGACGCGCGCTGACTTGCCCATAGAAGTTCAAGAATTTTGAACGAGCTGAAGAGTCGATTCAGTGACCATGTCCATTGTCTCCTGCATGGTTTCTATGCTCACCGAACAACCGCATGAGGCGAGCTTATAGTGTGTAAGTGGAAGAATGCTACAGGAGAAGTATATATCGCACCTAGTACGCACATGAGATGAGCGGGCAACTCCACACACTTATCACTAGATGGTGTTAGAGGCTTTACGTATTCCACCAGATGGTTTGAAAGGTCCAGCATACTTTGTAGCGTGGAGAGATCATAGGGAACAACAGAGGTATCGGATGTTAGAAAGTCTACAAAGACGCCTCAATTCATTATTACGCGAAAACCAGCTGTGGATAACCAACCTGAGTGTGCATGAAGAAGAACATGCTTCAGTTCTATGGCAATCTGATGTTGGATGGGAGCATTGTTCGGGTATAATTCACAGTGCATCCTTCACGGTCATGATGTCGGCCAACGAGAATGTTAAACTGAACGCATCGTTAGAGATGTAGAGCAATATGGACAATAAACTACGTACACAATGCGATTAACAAACCAATATTGTGCCTCGAGGGCAATCTCTGTTGTTTGCCTATGAGTCAACCTGATTCAGGAGAACCAAGGGACACCCACTGATGTGAGTATCCGATTTGACACCCTTGACATGTTCGTAGATGCATATAGGTTCATCGAAATCCTGCAGCCAGAACAAGAGCCGTTTGTCGTGCTGCACGAAGTAATAATTGCATGCGTCTTCTTTCACTTGCAACTCCAGAACGAGATGTGTGGAGTCATCGATAATGTCCCTGGCTTTCGATAGTAGCTGGTGAGTCAGATGGTTGATGACCTTGAGAAGCTTTCTGCTTCTCAGATTTGCGTCCGTAAAAACGTGCTTCAGAGATATTATGATCGTAGGCAAAGAATCGAAATGAGACACTGTAACATACCCGAGTGGCGTCGTAGAAGTACAATGCTCCCTCCGGATGTACGACACTTTCCCAACCGTCGACAGGCTTTTCCGAAAAATCCTTCTTTTTGGCTGGGATAGGCTTGGTCTCGCTATCACTCCTTCAATATTATGACCAATCGAACAGTTGAGATCAAAAGAAACACGACAGAACAAAAAGCATACACGAGTACCCTTCCCTTATATCTCCGAGTCTGGCAAAGCTGCGGAGCCAACGGTTTGAACTTGCTAGGATCCCATTCCATTGACAACGTAGATGGTGACCGGGAATCGATGGAAGTGCAGGGTCCTTGAGCAGGATCCTGATTGACCTGAACTTGAAGCTGGTTTACCTGGAGAGGTAAGGTCTGACTTGGACCGTTCACTGGCGTAGGGACTGGATGGATGATGCTCGCAGCTGTAAAAACAGCTGTCTCTGGTTCATTGCTGTGCTTTGGCGAAATCCTCTGATGGTATGCAAGGGGACGGCTCAAAAATGTTCGCAAACCAGACTGCACAGCACGGATGCCTAGCAACTTGCGGATGCGGAGGATACATTGGTGTACGATGAACCGTATGTGTGGTGCAGTTGTCTTGAACAGGAAGCCTAGCCAGTTCAGGATCGCCTGTAGGTATAGAACCATGAAAATGAGGCCTGGCAAGCTTCAAGCTTAACCCCAGCAAGTTGGTGGACTGCTAATAAGAGGCATTTGACTAGCGTCAGTGGCTGTGTCACAGAATGAGCGCTTACCGCAAAGCCCATTTTTGCAAACTCTCCCCCATCGACGTATTCAATTTTCGCGTAAAGTCAACACGCTCGAATCGTGCCATGCACCACGCTTTGTTTCTCTCTGAGATTACATGGAGTTATTGAATCCTTTTCTCAGAACCTGAAGCCTCTCATGAGCCCAATCCACGTCGGGATCTCACAGCAGTTGCGACAACATGTCCTACATTGAGTGGTGCCACGTCTGGCGCTCGACGTCACACGCGCTATGGGATGCTCAAATGTTTTTGGATTATTGCTCATGTGCATACCGCCGTCCGTCGTTGAAGTTCGGAATATTGATTTTGAACCAGATGAGTCGGATGGTGATGTGAGGATGATATGAGAGAATAAACCAGACTTCTACGAGGACCTCATGCGTCGAAACATTGTTAGTGATCAGATCTTCTCGTGAACGGTACTATGCGTCTCCTCTCATATGTTTCAACACCTGATTCAACACCCTTTGCCCTCGGATTTGTTATACATGCTTCCTTACGCTCAACAGATCAGGAGGATAGGTTCGCCTGTAGCCGAGCATCGATGGCCTCTCCCCGAAATGTCTTCAATTCCCTGCTATATCACAATTGGTCTACCTTATGGAATATTTTCTACCCCATTTTACATGATCATGAACGATGAAAGGGAGGATTGGTTATTTCACTCAATGACATGCATAGACACAGTACTGCAGTCGTAGCTGCACATTTTAGTTTCCTTTCGTGTTGTCACGGTGTCAGTCGTATAGCGATACTTGAGGCTGAAACACTTCTGAAGAGGGCAAAAAATACAATAAGGATACAGTAAAACGATACAGCAGCTGAAGCTTAGGCTACACTTTCTCTATCCATCCGCCAGCGTTTACGCTCTTGCTCCTCCATGATAAGCCGTTCTGCAGCTGACATCGGTGCAGGCCGTTTCCTATCATTCTCACCGCCACCCTCTGACCTCTCAGACTTGACAGGAGTAGCAGACTTGAAGACGTTAGGCCGCTTTAATGGATTAGCTTTGAGAGGATTGGCTCCGGGCTTTACGACAGTTAGCTTCAGCCCTGTCGGAGCAGCTGTGGCCGTTGTATCTGATGTGGCCGCTGGCTTTGCAGAAAATGATAGAACAATTTTTTCTGCGCCCTCTTCTCTCTTGAGGCCCTCCCCGGCAGGGGGGCTCGCGCTTCCTTCATCACTCCCCTCTTTCTCCAACTTTGCCCTCTCAATCTGCTCTGCAATCAGGGTGCGCTCCCGCTGTTCATCGTCCCGCGTAGCTCGATCCTTTTTCATAGAGGCTTCTTGCTTTGCGAGAGCTTTCGGGCTGCTGTCAATCCATGCAATGAACCACCCTTTCTCGGTCTCATCCACGCGCGCGATACCTGAACGCCCCAAATGTTTGGCGAATTCGGTGAGAGTCACCCAGCGGGTAGCGTTCATGTGAAGATGGTTCTTATCTTGGATGAATTCTTGGTAGACTTGATTGATACGCACACGTTTTGTGTTATATCTAACGAGTGACAAACAAGGTTATAAATATTGATATTAAATTGAAAGAGAGCTACGCACCGTCTGCTTAGAAGTTGGACGAAATCATGCTGGAACTGGCTCGAGAAATCAGCGATATGCCGCCCGGCATTCTCGCCGACGACAAGCATCTGGCGAAGATGGGCCTCGGACTGAGCATGGCACTTGAAGCCGTTCTCATCTCGGCACTGCTTCTCACAGACTTGGCAGTACCACCGCAGGCGCTGTAGGCCCTTGGATTTCATCTTATTGGCGAGAAACTTTGGAGTTCCGACTGGACATTGAACGTTAGCGGGATTCGTTGTTATAAGTGCTGGTCTAACTGACCTTCTGCACGCGGCATGTTGGGCAATGAATAGGAGGTCGGGGTAAGATTGAGGGTAGTTCACTGAATCACCGAATGGGATAGTGGAGTCGGAGAAGCTGTCTAGATGAGCTTAGTCATCTTGAATGTTGCCTAATATTCACGTGACCCGTGGCTGTGTAACGACGAGTCTCACTTGACAGCGATTTCAGCTGCGCACGAAGGCCTACAGCAAGCGCAAGGACTATGCTCAGCGAGAAAGCCAAAGGGAAGCAGCGTGCAATAGACTCGCCCCTTGAACAGGCCTCGTCCTCTACACCACCGGATGATTCCAGAGACCTGACGATCCGGTTTACTGAGGGTATCCCCGACTTTAACCTCACAGTCCATCCGAAGGACACAGTGAGGGATGTTAAAGCTAATGTGCGTGGTTGGAAGTATGATTGGTGCTTGCCTTATGTGCAGATAAATACAGATAGTTAATGGTCTCCCCCAATTGAAAGATCGTCGGCTTCGTCTCATACACGCTGGGCGTTTGCTAACGGATGGAACGCTCCTTCACGAATGGCTGACAACCCTCGAGGAGCGACAAGTCCGTGCCTCCGCTCGTTCACAAGATATTTCAAAGGAAGATCAATTGGTGACGTGGTTGCATTGTTCTGTTGGCCCCGTGATCGAGCCTGGAGAGAGTGAAGAGGAGAAACTACAAGTGCGTGGCGCATGGATATATTGTTTCGTAATTACTGATTGCTCGTCGCTATAGGTAGCTCAACTGCAACCACTAAGGGGATTTGATAGGCTTGCTGCTGCAGGATTCTCTGAGGATGACATCGCGAATTTCAGACGGCAATTTCATAGCCAATCGTCGTCAAATTATCTTGACATTGAGTTTGAGAACGAGGAAGACTGTATGGCCTCTTAAATTTACCAGAAAATATACTTACCATACCGCAGATGACGAACACGCTCGAGCTCTCGAAGAACAATGGATAGACTCCATGGATAACGTCAACACAGCGTCCCTTTCTTCTGCCTCCTCACAGAGCCTCATTCTCCGCGGTATTGTCATCGGGTTTTTCTTCCCAATCATACCATTTTTCTTCCTCCGTGAAACGAAGGCCGCAGTTTTCTGGGAAGAGGGTGAGCACGAGAGTGGGGAGAGTGTCATATTTTCGTCAGTCTCTTTTTCTATTTGTGAATTTCCCGTAACCGTGTGCTGACTGGTACCTTAGACGGCGCACACAAGTAGGAATCGTTTTTGGATTCTTGGTGAATTTACTCTTCGGGATGTGGAGATATTTGCTGGACACGTCGTAGGTGCACATGGAATTCTTATCATTGGAACTTGGTGAGGGTCCTCAAAGACACCCACATCGATTAGAATTCACTAATAGAGCTTCTCCACAGAGTTGGGCTGCATTGCAATTACCTATACACTGCAAACATGGTACAACATTCATATCGATGCAATAAATTATCCTTGGATTATTGTCAGGCGAGTCGCCAGACGTTTTGAGTGACGACCCGGTTTCCTCAGCTCCTCACCCAATATAACATCTGGTTCTGAGAGTAGACAAGTATCTGTTTAGATTTCTCGCAATGGAACGACATCGATATTACAAGCTATAGTTTGACTCGTGAAGAACGTACTTTTGGTGCACACAATTTCAGTGGGTGGGTATCAGACTTGACATAGCGGTGCGTGACTTTTCTCGAAAGACTCCTCTTCCTAGTTCTTACGAAGACCATGCAGATAGGAATGTTGGAGTACGTGGGTACGTTCTACGAGTGCCCTCCAAATCGTATACACGGAATATTGACGCATGACGCACAATACGTCCAACAACCTTCATGGTGCCTAAGTCAGAGGCCTTTATTCTGTGACGTCTATATTTCTAAGTTATCTTACGTTGATCACATCCTAGACGAGGACCAACCAGCCTTCCTATACGAATCATTCGTCAGACCTTACATCGGGAAGGCGGTGGACAGTTTTTACGAGTACCTAAAAAGCAACGATGAAAAGTTCAGACGCGGCCTCGAGAGGCCTTATTATGCCAAATTCTGTTCGATCGTCCAAAGTTCTGGCACTGGGAAATCGAGACTAATGACCGAGGTCAGGCTTATAACATGCATTATCATATCAGTTAACTAAAGCATCGAATCAGCTGCAGAACAAAGGCGTTCTTGTGTTGATGAACCTTCGTGAACCAAACGATTTTGGTTTCCCTAAGCGAGACCTAGTGCCTGCGCGTATACTAACGGAAGACATGGACTGCTCTCAAGCTGAATATACCGCTCGTTGTTACGCGTTCATTGCAGCCATATTCCACACGCTCAAGCAAGATCTGAGCGCCAAGGTCTCTCCACTACAGTCTGACAGTCCTGGTGCCACAATCAAGTCTTGGAATAATTGGATGTGTGACACGCGCTCACCAGCTCATACGAAGTTCTTTGAGAAAGTTCAAACCCGATATCAGATTGTGAACACGGGCGATGATGCTCGTGACAGAGGGACTAAGGCTGAAGTTTTAAACAGATCCTTGATGAGATCCAGACACCGAAGAGCCAAGAGAGCGTCGGTGCCAATTGCGACGCGCCAACAGTTGAAGAGACCGCTGCGAAACTCGGGAGTATGTCTTTGACGGGTAAACATTCTTTTCTGCACGTAGCGGCCGACTTAGCTCACGCTGAGCATGAACAGATGCAAAGATCAAGGCTGATCAAGGCGCCGAAATTGGAAAGAGCATCATTCGTCGTTGCCGCTTACACTGATATGCTGAAAACGCCGCATGTGTTTCCTCAGGACGATACCCCAAAACTCGTCATAGCGTTTGATGAAGCCCACCCTCTGAGCAGCATGAGTAGCAAGGGTTTTCGTCCATCCCATATTCTTGGCAAGACAATCAACGCCTACTGCCACAAAAATGACGCACCAGTCTGGGTCGTTCTTGCATCTACGACTTCACAGGTGGCCGATTTTTCGGCTCGTCAGGTGATCCGTAAGTACATCTTTTGTGTCGTCTGGTTCCAACTCTTTTCACACGATTAGTTACAGATGATTCCCTGCGCGTAGCGATAGACGGTCAACTTCTATACCAACCCTATACATATCTTGGTTGGGACCAGAATGCGGACTCTCTGTCTGGTATATCGGCTAATGATGATGGAAAGTTCCGCTATATCATCGGATTCGGTCGTCCACTGTTTGTCCTCGTGTTTTTATCCTCATGTTCAGTTTCGTTGACCACCATGAATAGGTAAAAATCACTCATGGACAAACAGACTATTACCGGGGGTTATGACGCTGGCTGCTCAGAAGCTCTGCAAATCCAAAATGTTCAATCCTCAAGACATAAACGAGGCTCTCGCCGTACTGTCTCAGAGATTCGGTCTCGACATCTGCTTCGGTCACCCTAATGCTGTCTCTTATCTCAAAAAAGGAGTAGCTAGTTACCTGCGCGTATGCTTCTCGACGACCGAAGTTAGGTCGTGGGCATTCACCGGTTATCCATCGGAACCCCTTCTGTCTTGCGTTGCAGCAATTCGACATCCAGAAGTCTGGCGGACGCTTTGGAGGTTTTGAAAGTAAAGGTTGACAGTGGGATGATCGAAACAGGACAATGCGGAGAGCTGGCTAGCAGACTTTTGCTGCTTCTTGTCAAGGACATGTACGTTCGGAGTAATCTCTCCACAGGCACGATTTCGGATCTACACTACAACGGAAGCGAGGATGCGGAACTGATACACTGCCAGAAAGTCTCTATCGTTAATTTCCTGGGGTGCCTCTTTGGCGATGAGTTCTGGCCGAGGGCGGGTGAAAAGGCTAAGGCAGCTTTTCAGTATGCCTATATCAATTTTTCGCACCGGATGTCCATGGAAAAGTTTATCTCGCCGAAAGCTTCCAAGTTAGCTAACGTTGAATCGTCGAGGTAAGCTTCCGCTCGTTGTCAAGTAATGTTATCTCTTAGATATCGTTACACAGCGCTAGATGCGACTCCAATATGATTCCCATCTATTTCGATGATCCCGCCCTTGGCTTTAACGATGTCGACCGCGTGTCGCAGATGTTTATTTCAGATAAAGCGGGGAATCGGAACTCCCCTGTATCGCTCTCCTTCTCGACCTCAATGTGGACCCGAAGCTTAGCGTTACATTTCCTAAGAAGAAGCGCCATCGCACACCACTTTTAAACATCTAGATGCACTCGTCAAATTCGGGAATACTGCTACGTTACACCACTCGCGGTGGGAGGCACAAGATGTACTGTAATTCATTCATGAAAACCGGACTAGATGGAACTACCACTAACACTGCGTCCGCGGTGACTGTTAGTCGTATAGCGATTATGGGGAGAAGCTCACGATGTCAAATACGTCTATGTCATTCGTTGATCGAGCGTGGGCTAGTAGTCACATCGGGAAACCCATTAATGCCTCCGGTGCGGGTCCAAGGAGCTCTTGACATTGGATCGCCAGTCGCTGTCCCAAATCTAGGACGTGGTTCCAGACACGCGTCAGATGTAAATATACTGCATGCTGAGCCGGGATCTTTGAAATTATCCGCCAATCAAAAATGCCAACGTGATAAAATGTCTTACCGCAAACCGAACGTTCTAGATGACTGTGTAGGATCGGCCTGTTAGAGCAGTTTGTTGTATGAAGATACTGGTAGTTGCTGTACAGGTGAAAGAGCTCGAAGCATGATGTAATCTTATCATGATCAATTAGGTCAACACTAAACGCGCCGCCGCGTGTCTGATCCCAAATTTTCTACTAAAGCCTTTGTAAACGACCTTTACGACCATTCGTCCATTGTCTCTTTCTCTTCATAATATACCTGACTGAGGTCTGTATTTTATTGCTGATCTATAGGTTGATTTTAACGCGAAAAAAATCCTAATCTAATCATCATCATCATCATCATGGATGATGCACAGATGGATCTTCAATCACTTGCGAACTTGTTCGCGACAACTTACAATCCTGATCCTAATGTACAGAAGACCGGCGAGCTCCAAATACGCAAGGTGATGTCTTGTTTCATTAGACCTGCGATCATCGCGCTGATCGTCCCTGTAGATCGGTGCACAGGAGGGCATGCTAACTGCCCTTCTGCAAATCATTGCATCTGATGGCGTTGAAATGTACGTCTACTCTTTTTTGCAGATAGTTTCATGATGCTCATGATACTAATTCTACGACAGAGCTACTCGTCAAGCTTGTAGTGTTTACCTCAAGAATCGCGTACATACCTCTTACATCCTTCCGCCAAATCCCCGCCCAGACCATGTCCCAATTGCTCAGTCCGACCGCACCGCACTAAAAGCCAACATTCTTCCCCTTCTTTCTGCCAGTCCCAGCCGCTCCGTCACCGTCCAGCTCGCAGCGACCCTGAAAGACCTTGTGGCGCATGACTTCCCCGATCGCTGGTCATCTCTTTTGGATGATGTGAAAAGGCTCTTGGGAAGTGGAGATGTGAGAGAAGTAGGAGCTGGTGTTGTAGCCGCACTCGAGTGCGTTAGAGCGTTTAGGTACGTGTTTCATTGTGTCATCATTCGTATCGCTCTAATGAACGCGTAGATTCCGCCAAAAAGCCGACGTCCTACCAAACATTATCGCCACCCTTTTCCCTACCCTTGTCACTATCGCTGATGGCATGCTCAATACCTCCCCATCCCAACCCGCGTCCCAGGAGATCCCAGCCATGCTACACCTTATTCTCAAGACGTACAAAACTGCAATTATTGTCAACCTTTCCCCGCACCAGCAGAGCCCAGAATCACTCGTTCCCTGGGGAAGACTCTTGTTCCGCGTTGTAGGGATGGTTGTCCCCGTGGAAGGCGTTCCAACTGACGAGGAAGATCGGGAGAAATGCGAATGGTGGAAGGCCAAGAAGTGGGCGTATGGAATCCTCGGTCGACTGTTCCATCGGTGTGTATCTTCTTCACGTATAATATGTGTTTCTGAAAGCATGGTAGCTTTGGAAATCCTTCTCAGCTCCCGTCACCGATGCAGAATGAATATGGCGTATTTGCAGAGCACTTCGTGACCACCTTCGCTCCCGAAATCTTCAAGGTGTACCTCCACCAAGTCGAGCTATATGTTTCAGGGCAGGCATGGCTGGGCAAGAAATGCCAATACCAGGTCTTCCAGTTTTTCACTGAATGGTTCGAACTTCGCATTGGTCTTTGATCCCTCGGATTTTGTTGATGCGTTTTCCCACAGTATTAAGCCGAAATCGACGTGGATACTCCTGAAGCCCCATGTCGACAGCCTTGTGGCTAACTTTGGGTTCCCCCAGCTCACTTTCAATGCGTCCAAACAAGCCATGTGGGAGGCCGATCCCGTAGAATACGTCCGTGCTAGTGTCGGTAAGTTTACCTGGTCGCTCTCTCCTGTTATCCGTATCAGTGTCTCACATGCCAAAGACGAGTACGAGAATTTCTCGTCCCCCGTGAGTGGCGCGACCTCGTTCCTCCTCTCCCTCGCAAGCAACCGCACGAAAACCGCCTTCCTCCCGATGCTCCAGTTCATCAACACTGTCTTGCGCTCGTGCGTCCCTGTTACTTCTAGTACAGCCATCAACTCACAAAAATGCGATATAGAAATCCTACACCGGCGCAGCGCTTCGGCGCACTTACGATGATGTCAGTCCTCGGCCCCTTCATCGTCCGCCATCCCGATGTCAAGGGAAGCATCGAGCAGTTCATGGTACAGTACGTCCTGCCCGAATTCACATCGCAGGAGCCGTACTTACGGAGTGTGGTGTGTCTATTTACTTCATTCAATCTTCTTGAGCTGATGCGGTTCAGGCATGTGAGGTGCTTGGTGTAGTGACCAAAGCCGGTATCACATGGGCTGCTGAAGAGGTAGGCATCTCTACTACAAGTGTTGTTTTCACGCTGACGTCGATCCTATTCAGAACTTGAACAACCATTCCCGTGCTGTGGCGTTAGCCCTTGATGATCAGGAACTCCCAGTACGTGTGCAAGCTGCGCTGGCCATCACCGAGCTGGTTCTCGTCCATGACTCAGGTTCGCTAGAAAATTTATTCTTCCTCTTATACTCTGTCCAAGCCAACTTTGGTTCTCTAGTTAGGGACGCCGTCTCTCCGCAAGTAGGCAAGGTCGTGCAAGGTGCGTCTCATGTCCAAACCCACTGATGTACTCGTTGATTTCGATTGTGGCTGTTGCAGATCTTCTCAAGCTCTCCGACGAGACGGACCTCGATGTCCTCAATCACAGTATGGAAGCTATGGTTGACCGGTTCCAAAACGAGCTTCTGCCTGTGGCTTCGCAGCTCACCGCACGCCTGGTGAGCGCCTATCCTCTAGTTACCTCTATGATACGCTGACGGCATGTATATAGTGCGAGTCTTACTTACGCCTTGCAAGAGAGGGTCTGGCACAGCAGAAAGAAGCGGCTCCGGACAGTATCGATGTAGAATCACTCATGACAGATGGCGACGACGATAAAGTATACGGCGCTATGGGGGTCGCCAAAACTATTGGAACTGTACGTGTACCCTCGCCATCATGTTCGTTCAACGCATCTCATAAAGCTGCACAGGTTGTCTCGTGCATTGACTCCTCGCCTGAGATTCTGTCGCAGGTGCAGGAGGTGATTATACCCATCATCCGGTTCACCCTTGAGAATAAGTTGATTGGTGCGTCTGCTCTTTTTGTTGCTTAAAGGGTAACGCTGATCGCAGCGTCTGTAGATTTGTTTGATAATATGTATGACCTTGTAGACGCCCTTACCTTCCGTCTTCATGCGATATCACCGAACATGTGGCCGGTGTTCGAGCTGACTTATGACCTCTTCAAGAATGATGCTGTTGATTTCCTTGATGGTGCGGCCCGTTGCTTCCCGCGCATATTTAGATTGTGTTGCTCATGGAGGTGACAATTTGCAGAAATGCTCCCCTCGCTGGACAACTTCGTATCGTATGGTACCGAGGTGCTGAAGGCACGCCCTGACTACAGGTCGAAGGTGTTGGACATGTACCGCACGGCTATGACGAGCCCACAACTGGGGGATAACGACAAGATTAACGGATGCAAGCTAGCAGAGTCCATGCTTCTTAACTTGCACGGCCATATAGACGACGTAAGCCTTTGTGTTCATAATTCTCACCCGCGACTCCTTCTCATCGTGCTTCTGCAGCAACTCCAGGACATTGTCACCATCGCCGCAGACCACGTCGACAAAGGCGAGACTGCCTCATTCCGCCTTGCCAACCTTGAGATTCTCGTCAACGCCGTCCTCTACAACGCCTCCGCGGCGCTTCATTTCATGGAGGCCTACAAGCCAGGGTTCTCACGCACATTTTTCGACCGCTGGTTCGTAGCAATCAACAGCGACAGCAAACTCCCACGCGTGCACGACAAGAAACTGAGCATTTTGGCGCTTTGTAAGTTGTTGGAGATGGAGGCTGGCGCGATTCCGGAGGGATTGAGGGATGGATGGCCTGGGATTGTGGGCGGCGCTTTGAACATTTTCAAGGCGCTGCCTCAGGCTGTTGCGAGTGGGTTGCGTATTTTTGGTGTGACTGGTAACTTGACTGATGGTGTGATCTTGTAGAACGCAAGGTGTTGGAGGATCAGCTGGTTGAAGGGAGCGATGATGAAGATGATGACGAAACTAGATACCTCAATCTTGAGGGAGAGGAAGATGGTAAGTGTATATGGTCTTGTTGCCTGTTCCGATTCGTGACACCTGTGTTTTAGAGGATGTATGGGATGAAGATTCCGCATATCTCGAGATTCTGGCGAAAGAGGTTCGTCACAATTCCATAATTGCAACCTACCGTTCACATCAACATTTTAGGGTGCTCGTCTGAGGGAAAAATCCGAGAAAGCAGAAACAGGAGACGATGAGTCAGATATATCCGAGGAATCAGAGATAGAGGAAGAACTTGGGTTTTTCAGTCCGCTCGACAACATCAACACATATGTCACCTTCAAGCAAGCATTACAGAGTGCGTCGTTCATTCTCACTATCTTATACTGTTTCCCGCTTACAATGACCGTTTTCACAGCATTCCAGAATCAAAACAGTGCTTTGTACCAGGCAGCGACGACGATGCTCACGGTTGAGCGGCAGACTGTGCTTATGGAGGTGGTGACGATGGCGAACCAGGCTGATCGTAGTTGAGGTAGTCGTCTTTTCTAGCTATCGTGGTTGTATCGCTTCCGCTTGTTCGATGCGTTATTGACGTACACTTTGCATATAAGACGAATGAATGTTTGCTTGTTGTAGTCATTGACGTCAAGAGGACCGAGTCCCCTTTTCCCTTCATACGCAAGCGTCTTTATGTAGCACGCTCTGGTCTGCTTTTCCTCGATAAACACGACACCTTGAAGCTTTCGAATTACAACGAAAGTCACTTCTTTTGGAGGTACCTACTTCTTAGATTTACCCGATTGAAAAAAATTCAAGGTAAGGTATTGCTCAAGGCCCCCAGCTGACATCGAGGTGACTGATACAAAAATTTCGAGGTACTACTTTGAGCTATTATGGTACTAGTAGTTCCACAAGTCCTTCTTTTATCGTATTACTGGCACCGGGTTGATGAAGGCTAGCACAGAGTCTCAGCGGACGTGTTAGACAACGCTAAAATTAGATTTACCTAGCACAGAGTCTAGGTTACATGTCAGCGAGTAAATACGAGTGGCAGGGAAATGCATACCTCAGCGATGTGTTAGACAACGCTGAGGTAGAACAACTGTCGACTCGGAGGAAAACATCAAGTACGCAAGTATCAAGATGTCCGAGGCGGAAGAAGCTGAGTCAGGCCGACGCCGGTGGAAACGACATATGATGTCGAAGATAGACAAGGACTTGAGAAAGGAAAAGAAGCAAAGAGAAGCCCCGGAGGCTAATCGACTCTCGCACAGGTTGGGGCCGCCATCGGGGCCGGGTCGCCCCTTCGGGGCTTCCACCCGAAAAACTATCTGCTTCAATAAAGCAAACATTTTCTTTCGTTCTCGCTACCGCTACTAAGACCACTCAACGACAGCAAACGCAAAGTCCGACTACAGTACCACGCCTCCTGAGTACTGAGTACTGAGTCCTGACCCTACGTATTTCATTCATCATCATTTTCGCACTAGGTTCAGCCAAAAAAGATCTATAAAGGCCACACCAGCCAGACTAAAATTCTCACCGTTTCACCTCAATGAGCTCCTCTGTATGTTTCTCCTTGCTTACCATGTTATGTTATGTATGTTGACTCCTGCCCGTCAGATTGTTGAAAATATTTCTCAGGTAGTACGATACGTACACATAGCTCCGCACAATACTCATTGTCCTCTGCAGGATGCCGACTCATCCGCTGCCAGTCCCCCTAGAGGATGGAGCGCCACAATTACAAATCCTAAGATTGTGGAAGAGATGCTCAAATATTCCACTGGTTTGGACGCAACCCTTGAACTATCCGAAGACAGGGGCTCGCGGAACACGGTGAGCGCGCAAGGATGGCGCATTCTCAATGTACAGAATCGCGAGATTTGTATAAGAGTATCGCTAGCAGGGGCAAAGCACTCGGAGCATTGAAGCTTGAAGAACTGCCGGATTATGGAGGTGATCTCGAAGGATGAACGTTCTTATGGTACTTGTTTGGTGTGTCACTTTAACTTCACTTGCACAAGATTGTAAGAGATTGTAACTTTTAGTACTTGGGCCATGTGGTCGATCGAAATGCGTACTTTGTCTTCACAGATTCAATCTCGTTCTGCATTACCACGCGCTGGTGCAGAAAGCCCTTCATCTTCTTCCTTGCATAGCATCAGGACCTTTTTCAATCGTATTCGTGACAAGAAAGGAAAGCGAAAGAAGTGTCAACTAACACCAAGGCATCGGTGTCCCTCTCAGATAAGCTGTATATGTTTGTTTTCTGCAGTTCTATTGGGTTTGTGAGATCTGACCGCATCCTCCTCTGTGATAACGCTGCTGGTGCGAACGAGCGTGCGTATTCTTCTTTCGCCTGAGCTGATTCCAAAAGAAGAAGAAGCCAAATCCACCACGGCCAGTTTATGGCGACGAACTCGAGGACGACGAATTCTGAGGGCGGCATTCTCGATCGATGTTCCCATACCTATTACTAGGTAAGTAGTATTAAAACCTTATTTGTTCGACGGATGAGCCACTGATGCAGTGTCATGGGATTCAAATCGCCTAGCATGAAGAAATCGAATTGAAACCAACTACTAGCTTGAAGTAAGACCATCTCATCTTGCGGTAACTGAATGCAAGAACACCCAGCAGCACAGTCTTCTAGTTAGTTTCAATTCTGAGACCCTGCATCGTACTCGGAGCTTCACCTTTCCTCTTGACTGTGACCTCTGAATGAACCTTCCATTGTGCATCTCACCATCAGAAATTTATCATCCAGGATATGTACAGCATTTGTCCCTTGCATATCCGTAGCGTCCATGGCTCCGTACGGTTCAAGTCGATTTATAAGTTATTGACCTCTTGGTTTTGTCGCGTCCACTTCGTTATTACCACTATCATTCTCACAACGTCCTGCAGGTTTGTCACGACGTGGATCGTCGTCACGAATACCTCGCTGGCAGGCTATGAGTTCAGTCGTGACTGGTGTTCTTGACGACTTTCCGCTTGCTATCCAGCAGTGTCGTTGGTTTGTCACTTCTTCCCTGTCTATTCTGCATTGTCATCCACCGATCGGCATCAGTATGACATAAGTCGCATGCGCCCCGCGAGCAGACTGCTGTAACTGATATTGAGCAGACAGCCACTTGAACAATGTGTTCCAGTGCTTGGGACACATAACGGACCAAAGCGGAAGAAGCAGAGAAGTTTGAGGACTCAGGCGCCTACAAGGCGAACGTAATGAACTGCATGCTGCAGACGCATTGTACCAGCAACGCAACTCCACCAAAACCATCACAGGTAGATCTTTCACATTCTCCTCTCTGGCGTGTCCAACTTACCACTAGGCATAATTTAGCAAAGCACCTGCCTCAGGGGAACAACTAAGGATGAATGATGACAAACAGCTACCTGGATCACATCAAAAGCCTGTCAAGACATTTGAGGGTCATAAAAAAAGCATCATGTCCATCGCAACTTTTCCTGATGGCAAGAGAATAGCGACTGGATCTCTCGACAAGGCAATACGGATGTGGAGGCTTGAGGACGGCGCTGAGATGGAATGGGTGGTGAGACCGCATGTCGGCGCACTTGTAATCTTGAAAAACGGGAAACAGGTTGTCAGTGCGGAGGGAGAGTTTCCAGCCGGTGTTGTAGAAGATGCTTCTGAATCTGATGAAGATGATTTTGACGGAAATGATAGGTTGGATTGGCAGTTATGGGTACGTGATGTTGAGAGTGGGAGGGTTGTCGCAGGTCCCTTGGGAGGTCACACAAGTGGTGTGATTGCTATGGACATTTCCCCTGACGGAGAGATGTTGGCCAGCGGGTCGTTCGATCGCACAGTCATTTTATGGGATACTAGCACCTGGCAGAGGAAAGATCATCCTCTCAAGTGTGGCTCACCCATCTATGACATCCGATTTTCTCCAAGCGGTCAACTCGGCGTTGCTACCAAGGAAGATATCCAAATATGGGACTTGCACCAAAGAAAGCGTCTTGCTCAATTCAACGGCCACCACGACTTCAACAATGCATCGAACTACTCGCTCGCCTGGACTCGTGATGGCGCACATCTCCTCTCAGCAGGTGATGGAGATCCCGTCATTCGTTCATGGGACATATCCACCTGGAAACAGGCTGGTGATCCCTGGATTGGTCATGGCGAAGACAAGCCCATCAACCATATGGTCCATATCATATCGAACACAACGGGCACCCTTCTCGCATCAGCATCTAATGACTGCACTGTTCGATTGTGGCAGTTTCCCACAGGCACAGAAGTCGCCCGATTTAAGCACTCAGATCCGGTGTCTCGTGTTACATTCTCGGTGGATGGACGCTCTATATTCAGTGGCGGCTGGGACGGGAAAATCTCGCAATGGGAGATACCTGAGGATGTGCTCATAGCAGCCGAAATTGATCTTTCAGCCAGCGCGAAGAATGAGGTGACTACTCCCAACTGTAATTTCATTCCCTTCCATGCTCAAGCGTATTCATTCCAAGGCTGCTCGGGGCAAACACAATGTGCGTTCTCTAACCTGCATATGATATATATCCTGACTCTCGACCAGATGAAACGCCTGCTTAATGTATGTGGTTTGAACCGTTTGACGGTCTCCCCTTCAGTGGTTTCTCACATACTTCTTAGTCGGAGATTCCTGGCCAGCGCCAAAGTAAGCCGACGACCTACCAGCGCTTCGACACGTCTCGTGGATGGGATACTTACTCTGCATCACCACTCGCTCATGCGGAACGTCCTTCATCTTCTCGCTTGCTTGATCTCAAGACCTTTTTCGATGGCATCTGGCCGTCATCTGACAAGAAGGGGAAGCAAAAGGAGCGCCGGCCAAAACGAAATGCTCCCGAAGTCATTGATGTTCCTCTCGGAATAGCAACACCTGTTCGTTTCGTGCAACTTATTGGATTCTTGAGAACTGACCTCATCCTTTCGTTAGGGCGACGTTGTTGGTGTGGACGACGGAATACGACCATATGTACTCTTCTTTTGCCTCAGCTGGTTCCAGAAGAAGAAAAAACCGGATCCACCACGGCCGGTCTATGACGACGAACTCGATGACGACGAATCTGAACATGCCATTATTGATATTCCTATATCTACTACACGGTAAGACAAGACTATTCACTTGTTAAATCGCTTACCTGATGCACTGTCGTAGGACCCAAATTGAAACTGACAAGAAAACCAAATTGACACCAATGTCTTTTTTTCCAGTCACAGCCAGAGGCAGGACCATGTCGCCTTGCACCTGCAGTTGATGTAGATCCTGTTGATGTCCCGATACCTACTACCAGGTATCAAAATCTTGTTCGTTTGTTGCATGACCTGATATGGTGTCATATGATCAGAAGACCAGCATGAAGAAATAGAAGTGAAATCGATGACTAGTCAGTCAGCCAGAAACAGGACCGTCTTGCCTCATAGGCCTTGAAGAACACGCGGGAGAACAGTCTTCATAGTCAGTTTTATCTCTCGAGCTTTACATTGTACTAGCAGCTTCATATCATCTTTGACTGTGCATATAACAACCGTGACCTTGACAATTGACTGTGAATGTTCTTGGGAATTTTTACTCGGACCAGGGCATGGACGAGATTGAGAACTGAACGCACCTCAACACCTCATTTTAGATTTGACTTATGACGCATGTGCGGTACCGATTCACTTACTCTGGTTACCCTTAGAACATCAGCATTATTTAATGGACGTGTTCACGCTGATTCTCAGATACCTGTCACAACGCGTTGACCAAAACGTGGACACAAGTGATATTTGCAGGACAGCCTGCCACACGCAACATTTTGAAGTTCGAAACGAGGGCGATAGTGCAGAGCAACATAACAAGGAGCAACAGATATAGTCCACGCCTTCTACAGCAGCATCTGATACCTTTTCCAATTTGCTCTTGTACTCGTATCTGCGATTAGTTTCACATTTGTACGTGAGCTCGAACTCCTGCTTGTGGTGTCGTCGTGTCGCCTATGCTAGTCATCAATGACGAAGGTGTGCTTGTAAAGGGATCTTTCAACAGATGCCCCAAATCGTTTGCAGTAAGATGCACACTAGTCCCAAACACAACAAAGGTAGGTTCACCTTAAGACAGGTATGCTCGCACATTATGCATGTGTTCATACAGTGACACGTCAAGCATGCCTGGGTAAAATTTCCTCAGCAAGATCATCGAAAGCTTCGACCAAGAAGACCGCCCCCAAACTCACAATAAAGTCCGACGAATCCGAGAAGTACATATTGCCCGTTATCAAGAATTCAGACAACAGAGATGTCATGTGCAACAGTGCCACGGCATTCCTTGGGAACAGCTCCTTTCAACACCGATGATGCCAACAGGTAAACTTATTCTTGACAAGGGCGAGCAGCCAGGCCTACCCTCGGTGAGCGCTATGGACCACGGTCGAGGGTATAGTGATGCCAAAGTATGAAAGAGGTTACTCAGATGCGTGATCAAAGGCTTCAGGATGCAGCCAGAGGGACTTTGCCTGCTGAAAAGCGAGAAGGGTGAGCAGACAATGCGAACTTGACTGCCGCATTCAACGTTGTATATGATTGGCTTGCATCTGGTTGTATGTCGTGCTAGCCAACAGTGGAAAGAATATGAGCCATTGGTATCACGGGAGACAAGGAGGTGTACTGCAAAGAGGTCAGCAACACAGATCGAGGGAGTAGATACTATCGTTGCTGGTAAAGTAGTGACTCGGTGCAAATTTTCCAGGTACTCGCACCTACTAACAGCCTACGAGCTATATGCAGCCACGGGTCAGCTGATTCTGGTCGCAGTAATGAGTTACATGCTGTAGATACAATCGTACTAGGCTACCGACGCACCTTGACCATAACCATCGCTCTAGCATCCTCTTGGCCATGTCTAACTTCCCACTATGCACCAACAGTCGACGACATATGCAGAGACGTTTAACAGGTCGCCCAGGTGTGTAAGTGGTGAGAGGGTTTGTCCAATACTGAAAAGCGCAAAGGGGAGTAGGTGAACTATGAAAGAGCGTTCGGGGTTGTCAGTATGGATATCAGGAAGTGGGTTCATGGGAGTATCATAGAGTCTGATTGTATGCCACATGAGGCGTGATACAGCAGATAGAGGGCATCATGAATGATTCGTGGTCCAGCGCTTGAGACACAAAACGGACTGAGGAATAATTATAGCAAGTCATCCCGGGTGAAGCAGTGCCTCGGCGCACAGTTTGCGGACACAGGCGTCTATAAGGCGAACATAATGAGCTGCATGCTGTAGACGCAGTGTACTAGTAACACACCTCAACCAAAACCATTACAGAAAGTTCTTTCGCATTCTCCTCTCTGGCGTGTCTAACTTCCCACTAGGCATAATTTAGCAAAGCACCTGCCTCAGGGGAACAACCGAGGATGAAGGATGACAAACAGCTACCTGGATCCCATCAAAAGCCTGTCAAGACATTTGAGGGTCATAAAAAAGGCATCACCTCCATCGTGACTTTTCCTGATGGCAAAAGAATAGCGACTGCATCTGCCGATAAGACGATATGCATATGGATGATTGAGGACGGCGCGGAGATCATGAAGTGGGTAGTGAATGAGTGCATCGGCGCACTTGTATTATTGGAAAACGGGAAAAAGATTGTCAGTGCGGAGGGAGAGAGTTCCAGACAATGTGGATGAAGACAATCTTCATCAAACATTGTTGGATTGGCGGTTATGGGTACGTGATACCGAAAGTGGGAGGGTTATCGCAGGTCCCTTGGAAGGTCACAGCAAGCATCGTGTTTACTTTGGACATTTCCCCTGATGGTGAGATGTTGGCCAGCGCTGGGTCATTCGATAACACAGTCATTTTATGGGACACCAGCACCTGGCGAAGTAAAGTTGATCCTCTCTCGTGTGGCTCGCCCGTCTTTTCCATCCGATTTTCTCCGACCGGTCAACTCGGCGTTGCTACCAGGAGAGATATCCAAATATGGGACTTGCACCAAAGGAAGTGTCTTGCTCGATTCAACAGCTATCACAATGCATTGAACTACTCGCTCACCTGGACTCCTGATGGCGCACATCTCCTCTCAGCAAATAGTAAAGAGGGTCCCGTCATTCGCTCCTGGGACACATCCACCTGGAAACAAGCTGGTGATTCCTGGATTGGCCATGACGAAGGCGAGCACATCTACCATATCATATTGAACCCAGCAGGCACCCTTCTCGCATCAGCATCTGAAGACTGCACTGTTCGATTGTGGCAGTTTTCCACGGGCACAGAAGTCGCCCGATTTAGGCACACAGATTTAGTGTCTCGTGTTACATTCTCGGTGGATGGACGCTCTATATTCAGTGGCGGCTGCGACGAGAAAATCTCGCAATGGGAGATACCTGAAGATGTGCTCGCGGCAGCGGAAATTGTTCCTCTGGCCAGCGCGAAGAATGAGGTGACTACTCCCGACTGTAATTCATTACCTTCTATGCTCAAGTGTATTCATTCCAAGGCTGCTTGCCGCAAACAAAAGGTGTGTTTTCTAACCCTGCACGTGATATATGTGCTAACTCTCGACCAGATGAAACGCCTGCTAAATGTAAGTGTTTTGAAACCCATTTGACGGCCTCTTCTGTGGTGTTTTCTTACATGCTTTTTAGTCAGAGATTCCTAGCCAGCGCCGAAATAAGCTGGTGAATCATCAGCGAGCAACACCTGTTCGTTTCATGCAATCTTATCGAATTTTTCAGAACTGACTTCATCCTTCACCAGGGCGATGTTGTTGGTGTGGACGACAGAATACGACCATACACACACTTCTTTTGCCTCAGCTGGTTCCAGAGGAAGAAGCCAGATCCACCACGACCAGTCTATGACGACGCATCTGACCATGCCATTCTTGATGTTCCCATACCTACTACACGGTAACATAACGCTATTCACTTCTTAAATTACTTGCCTGATGCACTATCGTAGGAGCCAAGTTGACACCGCCAAAAAAACCACATCGTCACCAATGACTTTTCTCCAGTCACAGCCAGAGGCAGGACCATCTCGCCTTGCGCCGTCAGTTGAAGTAGACATCGTCGATGTTCCAATACCTACTACCAGGTATCAAAACTTTATTCATTTGTTCGACCGATGACCTAATATGGTGTCATACGATCAGAATCGTCCAGCACGAAGAAATGGGATTGAAACCGGTTGTTAGTCAGTCACAGCCAGAGGCAGGACTGTCTTGCCTTGTCGAAGAACACGCGGGAGAACAATCTTCGTAGTCAGTTTTATCCTCGAGCTTTACATCGTACTTACAGCTTCATATCATCTTTGACCGTCCCTGCAACAATCATGACATTCATAGTTAAATATGAAGGTTCTTGCGACATTTTACTCAGACCAAAGCGTCGACAGCTTCAGAATCAAACATTCAACAGCTCATTCCAGACTTGACTTATGACGCCTGTGCGGTTTTGATTTACTAATTTCCAGCCGGTTACCCATGGGGTTTCTCCCGGCCCTCAACATAGGTAGCTGCGAGAGAGTGAGGTAAGTACGTTTTGCCTGCTGTGTCACTCACGGCGTTCTGTGAACGCAAGTCAAAGTCAACAAGCCAGTACACCATCAAAGCACAGGAAACACACCAGCATTCTCAATCGCAGCACCAGCAGGCCACTCGCACTTCTGCTTGTCTATTACACAGCGCCAGCAGCGCTCAGAAAGCTCGTACCTGCCAGTATGTTGATTCCGACGAAGGATGGCAACGCAGGGCTTTGCTGAGCGCTTCTCTGTGCAAATCTTGCATTTTCGCGCCACCTGTTAGCGCTCGAAAGTTTAGCATCCGAGGGGTTCAAGATATACAAGAAACTTGCTTCTCGAGGGTCTTGTATGTTATATTGCTGTATTAGCTCTTGATCAGAGCGACCTTTGTGGGAAAATGTGCGCAGGCTCGAAGGGGCTAGGATCATTTGCGAGAACGAGAGTCGCAATCACTTGAAAGAGAGTCGGGGGCGTTTGGCAGGACGGTCTACAAGCAAAAAAGGCTTTAAACATAGTCTAGCGTCAGTCACTGAGAGGTGTGGACCCAGAGTGGACGTACTATTGCAGCGACTTGCGGCGCGTGCTCTCGACGATGTTTAACCTGAGACGTACGGCGCACAGGATGCTTCCCGTTGAGTTCGCTATCACTCGCGCCAGCGGCTGCGGAATTCATCGACTCTTTAATATTGTCATTGTCATTGGTAACGGTAGGAGAGGGGAAAACACCAGAGCTGTGGTCAGCGGCGGGAAGCATAGTCCGACCTTTACCTTTGCTGCTGTTGGAAGGCTCAGGTGGAGTCACGAGTCTCGCAACAGCAGGTGGCGACTGCTGAGGGCGAGAGAGAGCGACAAAAGTCCGCAGTGATGCTGTTGAAGCCTCGACGGTGAGCGGAAGCCGGCGGCGGCCCCAAGACAGCCAAGGGATGTGCCGGCACACGTCCAATCGATCTTGGAAGGTCCTAAGGAGGTTGCTAACTTCCGTGACTGTGAGCAACACCTTGTTGCGGTCCTTAGTGCGGAGGCAAGTCTGAAAAAAGAACCGCGATCAGCGACAATTTGAAAATGTTTGAAGAGTAAAGGAACTCACGAAAAATAGTGCGATGTCGCGTCCCCATGCCTCCAGCAGGTCAAAAGGATCGTCCGCGCTGGGAGCTTGTAAAGCGAGCATGCTGGCTGTTTCCACGACTTCAAGTTGGCAGTTGAAAGCAGGAGCAGTAGTACTGGTTGCAGCGGAAGCAGACATGGTGAAGATAGATATCAGGAGCAGATGGAATATGAGAACGAGATAAATGTAAAGGAAAAAGGACAAGTACTTTGACGGAGTTAGCTGTGGATTCGGTAATCGATAATCGACCATGACGCATGAGCGCTCAGCTTGCGATTATGCATGTATTTGGTAATAGATAAAATTCAGTCGCGCGTTTCGGGCTCTTGACGCGGTCACGTGCTTGGTCACTCGCGGAACGACAAGATTGAACTTCGGTGGCTCGAAACCTCTTTCCTTAATGTCGTCCAGCGTATATTAAGCGTTCCTCAACTTTAAACCCTACGGTACTTCCAGGCTGTCGTGGTGTGTTACACATACATCATATTTTGAAACCCCGCCAAGACATCTTTTGATCACTCAATCCGATTCCCCAACCGCTCTCAAAACCAACATCCTTTTGGCACCAGTCGCAGCCCTTCGTCATCGCCTGTCCCGAATAGACCCCCGAGGACCTTGTGATGCGTGAATTCGCGAACTCTGGTTCATTCTCTTGGATGACATGGCCCGCGCGTGCATGTTAACAATCTTGGCACTATGTGAAGTGTTTGAGAGAAGGCGTGTGCATTTCATGGTGGCTTGGGATCATGGATAGTGTTCTGAATATGTTCAAGCCACTGCTCCAGGCTGTTGCAAGTGAGTAGTATGTCATTGGTGGGACTTTTAAAGGGCTCACTCTGCAGAAGGCCGCTTGGAGGAGATGACTAGGACGATAGATGCATTTAATCTTGAGGGCGATAAAACTGTAGTTCAAACCGCCTTATTGCCTATTCACACTCACGTAAACGTGTTTCAGGATGTCTGGGACGAGGATTCTGAGAATCTCGAGATTCTGACAAACGAGGTTCGTGTTGCCTTCCTGTATCCATCCTACAGTCTGATCGACGCCATAAAACAGTTATTACCTTCAAGCGTGCATTAACTTCTATGCACTCTCAGATCCCCTGTGCAGTTCATAGCCACCAAACCCACAGCATTTCCAGAATTAAAATCGTGCTGTGTACTGGGCAGTGACGATGATGCTCACGGTGAGTGGCTCGTGCTCTTCAAAAAGGAATGAATGTCCACCTTAAGATGGTCTACCCAGGTGACCACGGCACGTAGTTCACACAATTGTGCGCTGAGGCTGATGTCAAAGGGGATCGAGAGGCGCCCGAAACATATGTAGATCCAAGCTCGCTTTGAGGCACTCCCATCCGCGCATCACGCACGTGTTTTTTGCAGTTGCATCGAGGTTTCAGACATCGATGATGTGATGGAGAATGCCGCTCCTATATTACCATAAGAAAGCTAGGATGTACATCGGTCTAAACATCTGTAAATGTTACTTTTCCTCCAACAGCGTCTTCTCCAAAAGCTGAACTTGAATGCAGGACATCTTGCCAGTCCCGCCTTCCATGGTCGATAGTATACTGAAGCCAAGGCAATACCTCCTAGGTACGTTGGTAAGACTCGGTATGCAATATGAGGGCATCTTGGAAGGAAATGAGTAGGGGAAATGGAGACAGATGAATATTATGGAGAGCATCGCAGACGGTTCGTGTTTAGTGATCGCTTCGTTGGACCGCAAACTCGGACCAAGGGGGTGAGTATGGTCATTTAGGAGCAAGCGCCTCGGTATGATAAGTTCAGACACTAGCGCTTATCAGCGTCCCACGAGGCTTCAGATAAAAGCTGCTGCTGTAGACACGTTGTACTACCAAGACCATAACTTCAGCAACAGACCTGTAGGTTTCTCGCATTCTGCTCTTAGCCTCCTCTAACTTCCCGCTAGGCATAGCCGACAAGGATCCGGCAGGACTTCTGCTTCCGTGGAACAGATGAATATGAAGGCTGACAAAGAGCTACCTGGATCATATCGAAATCCCGTCAAGACGTTTGAAGGTCATGAAGAAACATCACCCCCTTAGCAATTTTTACAGACAGCAAGAGAGTAGCGACTGAGTCTGACGATAATACAATGCGTATCTGGAGGCTTGAGGATGGTATGGAATTGAAGTGAAGGTGGTTACTGCACTTGTGATCTTGCGAAATGGGAAACACCTGCTGGCAGTCAGTGCTGGCGAGAGTTATTGGTGCGCGATACTCAGAGTGGGATAATCGTTGCAGGTCCTTTGGACTGTCTCACACCGACGTTGTGGATGATTTTGGTGATTTCCCCTGATGGCGACATCCTGGTCAGCGGGCCATGGGACCACAGTCATCTTATGGGGCAACTCCACAGGAAAGGTGATCCTCTCGCGATGATGTGGCGCTCAAACCTACTGCGTCCGATTTTCTCCAAGTGATCAACTCGGCGTTGCTACTCATAAAGATATTAAAATATGGGACTTGGACGGTCATACATGATTAACGTGGCAGCTCCTCTTACGCTACCGAACGTTGGACAATTGTAAATGCACTGTGAGTCACGATGATGAAGCTTCCGCAGCGGACTCATCTTAATCACTCACTGGGCAATCGCCACGCAACTTATCACGACTAATTCATTTATTTGTCACTAGGTCTCAGTCCCATGTCAGATATTGCATGCTGTATCATAGCGGTACCACACCTTGAAGCTCTGTCCGCTAGGCTTTAGAGAAGAATCCAAAACCGAGCGGACCTGCTAAAATGTATAAAAGCCCTCCTGGATTTTCAGTGTAGTGCATCGACAAAGTAGTCACTCCTCTTACTACCCCTGAACATCGAACATGCAGCTCTCTGTGCTCTTTAGTGCGTTTGTATCTTTCGCCATCCTTGCTGCAGCGTCACCCACCCCAGGAGCCATCTCGAAACGTTCCTGTGAGTACTCATGATCATCTGCAGTATCATAACCGCTCAAATGTATCACTCAGCTAAGCGAGAGAACCTTGACATCAACTTTCAACGTGATCTCCTGGAAGAGAGTGTGAAGCGCGAGGAGCTCGAGTCAAACCTCGTGGGATATGTTGGTTACGGAGGAAGCGGTATTGGAGGTTGGATACACTAATCTGCCATTTATTCATTTGTTCATTAACTCTTTTTCAGCGAATGAGAAGCGCGAGGATGATGAAGATTATGCACCTGCTGCCTAGATGTGATGGTTACTCTATTCGAGGAGCGAGGAACCGATCACATGCCAGTGGTCTAAGGCCGAAAGCATAACCGTCATTGAAGTCTTGGAAGTTTCAGTATTTTCCGTTTAGATTATCACAGGCGTTCTACTTACTGAGTATCTAATCCTTACTCATTGTAACTTGGAATTCCCAAAATATAACTAGGCTGGTATATCACTTGCGCGAGATACTCAACTTTGTGACGCCATCTTGAGCCCACTAAACCAACTTGTCATCATACTTATTTTTCAACCTTCCCCCTTGCCTTTCCTTCTCTTTTAGATGACATCTCATCATCTGGTCTGGCCCATCTCGTTACTTGACAGTGACACACCTAAACCCATAATGCCAACACCCCTCATGAGAACCTGTGCTTGCGCCCCCGCGCTAGAGCTAGCTCATTTTCGATACCTGCAAGTGTCAAGAACTTCAAAGTAAGTGATGCGTTTGGAAATCTCGTTGTTAACGTACTATCCAGATTCTAGCGCTGAACCTCCGGTGGAGGGCCCCAGCCTCACGGCTGCGCCGTTCGACTTTTTTGAATTCCATTTGACTTCGGTGGGACATTGACCGGAAACATTAGTCCGTGCGCTCGTACTACAGCGACGTGGTCCGTGCAACTTGTAGCCCTGCCAACGATTCTAGAGTCGAGCAAGAGAGTATATTAGCATTAGACGCTGTAATTAGTGTCGAACTAGAAGGAAATGCTAACGCCCCTGCTAAAAGGACGACAGAACACATTACCATTCGAACAATGAATGAAAGAAGTGAGAGTCTGGATGACGGTCGACCGTCCATGTGGTAGGAATAGGTCCGAAGGCCGGGTCAAGAAACTTGACGAGCTCACGAATAAGCAAAGAGAAACGATAAACGCAACGAAGGAGAGGCTTCCTGAGACGGAACGGCACATATTGAGTTGATGCGAAGAGAGCGTCAGCTGGCACGAAACCACCCGTTCGACCTCAGGAATGGGACCTGCCGGTTCTGCTTGGGCTGAAAGCCGCAGCTTTGGCCTGGCTTGGGGCGGCTTTGGCTTTCAAAAAATTTAGGCCAGGCCGTCAGCCAAAGCGGTGGTGATGCGCTCATCGTGAAGCTGGGGACAGAGACACGCGTCGATATACGTATTTTCATTATATCGAGGACAGCATTCACGAGCTATCCCACTTCACTCTTAGCGTTGAGAGCACTGTCATATTGATGTACTTATCAGAAGCAGATAGTGTTAATGAAACACATGCGCACCACGAGGTATTCTCGAGGTGTGTAGCGCACAATTTCAATATCCCAGATATCTGAACTATTGACTCCCCTGATCACCTGAGGACCGCCTCATGTTAAGAAGTTGTCTTACACGTGTTTTCTGTATTTGCAGACTGAATGGTGGACGCTAGGCAAAGTGTTGACGCTGAGACCATGACCCACGTTGCACAAGCGTTGAATGTGACACGCACGAGTCATCCACTCAGTGACAGGTAGGTCACCTATTCTCGCCTAAGCCAGGCTCACTTCCGGCAAGGCATGCCAGATGAGCAATGCAACAACACAGCACCTGTCTCTGCAGAATATCAAGAGCTTGGCACTAAAGACGACCGGCAGTCACCTAAGTTAGCTCATATCGAGATATCGGTCGTTAGGATAATCATGAGTTACGATCCTATAGATTCGCATAGGCTTGCTAGCGGACGGGGTGAAAGGATGTCTCCATTTCTGAAAGCGCGACGAACCACGACAAAGCGTCGTAGTTGTGGATGGGCGACACTTTGAAGGCAGGGGGAGGTGGATTATAGGAGATGTGATCATATGAATCCTTAGATTTGATTATAGCAGGGAAGGATCGATCCTATATCTCATAAGGGACGATAGTCGATGGGGGACAGGCAGTTGGGGGATGAGGTGGAAATTGGAGTGGTAAACGGTATACAGGACAGCACTAGACTGGTGCGCCTGCTTGTTGTCATCTTTGCCGACGTATGGCTCGCGGTGTCAATCGATCAATTACTGGTTCTGATGACCGGAAAAAGTTTCGTCGTCGTTTGTTTGGCATCCGTGATGATACACAATGTGCAAATGAACTCGAAGAAGTCCTGTCCACGAGTAGAACTAGATGAGAAACAAGTCAAAAAGATACCGCATCAAACGACAACACCTAACTTATCCCATGCACCAAGTGAGCATCTAGTTGGAATGAGTCACAGGGTGAATGAGCCATAGCAAAGTTCACCCACAAAATAGTATGATGCTCCCCACGTTGGTTAGCAAGCATCTTTGTGGAGATTGACCATCTCACTGAGAACCTGCTAGAAATCAGAGCCTTGTTCTTTCCAATCGAGATGAAACAGGCAGGCATTTTCTTAAGAAGCACTGTGAAGGAGCGGCTGCCTTTAGGTCTGAAGATAGAATCAGTACCAAGGACATGTTTTCTTCCTTGATGGAGAGCCGTAACAAGAAGAGTCTGAATCTACAACTGCAGAAACGACTTGATTTGAACAAGGCTGGTGACCAACAGGAGTGTATAGGTGAACTTGAAGTGGCTCGATGAAGAACCTGACTTTTATGATACACTTTTAAGCACCAACCTATGTGCTGATCCACGGTGACGGTCAACCCACTCAAGGGTTGATACTGAGATCTGAAAAGCGATGACAAAGCGGAAACGTACTTGTTGTGACGCTCTGCTACCAAACATACCATGTTGACAATGTATGTCGGACTCGCAAGCGTTCAAGTTGTTGGCAAAATGTTGCTGTTCCGTCAATTGTTTTGGGAGAAATGGTTTTGAAGTTTGCCGGGCGAAATACTACCGTGACTGGCCAAGAATCAGTGGGAAGACGAATGTCCGAGGTCAGGGAATCCTCATGACAAGGAAAGAACTTCTGATAGGTTTTCTCAGCTTCATGATACGGCCAACCAGAATACTGCAACCTTGAATGCGGCGTGTTGATCGAACTGCATAAGAAGATGCTGCAGGATGGTCCTATGATCGTCATAGGGCATCACTGTTCAATATTCAATGATCAACATGTTCAGATCTAGCGTCAACCTATGTGCAGCGAAGCGCTGCGAGGCGGCGCTGATCGCACATTTTCATCATGATGAAATTTTGGTGTGCGGGAACTTCGAGGAGTTCGTGCCATCTCACGGAATCTCACGGTTGCTGACTTCAATCTTCAATGAAGTTCCGAGTCTATCGACAACTGCCCACCTTCAACGAAATCGAATCGAAGTCTCACTCACGAGTTCTTGCTGATCAGATCAATCAACGGTCAGCTCTGCGCAGCATCAAAATTCCAAGGCCTGGCGTCCAATAAGATCGCGACCCGGTATTTTATGTAAAACGTCTACATCATTTGACTTTACCCCGGCCCTCAACACCCTCCGAGTCTCGTCTGAAGCATCGAGCGCCATGAATCTACGAATTTTTCATTTCTTGCTCTCGCTCTTCGATAAAATTCTTAAGTCACCCCTGCCCTGAGGTCCGAGGACCACCTTGTAAGATACAACGCCATGTTGGTGATGTAGAAGTGCCTTTCCCGTAGCCAAGTTGTAGAGCCTCGAGGTCTGCAATATTGTTATCCGAGTCTCCCTCACCGAGTCAATCGCCCAAATAATCGAAACGGGATTCTTCATACGAGGGACCGGAAGAAGGGATGTTACATGGTGAAGTACAACCACACAATGATCTGATCGATGAGAGTGTGATAATCTCAAGCGTGGCGCCAATCGCATCATGTGCCTGCACACACAGGCTGCCTCAGGCTGAGGCTACCGGCATCGTATCTACCAGTGTCGTTCCAAATACTATTACTCTTCGCCAGCTCCTACACGTTGTGCATGTATGAGATATAGTGGGCGCTGATATGCAAGGTCACTAAGACTACGTGGGTCAATAGACTTATATTAGCACCATGTCACCCCACGGCCGTGTGCCTGTTATTAACATGCTATTAACATGTTATTAACACACCTTTCTTAGCAGTGTTATTAACAACCCACTTTTCGTCTCTACCCTAGTCGCGAGCATCATGTCCGTGATGCATCAACTCGACACCGCTGTTCTCAGGTAAGGTACCAATGAGAGGGGGCTTGGGCTGGCTTCTGAAGCTCTTCGCTTTACGGCATAGGTCACAAGCCCAATATTGGGATGCATGATGATTCTAGGGCATGGCCGAAAATGTTCATCATAATATGTACGTGGTCAAGAGATTCTTACCACCGCGCTGTTCTAGGCTGTTCCTAATACCTATTACTCGGATAAGTCAAAGGGAAATTTGTAGCTGACGAGGTTTTCGAGGTCTTCAAGTTGTCATGACGTTCTTACGTTACGCTGCACCTTGTTTTCGGGAGCTTTGGGGAGCCGAAGTACTTCGGAATGGACTCATCACTCCGTTAGTAGAACGGAAATTATTAAAAAGTTAAGTAAATGGGGTACTGCAAAAGGCGCATCCGACAGTATGGCTCGTAATGCATCTGAACAGATGGGGATTCTACTAGAAAATTAACGAGCTAAGACCAAAGCAATAAGTACACATGCAATAACAGGAACTTCGGTGCATATCTGGGGTTACGCTGGAGCGTTGGTGCTTTTGACGGTGGGCGTTGGTTATCTATACGGAATGGAGCAGTACTAATAATTCACGTTGAGTCTTTGTTAGAAGGGACGCAATGTTCCTTTCACAGGTCCGAGACCGTTCTACTAGGGGTGAATAGTATCTGTGAGCATGAACTGGTAAATTAAAAAGTTGATTGAATGGGAACGTTGACGACACGAGGAACATGATAAGCACAATGTGAACTACGACATCGATCAATGATCGCAGAGTTTCCGATAAACGTTAATGACTAGTTGGCACATCGACATATTCTTGAAATCCGAATTCGAAGAAAGACGTCGATCCCAAAAAAATGACCGTGGTTCGGCACACCAGTCAAGCGTGGCACCATAACACCTCGTTATTGGAATAATATTCCATAGCTTTATGTCACGTCGAGCGCCAGACGTACGTGTAATTGAAATAGTCAGCGGTCTCCGTGGTGTTTAATGGGCTCAGATCTATCGTGATCCAGAAAATCCGGGGGGCATCGACGAGCACCGTGACGAAAAAGAGGGGCCGAGGCCATGATCTACGATAATGATCATTGATCATGCGCTCCAGTAACACGAGGGAAAGATACTGATTTCATTTTCTTGATACGTGAGCCGAGATATCTGCGAGTAGATATTACAATCCTGCGAAAGGAATGAAATAGCACACCCTCCGTTATCTTGTCCCCCTGATAGGAGTAATAATACACCGCGGCTATTGTGGAACGGTGTAGATTATAAGAATGCCGCTGTTGCAATCAGTGAACCAATTGAAGGTACGCCCAGACTCGCAGACCCAACAGGGTGTCGACAAACTTGGGAACGAGCCTATGTGACACTCACGTGTTGAGATGCTTGTGGGCAGAGGTGCTCACCAATCATCTGTGGTCCTTAATCCATCAAACAAAAGGCCGACTAGAAAGTGAGACATGCTTGTAAAAAAAATCAATAGGCATTTGCACTATTGTTCAGATCTTTCCACAATGCTTGGGCCACATCGTGGGCGCAAGTGTCAGTCATGCCACAGCCTGTCTTCCACAACACTTTGACCTTTGAGACCTATATAAACTAGAGCGGCGGCACTGTAGAATGCACCAGACTAACCGTCAATATCTGTCCATCAACATGTCACGCCTCGAATCTTTATCGCCGCTGTCACCTTCGAGCACATGCTGGATACCGTCTAGCGCCGACGCCTACACGACGTTTGAGGGCTTTTGCTCCCAGCCGGGGTACAGCATCTCTCAGAGCCAATCAGCGGATCCACTCACAGCATCCTTTGACATATTCACGCCTCCACAAAACCGAATGAGCGCAAAAATACGCCCAGGGACGTTTGTTGTTTTTGCGTTGTCAACAACAGAGCTCGCGCAAGAATATCCAGAGGACTCTGAGGACTATCGCAAAATCTGCCAGTACACTCCTGGACGTTATCTCGGGCTTGTAACTTCAGCGTTCGTGCGATGGAATGAAGACGATGGCAGCACAGTCGAAGACGTGATCGTCCACTTTGTATCAAAATATACGCCACAGCCCTCAGTAGTTGCGAACAACTTCATCCCCATCTTTCCTGTCAGCAGCACCGTACCGGAAGACAGCTCTGCGCTCCACACGAGCATCTTGTTCCCGTGGATTGACCACAAACAGTGGACGACATTTGGGGTTCGCCTTCGCGTCTGCCAGACAAACCCATCGGCGCTGGTATTCGAACTTTGTAACGAAGATTTTGAGCGCTTCGAGGATAAGGCGGGAAAAGACTATAGCCAATTGGAATCTCTCGATGCGACATTGGACGATGAAGCCAAAGACACGCTAGCGAGACTTTTGGTGGCGCCGTTCGCTTTGCCAGCTGAGATCTGGTTTGACATTAGGAATCATCCGGACATAAAGGAACCTCCGTGTTTCATTGAGGATGTCGACTCTCTTGAAAGGTGACTTATTTAGCGATGTCATATTGATCTGTTCCTGGTACTGACTAAGTGATAAATGATTTTAGTATCATCGCGGGATGAACGCCAAGACATCACGAATGCAGTGCCCTTGACGAGGAGTGAAAAAAACATAGCTTGAATAGGCGGTTGGAGATTATGTTACATGTATGTGGATACTATGATTGATATGCAAATCACGAGATATGGAAAGTTGACATCGGCGCGCTCCGACGAATGTGCTAAGGCTTCAGTGTGAATATATAGCATCTCATTGTAGTTGACCCACAAATACCGCAAGTATGTAAGCCGCTATTTGCGACGGCCAGGCACAGTAGCCGCGCGCATTCGTGAACGGCTAGGCTTGCGGCTAAGTTGGCCTCGATCTTCCACCATCGACTCCTGAGTGATTTTGCTTATCTCTGCGTCCCCAGGTGCAGACGATGACTGCCATCCAGGGAATTTCCTTCGTGAGGCATTACTACCGACTTCAAGATACTCTTCCCTTGTAACAACGTGGGTGGGGAACGCAGGATCATTCGCAAAAGCAATTGCAGAGCGATAAGCTTCGGTTACAGCGCTGACATTTTGTCATGTTGGTTATAAATATGATCGGTGAATGTCGGACGCACTCTTCTGACCGATATATCTGCAGATCATATTCGACCGGGGTGAGTGACAACAGTTCGGATGATCTGCAAGCAGTTATCACATGATATGTCATGACATAAAAAGTCTTACAATCGCTCGTAAAATCCTGGGAAGTTGGTACTACCACCGATCAGACCAATATTCGCCCAAAACATGCCTCGAAGGTCATCCGGAAGGAGCGCGATAGACGCAGCCACGGTCGCCGCCAGCCCCGATTGTTCTAAACCTAAGAGGATGTAGTTCATTTGGTGGTGCAGTATCGAAGTATTTAGAACACACCGATGTCATCGGGACGGAATAATAGTTCGGGAATTGTAAATCGCTCATTTTCCATGTGAAGGATTTGGTCAGTGGTTGATAACTCCTCGTTGGGAAGCCTGACGCGACCGTGCCTATTGATTGCGAAATTTGGCAGTACATACTCCTGAACTATGCTATTCTTTTTAGGATTCGAGCTTTCAGGGGTTAGGTAATTGCGACATCGCTAAACGGACATAATCTTACCGACAGGTTTCCAGGTCTTCGAAGAATCTCGTAGACACATAACAGCATGTCTCCTTGGCATGATTCATGATGTAAGTTTCATCCATCATATTCCACTGGCGGTATGAGACGAGTTCTTTGAGCTGGTTAGTCAGTAACTTGCCGCCAACATCGAGTCTAACCATATAAGCAGTTATCTTCTGGTCGATTCATATAACTCACCTCTTCACGGCATACCATTGTATTTGATTGTTGATGATGGGTACTACATGCGTGAAACTGAACCCCGAATCAATGACAACAAGGCACTCGGGTGGTGATGTTCCGCCTGCTTGAAAGAGACGGCCAAAGGGGATTGTTGCAGCCGCTTATAAAAACAAGCTGAGGGATGCGAAGAGGATCGGAACGATGCAACTTACGTGTACATCTGTGATAGGAATGAAACTCGTATTCCTCGAAGACAAACTGGTCGTAAACATCTTGGATATTGGGCAGATTGAAGTATGGTTCTGTGATGAGCAACGAAGACTCGGCGGTGTCCACCTGCGTGCCAAGTCAGTGTTTATCCAGCCAGAACCACAGGAGAGACGCACGTTCAGCACCTCGGACGAGAACACGCCGTCCCAAACAGCTTTTTGTGCATCCCAGTCCACCAGATAACCCTGCAGTGCTTCCACAGATAATGACAAATTTGTATACAAGAAAGACATTTCGATCACGAACCTTTTCAAAAGGTAGACGGTAATGAAGAGCAGAATAATCGCGACATCGTTCCAACTGATGGCCAAAATACGTTGTTTTATCACCTTTTGAGCGCACGATAGCGTTTGGGACCAATCTCGAGTTTCCTCTAGCGTCAAGTCGTTCTCAAAAGCAGACACTCTTACTTGGGTTGGTCATCATCATCTCCCTCAGGTCCCCTGGCTAAACCAGCCTTGATTGAAGAGGCACCATTATCCAATATGACCGTAGTCTGAGGCTGCATCAGTTCACGGCGGATGGAAGATCTTGCGACTCGAGTTGCCAAGGTGGACTAGGCAACGGCGATCAAACTTTTTGGACCCGCGTGGACGTCAAGTGCGCGTGAGAACGAACTGAGAGACCTCCGCAGCTCTGTTCAACTGAGAATCATCATCATTCTTCATTGATCTCGTCACTCGCGCGCTCTCTCTGCCAGATTCTCAACTAAGGAACACTCGAATCATCGTCAGTGAGAACAGCCGCCGTTCAAAGTCAGTATTAACTTTTCCTACGTGATACATGGTTCACAGGACCCATCGGTAAACCCAGACTTCATAACATCATTGCAAGTAAACGATCGTCTGATCTCATTTCTGATGTTGAAGCGGTAATCGCAGTCATACATTCCGCCTCATTGTGATCTCTTAACTTGCGCCTGAAATAACCATCAAGAATGTGTGTTGGCTTCTACACGCTCGAGCACCCGGAATATGCCCTGTACGTCCCGCCCTTCCATCTTATACGTTATCATGACATGTCAATGACCATGCGGCAAACTCAGTGTACTTTGCAGTAACCGTGACGAATATCTTGAACGACCCACCGATCTGGCTCGGTTTCATTCATTCGATAAGCTAGAGGAACATCATTTTCTAGAGGGAAATATTCTCTCTGGTATTGACGTTCGTGCTGGTGGAACCTGGTTGGGTGTTAATCGGACCGGAAAAGTTGCCTTTTTGTCCGTACCCTCTTCACCAGATTGCACGCCCCTGACGATTTTTTTCTCACAGAACAAACATCACAGAAGAGTACAAGACGTATGGTTCTTCCAGGGGTGACCTCGTTGCCAATTTTCTTTCGTCAGATTCGGAAGAGGACGTACACAATCTTATCCCTCGCGATGCTAAATATGCAGGCTTTAATTTATTACTCTTGACACCATCCACCCGTGGTGAACACGACTTGATATTCGATGGAACATATGTCACCAACCATGGTGGAGGAGGAACGCTCATTGTCCGCCCGCTGACTAATGCTGAGAGAAGATGTGGGGGCATGTCAAACGGAATTGATGGTAAAGGTGCTGAAATGTGGCCAAAAGTCCAAAACGGACTTCATTCGTTTAAATCGATCATGAACGCGGTCTCACCGACCATGCCGGAGAAGGAACTAGCCGACAATCTCTTTGAGCTATTGACGTGGGTATAAGCATGCAACAGCCTAGCCCTCCACTTACTTTGGTCAAATTTCCCAGTTGGAAATGTTCGCAGCCGCCAAGCGCACGCTCAGAACTGAGGAACACAATCCAGGTGGAACCATTTATAATGCAAGGGTCACGAGAGTTCTATGGAACGCGCCTTTCGACGGTGATATTAGTGAAAAGAACCGGGGAAGTGTTGTTCATCGAGAGAGATAGGTGGAAGCTCGTTGATGCCAAGCCTGTATTGTCAGATCACTCTTCACAGCGTGAATTCCGTTTCGAATTGCAGCCAGTTCATTAATGATGTCTATGTAGTTCGCCGCACATTGTATGATGATAGTACAGTTCATGTAATGTACAGGTGCTGTAGTTTTGCTACTCTAAGGCACAAGAGACTATAGGCATCATAACATCGTCATAGCCAGCGTGACGAGAGTAAATATATCTGAAAGGGGCTGCTAGGACTAGCTCACGATGGAACGGATGCCCGCTCATGTGATGATATTACTATACAGACCCTGTTCAGTTGGGGAAACGGGGAAGTAGGGATTAAATCTCGAAGAAGCCATGGCATTCCACTCTGATACAGAAGCTGATGAGGATCCGTGGAACGGGGTACTTGAGGACGAATGCGACGACAAAATGTCACTTTCGGTAGGTGTGGGAAGGGTTCCATATGGTGATCCCGATGCCTCATCCGGATCATTACCACTAGTTCTCACAACAAACAAATTAGTTAATATGAACACGAGGTCGCCGCGAGGCAAGGCAGGGACAACACACCGCATGAGATCATGCAATTCAATGATGCGCCTGAACAGCTGGCACTGGGTATTTTCGGGATGCTGAGCATACTGCCGTAAAGAGTTCAGTGTACTTTGCAGCTGATGACTCAGAGATATGAGGGCATGACCGGTGGCAGGATTTGTTCGGCACGAACAAAAAGAATGCGAGACGGGGGAGTCAGCGAAATGATTTCCAAAAACTTTATCTTGTTCGGCGGAGTTCATCGGATAGACGTGACCGTTTTCTTGAAACGAGGAGTCGGTATGGTGATGGTTATACGTCATATTCTGATTGGATGTGGGGGATGAGTACGGCATAGAGCGCCCATTACTAGGTAAGCTGTTGCTGTAATGATGACCATTTTGACGCTCGAATGGTGGCGATGATGGGTTATCTGGATGGAATGTAGAGTAAGACGCTGGAGGGGATGGCGAAAAGCAATACAGATCGGGCCGCGAGATGTCTGTAACGGGTTCAATTTTGATGGGGGCACCAGCGGCAGAAACCAAGCCCCGGGGTTCTTGGTTGGTGCGCTCTAGTACATCGTCAGACCGACCACGCCGTCTGAGTTGCATGTTGTTTTTGGCTGCTCGTGAATGCCACCTTTCTGATGGATCTCCGTCTCGGAAATTGGCATCAGCCCAGCGAGGATGTGGTTTCCCTGTCGTAAAGCAGGCGAGTAAGAATGCTGCAAAGGAATTGCGATTATGTGAAACGCCATACGCACCACGCAACTCCCTCACGAGACTTTCGAGTTCTGCAATTCTGTTTCTCAAACGAGTGGCTTCGTCGATCGTGGGATCATCCCTAGTATTATGAGATAAGCTTAACCTAGTATAACGCCACAAAAAAGACAAACCTCAGTGCTGGATCATCAATCTCATAGACACAAAGGCCAGTCTGAAAAAACGAGGTGTTAATATGTAATAATAGACACGAAAAGCATGAACGTACTAAGCCGAGTTGTATACAGCGCTGACATGGTCGTTTTCTATCACACTGGTGGCGCGTCAGAGATGGCCAAGTTGTGAAAGAGTGTCACTGAACCTTGCGCTTGGAGGTGTGACAGTTAAGACATGACTGAGTTGTTCTATTGCGTCTTCTCTTGCGATGGTCAGTATCGACGGTGAATTCGAGATCCATTATTTCGCCTTTTAACTGAAGTGGAGGTAGAACAGAATCAGTGGACATTCAAGATGAAAAAGATTTGAGGCGAGGAAGGAACGAGTTGAAACGAGTTTAAGAGAATTAAAGCTAGTCTTACTTATGTGTTCACGGCGCATTAAGTAACTGACCAGAAGAGATCTGAAGAGATCCAGATCGCCTCGGGCTGTAGACTTCTTCGCAAAAACTTGTCTGTGGGATCCAGCCCTGTACAAGGTTGCCTTCCAGTCTCGGCAGTGACATAAATACAACGTGTGAGCGTAGACCTGGACTACCGCATCTGGACTCATCTCCTTCCTGCCAATCTAAGCCACCATTCGTCTTATGTACTAGTACAACTCACACATCGCTCAAGAGTCTAAATTCAAAAGCAGTACTGGTCACCTCGGAAATCTGATTAGCCTCCACCTAATTCATCATATCAGATGTGCATGTGAACCAAAAGTTAAATCTCAGCGAACGCCGCCGCGACAGGATATCCATGATTGGCATTGCATTGCATCGTACTAGTACTTTACTAGTTCACCGTCAACATTCTGTAAGTAGATCACTCATTTCAACATTGATGTATACCACTTAGTGTGACATACTCATACGATTCACTCGCGTTTCACGGATCACTTGACTTCAAGTGACGAGTCATTCATCCAACCTCGCCTGAGAACATCACCGTCTTTACGGGGAATTTTGAGGTCCCAATAACGTGAAGCATCTAATTATTGATTCACAGGCATTCACCTACGTCTTCATGTCCTGCTATCGCACAGAAGGGAAATGGCCGTCACGTTTTCTTGACGCTGAATGATGGAACTCCCATGACTTTAAGCGTAAGACACACACACACCTCTTTCCTAAAAGAATCAAGGTTCGCCTCCACTCCGTTCATTAAAATCGTTTTGGTCCATCCTGAGGAATGGATGGCGCATATTAACTTGGTCAACAGTTACATACATGAATCAATTTACCTGTGTAGTTTACTCCGACGCTGTCCGGAGTCGGCGCGAGATACTGACTTCGCTTAATCCAGTGCTGTTCCCCTATCACCCAAAGGCACGCACTGAGATCACGAGACAGACGGACAGCGGCTTCCGGGGACACTGGTCCTCACGCTTACGTCTTAGCTCGGTGAGGCATTGCCCGCCCCAATACTGAATGGTCACCGTAACTTGTCAAGATCGGAGGAAAGCGACTCCACATATCAATCCATAAAGGATCCGCTATAGTCGGTAAGTCAGACTTGATCAGGATCTGTGGCTACAGAGTTGAGTTTGAACTACGAACCTACCAGGTACTTGGCTCTCATCTTCCTTTTCGAATATCCTGGTCACATATGGTCAGATTCCCTCTCACCAATCGAATTAGGCATTTGCATTCAAATCAAGAAATGCAGAACGAGTTTCAGAACGACGGTCAAAGCGAACAGGCGCACGAATTCATCATGTGAACATCTCCTTATGTGGAATAACAATGTTGAGAACAGCCGACTAGATATATACTTACTGAGAACTCATGTGTAACGCAAATTTCCGACACTGAACATATACCTTGAGACTCTCACTGTAGGTTAACACCTGAACAGGCTGTAACTCGCTGTCACCATGTCAGGTATTACCCTGATGGGGAGCCGACTTGATTGATAGAGACCACGGTCATAAATCTGTTCTAGTGCAGTCATTACCTTATCGCCTGGTTTTCGATGGAATGTCACATCCTCAATTCAATGCCTGTGCGCCATTTTTCAGATTGGAAAAACCTAGGCAAAATATTGATCACTGAGAACCCAGTTGTGGAGAAGACCGAATTCGATTTGTTCCAAAGTGCCCGTCGCGGGATAAGCCGACGTCACGTATTCTGGCGCACAAGGCAGTTTCCGAGATCAAGACACCCGCATGAAATGAATATGAATACCACCGCAGAATCGATGCATTCTCGAGCACATGGGGACCTAGGGTCTGGTCACAAACGTCGCAAACAAGTTCGAGGGAGAGGTTCCTTAATGATCTTTGATGACTGTTGCGAGAGTAGAGTTCCATACCAAGGACCCCAGATACACGTCGGACAACTTGTCCATTACCATCGGTCCGAATGAAGGCGGTTGCCATCAGCGTGCTTCTCTCTTCAAAGCTTCAAGGTCCGACGAAGGAGGACGTCGTGGCCAAGCGTGCCCACTTAGCGAGAGAGCTTTAGTCACCCACAAGGCTTGCCATCAGGCTGATCAGTGAACAGAAGTCTCGAGCTACCACAGCGCACACATGCAATGCCATGCATGCTACGTTGCTGTGTATATCTAGGGTGGAGCTGCTGACGATGCCGATATTCTTGCGAATCACGCGAGCTTCAACTTCGAATTCGTGATTACTTGGCTCCAGCGTTTGGGTAAACTTATTGGCACTGACCCACACACATCGGTCCATATTGTGGAGGTGCGTAAGCAGCTACAGGGTGTCAGTCTGTGATCTAACATGGTCCGATCAGGAGTCTTCGTTTGTACGACGTGGCGCCAGCTAACTCGTGAATTTTGGATAGCACTGAAGGAGCAGCAATAACACGCTGTTGGCAAGCCTGTTTTCTCGAACGAGGGACTCGACATGGAAATAATTCACCACCCCCTTACTGGAAATTCGGCTAATGCAGCCGCTGCTGCATAACTGTCATTTCCTTGCCATTCTTGGTGACTCGCGCCAAGTCTCATCGATCATGGGCGACTTTGGCATCATATATGCCCCCTCAGGACTTTGAATTGTTGGAAGTGAGTATATTCCTCAAAAAATCATAGCATGATGTGATCAAATCGTATTTGGTTGTACCCCCCTGATGGAAGGGAGTTGAAATGTACGACAGGTAAGCACGGTGCTATTGCCAGCACTGCCCGCCATTGCCGCTCCCCCCAATCTTTCAAAACTTTGTAGTGACAATTCCGCGAGGGATTTCGGTCGATTCCCGCGGCGACCGCATTCGATTGTTATCAACACGCACTTTTACGGCCAAACGACTTCTATTCATGCTGACTACTGTCCCCAGAGTCATCACTCCGGGCATCAAGAATCCCGCTACTGATCAGCTCCTACTGGACGGACTCTTGACAGGCGCAATGCCAGATGATCACACCGGCAAACTCAAGATAGCGGTAAAGTGTGGAGACCACTCAGGGGGAAGGTTTAGATTGACAGTTTATCTTTACGGTCTACGGTCATTACACAAAGCCCCCCGTGTAGAGAAATGCTTCCAATGTATGATGGTCTGGCTAGGCGTGATCCCCTGAGCGAACCTGCACCGGACTTTCCAGAAACGGACCCGGGCTCCGGGATCTAGGTTCTATGGGTGTTGTCCGGGGTCCTTGCCACAGTTGCTTCAGGGACGTCGTTGGCGTGGGATCGCCAAAATGACGCTGGCACATTCGGGTACCTCGTTCCTGCGCCGAGGATCGTCAGGAGGAAATCCGAGGACAGCATTCGATCCCCGGTTACGTGGAAAGTTCACCGGCGGCTACTAGGACCTGTATTGATAGTTCTAGAAATTCGAGAAGGAATTGTACAAAATGAAGTGGAGACGCTATCAGTCAAGATGTGCAGGGACGTTATTATTGACTGGTGACGGAAGAAGACAGAAGGCAAAGCTCAACCATTTACCAGACTGATGGGATCGTGTACTGGAAGTTGACTGATCGACAATCAATTGCTGTATAGCACTAAAAGCCTTGGCAAAACATAAACCCTACGGCGATCGTATGTTTAATTTTCGGCCAAGTGGGAAGAATATTAACAAAACAACTCAATGTAGTTGAACCGTCCCGTTGCGATGTGCATAGACTGGATAGATAAGCACCGCCTAGAATCAATCCTGCGGTGAACTTGTCGTTAGCTGAGATAGTTGCGCCAATGCTCATATGACCATGATGCTCCAAATGCCTCAAGTTATATTGCGAAGACCGGAAGGTTTACATAACCAGCTTCGGTACTCCTATGTAGTACATGCATTTCAACTGCCGTCGCGCCAAAATATCTGAGAATAAATCAGAAATAGCAAAGATGCACTAAATGTTCCGGGACGGATGGAAACATTGTTGATACCACCGAAGCGAAGCATTCGGAGAAGAGACCTCTCACCGATAGTATCAATGGTGTCCATCACCACTGGTTCTGACATTAATGTGTCATGAAAGTGAGTCATGGAACAGATATTCATCAGACTTCTCTGTTCGCCATCCTGCTTACGTTGAGACGAAGGTATTGAATCTCGCAAGACCTCGAAACTGACGACTGGGGATGCCCCACAACATGTGGAGCAGAAGGCCGCAAGGGTCGAAGAACTTCAAGCCATGTATATTCCAAAGTTCGCATAGCTCGCGAAATGAAACGAGGAGCATCCGAACGATGGTCGGCCCGATAAACCCGGCCGGAGATCCGGGTGGGGAGAATAATTACTGGCACAGCGTGACGCTCATGATGCCGTCGGAGAATTCAATTGGTATGACTGATGAGAAAATGAATCAATCTGGACAGATATGGATAAAAGTGAAGGCGCTGAGTAGCGGAGAGGGGCCAGCTCCTGCCGGCAGCTCTCGACGGCGATTCAGTACGAAAGAATTTCGACTACATAGCTTGACTGATGATGATCGTCCCTCTGGGGACGTATATGATTGAGAGCCAATTGCAACACAAGTGTACTGACTGAGGGAGGGGTAATAGAATGAAAAACACCGACAGTTCAAATCGGAGTTCATTGTTTGAAAATGCGGCTTCGACTTATAGCAAGCGATCACTGATCAAAGAATATTCTGTCAGCATTTACTTGATTGCAACAGAACAGAACAGAACATTACAACCTATTACTACTACATCCCCCCTTCAAAGTTCATTGTTGACAATTCGGTAGTTGGTTTGCAGTAGGATGGTAGCGAATTGAGGCAGGTTGATGTTGCATGATTATCATCAGAATAAACTAAGGCGAGGGCTTGGCTGGCGTTCCATTAATCGAAGTGTCTATCACGGCGGTGGTAAGGTTTGAGAGCTCTCGCTAAGTATTTGTCCATTGAGTTCGGGCCATCAGTACCTGGCCCCGACTGATAGTTATGTTCTCGTGCCTTTTCAGATAAGTTCGATTGATTGATCAATGATGGGCGAGGTTCCATATATCGTTGGCAGAGACCATGGAAGCCTAGGAATGATAAATTAGTTCCCGTATCAACCGCAATTGTATATCCATTCCAACACTCGTCATTTGTTCGAATTCCGCCTACGCACTGGATACGTGAGATTCTTCCTCTGTTCGCCATCGATACGCCCAAGGCTGTGCCATTCGTTATACTAGATCATAGTCTGGCATTCGCGACAAAAAAAGGAACGACTGTCTTCTTTCTCTATGGTTGATTAGGGTTGAGAAAGGATAACATAGTGCAGGAGGATTGCAGTCACTCACTGGCAGTCGATATTGACATTCAATATTCAGTTACCGGTTCTGTTCGCGATTTCAATGGAGAGTGAAATTCCATCAAAACTGATCCTTATTGGTAACATTTGATCACGTGTCGGCAAAAGAAATGAAACGAGTAGCAAGGCAGGCCAAGCTTACAGCTGGCTTCGTGCGTGCGTTCAAACCATCATCTACATTGCGATGGCTTACGAGGACAAGAATGTATCGCCCACTTCTCAAGCGGAAGAATCAGACCCCGACGCGCTGCTTTCACCACCTTCCGATGCTAGGCCGGAACCAGGGCTTAACGGTAAACCTGTTCGCTGTGAGTAGCTCCGTTTTTTGCGGTAATCCACAGTTTGAGCGGTCTCCATAGGGTATGATGTGAGTGGACGAATTTGGAACTTACAGTTAAATTTAAAGGTTAAATGGGAATAATGACATAGGCGGATAGGACAGAGTCATACACACGAATCGCGCCTTTCCAAGAGGGGCATGATACTTCTATAGAGTGAGTAGTAAGCATTATGATAGTCTTTCGTACTCACAGCCCTCAGGTTCTTCTATAGGCCAATTACGCTAACTGCACTCGGCTTTGGCTTAGCTGCACTGAGCTATGTGGCCATGACCCAGGACGTCCTGGAAGAAGGCCGGGACAAGCGACGTGTGTGCGTTTGAATGATGTATTTGTGTGAGGTCTGATAGTAATCGTCAACATTCTTTGACAGGGGCGCTTATGCTGCAGTAGTCTCATTCCTCATGTTCTCGATGATCCAATTCCGGGATGGACCATTCATTCGTCCCCACCCTGCATTTTGGCGAGCAATACTTGGAATCAATTTACTTTATGAGCTTGCCCTTGTCTTCCTGCTGTTCCAAGATTTGAACTCTGCGCGACGAATGATGACTCTTTTGGATCCTTCACTGAACAGGCCTTTGCCTGAGAAGAGCTATGCGGAAAACTGCGAACTGACACCGCAGAATATTTGGGTGAGGTATTTTTAACGTTGCCACCTAATTCTGTGGCATTGATAAGTCAACAGGATGCAATCGATATCTTTTGTCTAGCACATGCTCTGGGCTGGTTTGGCAAGGCTATGATACTGCGCGATTATTGGTTTTGTTGGGTATTTCCAATCTAACTTCTATTTGATTTCACGGATCTACATCTCAGCTTTAGATTCTGAGCATTGCATTCGAGTTCGCAGAGTATAGCCTACAACATCAACTTGCGAACTTTGCTGAGGTATGTCTGTCGGATCTACCACATACCAATTAACGCTCGTCTAAAAACAACTTGTTGATTGACAGTGTTGGTGGGACCATGTACGCCATTACCTTGTTGGACCTGGCGTTTGATAATTTTGCTTCCGCAGTGGATACTTGATGTTCTAGTCTGCAACTGGCTAGGAACTTATCTGGGTGAGTATCGGGAATCTCAAGTGTGAAATATCTGGGATGCTAATACGACATGATAGGCATGAAGACTTGCCAGTATTTGGAAGTGAAAGTGAGCAGCCACCTCAGTTTCACATGCGGATGATAGAAACATGTATGTTTCAGCCTTACGAGTGGCGCGGCCTACGGCAAACTAGGGGACTGCGGTCAAAGGCTCGCCGCGTGCTCAGCCAGTTCTCCCCACACGACTGGACTGCATTCAAATGGGAGGGGACCGCATCGTTCTTGCACTATGTGATAGTGGTATTGCTCCTAGCAGTCTTTCTTGCTGCGGAGCTGAATCCATTTTATCTCAAGGTGAGATGCTGATATGCCGGTTACCCTAGTTGCGATTCTCACGGAATCGGTAGAGTCTGCTTTGGATGGAGCCTGATCATCCGATTGTGATACTAAGGCTTGCAGGCGTCTTTCTTTGCGCATTGCCTGCTGTACGAGAACTTTACCAATACATAAATAACCCGAGGTATGTGTGCTGTGTGTGAGTGACTCGAAAAATTTCTCACTTTCATCGCTATTAGGAAAGCGAAACGGATGGGGCAACATGTGTGGCTCCTTCTAGCCACGATCCTGACCGAACTTATGGTTATCACTAAATGGAGCAAGGGTCAGTTCACGGAGCCGCTTCCATTGTATGTTCGGTGGGCATGGATGATCGGGGTAATTTTGTTGGTGTTATATCCGGCAATCAGGGTGAGTGCCCCCCCTGTTCATTGAGTGTTTGAGTTTTTGGCGTTGGCTGAAACTGAGGATATAGTTTGGCCTGCCGAGCGTGCGCAAATACGTCGGAAAGCAGAAACAGAAGCGGAAAGGGAAAGGAAAGGGGAAGAAGGCGCAGTGAGACTTCATATTATATTGCTGATATCCCTTAATATACTACCTGTAGGTCCTTATTGTGCATGAATCAAGTTCCCCTGTTATAATTAAGTTATGCTCGACGTTTGTCCGAAGTGGGAGAGAAACGGATAGGGAATATTCTGGTGCTTACTGGAGGGTACCACAGGATGTGATTAGTCATCGATACGACATTAGTCATCAACACGGCATTGTGCATAGATTGCCCTGGTCCGAGAGACAATCGTTCGTTCGTTCTTGTTCTGCGACCGCCACCACCACTGTCACCAGCACCACTACCACTTTCTTTTCTGCGACTGCATACATTGTAAAGCACAGTTTCAGATTTGCCATGGACAACAACAACGGCGGTAATGACGACGGTCGTGGTCATCGTTTTGGTCACAACTTCCATCTACCAACGTCAATTCAGAACGTATTTCGAAATATAAATCAAGCTTTTTCCCATAATCATGGTCATCCTGCACAGCCGGACTCTGCACAGGAAGTCGTCATGTCTGACGCGCCCCCGCTCGAGCCTGTAGACGCTCACGCGCCCGCTGTAGATCGCGACAGGACTCCAGTTCCAGAAACTTCTGCCCTGCCGCTCCAGACTTCCCAGTCTGTACCATTCGCTGAAGATGTAGATATGCTACCTGCTTCCAGCATCCCATCCTTACAAGCTCAGCCCACCCGCGATGACGATGAGGACTCCATGCCAGAGCTGCGCTCCGTGTCAGATTCTGATGAGTCTGACGACAGCCAATCCTCTCGTGCAGAGACACTACCCAATCTCCTGACAGTCGACGATGACCATGACAGTGACTGGACGGATGATGAAGACGATCTACCACCACTCGAGCCTATCGCCGGGAGTAGACGCGCTCGGGTGGAGGATGATGTAGACGAAGCGCGGGATCGTAGGCATCCTTCAGAGCGTGTAGGTCGTCCTGCCTCACCTCCTATCCCTCCTCCACAACCGTCTAATCCCGAGCAGCGTCCACCTACCGGTAACCAGGCATTCCTAGACGGCTTCATGGCTCCCTTATTTGGGATGAATACAATGCCTGGTGGTAATACATTTCCAGGACCTGGTCCTGGCGCTGAGAATATCGCGGTAGAACATACTGGTGAGGGCGTTGCCCATCCTCCGCGACCGCAAAATAATCCAATCCCTGGTCACGTACATCATGCCGTGCCTATCTTAACTGCAGGTTTTACTTTCACAATACCTCTTGGAGGTCCTCCGAATCAGAATGGAGGTGGCCCTGCCCCACCCCCATTTGGTGCAGCAAACGTGCAACCCGATGCTGCCGGAGGTCGGGATGGTTTTCTCCAAGCATTCGCAGATTTCTTGCAGCAAATGCAGCAATTTGGGGGGCTTGATGACAATCGAGAAGATCCTGAACGAGCGAAGAAACTCATTGCGGGTCTGGAGGCCGTACCCATAGGGCTCGTAAAGCGCTTGGAAAGAGTTGGTGGTGCGCCTGGTGGACACGTAGATGGTGCAGAGGCTACCGAATCTTCCTCTCCGGGATGTGCAATCTGCTGGGATACTTTATTGGATGCCGAGAGTGATAGCTTCAAAGCAAAAGCTCCAGAGGAACCACCCGCTGGAGCCAGCACCGAAACTTTGGAAGCTGAATCAAATGCGCCGATGAGCACCGATTCTGCGTCTGCTCCATCGATGCCCACCTCGACAGATTCAGACCTGCTGTCTAGCTCCCAAAGCTCCAACTTTCCGTTAGAAACATCCGTCCCTGAGGAACCCAAAATCATCTCCCTCCCTTGTGCTCATGTCTTCCACGAATCATGTTTGCTCCCCTGGTTTACAAGGGCGAAGCAAGCGACGTGTCCAACATGTCGGTTCAACATCGATCCCGAGAACCTTACCAGTTCGCCGCTTCCTTATAACCCTTTCAACTTTGGAGCGCCCCGTCCAGCTCCACAAGCAAACGGTGCTGCTCCTGCGACCCAAGCAGTTCCCGGGCCTGCACCTGATGCAACACAACCCATACCAGCTTCTACTGCCGAACAAGCTGCAGCAGCTCCTCCGCCTGCAGGACCCGCCGTCCCTGAAGCTGCAGCTGCTGGGCCAGCGCCTCAGCCTGCAGGTAACCAAGTTCCCCCCCAATTTCTTCAACCCTGGCCAACCTGGCCAGCGCTTCACCCTATCGAACGGCGTGCCTGTAGGCCCCGGAGCCACTGTACATATCCTGCAGTTTCCCGGAGGGAACGGATTCCAGGACTTCTTTCGTCGTGAAGCAGGAGCTGTTCCCACTGGTGCAGGTCCCATGCCACCGCCACCACTTCCTCGCTCCCGTACGCAGTCCCTTCCTAACATTGCAGATAACCGTCCTTTCGGCGGGCCACAAGCAGGCGACTTCTTAACCATCGGCCTCGATCTGATCTTCGACGAATCGTTGCCCGCAGATGCGCCACTGCCGCAGCAGCAGCCTCAGACACAGGGGCAGTCCCAGCCACAAGGGGAGCCGCAACCACAGCAGCAGCCTCAGCCTCAAGATGGGACCCAGGAGCAGCCACAGAACCAACCTCCAGGGCCAGCTCCAGAGCAAAGGCAAGGCCAAGCACCGCCTGTCGGCGAGGTGCCCCAGGAGTTCCAAAACTTTATCAACAATCTCATTCAAAGTGCTACGCGTACCTTCATCCCCGTCCCAATCTTCAACAACGGACCTGCTGCACCACAGGGGCAGCCTCAGCCTGCACAAGGGCAGGAGCCACCTGCCGACGGAGCACAGGTTCCTCCTGCTAATGCGCCTCCGCCCCCTCCAGGTGGTGCATCCCTGCCGATACCGCCATTCAACTTCCCACATGCGCACCCCATCCGCCCGACGCGGCCAATGCCTCCACGCCGCGAGAGGAAGACATGGATGCTGCCTGCCGCACCCGGTCCCTCGCTGCGGCAACGCGTGGAACAGAAGGAGCGCGAGGCGGGCCTGCGGTGCTACGATCCCTCGTGTGGCATTGGCCCGTCTGACGAAGACCCTGTCCCTGAAATACTGGCTGAATCAATGAACCAGCTCTCAATACATCCATTATCACATCCTGGAGAAGGATCTTTGTGTTCGCACACATTCCACCCTGCGTGCTTAGTTAGTGCGGAGCGCGTTGCCGGATGGGGCGCGGAAGATAAAACGGAGCTGCACGTGGAGGTGTCGTGCCCAGTGTGCCGTGATTTGGGGTCCGTCACGAGGGAGGAGTGGGAGGAGGGCGTATTGGCTCTCTGAATGATCGATCGATATTGTGATCGTCCGTTCATTTTACATGCTTCTTGGAAGTGTACCTGTATGGTGAGTGACGATGTGTAATGTTAGGGAAGCTGAGTGTTCTGATCGTGTACAGTCTTGTCTCTAGTAATGATGTTTCATAACCCCACAAAATATGTGACTTCTCAGATTATTTTACGTCTCTAGATTGTTACTTCCATCGCCCGTCATCGCAACATAGTCACGTGTATGTATGCCTCATTCTAATTGCACACGCGCAACATATGCATTCATGAACATTTGAAAATTCATCGAACCTTATCGCCGCAGCCAGATATATATGCTACCAATGTGCAGAAGAAAAAGTCTATATTGCCAAATACACGGTGAATTTTGTTATGTCAACCGAAGTGTAACTACAGTATTATTACAACTACTCGTTGCCTTGTTATAAATCGCCGAAAACTCAAGCACTCAACTTCTGGCGGAGGAGGCCCTTAAGTGTCTCGCCATCCTCAGCAAATTTCTTGATGCCCTCATGCAACTTGTCGAATGCCATCGAGTCCTGGAGAAGGGCCCAACGGAACTCAGGCTCGTTGTCAACGAAAGTGACCTTGGGCAGGGGCTCGGCTTGTGCAGCTGAGGAGGGGATTTAGTCGTTTGTTAAATGGAAACTACAAGGTACATACCAACACGGGCGTCGAGCCTCTTGGGAACGGGCTCGGTCGAGTTCTTGAGTTCCTCGAGCAGCGCGGGGGCAATGGTGAGGAAATCAACACCAGCGAGGGCCTTAATCTCGCCAGCCTGCAAACCGAGTAAGACTCGCGTGATCTCGCATGAGCGAACTAGTACGCACGTTACGGAAGGAAGCACCCATCACGATGGTCTTGTAGCCGTATTGCTTGTAGTAGTTGAAGATCTTCTTCACGGACTGGACACCAGGGTCCGCATCACCCTCGTACGTCTTGCCCGTCGACTTCTTGTACCAGTCGAGGATCTGAATGCAAGAGATCAATCGGTCGAACATAGATAAGATGAGTGATGGAGACATACACGACCAACGAAGGGCGAGATGAGGGTGACACCTGCCTCAGCGCAAGCGACAGCCTGGCCGAAACCGAAAAGAAGGGTCAAGTTGCAGTGGATGTTGTCATCACGCTCGAGTTCACGAGCGGCCTGGATACCCTCCCATGTCGCTGCGATTTTGATGAGAACACGCTCCTTCTTGATACCAACAGACTCGTAGAGGGCAATGAGCTCCTTGGCCTGAGAATAAATAAAAATAAGGAGCCAGTTAAGGTATGCGACAATATCACTTGCCTTTGCCTTGGTGCCTTCCTTGTCGAAGGAGAGACGAGCATCGACTTCCGTCGATACACGGCCAGGGATGATGGCAAGAATCTCCTTGCCAAACTCGACAAGCTGATTATAAATATAGATTAGTAAGAGTATCAACTGAAAGCTGACAAAGACAGACCAGACGGTCCATAGCAGCATTAGTTTGCTGCTCGAGGTCACCGCCCTTGCTTTTGCCGATTTTGACGGCGGCATCAATGAGGCGGGAGTATCCTGGCTTGTTGGCAGCAGCCAAGATCAAGGATGGGTTTGTGGTAGCATCCTAACAATATACTGTTTAATTACAGGTGCATTAAACATAGATTCGTTGCAGCGATTACCTGCGGCTTGTAAACATCGATTGCTGATAAGATTAGCCAGAATATGAGTGCATGATCAACAGGATGGACAATGGTGAACATACATTCGAAGTCACCGGAGTCGGAGACAACAGTAGTTCCGGTCTGTTTAAGCTGGTCGAGAGATGACATGGGCATGATGGTTTAAGAGAGAGATAATGGGTCGTTCGAACGATGCTTACCACTAGTGATATACGCGCTCAGCCACGGTGAGATCATACGATCGGCCCGTTCCGAACGTGAGTGTTTTATTCCTCTTTAGCAATTTCCGGCGCCGGTTGCCTTTTCTGGTACAACTTTCGTTGAAATACATTGCAATTTTGCACGATTATTCGTATAGGCTATCATAGCCTTGTGGGATCCCGGTGTCGGTTTTCCACAAGCGTGTCTCTTTGGGGGCCGATCCCATCACTTCTTGCTAATGTCGACAAACGTGTCTTTGACTTTTGAAGAAATTCGCTCGAAATTTGTCGACAGGAATAGCATTGGACTCTCAGAGATCAGTGGCAGTCGCCCTTGCAACCGCCATTCAGCTCTTGGGATGGCTCATGGCCTCCGGTCTGTGAACTGAATTGGCCTAGTAAAGGCCCGCGATGCAAGATTGCTGTGCCGTCGCTTACACATTGATTACAATTCCATGCGAATTCTCTTTAGACTAACCTCTCATGTCAAGCCCGAAGCTACTCGACAATGGGCTGTATGAGAGCGTTTGTGCTGGAAACGAATAGGCTGTTCAACGTTGCGATAGGAATGTTTACACGCACAGACTGGTACAAAACTTTGTTTCAATCAGGATTCTCCGGTCGCTCTCGCCCGACCATGAGGGTTCGTGGATCGGCTCTCGAATATCTGCTAAGAGAAACTTGGTAAGTCAAAGTCACATCCTCGACTTTGTATGAACCCACCACTGGGTGCTTAATAGGTACATTATTAATCATTATAGATATCTTACTTGATGACTTTCACTGCGAATACAGAGCGGTCAAAGTCATCAAGTAAGATATACTATACCTTCACGTTCCATCCGAATTCCTAGATTGTTTCCTCGTCAGTTCGTCCCACACAAACTTGTGTCTACCATTCGTGGTACGGAAACTAGCCATATGATTTGTCTTCCTGGTTACCCTTCAGGTAGGTTTCGTTGTGCTATTGGAAGCGAGCCTGAGCATGTAACCACACACGAGCCTGCAGTGCAATAGCATCCAGGACCTGTCGCGAAAAGTTTCAAGCAGAAACCCCTCGCCTCGAGGTTCCACGAATTATCTATAGTTTTTTGTTCCGGAGGTCGGAGCCCAAGAGTTTGGCAGTACTGGTACGCACGACTTCGCACTTCTTCTCTAGCTCGGGCTTTCCTTACCCCGCGAGCTTCGCAATAATAACGCTACTTCTTCGCTTCCTCGGTCTCGTCAACTCGCAGACACCCTATGATATCGTCGGAGTTGACGGCTTTCACAACATGGGATCGCGATTGGCCTAAGTAAATGAGATAGGCTTCCTACGTGTCCAAACAGGCCCAAACTTCCAGTCTTTTGAAACGATGACGTCGAGGGTTTTCAAGGATGACGAGATAGTGGCCTCTACTAGACTGACAATGGCAAGAACGCCGTTCAAGATGTCACGGGTTCGTGAAACTTCGCGGAGTTCCCCGGTAGCCCTGGAATTAGTTGCAAGAATGCGTGAAACTTGATTCCCATCAGCCCGAGTTCATAGAAGACATTCGGTGGCGTTATTCGAAACCTTCTGACGGTGAAATTGTTCCACCCTTCTCGATACACTTGACGAGAGATCCCATCGCTTAGTGCTCATCGATGACATGACAAAGTTCCGGGAAATAGTACCAATTATGTCATTGGGTCAACTCGTGGTTCTACCAATGTGCCGAGTGCATGCAAGAAGAGGAAAATCTTGTAGTTAGGGACAAAAGAACAGGAAACAGAGACATGTGCGGTGTGGAATGATAAAATACCGAGTTGAAGCTCAGAACTGAACTACTCACACGTTTCAATAGTGGTAGATGACGCTCGACAGCTAATTGCCATCGGATGATACTGGCTTGTCGGTCAGCTTGGAGGGGAGACACACCGTGTTATCGTACGTGGGATGCTGCAATGGACACCAGGGCGCACGTGCACACTAGTGGCTGGGGTACAGATTCGGCAAACAATCTAACTCCAAGCAAAACCAATCTGACTAGCAAAACGGGTGACACAAGTTTCAATCGCCCATTTCACTGGTGGGATTGAAGACTTGTGTGGTGCCATTGGTAGAGATCAAGTGCTCTTGAGTGACTGTACTTCGGGACGCCCCGCCAGGGGTACCACTGCGAATAAGGAACGAGCAGCCAAGTAGTTGATCCTGTACATCAATCACAGTTTCGACTTGAATATCGGCTGGAGACAAATGGGAACTGCGCACTCTATTTCTTCCACAAACCCAATGTTTGCTTTGAGATATTCTCGATCAAGCCAGTAGCATGAAACTTCAGCCACGTATACGTACAATAGTAGAAAAACGACTAAGCAGTGAACAGAGTACTTTCTTCTGCGAGCTGACTGAGTTTCGGAAACCCACTTGCAGTAGACCCCTTAAAGTTAGTATTCTCTGGTTGGAGGATAAGTACTTAAGTGGCTGGACGTACGAATACGTCGTGTGCATGAACCCGCAGGGCGAATACCACGCTTATTGTGATAGGCATCCACGATCGGATCCGTAGGTCTTGCCAGAAATAAAGTTCCAGCAGTGGATCCACGATTTCGATTGGTGATTCCTACAGGCCATGGGGAGGCCGACAGCACTGTGAAAAGTTGAATGACTCGTGAGATTGAGGACCCCCATCATGTCGAGAGTCGCGGAGCTTGCGTACGGAGCTGTTTCTGGACAATGCACACGAGCCATGCTGAAACAACCGGTCGGGATGGCAGTTGCATCAAGATCATTATGAAAATTCCAGACAATGGCGATGTCGATGTGAAAGAATCCTGGAGGCACAGATTGATGTGATTGGTGACTTCCAAATAAGGATCAAGACCAGTGATTGTGTGCGTGTCATTAGAGTGGAATAAAGTGAGCAAGACAATGATCGACGCCTCTATTCTTGAGTTTTGAGTACAGGATCTGCCCAATGAGCGGTGACACCAAAACATTGGGACTGTCCCGCCTCGCGAGACTTTTTGCGGGTCCTATGCAAACGTCTTGTAACGTAACTTGACGTCAGCTTTGTTTCTCGGATGTCGTCGTCCTCAATGCGAGAAGAGAATCATACAGATTACGGACCATACGGAAGCCGACCTTCTCATATTTAGTAAACACGACGACGGCTGGAATTTGACGAGGGAGTTCCCACCTAGTACGGAAAGATCGATGACGATCGATCGACGTATCGTTTTCTAGCTATCTTGTCACACCTCCGTGCCCGCGGTAAGGGATGTTTCAAAACAGCCTTCCATTTGTCGTGTTAGGCTATGATCATTGGGTGCTTAGTGGACTCTGTACCGACATTTGGTGACATTTTGAACTATTTTCGACGTCATTTTCTTCGCCCAACTGGCATTATCACGGAGAAAAAATGTATCGTCCCGTTGCGAGGTGTATTCGGGGTCGATGTGTGTTGGGAAGATCTATCCACAAGGACAGCAACAGGTACGGAGGGACACCAGGTTTACGTCGAGGACCAGTGGAAAGAAAGAGATAAGACTGCAGGAGCCAGGAGGACACAAATGCTGCTTGGCATGATGTTAAAGTGTTGGTTATATTAAGCACGGAACGTACATTGATGGCGTATTCCTTACGAATGAGTATCACCGCGGATTGCTTGATGTATGCACTGTGACAGAGCTGAGGATCGATCGTTTTTATCGCGGATTGGTTAATTGGTTTGACTACAGCTTTTCCCTTGACTCTAGCGCAGCTCCGTCACATCAGTTCCGCATGAACGCAGTATCTCTCCCGCCTTCATGTCATCCACAAATCAAAGCGACTGGCGGAGGGCAATCCTATCAACAACATCCAGTGGTGCGGCTGCTAGAGAAGGAAACGCACCTGGGAGGAAACGGTATCAGTGCGTCGTGTCAAAGAGGATGTCCTTGAAGAACACCTTTTGGCCCCAAGGAGGGCAAATCTTCCAACAGCGAGATTAGATTAGCGTCTGAAGGTGCCGATTGCATGCACAGGAATCACAACAAACTTCCAAGAGACCCTTTACTCAGATCTGACTTGGAAGTCGAAATACCACTCGAAGCAAGGGCTCTAGATCTAGGGTGGGAATCTGGAAATCATTACATGATTTAGATGTGCACGTAAATTCTTGCCGGATGTGGCAGCCTGGCAAATCAAGACTTGTTCCAGTGAGGCAACCCTGAAAGCAGTGACTGAGTGCTCGCTGAGCCTGATGGAATCGACAACGAAATCGATGGCAGCGTGGTTCAATATCGCTACAGCTGTAATACTAGTCTCGTCACCAGCCGCCTTATCTTCCCCCAAGGCAGTAGTGCGGAACAATGAACCGCCCAAGTTACCCTGTTCCATCCAGGGCCTGTGCTCCTCGTCAACGTCATTTAAGGCGGCTGGTCACGAGTCTAACAGCTATAGGTTAACATATCATCATCTGCTCATCGAATTCGAAATTGTACCTGAGATGGTTCAAACACCACGATAAGTGATCCCTTGGTTTCCTCCCATTGATAAGCTTACCGTGACAGTAACAGTTTTGACCCCTTAGAGTGGGCGCCTTGCGTACCGTCGGAAAAGTAGTACAGCTGTTGAAAAGTCTACATGTCAGTCTATCCACGCAAATATGCCTTCTGACCTAGTCTTGATCCAGTTTTATCGCACGTCTTGTTCCGCTCCGTGCGTGTAAGAACGGACAAGAACCGATACTTGATAACTGGTGCATCTTACAGCCGATTTCACATCCCGAAAAGCTCGCCTGGATGAACGCCGGTCACCCTGAAGCTCCACATCCATGATGGAGATTCGGTCACATGCACATCCTACTAATTGAACCTCTTAGCGCTTGCACGGCATGAGGAATATATAGGCTGTACAAACACTGATAGGCGGTGAACCATGTATGTGATAGATGTGGAACCTCATGCGGGGGCCTTGCCATGAGCATCTGAAAAAAGGTGAGCTACTTGTTGTGATGGCGGAGCAGGGCAATTGCCTTTCCAAATTCTAACATCAATCTTTCATTAAACGGTTGAATGAATTTGCCGTTCACTGACTTCCCCGTTATCACTGGAGCAAAGTTCTTACTCTCCTATCGAATTCACATCTGGCTATCTGGCACACCCCCCATCGGCATGAGGCTGGAGGTATGGAAATTTGATGGAGACAGAGTTTGCGTTCATTAGTCCCTATTCAGAACACCACGACGCATCGATCATCAACCCAACTGCACCCTACCTGTCAAACGTGACTGATTTACGTTCTATGTTTGGTCCGTGATTCTTTGTGAGGCCTTCCATCCTGTTCGCTGAGGTTCTGTAAGTCGTGAGAGTGTGTTATGTAGTCTTGGTTGCGAATTCTAGAATTCGGCAGTTTTCCGACCTCCACGGACGGCTGTTAGAAGACACCCTCTGATTCGACACATAAAACGGATGTTTTATTTCTTCCACTGCGAGGGATAATGTCTATGAGATGAAAGGGAATACGAACATGATGTACATTGGTGAATAGCAGTAACTTGGTATCCTTGATCGGGACAAATCGATCCTTGGACAGAGTCCAGAAGACAAGGAACCCAGGTTCGCGAGAAGGTACAGAGTAGAGAGCGTCTTCCGTCTAGGTCAACGCCACTATGAACCAGGCAGCGAGAAAGCTGCGACATATGAGTAGGATAGGTCATAATTCTTTAGAATATAGGCAGAATTAAAAAGGGACAGAATGTTGAGGGGTGCTGGTAATCGAAGAGCGAGAGTTGATACGATGCGATGAAGCCAAATGAGCGTGGCTGAAATGCTGGAATCCAATTCTGCATGAAGACGGCCATCAGTTCAAAGCTCGCTATATCATGATTGTTGTAGTGAAGGTGCTCACCAAGAGTACAGTGAGAGAAAAAAAACTATGCAATGATCGTAAGGTTCTTCAGTGTTTGGATACGGGCACCGACCCGCTGAGATTCAATACCCAGTCTCCTCCTGACTTCGGCTGAGTGAGACCACGGAAGAGGGTCTCGTGCAGAAGCATGTCTACGCGCTTCCAGCCTTGGCGCTGCTCGACGATAGGAAGCCCTGGAGCTAGCTTGCAACGAAGCCTGAACGCCTCTTCGTATACCGCACGGCGATGGTGCGGGATTAAGTCTTTCTCATGAGGTGTGAGCGATACGTCAAAAGCTGCATATATCGCCTCAAAGACATCGCGAACACGAATGCCTTTATCGCGCTTCACGTCGATGTCCCACTCGAACGGACCTCGCTGAAAGTTGATGGTCATCTTCACCAGCTTCTCATCGGCGGCCGACTTATCAAGGTCGGCATCAGACAGGCTTGTTCGTTGTACACCGTAAGACGAGTTCTGTCTGAACTCGATGTCGTTAGTTGGGAAAGCAATATCGAAGTGAAGAAATCGTTTTGATCGATTTGGATGGTAGGGGAGCAGCGACCAGTGAAGATTTAGTGTGGGGCCCTTCATGGGACCTTTATCGGGTCAAAGATCAGATAAGGTACGTAATGGTGAAAAGTAGAGCATAAACTGGACCAAGGACTCACCCAAGTGCGCATGTTGCGGAAGGGAGTTTGGCACTGTGTAGACGTTATTCCGCGAATCCTTCTTGGCGGCCGTGATTTCTCCATCGCTCTCATATGAGTCACGAGGAGGGGATGTCTTGCCCTTCAGGATAGACTTGAGGGGCTGTGGTGTTGAAGGCTTGGGCGTGGGCGCCCGTGAAAGCGAGCTTGGAAGAGAGGGCTTGCGCATTGTGAACGAACGGTGCTCGTCCATGTTAAAAGAATGAGGGGACATGAGTGGTGGCGACTGTGGAAGCGCCTTGGGGGGTATCTTGGGAGTATTGAGATTGAAATTAGGACTCCCTTGGTCGTGTTTCGTCTTATACATGAAGGTCGTTAGAGTTGCAAATGGAGGCGAAAGTCTTGTGGTAGATTTCAAGATGCGTGAGGGGCGAGGGCTTAAGATCATCATGCAACGTGTTATACCATGTGTACGCTTTGCCACTGAGTGGATGATGGAGAACATACCTGCCAGTGAACCAGACAGAAGAAATGTGCAGAGTAAGCCTCTGAAGTCCCACCGGGGGCTCGCGCAGTCAGTCCCTGCGTCTTATATGGACCAAGAAAGACACAAGAAGCTGGCAAACCACGAGCGGCTTTGCCACAACCGGCGAGAAATATAACGGCGTTCCATAGCACTGACACGAGGCACTGAGGGCGTAAATACGTCCAAAAATGGTATATATCCAACAAACTTGCTAATCATATCCACGAGGCCCCTTAGCGGGCTTAAACAGCATGTTGTCAATCTACCTGCTTACGCGTGTTGGAATCAACAAAAGATAAACCATGTTAGCTTCTCTCAACATGTGTTGTGGGCACGTCAATATGTTAGCACATAATACTAATACTTGCCCAGAATCATACAATGAACTTGAAAGTTGAAGTGTCCTCCACCTGCCATTTCACGGTAAACGCCTTGGCGCCTATAACCATACAGCAAGATTCCTAGGGAAGGGTGGGCAGTGCTGGGGCTGTTACAGAGCAGGTCACTAATTTCAAAGCTGTATAGCTATGCATATGATCCTTAATCCTCAACGCCGAGGCACATTCGCACACCGCTATCCCGATACAATGCGAGAAGCGCTAGCGTCGGCAGCTTAGACGCCTAGAAACGAGGACTCCAAAAAAAATTAGATTCGCAGCTCCACGACATTTAGGGAAAGCGGAATGGGCGGAACTAGCTATGGACCTTGCTCCATGTAGGGTTTTCTGAAACCTTCCAAATGGGCAGCGTGCAATTGAACGTAGCCGACCCAAATCACATCCCATGGGCCCTATCAAGCCCCTCGTGACCCAGGGAGTTTGGATTGACCACGGAAACCTTACTGGTAACGGGGCGTAATTGAACTCTCACGTTCTTGTGATACTCGACAAAGACTCGTCATTGACAGACGTTGAAGTACATGCATCTCCGCATATGTCGTAGACAGAGGATCAAATTCGGCAACTGCCACAGAACCAATTATCGCTGAGAGCTTGGTGTCATCACCCATCATTTCGCAGGCAGGAGTAACCGGGCCGTATGCCTCCTTGCAAGAATCGAAGATTAACTTCAGGTCATGGTGTAACGAGGCAATTGTGAATTACCCTACCCTTCTTGGATGCATCAGATGCGGGGAAAATCAGAGATACCGAGAGGTCTGGAAGCGCAACACCGCAGTACAATTTTCATCAAATGAGACACGTTGCAGTGAGATAGCCTCACAGATTATATCAATGGCCTTCTGTCTAGCAATGATAGTAGACGTTATAAATGCCCACAGCAAGGCCGCATACCCCGTGAGTCGTCACCGAGATGATCGCGACCAAAGGACAATAGCAACTGCACTAATAGGGGTGAATAAACGATGTCAGAAAAATTGAAGAAGTCTCTAGCGAAGTGGTACAGCCCAGCAGCGCCTGAAGTTCTCCTGTCAAAATCCTGTCCGGCGATCCCGCATGGTTATATAGTGTCATCGTAGAATTGCACCTCAATTAGCGGTCAACCTGTACACATACTAAAAATTGTGTGATGACGCATTGCATGAACACCCGCAAGTTGGATATTTTGAGTTATGTTGAACTTCCTGAGCTAGGTACCGCGGAGCTGCCGAAGTTGCTGTCAACACCGAAAAGCTTCCCTCTCTCCAAGTGCCAGCCGCCATTCGGCCGATGATCATTTTAGGATCATCGAATCGTCTAGAGCGCACCCGTAACAAGAGGATTGTCAGAGAACAGAGTGAGAAGGTTCAGGCTGACACTCGGAGAGTTCAGCCATATGTAACTGGTCCGCGTGACCGTGGTAACCATTCACCACTTTCGGCCTGCCACTTGAACTTAAGGGATCTAATTGTACCACAAGTATAATTCAAACCACTGGTATCTGGTACTACCTTGTCATCATTCGAAAGGTCCGAATGATAACAGAGCATCATAAACTCAACCACTCTTACGCCTCATGATAATTCCATCATATATATATAACTCCAAGCTTGTGTCTGCCGATTATACATAGAGATATGACTGCGAAATCAGTACGTTGCCGAGGCCCGATACCAATCATCCTCACCGCCAATAGCACTGAATCAGTACAGAACAAGGAATCGTTAATCGGGCTTGACGGATCGACCGATCCTGGTCAGGCCCCTGGCCTGCCCGCCATGTAGTACATAATAATATTAATACGTGATTTCTCCCACAGTCAGTAAGCGCTAGCCCAAGCATATCGACTCGTTGCTGTATCAGTGCATTTATCCACGACTCCCCCTACTCTGCGCAGCAGTACGCAAAATTCTTACTCGCAGTTATTAGTTCATACAAACTGCACAACATCAGATTTCGCCACCTCTACTCACAGATTCAGAAACAGCGAGATAGCGAAGTAACTTAATTGTTGTACAAGGAAGGTCTGCTGTGCTCATTCGTCCTATGGCTGGCAGCTCCCAAGCCCCATTCGATCCCATAAGCTGTATTGCCCGTTGTTTGAGCGTTTCAGAGCCCTCGAGTGAGTATTCAATTTCCTTCACTTGAAATCTGACAATATTGACCGTCTGGACGATTTAGCGCCCTTCGCGAACTGGACGTATCGTTTGAGATCCGGGTCTGATCTTTGTCCATCTGACGGTCGATAGAACTTCCAGTTAAGGACAATGTATACATTCTACCACAATTTGATCACTGACTAGATTGCAGGTAGTCAATTCTCTCGCATTTCCCCTGCATCATGAAATACAGCGCTGCTCGCACCGTGGTAGCCGACACCACTAGCGCAGAGAAGATCTTCGAATCCTTAAGTGCGGTCGTTGTCCACCGTGCATTATATGATTGTCCCGAATGGGGCCCTCGGCATAAACTTGAATGCCTAGATGGCACCTGCACGAAAATCTTGGAAGAAATTGAGACAACTCTGCAGGCAAGCAAGAGTACGCTGATTTGGCTCTCTGGCTCTCCCGGGACAGGGAAATCTGCGATTGCTCATACAATCGCCAGCCGCCTCAAAAAAAAGTCGAAATTGGCTGGCACGTTTTTCTTTAGCCGCCAACATAAGGATATACCAGGAATGACCAGCCTTGATTTCTTTGCGCCTACCTTGGCCTACCAAATTTCGAAAAGTAAACACCTGGCCAAAGACCCTGTGGTCCAATCCATTAGATCCGACCCTGCTATCCTTGATCCAAGGAAGCCGCTTGCTGATCAAATACAAGAACTGCTAGTTAAGCCGTTACAGAATTTGCAGGTCTCGTGGGGGCATTTGGAACCAAAGGTCCTTGTAATTGATGCGGTTGACGCATGCGAAGAAGGACGCATCTGCGAGCTCATTTCATGTCTTTCGAATCTCCTCCAACAGCCGCGTATCCCCCACTTACACATCGTCATCACTAGTCGTCCTCTTCACACTATCGATGATGCATTCGAAGCCATTGGCCGCGAAGAGTCGATACATCACATCACTCTCGATGATGTTGATGCTGCTGAGGACTTTCGTCTCCTCTTCAAGCACGCTCTTGAGAAGAGTTATAGGATTCACGGTCTCGAATGCCCTGAATTGGAGTCCGATGATGAGACAATCCTCTGTCTCGCTGATAGGGCAAACGGTCGATTTGGAACTGCATCGATGATGATGAAGTTTCTCGAGCACGATGACGAGGACGAAGTGCCATACGATCTAGATGAAAAAATCAACCTTATGAAAAATCCTGGTGATGCATATCTTCATTCCACCCAAATATTCCGGTTCTACGAGTTCGTCATTAACTCCTCAGAAAATCCAACTCGTGCATACCGGCATCTATCCACGGTGGTCAATCTCGCCGAACCATTAGCAATTCTGCACTTGCGGAAGCTCCTAGGATCTTCAGAAAGTGATTTATCGTCCATTCTCGTGTCATTATCCCCAATAGTCAGCGTCCCTGCCGACGATTCTTGCCCTGTCAAGGTTCTCCACAAGGAGTCACTTTGCAAGTTTCTCTCCCGACATTCGTCTTCGTCATGCGCATCTCAGCTCCTTGCGCAGTCCAGTCTGCGGACGATGAAAAGTTCATTCTTGCGCCAGTCCGGTCTCAAGGATGAGCTACAACGAATGGTGCCACTGACGAAAACACCTATTGCAGGTCCACAATCAAATAATGTTCGTGCCTGTATTACAAATACATGTTATCCTCACGTTAACATCCGCACAGATTTTGATGGTTTTCATTAAGTTTTGCTTGGCACCGCCATGCAACAAGGCCATATATGCGGCCGCATGGTATCGTGAATATACGCAGTCAGGGACTGGCACTCCTTACTGTGCTCCGCCTAGTGCCAAGCTCTGTAATATGTCTGAGGACATATCAAAGGCTCAGTCGGCACTGAAGGAATTCCAAGCGAAACCTGAATTTCGCAACTTACACGTGTTCGAACTCTTGTCAACATTACAAGATCTACCAAAATTTTTGATCATCGTGATACTCTTGGCAATTCGTCACGCTCACCCTCCCGCCTCCCATATTATCAATTCGATAGACGGATCCGATGACCAGTCGAATATGCCTGCGGCGCTTAAGCACTTCATCCAATACCTACAGGAGGGAAGCGAGCGAAATGTATCCAGCTCACCAGCCCTCAAGCATGCTTGCCGGCATTGGGGTTTGTATCTCTCTCGGGAAACGACGGTCGTAGATGAACGTCTACGTACATTTCTTCGTGCCTTTTGGCGGGATAAACTGCTGTCATGGTTTGAAAGACAGTGGTACTTGGAGGGTTTAGAATCATGCATAGCCATCCTGAAAATTGCACAGACCATTGATTTCAATGAGTAATTCACTTACAATCCTGTTCTACAACGATGTATATTACTTTGGTAACCTCTGTCATAGAGCCGCCCTATGCGGTTAAACTAGCAATATACGATGCATAAGTAGTAAGAACGCGAACACTCAGCCGTGAGCGAGACGACTGTATTCAATGTGCTGTACCTAAGAACGCGAACACTAGACACTAGTTAGTGAAGTTCTACTCTAGTAAGTACAGTACTCACCTCAGCCGTGAGCGAGATGACTGAGGTAGAAAATAGGAAGCGATTAACGCGCTAAGTATCCTGGCGTCCCAAATATAAGCAAACAATACTGCCGATGGTCGCAATCATATCAATTATCGACAAGTAGGACTGGTCCGGCGCCGAAGTGTTGACCACCAGTGAAAAGCTTAGTAGGCGCTCAAAATACCTATATGACGGATTTGTCCCAATTGCCACATCTCCGAGTCGGCAGCTCGCGCCAGGGTAAGATTAACGGTCTATGCTAAGTAGCACAAGGATTCCGACGGCAGAGCATATCAATACCAATGCTACAGCTCCTACAAACCCAGTCGACAGCGTACAGGAGAGAAAGTCCTGACAATAACAGCGACTCACATCTATTTCTCTATGCTTGCGATGACAAGCACGTTCATGCGGCTGTCACGAGGGAATACGACCCTAAGGTGCAGCACATGGGCGGCCTCAGAGGACTACTATCTCTACAGAGCACCACGTGATAGTGATCCCACAGATCGGTCTCTACTCTGAAGATTGAGATATCTTCTCGCAGGTGAGCAGAAAGGTCGTGGCCACTCATTCCATATGCACTGTATTGTCTCTTCGACAGTCTGTAAAGCGCCACATCAGCTTGAAGGGGAAGTCATGTAGAATATCAAAAGCTTACAGACTTTCCTCCAGATCAGCGAATCTGTTAGTATGTGTGAGATTGTAAATATGTGTAGAGTGGTCGGCCAATGAAACAGGATTGAAAAGGTCATCATCCCCTTCATAGCTCTAGAGCTTTTGTATGTATGTTCGGAGTGGCAAGAAAGTCCATAACTCCGAGTTCGTCTTTAAGGTTCAGAGCGAGTTGAAGCGGCAAGTCAATAAAATATTGATACTGCATCAGGAAAAAGGGAATTTTTCTTAACAACACTTACGGTGACTTGAAGGTGATTCTAAGTAAGATTCAGTAAAATTCTGCTAAGTATGCGATTGCTTGAAAAAAGTTGGGTCTTCCGATGAATATGACTTATTGTTACACTTATCAGCGCTTGACATAAGTACACAGTTAAGCAGTGACGTCAAGTGTGACTCATCATCTCAGATTCTCTCAAGACACATTGTAAGCTAAGTCAAAATAAGCGGACCAGAAGTAGAGGGATTCAGCTCTAAGGTCCAAGTATATATTCTGTCTTTAAGGCTCCCAAGGTTACAAAATTAATGGTAACTGTAGAATTCAGATAATAAAGCGGTGAGAATCATGTGTATTCATACCATGCAAAGACATCCAAGCATATCTTTCAAGTTAAGACTCCCAAGTTCCACACAGTTGATAGGTAAGTGAAGAATTCAAGCACTCACAAAACCGTTCAAGTCAGATGTATACCATTAAGATCGTGATCAAGACAAAGCGGTCAGGGAAAGCATCAATTCAAATGGTGACTAAGACAAAATGCGAATTAAGACGGCCAAGCGAACGAAATAAGCGTGATCATAAGAACTGCCAGAGTTGAATCAGGTCAGTAAGTGGACACAGCGCTGGCAAGCAAACCACCGGCAGAATGACAAGAACGAATATAACTACTCCATGTCAGAGCCATTAGTATGATCCAAGTCTTCGGACCCAGACTTGGACTCCAAGATGTCCATGAGCTGGACACATTCGTCGAGATCTTCATTGTCCGCAGCATCATCAACGGCTCTATCATTGCCAGAACGATGGCTCTTCTTGGAAAATTCCTTTGCAGAAGTGATGACAGCTTGGAACTTCTCGTCTTGGAAGCTTTTCACGATCGACTTCACATATGAGCGCGTGGAAGAACCCCAGGTGATGTCATTGAAGCCCGTTTGGTGATTGGAGACTTTGCTGGTTGAATAATTGAGTGTCTTTGGCAAGGGTATAGATTTGCCCTTGGCAGTGAGAACCATTTTGATGGTTATAGTACGAGTAGCGATGAGCGTCAATGCTCATTCAACCTAGTAGTAGCAATGAGTGATCAGCGAGGTGTGATTACATCAGGAAAAGTGCAGAGCGACCTGAATCACCTGAATCGTCTGATTTCAGACCATCCAGGCTAGCAGGTGGTGTACTGGCAGCAGATGAATCTGTCAGCGTCAGGCAAGCTATCTGGTACCTGATCAGATTCAGATAGCCTTCAGATGCGAACCAGGCACATATCAGCCGCTAATCAGACGAATATCAGATATGAAAAGTCATTGATTTTTAACGCAGAATCCACAAATACATCTAGTATACATAGTGATGAAAAAGTCCGGTTCACAAAAATTGGCGAACGCTGAACTGGATCATCGGATAGGATGGATGCGCAGAATTTCATGGACAACGGCATCCAAGTATGGGAGGCTGGCCTTCAATTGGTCATATGTTGGATCAGCGCCCAACGCAAGCAGTTCCTCTCTGAGGCAGGTTTGGACATCGGGGTGTCGCAATAGCTTGATCAGCGCCCACTGATCATCATATGAATAGCGTGCACAGACGTAACCACAAAGTAAACCTACCGTAAGACTGACTGTCGATGAAAAGTCAGTGTGATAGCAATGGACAAAAAACCGACTCACTGGATATCGTCTCATAACCCGTGATAAGGAGGGTCTTCATCTGCAGGATGTCAGTTCGCAAATAATGGTTGTGATACATAGTCTCCACGGACCTGAGCCACTACTTCCTCCTTTGACATATGAAGCTCTGCATCCTGGCCTTCAGATTTAACTGATGGCCACATTAATCAAGAGACCACAATGAACCTCTCGGAAAGCGCACTCAACAATCCGATGATGGACTTCTCCTCGTCTCTCCCGCTCATATTCACATCCTTTTCTCGGCAGCTGCAAATCAATAAATTGTTAGATATTTCTTCCAATAAGTCGCTGGCACGAGGACAAGAGCTGAATAGTACCTCCTGTGGTCTTCACCCTGAGACCATAATAGCCCTCAGCCCATCTGACAAGAGATGTCAGACAGACAAGATAAGATGACGACATTAACATACTGATGCCTCCATAAGTGCCAATGCAAGGGGCGTCAGCACATATGTCCATGTCTCTCGGGTGTAGAAATGTGCTATAGCTCTTGGGTTGGACAGTACGATTCTAGTCTGTCCGAGGACACCCAGAATCATATACGCAACCCCATATTCTGTTGCCCAGTGTTCATACATTTCAGCACTATCTTGGGATGAGGCGAGGTCGTGTGAAACACCATATATGAAGCTGGTGTGAGGAGAACCATGCAGTTGAGTCGTCTTCAATCGCCAGCGAAACACCCTTGAGAGTTTGACAAAAGCCCATAATGCAGCAAATGAACAAGCGACATTGAATGTGCCAACCGAGCGTACGGTTGTCCAAAGACTTGATGGAGAGAGTAAAGGGATTGTAGTATACCTAAGTTAAACCGATCGTTAAAAGTGCTAATGTGGAGGGTGGGGTTTAAGACGGAACCGGTACAAGATTTTATTTGTTAGTTCAAAAACATGGTAGTAGTAAGAGGTCTGAGATGCACCGCGGCAGCCTGCCAAACCAAGCGTGTCTTGAAGATGGTTTTCAATATAGCCTACAGAGCGGGCATATGCGATGTTGGTGAGAGCTCCAAAGATAAGTTCTCGTGTCGCATCAGAGTCTCCATGGACTTTACAGAGTCACAGCATCCCCCCACACTACAGATTGATCAGATGATAAGACACTGATGGTCGATTTCCAGCGTCTCCGGCAGTCGACATTGACAAATACGTAAATGTCAGCGGGTATGCGCTCCGAAGGGACTTTAAGATTATTTCCGCTGATGTGAGTGCAGATAGATCGTGAGGATGATGAAACAGATACAAAGGTGATCTGGAGTGACTCACTTTCAAGTATTTTTTGAAATTTTTTGTTGTGGTGTGTTTGATTCAAATTGAGTCTAGTCTGTGCGCTGCGAACTGGTACTCGTGATGTCCTCCCCATTTTTCACCTCTCTTAAGACCCACAGAAAATGCTCGATCACCTACTATGTACATTATGTACATATCCTGGCTGTCCACACTTTTATAAGGGACAACATGGTTAGATGAATGCTAATGAAATTGTGTTTTGACCAGGACCATCTCAGATTGTGTCCAGGCTCACCAGTGTGCACAGGGCAATTTGAGTAAGATTGTCAGGCATCATATATCATATATCATATGTTAGTCTGTTGTGGGAATTGAATCGCGAGACTGAGATTCGAGTGTGTTTCGTGTGTCATGCGTGAGAATAAAATACTTACCAGACCTCCAGGATATCCAGGTTGCTGCCAGGACATTCAGGTAGTGACCAGGTGGTGTCAGGCCTTTGCACATTTGCTGATGTAGTAGAAAATAAAATAAAATATATTACTGCAGCACATGACAGCGCTAGACCCCCAGCAGGATTCAAGGTTTCTCCCAGCTTGTCTAGTAGTCCATGTATCTTGTGAGTGCTGTCAATAGCAGTGAAGTGGGCGCCAAACATTTGCACCACAAAGGCACCTTGATAAAGGCCGTGGAACTTCTGTGTTGCATGTTAGTACTAGTGGCACAGCGACAATAACAGAGGCAATGAATAGAGATAGTGAGAGGCACGTACAGATTTATCATCACCGTTTGCCTTCTTGTACAAGAAGCGAAGCTTGTCCAGTGCGTAAGTAGTGAATTTGACACAATTATCGTCCGAGTGCTTGAGTGTGTCCTGGGACTCGAGGTATGCAATGGCGATTGCAATGGCTGCTGAGCCAATGAAGCTTCGATAAGAGTCAGCAACATGCTGGACAGTCTATAGTACCAGGTTGAAGTTAGCATTGCCATTGAAACATATGAACACACTTACTATGATATACATGGTGCTTGTGCTCAGTGACAGTGTATGGGATGTTGGGGAAAATTGTGTCCCAGATCACCTGCAATTTCTGGCAGGCCAACTTGGGGGGAACCTCCCAGGGGTTAGCCAGAGTTGCAACATATTGCATGTAAGTAGAGATAAAGACACAGCGCCACAGCCTTTGTTCAACACCATCTGGGAGATCATTGTTGCCAGGTTTCTTTGTGCACTCGGCTTGACAAGCTGGGGGCTTGCCAGGCGAATCCTTGGCAAGAGCCTGTACAATATGATGCAGTTGTATTATTAGGTCAACAACTGACTTTGTTAAAAAAAATAAGAAGACACTTACCAAACTTGACACTCGTTTTTTCCCTTTGGGAGGGCTAGCAACTGCAGCCTCTTGTTCGAGACCCTGGGTCTCATCTTCATCTGAGAGTCTTCCAAGTCCATCAAGGAGTTGGAGAGTATCTTGCTCTTTCGGTTCCTGCGTGATGGGGACAGTGTGAGAAATCAATACATTTTCTGTCAGAACCGAATTAGTGGATGAGCGAGTGCTGGCATTGGCCAGGGGGGGAAGGCGGTGTGAACTTGTGCTATTTTTGAATATGCTGGGCTGGCTGGTGGTGGCCTTAGTGCTGGGCTTTGCATTTTTCGGGATGCTTGCTGCCCAATCGTTAATGCCAGCGGAAAAGTCCTTGCCATTGGGAGTCAAGTCACTGAGGAAAAAGTAATATAAAGTTGTTTCATCGAGAGTGAGCTCAAGCATGATAAAGGGTAAGAAGAAAAGGCTTACCTTTTCGAACTTGGCTGAATCTGTTTCTCATCAGAACACGCTTGACGGTGTCTTGTTACTTAAGGGTCTTATATATGATGCGTATATAGTGACAATACAACTATACAGGATAAGACTTCTTGCCAGTCCTCAAGTACACAGTCTATGACTTTTCTAGTTTTTGTGGTAGATAACGTGCTGAGTTCTTGGGAGGAATGTCTTTCAATATTCTCCTTCTTGTTCCTTGGTTACTTTAAACCTCGTGGTCTCGAAATACTGAGTGTGAAGTTTGTACGTGTTTTGGCAAGTGTGTGCCCATGGATTCGTGAAGTGTGTCTCATGATTTGTGTCTCCCTTCCTGAAAAAGAGAGAGGAGAGTAGTGCTGATAAACTTTAGCTAGGTAGCTGTACTTTGTTATATAGTCAACCCCTGTAAGGTAGTATATAACCTGAATATATGTTTCTTATTTTTAACTTCAAGGCTGCTGAATGGCCTGCACTTAGATCTTACTGGTTCTCACACGGTTTTGAGAAAAGAGTTAAAGTGGGAAGCTTAAATTGCATGGGTGAAAATGGGCTCCTTATATACCTTTTGGGAGGCCATCTTACTAAGCATGATTCATCACATAGATTGGTAAGAATGTGCTTACAAACTTGTGTTGAGTCAGCTTGTTTACTAATGTACATACAAAATGAAGTGTAGTATTACAAAGAATGAACAATAAAAAGCACGAGTCATCACATGGATTGGTAAGAATGTGCTTACAAACCAAGTCCTTAGGTGTGCTGAATCAGCCTTATGACAAAGTGGATTACAAATACAGTTGCAAGTTTTACAAAGCATGATGAATCATGACCAAACATGATGAGTCAAGTTGAATCCTTACAAATCAGAGTATTTCCCAGTCACATGACATGATTACTAACATGTTTGGTGGCTTGAGGAAAAGTCTAATGGCTAAATATGCCTAGAAAAATAGAAAGAGATAGAATCTCATGGAACAAAATAGAAATACATAGAAAAAATAGGAGTGAAGTTTGAAAGTGAAAATACTGGCTAAGAAATAAATGAAAAATGATAAGGTAACTTGGTGATAGGAATCAGTCAGGTGTCTTCTACCTTCCCTGTCACTGCTGTTGTGTATATGTCATGGCTCCTTCTCCTTCTCCTTCTCCTTCTCTCCTTCTCCTTCTCCTTCTCCTTCTCCTTCTCCTTCTCCTTCTCCTTCTCCTTCTCCTTCTCTCCTTCTCTCCTTCTCCTTCTCCTTCTCCTTCTCCTTCTCCTTCATATCAACATAGCCTAGGGCCCCAGCCATAGGAGTACTAGCACTACGTTCATTGTCGCTCAAGACGGACATGGCCCACTGAGATGGCTGCTTTCCCATAGGGTGACTGGTGATAGGTTTGTCCGAGTCATTGTTCAAGTGAGCAGCCGGAACTGACCATGCTGATTTTTACTGGCAGCCTTCTTAGGTGCCTTTGTTGAAGGCCAATCAATGACCATATCATCATCATGTGGCTGAACGGCTGCTGGCTGTTTGCTGGGAGCTTTCTTCGGTGTTGTGTCGACAACATGGACCTGAGTTGTCTGAGTTTCGAGTCATCAGAATTGAGGCTGATTGTGCTCTGAGGTGCAGTTTTCTTCCTATCTGTGACCTTACTCTTCCCTGACATATCAGTTTGCTGGACCACTTTGATAGCATCTCATACAGAAGTCTTCGTTGCCTTCCCTGCCTTCTTCCTGCTAACTTTCGTCTTTTTCCTGGGCAGCAACGACAGCATTACACTGTCAGACCCATCTGTGTCTATGTTTGAGGTCATCGTGCCTGAATGTTGGGTTGGATCGGGGTTGAAGGCACTACTATCAGCAGCCGCATCATCCATCTCAGCATCCGACAGAAACCCGTTATCCTTTGCAGCAGGAATCTGTACAATTACCTTCTGCTTGCAAGGAATTGGCCTTGGCTTTGGTACTGAAGGTGCAGCTCACGCATCACTCATCTTGGCATCTGAAGGAGGCGCCACAACAGCCTTCCTCTTCATTAGGATTGGCTTGGGCTTTGGCTTTGGTGGCGCAGCCCGCGGTGTAGCATTGGTCACCACATCCTGGTCCACCTGCTTCTTCTCATATCTAGCAACACATTTGATGCTAGCTCTCTTGGTGCGTTCTTTCTCTTCTTTAGCATCTAACTTAGACTGATGCTCAGCAGCTACTTCTTCTGCAGTTTGGTGTTTCTTCTTCCAAGTTATGTCTGGGATACCCGCATGCTGAGTTGCATTTTTTTGCATGGGTGACATGTCGAGTAGACATAGCAGGAGTAGAAGGGGGCGAGCTTGGAGGGCACAAAGGTTTTATCAAGAAGACGTGTTTACAAGTGAGATGTTCGAATCGGGACTTCAATGTAATTTGACTTGCTAATTTGCCACGCCTCAACAGCATGCTCTTCAGGCTGGGCACCCGAGTTCCATTCCTTCATATCTCTCGACCGTATATTTCTACTTATCAATGTTGAATTCTTTCCGAACTTGCCAGGGCTTGAAGGAGACGACAATCACCGACTATCAACATCGGTACCAACAATTCAAGTTGAAATCTTCATTGGTGACCAACATCCTACTAGTAATGTTTCCTCTAGCTCCTAGTAAATGCAGTGCACTGACTGCTGTATTATAGATGCTACTATGTTTGCCGCAACTCCCTGCTTCAGAAGATTTGAAGGATCAGGCACACCTTGTGTGTGTTTAGACTTGAGGGTGGGGGAGTCCCACTTCTGTGGCCTTCGTCATCACTCAGTTCGTACACTCTATTGTCTGTTATTGTCTACATACTGACCCTCTAATTAATAAACAGCGGCATCCCAGCTTCTTCAGCTCTCCTCCCGCTCAAAGAAGGAAAAACGCATTGCATGTCAAACACATTCCATCATGCTCTTGGCCTTCCTCTCATCAAGATAGGCGATCGTCTTCGCATGTCAAACACATTCCATCATGCTCTCGGTGGTGGCTGGAAGTTCTTCATGGGCGCGCCTTGCATCAACCCTGAACACATCAAACATATTCCATCATGCTCTTGGCCTTCCTCTCATCAAGATAGGTGATTGTCTTCGCATGTCAAATGCATTCCATCATGCTCTCGGTGGCGGTTGGAAGTTATTCATGGGCACACCCACAACCCTGAACACATTGTGTTGTGTGGCTGGAAGTTATTCATGGGCGCACCCACAACCCTGAACACATTGTGTTGTGTGGCTGGAAGTTATTCATGGGCACACCTTGCATTAACCCTGGGCAGATCATGTTACCATTGGCTACTACTTGTATGTACTTGCATGTATGATGTTCTCCTGCGCATTTATCAAGCCTTGTATAAAGTCAACTCGAAGTTACACCTCCAACGCCAGACTCATAGGCCCCATTCAAGTCTACAATACCATCAGCATTATCTTATGATGCAGGCCAATGGCAACCTTCGTGCACACAATATGCACAATCTTGGCCACCCTCAACCCACACTACCATGCCTAGTGATGGGCTGTATCCGCCGTTTTTACAACAGGTCAGGGCGCACCACTCATATGCAATCCCAACATCCATCTGAAGAACTCGAAGTCCTATCATCACACCATTAGGGGAACTCACACCTGGGAGCTTACAGTTTATGCTTATCCGTGCTTATGCTTACACCCCCCAATACTACCTGATTTGTATATGGGTATAAACAAACCAAAATACATTACATGCACTGCTGCGTCCAGTATAGTCGGTGAGCGCTGTGACCGCCAATGTCAAGCGTTCTGCCAGTGGATTATTGATCATCTGAGTCTCGTTAGTGTCATGAGAAAGAAGGACCCTCCACCCCCTCCTATTCACGATGTCCACTGGTCCGTGGATATGACATGGACCTTGCTGTCAGAGGTCGAGAAAGACGAGAACAGGCTTGTTTTACTGGGGAAGCGGGATAAGAAGGAAGTAAGTAATATTCACTTTCGGATCTGTGTTCATTTGCTGACCATGCCATAGAATACATCTGGTGATAGCAAGATTACTGTGTTTCAACGTATTGGATCTGTCGTGCTGCAAGACAGCTACAAGCTCAACCCAACGGCAACAGGCAAAGCAGTCAAGCGCAAGTATGATCAGTATGTTGCTTTTTCTGAGTCTTGAATGATGTACTCACACAGTGCAGCCTAGTACGGAAGTATCGACAGCATGCTAAATGACTGCGAACCACTGGCGAGGGCATTCAGAACTCTGATGCAGATGGCAACAATTCCGACAATGAGTTTTTTGAATATTATGTTCCTGCTGACGGTCCAAATTCAACGACCACTGCAGATGCACAAAGTATCTGGGGTATACATTCTTTCATAGTGTTACTGTATCTTTGAATTGATTCCTCGAGTAGATGAAATTATCCAGAAATTCCCGTTCTTTCCCGTCCTTCACCGCATCCTCCTGTCCCGGCCAAATGTGACTCCCATTGCTGTCACCACAGGCGTCGGTCCACGGGGCAAGAAGACTCTGCATTATCAGGCTCCCAGTGATAGTGAGGACGACAACTCTGCCCCGCCACTCACGCCAGTTCAGCGCCAGCAGATGCAGTGTCTCCACGACATTCTTACAGTGGCGGCTCCTGCAACCCATCATCCATCTCCTTCATTCGAGCAATTTCATGATTCACCCTTTGACGAAGACACCTGGGCTGGTGACAATAAGAAGGAAAATACTCCACTACCATCTCCACCTGTCGCTACACCTGCCGGGTGCCCACCAAAATCCTCAGCACTGTCTCCGGATATTCTGGACAAGGCAAAGCAGCGCATCGCAAAAATTCCGAAGAAGCGAAGCATGGATGAGGTATTGGTCGAGCTGCAGACATAAATTTTAGATGTTGAATATCGAGCATTTTCTAATTCAAGTGACCCTTAGGAAAAGCATGGATGCCATCAATTCTCGTGCCGATGCTGAGATGCATCTCAAGAGCCGTGACCTCCTTCTTCGAGAGTTCAGTGCTGGTATCTGGTCAGTCGAGGAGTATCGAGAGAAGCTGAATACATTGGAGAACAATTCTGCTAATTCTCAACCTGAACCTCAATCTCGACCTCCAAAACGAGTGCGCTACTCTCCTGACTGGGATGAATTTGACGAAAATGATTCCTAAGTCCCCTGGCTGTATACCCTTTTAATTTTTCAACGCTCTTTCAATACACTTGTTCATCATGTCACTCCTTTTACCACTTGCTTTTATCACTCACTTTACACTCGCTTTTATGCTTTTATGGTTAGTTTTAATGCAAGTTCACAGATATTTAGATTTAGTTACATCTGTTGAAATGCTAGTAGTTCTTCGACCAACCGCTGCCGCTTTGCCTCACCATCCTGCTCATCATTATCCATAGGGTGATCCGCAAGTCCTCTATCAACTTCTTTGTGTTCCTGAGTATGTACATTAGCAAAATGGTCCCCCCTTGCAGCTCCTTCGACATAAATAACCAGATTATGCAAAATGATAGCAATAGTCATCCATTGACATGCTCCTTGATATTGGTGTTTCAAATTGATGTTGACACGAAGCCCCCTCAAGCACTGCCAGCACCCTTTCAAAGCACCCATGCAGTGCTCAGAGCACACCCTAAGATGGGCAACAACCCCAGCAAATAAGGTGTTTTCTGGAAGAAGCGAAGCAGGCCATTTGTGGACGGGAATTGTATGACGACTGACTGGATAAGCGATAAGCTGAGTCCACCCATGCAAACTCGTCACCTACAAAGAACCAGTCTGCATGCCTGACAGCAGCAGTATGCTCGAATGCAGAAGTGTCGTGAGCCGAGCCAGTGAGGCCATGTGAATAGTCCACGATGCGGAGATTTGACACCAAGTTTCCTATCTGAGATCATGGTTGAGAAACTTGAAATGAAGTTACCTCAAATAAAAAATACCTGAAGATTAAGTCCGTAGTTGGCCTTCCGAGTGAAATAGGCATCACCATTCAATCCCGGCTTTGAATATAAGACCACAATTGTCCCGTCGTACATCACCCAACCTTCTCGCCAACTTCCTCGGAAACCGACCCGATTATCAATCCAACATTTCTCTGCCTCCTTTTCTTCCCGAGTGGGTAATCACACAAAGATATCATGTAAGGACTCGATGGCAGTGAAACACCGTGCTGTGAATTTTTCGACACCCCCCACAGAGATTGCTGCATGACGGGCAATATCCTCCAGGGATGCAGCATTTCCATAGCAACCCATACAGTAGAGTGTCACAGCAAGCTGCAGGCGAACTGGAGCTTGTGCACAGGTAGAGTTGTTTTCGAAGACTGGGTGGTCTTTAATTAGATCCAGCAAAACCTCAAATGATTCAGGTGATAGTTGAAGCATGTTGAAAAATTGATCATGGTTGGATGGATGTTGGGAAAACTCCCATGCGAGATGAATGCTGCCAGCTTTTGGAACAGGTGTCCGTCCGCCGTTTAGATAGTGTGTTTGTTGAATCATAATAATAGAGGAGATATCACAATTAAGGAGCACTGCAGCTTCGTCGGGCGATAATTCTGGATTTGCCAGGTTATGGAGAACCATTGTCAACATATATGCATGTAGATACTGCTCATGGAGAGAGATTCGTGCCATCTTTGCTTGCAAGTTGTTAATCGATGACAAGTGGTAACTTAGTACTGTGTATTATATAATCTGCGTCTGCGCAAACTGGGGGGTTGAAGCTCCCAGGTGTGAGTTCCCCTATTCCTCCTCCGAGTCGAGTTCACAGTGTTCCCAGTCATTTCGACCTGGCACCAGTGTCACTTCCTAGCAAAAGTCTCGACTCACTCGACTCTTCTATGTTGCACCGGTTGATGTCCGACTCGGCCAATACGGACCCATTGCCTCAGCCTCTCGCAAGGAGCCAGGGTTGTCTGTACTGTCCCTTACTAGTCGTTTCAGTCATTGCGCACCTCAGCCGACTGTTCCGTCCCGTCAGTACTGAATCCTCCCATGTCGTGCCCATGTCCACCTATCTCCATTGGTGCGTTTTTAAGCTTATTTTACCATTACTGAATGAATGGCAGGCGTTATTACATGTATTCCCATGGCCGCAGCACTCGCAAGCCTTATTACATATTGACCTGAGTACCCTGCGCTTCGCTACTACTCTCACCTGTGCGATTCTGGATGTTCACATAGTTAGATAAATAGGACTCAAGTTTCGTATTATCCCTTACTTCCCTCCTTCGGACATACCTGGTACCATTGTAGGAGTCACCTTAGTTAGTCTTTGATTGTGAAATTGATCCCCTTGCTTTTTATCATCGGATGTGCCTTGACCGCTCTAAGTGCACTCTATCTAAGGTTTCTTTACCTAGGCCTTGTGAGATCCGGACCGCTACCGGTAGTCTTGCATCGGCAACCCATACCTAGTCATACCTCGTCATACCTAGTTATACCTAGACTCTCCTTACCTCAGCCTAGACTTACCTGCCACTCATCGGCATCAGACTCCTCACCTCGCATCGGTATCTCGCATCGGTGTCCTTCATCGGTGTGACAATCATACCAGCGCTAGGCGCGTATGAGTGCCATAGGCATATTTTGCCTTGCATAGAGGAAAAGAGTAAGGCACTAGTCATCAGCGCTATTCAACTCCCAAGCTATCCGCTTTGGAACCGCTTTTCTCCCATAGCGCGCTGCCCTGGTCCGATGCCTAGGTATTCTGTCCTCCCATGTCTTGCCTATGTCCACCTACCTCCGCTGGTGCGTTATTTTTCCTTAAATGTCGCTACTCATCAGTTGCAGGTCTTATTACATGCATCCTTGTGTTCCGCTGCGCTGCATGTCTTATTACCTGTCGCTATATTGTGCCTTCGCCAGTGTCGCTACTATTCTTGCCTACGCATTCCCAAACTTTTACGCAGTATGATAAAATGACCCGTCGCACATACAGTACAGTACTTCCCTTCCCCAGACCTTTGCTGGTGTTGGAGTCACTTTAGTTGCTATATCCCAGTTTTGGTGCAATCGATTCCGCTCTTGCCAATCTCTCTGATCGCGTGTCGCTTGACTTGCTTTGAGTGCGCGTCGCTAAAGTTACCTCATAAGTTTGATTTTCGCAACGTCAGGATCGCTATCGGTAGTCGAGCTATAATCTAGTCACTATCAGGCATTTCACTTGCACTATCATACCTTATTCCTTGCTTTCCCTTCTTTGATTTCTTATTGCTGTCACTAGTCGGACGTCGCATAGCGCTATCGCATAGGGCAACTTGCATAGCGCTTCTTACTTATACGCACGTTTCTCTGTCGGAACTCACTTGTCGCTAGTCGCTGATCGCTACAGCGCTACTCATTTGTTTTTGGTCTTAGGTCGCTATAGGTTATTAGCCCTTCGCATCATTGCTACCCTTGCATATTTGAAGGGAGTTGCTTCAATAGCAGTCCTCTTAGGTCGAATACTACACTCGTGCCTATTTGGATTAGTAGTGCTAGTTTCTAATAAGCCTAGTCGCTATTTCTCTTTCACATCGGTATCTTGCACTGGTGTCCCTCATCGGCATCTTGCATCGGGTGTACCATTGGTATCCCATATCGCGTCAGACATTCTCGGACTCGGACCTTTGGTCGGTCGGAACATCTCAGGTCTTAGATCTTAGTTTCTTCCTTTCTCTTCCCTCACACTATTAGAAGGAAGTGCTTCAATAGCAGTCCCCTTGGGTCGACGTACTGCACTCACACCCATTAGGATTTAGTAAGTTAGTTGGTATATCTAGCTGACTACTATTTCTTTCACCACACCGGACATGCTGCAACAAGCTCAGCACGCATGCATTCACGCAGCCCAATTCAGACTAGTGCAGGCCACGAACAACTTGAAGCACCTGGGAGTCGCAATGATCAAATGGAGTTTGAATTGCCAGAGTTGGATGGACATGGGTATGGCTTTCATGATGATGCTGCCAATGAGGCAGGTATGAACAGCTCAGATCAACACCCTTCAAGTCGAGATGGTAGTGTTCCTCTTCAAGTTCCTGGCGTTACCAGAACATATCATCCTAATATCAATGGTGCGTGTTAATCCCACCCCACACTCATCCAAACTCGTACTCATATGCTCTTCTCCATGAAGGGAGAATTTGCGACGAACATGGAGATGACATACCACCGAATACTCCGCCACCTCTGCATCCATCAAATCATGGACCAGACAACTGGACACCATATGCTAATCAAGTCGAATTCGAAGTTGCAGACTTCCTCTACCGTCGCAACAAGATGTTGGGGGGCGATATCGACTTTATATTCAATCTGTGGGCCGCCTCATTAGCGGCTCATGGCGAAACACCGCCCTTCGCAAACCACATTGAGATGTACAATGCCATTGATTTGATGCCTCTAGGTGATGTCGCCTGGCAAAGTTTTACCTCAGAATATAATGGTGCTCTGCCTGAAGGTGATGTTCCGACATGGATGACATTGGAGTATGATGTGTGGTTTTGAGATCCTCGGATTCTCATGCACAACATTCTCTCCAACCCAGACTTCGAAGGCAAATTTGACTATGCTCCGCTACAGGAGCATGATGCCAGCAACAGAGCACATCGCTTTCAGGACTTTATGTCTGGTGATTGGTGTTGGTGTCATATACCATATTCCCGGGTACAGATCCGAAGATCTGGATCTCAGATCAGATCCAGATCCAATGGACATATCCATCATCTGGTCCACAGATCCGATCTGATCCTTATTTCATGTCCTGTTCATATAACTCTAACTATCGTTCATCTCCTTTCGGCATTCCTGTACACCGGTATACCGGTTATCCTTTACTTCCGTTATGCTTACTGATCCGCTACACTTACTGATCCGCTTTAGCTTATACTTCATTCCCGGTGTCATGCATGGTATGGAGTTCATACCATGACATATACGAATAGCAGTATAAAAGGAGATAAGTAGAGGAGTGTACAAAGGATATACTTCTTACTTATGTAAGCTTTGTTTCTATTTATTTAGTTATATTTGTAGTTTCTGTCTCTTTCCATTATTTGTTCTTGTTTATTCAGCCACTTGATTACATCAGTGAGCCATTCAGATATGTTTGTAAGCATGTCATGTGACTGGTAATATTCTGATTTGTAAGGACTTTCCATGACTCACCATGTTTTGTCATGATTCGTCATGCTTTGTAATATTTTACTCATGTACTTTAGTAAGCAGCTGATTCAGCACACCAAAAGGCTTGGTTTGTAAGCATAATCTTACCAATCCAGTGATGACTCATTGCTTAGTAAGGATGGTTTCTAAAATGTATATAAGGACTCCATTCTCACATAATATATTAAGTTTTTCCCCTTCCATTCTTTTCCCAAACCATGTGGGAATGTAGGAATTTGAAGTCAGGAGTTTTCCCACTTTCTGTCTCAACACTGTGAGATCATGAAGAAAGTGAAGGCCTACGAGTTGCCTTTGAAAACAATCGTATTCTTTCAGTCTAGATTGATTGTATACTATCTTACAGGGATCGCCTATACAATAATCTATCGTTTAATCTATCATTTTACATATTCGTGCCACATTCAGTTCAGAGAGGTTCATATTACCTACTAGGTTTAAGTTAACCTGACAAAATATACATACTCCTTTACTATCAAGAAGTGATCTAGCAAAGAAGTAATTTATTACCCTTTGGCCACCCACGAACACCACGTTATCAACCGAGAAGTAGAAAATCCATTGACTGTGAACTTGAGGAGCTGGCACCTTAGTCTTAAAGAATACAATTGTGATAGTCATTGTATTCTGATCAACATATAAGACCCTCAAGTAAGAAGACACCAGTTACGATTCGTTATCCATCCGACTTACTGATATGCTGTACACATACTTTGCTTATACTTCGTACATAGCCTCGCGCCCTTGCTTATTGATCATTCTGTTAGTTATCCATAGTATATAAACCCTTGTACATGCGCTGTAGTAGATCAGTTCGAATATCATCTTAGATTGCACTCATTCTGTCAGGACTCTAAGTCCCTCCATTATCCGTCCGGACTCGAGTACGATACTCTTGTCTACTCCAAGACTTAGGATTGATTCCTATAGTCTATATATCCGTCTCTGTCTTTGGACAGTCCTCACCCGTTAGTTTCTAGTTCGGATCTGATCCAGATTAGCCGTTATTCTATATGTTCGATATCCGGAAGCCTTAACGGATCCGTTACGATACTTATCCATCTCACTAGACACGATACTCTAGCACTCTGAAATAAGGGGCAAGACTTGGGAAAGGGGCACAGTGCACGAGCTAAGGCCAAAGCCCTTTTGATCCAATACTACTTGAGTACAGTCTTAACAGTTGGAAGCAGGCCATAAGTCATTTTTCATCCCTTTTCCAATTTTCTCATCTCTCACAATTCACAGGATTTGATTGCTGAGGATCCAAATACAATTGGATCTATGTTCATTCCAATAATCCTTGGCAGTGACAAGACTACAGTCTCCGTCACTACTGGACACAACCAATACTGGCCAGTTTACATGTCGATCAGCAACATCCACAACAACATGCGACGTGCACACCGCAATGGTGTTGTATTGCTGGGCTTCCTAGCCATCCCGACAAGTATGTGTTTCAATTTGATGTTGTCTGTTGCTGGCACTAATTAGATGCATATATTTAGCTGACAAGGAGTCCGCCAAAGATGCACACTTTCGAAAATTCTGGCATCAGCTTCTCCACTCATCGCTGGCAAAGATGCTGGAATCCCTCAAACCAAGTATGACAACACCCGAGGTTGTATGCTCCCCCGATGGTCATTTTCGACGTGCGGTATATGGTCTTGGACCATATATTGCTGATTATCCTGAGCAAGCATTGCTCGCTTGCATCGTTCAAAACTGGTGCCCAAAGTATGTATTTCTTCATGTTATGCTAGTACTGTCTACTTACTACAGATTCATCCAGATGTACTGCTCTGGCAGATGGTCTTGACAATGGTGCCTATGGTCGGTGTTCCCACGACCATACCAAAGTCTTGGTGGAGGAATTCGAGTGAGGTGTGCTATGGGACGAATATGGACTTGTAGGAGACATCGTGGTTTGTACCTTCATTATCGTAGTCATTGTGCAAGCTGACAACTTACAATATACGTGTTCTACAGCCATTCACTAACTATTTCCCGCGAGCCGACATTCACAAACTCCTCTCCCCCGACATTTTACATCAGCTGATAAAGGGTGCGTTCAAGGACCATATTGTCACCTGGGTCCACAAATACATTCAGGCTCGGTACTCAGAAAATGAGGCAAACACAATATTAGATGATATTGATCACCGGTAAGTCCAATTTTGATCATGCTGGGTTACAATGACTGGTATTGACGCACTCTACAACTAGTATTGCTCCTGCTCCCTCATTTGCGGGCCTTTGACGATTCCTGGAGGGAAGGGGCTTCAAACAATGGACAGGAGACGATTCCAAAGCACTTATGAAGGTACGTCTGAGTCAATGAACAGGTGTTCTATCATCATGAGTAGTGTTGACTAACATGTATTCTTACTACTATAGGTGTATATACCTGTGATTGAAGGCCACATACCTCCGGAGATGGTGCTGACTTTGCAAGCCTTGATTAATTTTGTGTACATCGTGTGGCGCAATATCATCGACTCCAACAGCCTCAATGTGTTGGATGATGCACTCGAGCGTTTCCACAGGCACCGCGAAATATTCAAAACATCTGGTGTTCGCCCTAATGGATTCAACCTCCCTCGACAACACTCGCTTATCCACTACCACAAAATGATCCGATCATTCGGCGCACCAAACAGACTCTGTTCTTCCATCACGGAATCTAAACATATCAAGGCTGTCAAGGAGCCGTGGCAACGGTCCAGTCGGTTCGGAGCCCTCAATCAGATGTTACTGACAAATCAACATCTAGATAAGTTAGTGGCGTCTCGTGTCAACTTTGCTAGCTGTGGGATGGTAAGAGGAATATGTCTATCATATATCCTTGACAAACACAGTACATCTACTAGCATTTGACCACTAATATTACTAACACAAATCACACACTCATAATCCACAGGGCTAAACACTCCAGTGCACAACACAGAAGCCATTCAAGTTGGGCTTGAGGATGAGCCTATTGACATTCCCCATCTCAGACACAACAATCATGTGAATGCCGACTTGGAGGCTGATGCAGACCAAGATGCTGAGCTCAAGGGTGACGCTGTTGCTGGACCGACAGTGATAGCTCATGTGGACTTGGCGAAGAAATCTGGCAAGTGGACATTCACCTGGTGTGCTTTTTACTTACAACGAATTTTAATGTAGCAAAACGGATCTACACAGACCTCCTCGCAGATCAAATTGGTGAACCGGAACTCACCACTCATATTCAGCGATTTTTACATCACCAGCTCCATCATTCTGACTCCAACTCAGAAGCCTCCGAGTCTGGCACTGGCTCGTCCAGTGCCCTTCCTGAACATTACGAAAAACTCACTCTATATACATCTGCCATTGCCACCTTCTTCGCTCCAAGTGATGTCTCAGGCATTGGTGGTATGTGCTATGAGCGAATTCATGCCGTGGATACCTGGAGGAACGGCCCTGGTCGATATGACTGTGTTTTCATTAGTACTGATCCCACTGTTGAGGGCATGCGTGGCTTCGATATCGCTCAAGTAAGGCTTTTCTTTTCATTTAAACACAATGGTGTACATTACCCTTGTGCATTTGTGCATTGGTTCAAACACATGCACGACTCACCAGATGAGAACACAGGAATGTGGGTAGTAGAACCTGAAACCCACGAGGATGGGACATGATTTGCCTCTGTCATTCACCTTGACTGCATTTTTCGTGCGGCACACCTTATGCCTGTATTTGGGCATGAATTTGTACTTACTTATCTCTCTTACACACAGACTCTTGATGCTTTCCACACTTACTATGTAAATAAATACATTGACCATCAGGCATTTGAGATTGCCTGGTGACTTGATACTGACTTATTCTTTATTGGCTGGATAATGCTACCATTAAGACTATATTATATACTTTGTCAGCTTAGGAAGTACTTAACATAGCACCTATTAACTTAGTTACATCACATGGTGTTAATTATTTATAAATAAACTTCTTACTTGAACACACTTTTCTGCAGCCTCTGTGCTGAATTTTGGCCAGTCATTACTTACTATTATTGTATTTCCTTTGTGAACAATCCTCCAAGCAGAAATTAAGTTGGAATGATTTGCTTTAACAACTTGGTGAACTTAACATCGAATTAAGTCTCTGTAAGTGAGGTAAGATGACTAAGAATTTTTCCCATTTTCCTGATATCTATGCTGGTCCATGCTGGCTCAGGTGCCTTACAGGCCAGACCGAGCCGCACATGAGTGACTTGGTTCATGGGAATAGCCGAACTGCTGAGGAATTGGTAAGAGCCAAGCCCTAGCCAGCCATAGCCAAGCTGTGATGTCACTATCTCATGGCACCACAACTTCCTCAAGTGTGCTGCTGATGAGAGTGAGGTTGTACCTAATGCGTCTAGATCGACCAAGAGAGGGAGGGTCATGTAATATGTCTCGTTCTACTGAGTGTCTCATGCAAATCATCAATGTTGTCACTAGCTTTAGAATTGGACTAATTGTACTACTATCTTTTGTACGCTGTGTCGGTGTTGTTTGAACGACTTGTACAATACACTTTTTTTCATTTTCGAGCCATAGATTTACTTGTGTTTAGTACCGCTAGATTTTATCCATGATGCACTCATCATATTTGTGAAAAATGTGGCATTGAGTCATTGCCAGTGTCACGGTGCAGATGAAGCTCTTCATGGACACACAGGCGGGAAGTCATAAATAAAACACACAAGCTCATTAATACAACATGCAAGCTCTGAATACAACGCGCAAGCTCTCTGATGACAAAACACACAGTGCGCAAGGTGTGGAACACGCAAATAATAAATGTGCAAATATAATGCCATAGATACACTCGTTTATATTTTAGGTTAGTTTATAGACCGTTACTCTACGAGTACACGACTGAGATACACTCGTTTATCTTTTAGCTTTGTTCGACTTCGTCCGCTCGTTCCCGCGCGTCCACTACGAAACAAAAGACGCGTGGGAAAAATAGTTCATGGTGGTGGTTCAAGTTCAAGAGCCCTAGTCAACAGATCTTGTCCTAACTCAGTTCTCTGTTTTCGTTCAAAACAATACAGGGTACAATTTATATATATATTGAGTGTAAAAATGACTGGCTTAACCACAGGCTCAAGCTAACGTCTGACCATGTAGTCTTTTGACCCAATCCCAAGTCTTCGTTCTCGTTCGTCGTTCCTAGTCTGAGCCTCTCCGATTCTCGAGACCCTCCGACGCCCCAAATGGGTTTCCTGGATATGGCGCCATATGGAGTGGCACTGCATAGAGTTGTGATTATTACAACCTTCCCAGCGACATTTAATGAGCACATCTTGCTGTAGTACAGGAAGATGGACAGTTTTAACATGCTTCTTGAGGTCCTCCAGTGTCGCGAGACGTCCGCAGCATGTGTAGTCAGCTAGCCACAGGCAAGTAAAGAGGGGAGATGAAGTCCGCGGATATAATATGTCTAAAGGTGATAGTTGCTCCGATGGCTGTATGGAGCTGGATGATTCCGCGATAGGAAATAGTGAGAGATGTCTGGTGTCGTATTCATAACTCTGAGCAAAGGGAAAGATTCCAGACCCTGGACTGGCAATGTCTGGAATGTCGATGGATGCCTGGGGTCTTCCTAGAATGCTACCAAGTACTTTGGGAGACGGACCGGCATCCAAGCTCAGGCGATCAACTGCGGAGCGGGGTGCGCTAGATCGCCAAGAACTGAAGCGAACAAAAATGAGCTTCAGGTGAGATATTAGGTGCATGGACTCAAGTACCTTGAACCAGCGCCGATGTTAAAAAGTATCTGAACATCCTCTGTCGTCCCTTTTATACTCTGCCTAGCCACCTCAGCTTTTTCAGCCTCATGCTCAGCCTTCGTATTCGCATCAGTACGTTGCGCATCAGGATCAAAGTGAATAGGCGGGTTAGCTGCTAAACAAAGCTCCTGAACCTCGCACAACGTCCGAAGGCAGGTCTCCAAATCCTGGAGGCACCATGCTTTCACAAGCCACTGCTGGAGCTTCCGTCTCATGAAGACAGTCACGACGGAGCGGAGGTCATCATCCCACTCCGCCAAAGAAAGGTGATACGCCCAGTGAGAACAAGCATAGTCGAGTGCACTCGAGCCCGTTTTGCGTTGATCCTTGAGAGCATACACATCGGTCACGATTTTGACCACTGCATCCAAGGTTTCCATGCGAGGGTCGTACTCCAAGGTCGACGGGCCCAGAGTTTGGCCACTTCTGGGAGATTCAAATGCCAGAAATATTGGAAAGGCCAGGAGTACAGGTAGGGATTGAATGTTCGCTAGGAAGCGGAAAGCGGGCAGGGTGCCAACCGCGGATAAGTCGATGTGCTGCAAAATCTGCCAGGTACGGCAGAAATATAGCAGAGCTAATTTTGTGCGAGAATCAACCTGAAGTCCCATATACTGGTGTTGCATGATATGCCAAAGCATAGACAAAAATGGCAGAGGCTCTGGCGGTGAATACATCGCAAATGACAGAACTTCCGCATTGTCAAAGGCACAGAGCGACACGGAGCCACTTTCCGTCGCTAATCGAGATAAACGCGAGCAGAGATCACTGTTATTCGGTAACTCCTCTATCATGACACTCAAGGAGGAGTAAGCCAGCAGACGATGAACCAGGGCTTTGGAAGTGAACTGCTTTCCGCAGCGCAGAGGATTGGACAGGAAATCGCAAAGGGATTCGTGACAGACTTGCACAGCACTATCGTGACCATCCGGAATGTGAACCAGAGGTGACAATTGAGACAGAGCGGAATGCATGTCAAACTTCTGGTTGGACCCTCGGTTAAGAAGGTCATCTAGTTGCGAAAACGACAGCATGCCAGCAAGATTCACAACAATCGTAAGATGAAGGTATGCTTGTTCCACGTCGTCGGCTGTGGATATGATGTATTTGTAGAAGTCATCTATCGATGTCTCTGAAGGCGATGAGGGGTCGAGAGGAATATGATCAATGAGATCCATCCTATCTGTGGGGTCGTGGTCAAGGCTTTCAACGAATTTTACGATGATGGATCCTGTAATGAAGTAGGGTCCCACTCTATCCGCTAGACGGCCAAGCACCTCTTCCGGTGGCCACGGCTTGCGACATTGAAGACGATGACGTTTGTGTATCTTATCGAAAGATTGGCGAAAGAATAATCTAACGTCCCCAGTAATGACAGTACGGTCCAGAGCAATGTCCGAACTCATTGGAGGGAGGTGGCGCTTGATCAAGACTCCTACATGGTCACGGCTTGTGAAGAAGATGCGAAGGCCCACATCAATCATATGGGAGAGAAGTCGAGTGAGGAGTGAGATGAGTTCGGGCATTTGGTCTTGACATTGATCTATAGCATCAATGACGAATACGAACACCCTCGAAGAAGGGCGCCAATCGACTGCCTCTAGAGGTTCAATGAGAAGCCGAGCAAATTGCTCGCGCAAATCTCGAGAAGGAGAAATTATACCAGGATCGTTGTCTAGGGCTTCAATTATTTTCTCCTTCGCCTGCGGCTGAGACAGCCCGAGTTGATACGCAAGCGCGAATACAAGAGAACGCGCGCTTCTGCAGTTCGCGTGCCTGCGAGAGAAAAAAAAGCTACCTGCTAATCTATTCTTCTGTCTGCAACGACTAGCAAGAGTGTATGCAATGACAGATTTTCCTGTGCCGGAAGGTCCGTGAAGCCATGACATAGCATTGATATTACTAGGGTTCTCGACGAAGTCCGCTTCAAGCTTTTCAACGAGGTGAGCACGATCACTGCTTAGTTGAATCATCGGTAGAGGTCCTCGACAAGGCGAGTCAAACAAAGCACCGAGGGGGACAAATCTGCAAAAGAAGGCCCATGTATAGTCTTGACTCGAAGATTCCGTAATCAATGGGGGAATATTGTTCAGTAGAGTGCACAACGTCCCATGTTGGAGGATCGCATTCAACCGCACGAAATTACAGATCCTGCAGGCACCTTGCGACAGGAGCTTCAGATTTTATCAATAATGATCAAGAAAAAGACCCAAGAGACGCGACCCGTACCATTATATCACTGCCTATAACTGTTCTAGGCACAAAGGCAGCAGAAAGCTAATGATCAGAGTCAGTCAACGAAGGCGAGCGAGTCACAAAGTATTACAGGTAGATTGAACAAATCATTATTAGAATAACTTGGTAGCGCGTTCGGATTTTGGTTGGGGTGCGGGGGTAAGTATTCCTGTAAACAATCAAATACAATAAATGCGCAACAAGCGCGTGGGATGGAGATCGGAAACGCACATGAGGAAGTTCAAATACTGGTGGGGTTGGAGGAAAATATGATGCGGTAGTTTCAAGTTCAAACTTTGACATCAACGGCAGCCTGTCAGCTTCACAAATGTTGGCGAGCGAATAGCAACACACAGTATGATTATGATCCCACAGTAAACCCCTCCTCGGTCGGTAATGTACAGTTGGATCAGCTGCAATCTGATCCGATATCAGACGCATCCTGTCAATAGTTTTGGACATCGTCCCGCTGAGATTTAATGTCCAATCTCCTCGCTTCGACTGAGCCAAGCCGCGGAAGATGGTCTCGTGCAGAAGTGCGTCTACACGCTTCCAGCCTTGGATTTTTTGCATTAATGGAAGAACCGGCGCAAGGTTGCAGCGAAGCCTAAATGCTTCCTCACACCCCGCATGGAGGTAGTGCGGGATCAAGCTCTTCTCGTGGGGAGTGAGCAGTTTGTCGAAAGCTGAATAGATCGCCTCGAAAACATCACGAACACGAATGCCTTCATCACGCTTCACGTAGATATCCCATTGTAAAGGATTGCGCTGGAATTTGATGGTCATTTCGGTCAGTTCCTCGTTTGCGGCCGGCTTGTCGAGATTGGCATCAGACAGGGGCGTCTGTTGGATCCCGTAAGAGGAGTCCTGCATGTACTCGATGTCGTGGGTTGGAAAGGCGATGTCGAAGTGAAGGGATAGGTTAGGTCGAGCTGGATGGTACGAAAGCAATTGCCAATGAAGATTCGGTGCAGGAATTAAGGCAGGCGACACTGAACCCGAGTAGGGCGAACCCGTGAACCCCATGAATGCATCATTATATGGATCCAGAATCCCAAACTCTTCACCACGTTCACGAGTATGGTCGGGTACCACAAAAGATAACCCAGGGCTCGGTTGGGACGGCTCCAGCCGTAACGGTAATGCAGTACTGATGTGAAGCGCAGGAGACGGAGTTGTTGCACTGGACGCATGACTGGCTACAAGTTTGGATTCGAATTAGCATGATGTCCTTGGACTGCAAAATCAAGAAAGAAGACCCACTCAACGCGGCACGTAGGGCTTGTTCTTGGCCCACGAGTTGCGAGGAAGAAGGGGGAAGAGGTGAGGGAGTGGAAAACAAGAATTTCAAGCGTGGCGGGGGATACTGCGCTGGGATACGCCCCCGGCGACGGAGCATCGGGGGATACTGCGCCAGGGGAAACTGCGCCGGGGGAAACTGCGCCGGGGGAAACTGCGCCGGGAAACGCTGCGCCGGGGCATGCTGCGCCGGGGGAAGGTGCACTGGGGAATAATGCGCCAGGGGACGCTGCGTCGGGGCTACTGGGGTGATGTGGCCAGTACGCACAGTTTTTTCGGAGGGAGGTGACTTTGACTCTGATTTTGGGGATTTACCAAGTGCGACTTTTGTGTTAGAGGATGACTCAGATGAGCCGCTCTGCTGAAAGTCTGAATCTGCCCTCGGAGAATTCGTGTCTATATTGTTCTCTCTAGCATGGGCTATAGCGCGGGCTGCTGATAAAGTGATAGATCCTGCCGCAGAGTCCGGGCGCGCGGGGCCCATAGTATATGTCCAGAACACTAAATGACGGTCAGAGTCAGCGTCAATACTTGACCATCTTGTGCCCACCTGTGCCATAACTGCCAACTGATTCCGCATTTGGCAACCGAATATTCGGGACATGCCGATCCAAAATTTCAGTCACTGTTCGACCTCAGCAACGAGCTCAGCACAAGCCACGATGGCAACGCACGCACTCTTTGAGTCAGCATCGGGATACGCGATATTCGATGTCAAACTCCATGAAAACATTGGCTCGCGTGTCAAAGCAGTCCAGGACTCTATCAATGACCTCTCAAAATTCGGCAAAATGGTCACTCTCGTCAGTTTCTCGCCATTCAAAAATGCAGCGGACGCTCTCGAGAATATAAACGATATCTCAGAAGGTACGTATTACTGGACCCATTCCTCGTGCTCGCAGAAATATCAATGATCCCCAGGCATTCTCAGTGATCATCTCAAATCCCTCCTCGAGCTTAACCTCTCGAAGCCTAAAAAAGGCTCCAAGATAGTCCTCGCAGTCTCAGAAGTCGGACTTGCAAACTCCATCTTTGAAAACCTCGCCATAAAATGCGACGCCTCTGAAACCTCCCAGGAAGTTCTTCGCGGCATTCGTTTCCATGCACCAAAGCTTCTCAAGGGCCTCGACGCTACCGACCTCATCAAAGCTCAGCTCGGTCTCGGCCACTCCTACTCCCGTGCTAAATTGAAGTTCAACGTCAACCGTGTAGACAACATGATCATACAAGCCATCGCCCTCCTAGACCAGCTCGACAAGGACGTCAACTTGTTTGCCATGCGCATAAGAGAGTGGTACGGCTATCACTTCCCTGAACTCGTCAAACTCGTCCCAGACAACTACCAATACGCCCGCATCGCACAGTTCATAGGCGACAAGGACACTTTGGCAGAGGAAAAATTGCCTGAGCTCGCTACCCTTTTGGAAGACGACTCCACTCTCGCACAAAATATCCTCGACGCCGCCCGCGGCTCAATGGGCTCATCCATATCCGAAATCGACATGCTCAATATCTCGGCATTCGCGACCCGCGTCGTTTCCATCGCTGACTACCGCAAATCCCTTGTTACCTACCTAAGCGAGAAAATGAACCTCGTCGCTCCATCTCTTACTGCGTTGTTGGGAGAGCGGATAGGCGCGCGGTTAATTAGCCATGCGGGTAGCTTGACGAATCTGAGCAAGTATCCTGCTAGTACCGTGCAGATCCTTGGCGCAGAGAAGGCATTGTTCCGGGCATTAAAAACCAAGGGCAACACCCCCAAGGTTCGCTACTCCATCCTAATCGTCAATCAAGCTAAATTTTTCCAATACAGTACGGTCTGCTATATCACTCCTCCTTCATCGGCCGTGCAGACCCCAAGCACAAAGGCCGGATATCGCGGTTCCTTGCAAACAAATGCTCTATTGCCTCCCGGATAGACTGCTACTCGGGTAACTCCACTCCTCTCCACACACTTACCCCTTACTAAAAACACCCAGATAACCCATCTGCAAAATTCGGCGAGGCCCTCCGCACACAAGTCGAAGAGCGTCTCAATTTCTTCGAGACAGGCGCACCACCGACCAAGAACGTCGATGCCATTCGCAAAGTCCTCGACAGTCTCGCACTAGACTTGGAGGACGACGAGGATGAGGATATGGAGGATAAGCCAGACGCTCAGATGGATGATGCGGAGCCTATATTGCCTTTGATTGAAGTTACGCCTAAGAAGGACAAGAAAAAGAAGAGGTCGAGAGATGATATGGATGTGGATGAAGCGGACGAAGAGCCTGCGGAGAAAAAGGCGAAGTTGTCCAAGGAGGAAAAGAAGGCTTTAAAGAAGGCAGCCAAGGCAGCGCGTAAGGTCGAGGCTGCTGCTGCTGCTCCTGACGTACGCTTGAACTTGTCGAATAATCGCAGTCTTGGCTAATTTTCCTTCTTCAGAATGGCATCTCTGAGAAAAAAGAAAAGAAAAAAGACAAGAAAGACAAGGAGAAAAAGAAGAGCAAGGCATGATATGATACGATATCTGTGGTATACCTTTTCGTCCCGGTTGTTGTCTTTTTGTATTTCTGTTTTCATGCTTGTCTTTGCCCTGATGAACGGCTGATTCTTGCGACATCAACGTTCCGTTCTGGTTAAAATTCGGTGTGCTGCTGACTCGTGCAATCAGCTCCGAGTATCACCCTCCTCCCACTACCCTCCATTCTGTTCAACTCTAACATAGTAGTTCTCCGCTGCCACCGCCCAACGACGAACTTGCGACACATGCATTCGCCTGCATGCGGTAAATCGATGGCGTTGAAGCACACTGGCGACCGACAAAGTTGCGCAAATAACGGAAAGCCCGCACAGTTGAACCTGTCTTCTTGCTTTCTTGGTTGCCCGTCACGTGTGCCCTGATAAATGTGTAAGTTCCTGTTCGTCCTTGATTGATACTCCTGGTGCGCTACTGCTATCTAATCTATAACATGCAAATTGACTGCAGTGACATCAGATAGATATAAAGTAAGACCATGCAACGAGTGTTCAGGTATGGTAAACATGATTTCGTTGAGTCCTGTCCCAAAAATGCCCACGTCTTCAATGCAAAATTTAGCAGCACCTGAGGTATACTCTGGAATCCCGTTCCAAACAACACCACCCACACCCCAACTACTCCATCTCCACATTCGCAGCCTGCAGCACGACCATCGCAGTCGCGCACCCTGACACCACGAACGCAGTTGCGACATCCCCAATCGTCTTACGTGTCACCTCATGCCCCATCACCCTATGTTCCTCCACCAGATCTTTCAACTCAGCATGATGATTCTCCACTGCCAGTCGCTTCGACCGTCCAGCGACAACCAACACCCGCTGGCACATCGATGCGCGCTGGATCGCAGCGTGCAGCGGGACGGGAGATGCGAGGTTTGTGAAATTGATCCGCGAAAGCGCAGCACGCAATGGCCTAGGTATGTCCGAATCTGATAGATTGCAGCCCGCATATCGCGACCAAATTATGCTGTCGGCTGTTTCAGACTGCATGCGCATTTCGGTGTTGGGCTGCCCGTAGACAGTGTCTGGGAATACAATTATCTGCATAATCGGTGATGAAAATGTTATTCGGTTCATGTGGAGAAAGTGGTGGCACTCACCGATGATGTCGTCAATCCATGTTGATGAGGAAGTGCGAGTGAGTTGGTATCAACTTTGGTATCAGACTGGGCCGTAGGAGGTCGTTCGATTTGCCTGTTTTCAATCTCGCGTTTTTCCATCTTCACCACCGTTGCATTAATCTTCGGGTTCGCACAGAGTTGCACCACAAATTCCAGCGCAAGGCGGTCATCAGGACCGCCGAAGAATGGAAGAAAGATGTGATGCGAGCCGCCTGTCCCCGCACACGTATTGATGTGGTTTCCAGGATCGACAAACACGGCAACGTCTGTTTCACTTTGTGCGAATACCCCACGTACAAACTGCGAGTGGACGACAGATGCAGACTTGTCTCTTGATGTGCCGAAAATAGCCTCGAAAGGGTTGTGATCTAACTTTTCTCGCCGTGGCGTTGCGCCTTCGCTTGTTTCAGCGGTCCCAGCGCAAGGTGGCAACCACGGGAGCAGTATGAGCTGGGATCCATTTCGTTTGGCATGATCCACAACGTTGTAAGCAAGGTCATCGTACGGCACGATGGTGAGCGATGTCGACACGGGCAAATCATTCAGCTCTCCAAACATGCGGAATATGCCCAGGAGCGGATCGGTATGGATAAGCGTATCTGTAGTGGACGATTTCATCACCGCCGACGGACGATCCGAGAGCTCGATGAGGCGCAGTGCACTGATGCTCACTTCGGGCGTCTTGTACTTCAACGGGGCTGGATCGGATGCGGTAGACATGGACACAGCGGTAGTGAGCGAGGAGAAATCTGGTACAGGAGGACGGGCGAGCTGCGTGAGGGCCATTATGGACGGCATATGTTCGAGTTTGTCGAGAATGACAGTAAAGCGATACCGCCAGGGCTGTTCCTCATTCACAGGAGATTTCTTGTCTGCATAATCCTCCTCGTCACGAGTCCGGGGTGGAGCTCCGCCTGAAGTGGCGATGACACGCCGTTCTGGAGGATACAATGCTCTGACGAGTGGGGTGGTCATGAACGTGAGCGTCAAAGCTTCTAGCACAAACATGGAGAAGACTTTCTGAGACAAAATGCCAGCGGAGAGTCCGACATTAAGCACGATCAGCTCAACGAGACTAGGTGACATGATTTAGCAGACGAGAACACCAAAGTATTTGGATACTTACCCCTTACAGCTCATGAGTGCACCAATTGTACTGGCTTCACGCCAGCTGAAACCAGACAACCTTGAGGCAATTGTACATCCACCAAACTTGCCCAAGAATGCAAGGCATGCAATGGCGATTGTAAAAGCCCAAGTAATACCTGCAACGTACAAAATTATATAAGAAAAATAGGTAAAACAAGGCGTCTTAGATGACCGACCATCATTAAGGAGTCCAAGATCAGTGTTCAGCCCTGAATAGGTGAAATACTGCAATGCATGAATGACCAGGTAGGAGAGACGTAAAATGAACATACCAAAGGCAGAAATATAATGGTGACCATATCTTCCAGCTTCTCCGTCAAAGCAATGGCGAGACCGCCCTCCCTCGGTACAATAATACCGGCTAAGAATGCACCTACACGCAATGACAAACTGAAAATCAGATGATAAAAGACCAGTACACACCAAAGATAGCATTGACGCCTACGATATCCGTAAAGAATGCACACGCCCAAAGCAAGATCATCACAATAGTCATGTAAAACATGGTAGGACCATCGTTTGTACTGCCCGTGGCTCTGGCAAGCCAGAGCATTGCTCTCTTGACGACCAACAAGAGAAAGATTGTGAATGCTACGCATGTAAGTAATACCCATAGGGCGGTAAGACCAGAACCAGCATTAACAAGCGCTACACTCAGCGCCAGGAGAGTCCAACCCACAACATCATTGCCTACGCCAGCTGAGAGGACAATAATGCCAACAGTGGTATCCAAGAGCTTGAGCTCAGTAAGAATACGACACAGTACGGGGAATGCGGTTATAGAATATGCGACGCCGGTGAACAGCATGAAATACGTGAAGTGAACGGATGGGTCGATGAATTGGTGGTACAAGGGAAGAGACAACGCCGACCCGAGGCCAAAGGGTAAAGCTATGCCCGCGAGCGATACAATAACTGACATGCGAGCATTGCGCTTGATGACACTGGCGTCAATTTCGAGACCGACGATGAATAGAAACAGGCAAAGGCCAATATTGGCGACGAGATACAGGTACGGCAGTGACTGGGAAGGAAATATATGTTGGGTAAAGCCGGGTATACGTCCCAAGGCCGTTGGGCCTAGACTTGTACGTGAGATAAACATTTCAGGCAGAAGGTAAGAGGATTACTAACCCAGAAGGATGCCGCCAAGCACTTCGGCGATGACTTTTGGCTGCTTCATCCTGCCCAAGCACAGAGAAAGCAACTGTGCCATCATTATAATGACACCTGGGTTGGACTGAGATGATGCCAAGCAATGAGGACATATGCCATACACACCAACTTGGATGATCCATAGCCTCAGCGGATCGGAAACATTGAAAGCCGATGGATCAGTACCAGTAAGCAAACCACCCTATGATGTAGACGGGTGAGTTCAGCACATGTTAGTCATGAGATTAAAAACGAACCTCGCCGGTGGCCTCTCTCTTCTTGAAGAGCCTGATGATAGTGTCTGAAAACTCTGGCATGGAAGTGTTAGAGAGAGGTGGGACTCCAATTACGGTGCCATCTTTATAGACACGAAAAATTGACGCTGATTTATCAAGATGGTGGCCAGTACTCGTTTGAAGAGTGACCGCGTGCGCATCGGCAAGGCACACCGACCTACTGGGTGACACCAGCGATACCACCGGTGGTACTCATATATCCGTCTCTGTTCATGTTCTATATTTTTAACCCTTTAACGGCAGCACTAAGATCCTCCCGGGCATTCCCCGACCTCCACGATGCCTAAAATGATCAAGCGTGCTTAGTAATAATTAATTTCGATGACTGTCTTTTGATGATTCCTTGTATTACCCATCACTGCGATATTTTTGCCACTTTCTATGCGTGGTTACAGTACTGTGAGCCCTTTCAATTCACGCATTGAGTTTTCAAATCTGCCTTCATGCCATCTCTGCAGTCGAGAATGCCGCATCTGACGTTCTGGGACAGATTCCCACTTAATCACGACAATCTCTGGCTTCCTCACACGGTGTGCGATGCGTTCAAAAGGCTGCTTAACCAGTGAAGTGAACACTTTGCCATTCCCTGTAAGCTCAGGTGACGCACTTAGCGTGACAGCATGCGACTGCGATCTATCTTGCTGTCAACTCCTGTTACCACATATTAAACTCCTGATCGCGGAAGACCGCAAATTATGACGCAAACAGGTGCGGAGAACACAAAAAGTGGGAGTACTGTAAGAGCGACCTTATCATCTCATCTCATAGCTCCACACAGCAACCGACCCGACCCGCGTCCGTCATCCACAAGTTCAGGACCCTTATGCGAATTTCACACTCTATCTGTCACGGGTACAGCTAGAACCCCTTCGCCAAGCAAGATTTTGCCACCGCTTTCAGGACAGGCACCATCTGATAACACGCTGAACTTCGGGCTGCTGCTCTGCGTAGTACTCCCAAAGGACCGTGACCGCAACAGAGACGGGTTCGAACATACCAAGCTGGAACGGGGAGAGGGTGACGATGGAAAGTGGCAGGAAAATGGGCGAATAGAAAAGTTGTTTCTCATGTCTGTCATTTCTTCCATAGCGGGTAGAGGATCGAGATGAAACTTGAGTTCGGGCAATTGGGCCTGCGGTGACCAAAAGACGTCGGGTCCAGCTGTTTTGGCTTGCATCGGCTTGCACGGTTCGCGCACGATATCCTTTCTCACGAGAACAGAGTTATCCAGCGAAGATGAGACCACGTTGTAGGGATCGCGATTGGATGAAACTAGGATTTAAGAGGTGTAGATAAAGCTCAGTGCCTCGAGTTTAATTGTGCTAGTCTCCGACGAGCCAAACTCACCTTGCTCCTGATCAGCGATCGCATGACGATGAAATATCCGCCATATCCAGAAAATACACGAGAGTGCGAGGATAAAAACAATACCGATGACTGCAATACGCGTATGATGAAAGTTCTATTTCATCGCAGAGAATGACTCACCGATGAATGTAACGATGTCTCCTATACAGAGAGTCGTACCGCTGGAGACAGGTTGGCACCGTGTGCGATCATGGATGGCGCGAGCAACAGGGGCGGTTTGTGGAGTGATGACCATGGCAAGTAATGGAACCCAGATATGTATAAATTGCGATGTTAAAGAGGACAGCAAACTTGACTGCGAAAGGAGTGGATGACACGCTCTGCGTAGAGGTGGTGTGCTAGTGATGTGAACGTTGACTTCAGATGAGACGGTCTAACCTCGAAGTAGCCAAGAGTCACCCCGGTCAGCCTCAGGCTCTCCAGCATAGAGGGGCCCCTCTTCATCTTGGTATAGTGATCGAAATCAAGATTCAGACTAGCTTGGCTGACCTGCTTGAAGTCATGTGATCATTTAGTGTGGCAGTGCCACTGTACCATTGTACTTACGTACTCCAACTATCTTCACGTACGCAAAACACAGGTCCTAACAATATTTCTAAGTAGCGAACATGGTCAATTCTCGTGCCTGCTGGTTGTGGAGATACCCCATGGCGTCACCGTCTCCTGTATTGGGACGAAGAACGGGAAACTAAGCACTCATCAATTAAAACAACCGTCTTGCCGCGGGCCCGCGGCGCAGTGCACTCACTCTTGCTGGTCGGCATAAAGTTTAACTGATAGGTGGCGCGCCCTCTCCCATGCACCTGCACAACCAAGTCATGTCCCGATTCTTCTTCTGTACCCTAAACGTTTCGCGCCGTTCAGAAACGTTTGCAATATGATCATCGCTGGATCTACAGAAGGTCCTATTTCCGTTTTGACTTGCGATGATCATGCACGAGCACCCTTCTAAAACGCGCCTGCAATGCGGTCAAGTACCCCATAACTCAAAGTAAGGGTTACCAATTTGAGCCGTGGCCGCGAGGCCAACATGAAGCTGAGTATCTGGACAATTTGAACTATATTACGCTGGCACCTTCCTCCACCGATCTTTCAAGGCAGCACATCGATTCATTCGAGAATTGTTCTCAGTTATATTTCAGTGCTCGCACACTATCGTATGGACTTTTCTTTTTTAGTTGCTCAACCGCTGATAACTTTGCGTAGACAAAATCATGGCATGGATCCCCGGCGCGATTACAGGGGGCATTTGGTTAGCATCGAAATTATTCGGTTCCCGCCGCAGAGATCCCAATCCAACCTACGCTGCAATCGAAGCCCGCAAGCGGGCTGAGGCAGAGCGGGATAGGGCCATTGGGGACCTTGACGGTATGAGGGCGCAAGTGGCGCAGCTCGTGCAATCCATGCAGGCGATGCAAAGTAGGACACTCCAGTCCCAGCAGGAGGCCATGTTGGCTGCAGCAGCTGCGCAGCAGAAAACTCAGGAGCAAATGAGGGCTATGGTTGACGCCGAGAGAGCTGCGAATGCGGCCCGTTTCGCTGCAGAAAGCGCTGCACGACTTGCAACGGAGAAGTCGAAGAAAAAGGCCCAAGAAGCTGAGGCAGAAGCTCAGCGTACTCAAACTGCTCTAGAAGGAGCTCGGAGAGCGGCAGAGGCTTTTAAGCAAGACGCCGAGCGTCTTCAGAGGGCAGCCGATGAGGAAAAGAGGAAAGCCGACGAAGCCATCGCACAATCAGAGGCGGCAAGAAATGCAGCTGAGAACAGTGTTCGCGAGGCTACAGCAGCCAAGGAAGACGCTGAAAAGCGGCTTAGGGAGGGCATCCAGCCTGTATTAACGCCCACTCCTCGAGAAATTCTCGCTGCCCAAGCCAAAATTCAGTATCAGGAGAATTTATTCCATTTCGCTGTTGCTGGGAGGGCCGGTGGAGGAAAGTCCTCACTCATTAACGCATTCCGTGGTATGAGTAACCGCGCAGCTGGTTCCGCTCGGACAGGGGTCACGGAGACCACATTGACGGTGGGAAGATATCCAGACCCTGACGAGCGGTGTCAACATGTCTGGTACGACCTTCCTGGAGCAGGGACGATCAGGATCCCTGATTGGCAGTATTTCAATGCGCAGGGACTCTACGTCTTTGATTGCATTATCGTCTTGTTCGATAATCGGTTCACCCATACCGACATCGCTATTCTCCTCAATTGCAGGCGCTTCAAAATCCCCACTTACATCGTCCGCTCAAAAGCAGACCAGCATATTCGAAATATTGTGAAGGAGATGGGGTACGAAAGTGACGATGAAAACGCCGATCGGTCGCAACGGTCAACCTTGTGCATGGCTGCGAGAGAGCAGCTCGTCGACGAAACTCGCCGCAATGTGAAGGCAAATCTTGCGGAGGCAAATCTACCTGATCAAAGGGTTTACGTCGTCTCTAGTAGCTGCCTACGAGCTGTGGCCAAAGGCGAGCAGCCTTCAAGGGCCATCGACGAAATCCAACTACTGAACGATCTATACACGGAAGCGTAAGCTAGGCGAGTTCGTCGCGAGTCAGGAGGGATTTCTACCTGAGGAACTGGTCCCGAGGAAGTGATCGGTTGGCTTCAAAAGACTCATGTTTAAAATTTGGTGGATGCGGCAGAGGCACGTTTACCTATGATTCGGATTCTCGTGCTCATCACATATTTAGATCTGATGCTAGGTACAGATACGTATTGACAGTCCCACTTTTTCTTGTTGTTACTGCGCTAGCCGTATGCAGGTCCTGATAACGATACATGCCCTCATCTTTGATCCAGATTATTATATCGCCTCCGTCAATGGTGCAGTACTTTTGATGTCCTCTGCTACCTTTGCAAGGCTTTCTCATCATTGGAGGGGACATTGAAAACAGCAAGGCAAGCAAGCTACACGACGTCCTAGGATTCTGAGATGCGGGTTCGACTGCAGACAGTTCGTGCGTTGCGACAAGAGATTGTTTGGTTACTACGAGGAAGACCCTTTGATTGCTTCCGTGATGCAGTATGAGCGGGTTACTCGCGTAGCGTTTCAGAAGCTTCGAATTTCATGCAGGCTGGAACCAGCAAGGCAGGCTATCCTTTTACGGCAACTCCTTCAAGCTTTATATTTTTCCTTTGAGAGTAAGGTTCGAAGACAATATTAAACTCTAGTGCATCCCCTCTGAGGTCTGACTAGGCGAAATTTCGTGTAGCAGGAAACGTCCGTCCACGATCTGGCACTTGGACTGTCTCTAGACTAATAGAAGTTCACATAATTCTGCTCAACGACTTGCCAGATCAACCAGTCCCGGTGTCCCACCGCATATCTACAAAATTTCACCATCACCATGCTCGGAGGTAATGATAATTCCAACCCGAGTACACTTGCGTGGGATCCAGGAAGACAAGTGTAGTTCTCTTCCGACCAATTCGCGCGGAAGGATCAATTAATGACCACATCGTACGCTATCGCAACCGTCGCGTTCATCGTCGAAAATGCGGAATAAATATGTAACATCGTCGCGCAGGTTGGAACGCAACGCCTTCATTAATATCCATTATCATTAAGAAACCAAGCTTAATCAAGGTCTGTAATAATCTCCGTATACTAATATTGTCCGGTATCATCGAAATGAAAAACCTCCCACATACTACTTCACCTCGCAGATGCCCTACCTCTTTCTGGACGCAAGGATGATCCTGTGAATCTGATGAAAAACAAGGGTATTTGCAACAAGAGTCATTAGCACTATCCCATACCGGAATTCAACCCCGGCAACGTTGAACACTACTGGTATTCTCTATGGGCCCACACCTCCACCAACCTTACTGCGGACATCCTAAATCTGTTGGTCGCGCCACAGTTCCCCGTTTGGTTCGTTCCAGAAGATGGCGAAGACCCGATTTGAAACAAGCGAGTAAATCTAACTTACTCTGGAGAGTGACCCAACCAGGCGCAATCTAATTTTAGTTACGAGCATCTGATCATGGGTACCGTGCAAGATCGTTTGATATTGGCATACATCGCAAGAGATGGATTATGAAGCGACTTACCATCCCGCAAGTCAGTCTAGGTCATCAATACACTTACTAGTATCGGTACTAGTTTTTTCCGAGCTTTAGACTAGTACAAGAACCATAAAAATGCTCATATGATATGACCTGGAGCACAAGGAACAACTATCTCCACAAAATGTCCTGAAGAAAACTTTCATTGCAACGCATCCGCAGCCATCACGAGTAACTCCTTCGTGCTCTTCCCAACATTCTTGTCATCCTTTGCTATAACCTGCCACACAGGGCCGTGATGTGGTTCAGCGGCAACGCCCTGCCTAATAACCTCCTCCACGTATTCCTGTAGAAGTCAATTAGTCAGTATCTTAGGTGTATGATAATCGACGCACAGGAGTGCCATGCTGGCGCTCGAACTTGAGCCACCATCCCCAATGGTCTCCGATATCCTTATCTTGCTCTGTGGCTACACTCCTCGAGAACCACTGCCTCGCCTTCTCAATCTTCCTTTCTGCCCAGAACAAACGCGCAACTGTACATGTGATCAGCGGATTATCCTTGCTTTTCTTCAGTGCATCAACAGAGCGGCTTTTCCTGGTCGGCCGTGGTTCGGCCCATATAGACATCGACCATAGGAGACCGGACGATGGGCATTCCTGTAGGCCACGGGCGAGCATCGCTTTTGCCTGTGCAGCTCCACCGGATCGCTCTTCCACACCAACAGACTCTGCCCACAAAATCTCGTTCGCCGGATTGACGAGCCGTCCCTTCTCTAGCAATGCGCGGGCTTTGATGCTCCTTCCATCAAGCTCCTCCAGTTTGCTCGCAAGCACCCATAACGTAATCTCCTTCGGGCAAGCCTTAAGGCCTGCAGCATACGAGGCACGCGCTACGGAGTAATTCTTTTCCATCTGGCGGATCTGTCCTTGGATCATGTACAGTTTGGCAAACTTGGGGAATTTAGATAGGGCGCTGGAGACGGTTTCAAGCGCTGCAGCGTACTGCCCTTGCTGGCGCTCGAATACAGCAGATTTCATCCAAATCTGAAAAGTTACAGTCAGATCGGTCGTGGATCAGGTATTGAGATGAGACACTTACCCGCTCAGTATCTGCAACTGTCCGTGCACGCACGAGTAGCTCCCTTGCGACACCCAGCTCACCATTTTCGGCCTCAAGCTTGACAGCGGCAAGCCAGATTTGCTCGCTTTCGGGATTGGCGATAAAAGCTTTTTCGAGGACCTCGCGTGCCGCTGGCACGTCTCCAGCCAGCCACTTCTCTTTGGCTGACATAAGCCAGAGAACTTCTGCCTGAGGGCAATAGTGTACCGCCTGAGAGAGCACTCCATCGAGCGATTCCCTAAAAAAAGATTAATACAAGATATACATTCCGCAAAAAACTATCATACTTGGTGCCGTGAGCCTTCTCCAAATCGGCAGCCTTCCTCCAGAGGTTCCGCTGATCCGGAAAGACTTTGAGCGCGTAAGCAAGCACGGCCCTCGCAGTCCCCACCATGCCCCTGGCCTCTGCGCTCTCCGCATCGCCAACCCATGTATCCAGCCTGTCTTCCTCCTCGACCTCCATACTCACTGTAGCCTTAATGATTGCCTCGCATGTCCGCGGGCTGCCGTCGCTCTCACACCTCTCCGCCTCCTTGAGCCATTGGTCGCGCGTAAGCAGCACCTGGTGCCGCCGGAGCTCCCGGACACCAAGCTCGATGGTCCTGTCCACCAGCTCAAGTTCCTTGTTGCTGGTTTCCGTGGACTTGTCTGGGTCGTCCACGGCCCCTTGCTCGAGCAAGCGTCCAGCAGCAATCCAGATCTCATGCGAGGTAGGAACAGATTTGCGGGCCTTGTTGAGAACGGCTTTGGCGCGCTCAGGGGTTTCGAGACGGGCCAGAGCGAGCCAGAGCTCGACGGAAAGTGGGATCACCTCCACGGCGCGGGAGAGGAGTATGCGGGCGTCCGTAGCTGATTCTTCGAGATTGACGGTTTCCTTCCATAGCTTAACGGAGTTAGGAATATTCTCGAGTGCTGTGTGTAATGTGAGTGAATTACGGTAATTTCAATGGCAAATTATATACCTTTACGCAAGACGCGTTTCTTCGATTTAGCATCCTGTTCAAGGTCGGCTGCTGCAAGCCAGATCTTGACGCTCTGACCGACATGTTGAACAGCGTTGGCAAGAATGACTTTTGCATCATCATTATTCTAGAAGGGATATCAGCGACAACGCAGAGGGTACCATGATTCACGTACATGTAACCTTGCTGCCTCGAGCCATACGTCATCACTCTTGGGACACTGCTCGCAACCTGCTTTTATGAGTTTCCTTGCAGCAACCATACGGCCAGCGTGTTCTTCCAGACATGCAGCTGCAATCCAACCAGGGGCGTGTTTGGGATTAGACTTGACGAGCGAGTCAAACAGCATGCGGGCACGTTTGATATCGCCGATTTCGGCTTCAGTCTTGAGAACGACGCTATTGAGTGATGTGAGGTAGCCCTTGGGATCGACAGAGGTAGCAGAGCCAGAAGTAGTGGCTGTCCCAGAAATCTGCGATGTAATGAGTATGATGCAATGTCTACTATGATAAGCAGACGTACTTGATCGAGCTTCAAGGACAAGATCTTATCACGAGCTTGACCGATTTCAACAAAATTGGTCATGGTGCCAGTGTCAGCAGGAGTCTCAAAGCCATTGGCTTGCTGTTGTCGAGTGTCCAAGGAATTCTCATATTCAGACTTGGATCGATCACCGACGATGATGCTGTCAGGAACGACAAAAGTCCTCTCGTCTTTTCGCCGTTTCTTCCTGGTAAGATTACCCACTTCTGGTATGCTCTCCCACTCCTGGTCGGTGACGACGGATAAACCACGCTTCAAGTCGGCGAATTGTTGCTGAATCTTGGGGCGCTCAGCTCGGTGCTTTGCAAGTTCTGCGTTCTCTCTCGCCTCCCTGAATATAAAAACAAAGTGAAGCAGTTGAACACGATAAAATGATACAACTAACCGGAAAGCACACACCTGCGTGCCCGACGCCGTGAGTCCATCTTCTGATCAACATCATCATATATTTTGTCAGCTTCCTCATCGTCTTGTTCATAAGTTGTGCCAGCAAATAGGCCATATTCATTGTCGGGGTCTTGGAATTGTTCTGGATCGATTTCAGGCTCCTCACCGCGCCTAGCTTGGGCCTCGCTGTGCAAAGAATGAGTGAAGTGAAGTCTTCCAAGGAAAGATATTCGGACGCACGCAATAACTTCTGCAGATGGACCCTCTCTGGCAGGTCCGATATCTGAACGAGTCGTGAATCCAGAAGCGCTGTCGTAGCGTTAGGTCGGCGCATCCAATGATATATGAGAGATACTGACCCTCGACCGAGACCAGCGACATATGATGCCGGAGCTGGCATCGACAAGAATGCAAGCTTGTTTTTATTTGACGCCATCGTGGTTAATGACAACAGAGCGTTGAAGCTGAAGCTTGAAGAGAAGGCAGCACAGAGTCGTCGCAGGAAATGCGTGATGACTAAGCAACACACTGAACAAAGGCTCCTAATATTTACGGTCACTTTCATCGACGTGGGTCATGCATAATCTACCCCAATACTAGTAGTAGACGTCGACCTCCATTCATGCATGTTACAGGTCGCCGTCATGGGGTAAGTTGACGCGCTGACGGCAGCACATCAATATTTGAAGTCCTTGAGGAATGATTAGGAATCGCCTCAGTCAAGTTTCAGTGCTGCCAGCTGTGAAAGTGACAGAAAGGAAGTGATACTTTTCCTGATGTTGCACAGATGCATTTGGCACACTCCGTTCCAAAATGTGAAACAAGCCACGATGAAAAGTACTCAAAGCATAGTTTACATCACTAAATACTAGTACACGAATGTCGAGATAAGAAACAGAGATAAAGTTGGGTACAAGAATCTACGCTTATCGATAATCGCTTGCTTCAACAACTGTGATCGTCGATAAACCATTGCCCGTAGACACCCCAGATCTAACGGTATGTCAGCCGACCGAGAGGTAAAGGAAATACAAGTGCACATACATTATTCACGCACGAGTCTGCACCAGAGAACTTCCGGTCTAGGAAATAAGCAGGGGTTGTTCCACAAAACTCCTTATAGTCAGCTAGGAACGGCAAGTTCTCGAGACGTTGCTCAATGTGCTATAGTAATGATTAATTCAAGTCCCAGAGAACAGTGCATCCGTTCTCACCCTCTTCTTTGACCCTCTAGCGGAACAGCCCTGCGAAGATAGTGATTAGAATGAGTGAAAAATAATATCTTCAACTTACCATATCCTTATATCCGCTCCAGTAGGTAACGCAGTCCGATTCGTCATGGTTAATGGCGAAATGTCCAAACACCGTGCCCGAGCGCTATACCAAATGAGACTTCATTATCAGGACTAGTGAGAAATGTCAACTAACATCTTCGCATCTGGAGGGCCAGTGAGGCCGGCCATGAATAAACACCGGAGTAGCCATGCAGATTTCCATCCTATGACGGTTCCAACGAGTCGCGTTGAGCTCTGCTACGTACTCCTTTGTTGCATAAGTGGTGCAGGAATGAGGTTCGATATTGGTCCAAGCCATCTCATTGAGGGGCATAAACGAGAAGAAAACGATGGCAAACACCCCGAAAATGAGCACGGCTCCAAGAATTGTAAAGAAGCAACATCCTGGGCCATTGTTCCGTCGTCGTCCTGCTGGAAGGAGAGGGTCAACTTCATTGTACCTGAAGATGAGTATCAATAACTGCATCATGAATTCGTGCGCTGCGCATCATGCCTTGGATGAATACTAGTAGTCACCTCTATCAAGCACTGAAAGGAATAGGTACAGAACGAAAGCTTACACGGTCCTAGAATTGGGGATTATCGGAACTACAACGTGCATTGGGGGCTGGCAATGTCCGTGGTGCCTATGACAATTATGATCGTGTGTGGATCCTTTATACGTGTATCCTTGCGGAGTGGAATGAGCATAGTCGTGATGGGATGTCTGTGGCATTGAAGTATGATGCTGGTACGCCGGAGGAGGGTGACTAAAATCACTAAAGCTTAATTGTAACCACGAGGAGCTCAGTGCTCAACGTTCAACGTTCAAGTATCACAGTAGCCTTGTAATCTCACCTGGTATGATCTGACATCGTATCTCTGAGATAGCTTAGCTCTGTAAGAGACGCTGCTGCGAGGCTTTCGAATTCGGGAATCGGGGCCGTTGATGACTCGATGCGGTATGAAGAAAATCCAAAAAAGGCAAGTACAACTTCAAGATCCGAGTACGCTTCATATCATACACCACACATGATCTGATCGATTATCGATGTGCTCTGTTTCTGAGCCCCACATATGCAAATATTCTGGGGGTTGAGATTGATGCGAAAAGCTGAATAGTGCCATCCAACATGCTTTGTTCCGAGTTCCCCAATTCAAGTGAACAGTAAATTACACCACCGCGTACAATGCGAATCATAAATATATTCAAGGTTTACTGACAAGCGATGGTGTAGCATAATTTTAAGTAGAAGCAGATTGCACTAAAGAAAACCAGCGAGACTCTAAAATGCACATAAGAGCTATCTATGTGTAGACATAAATCCTAAATCGTGAGGAATTGATTCTCTAAAATGAGTTGCTAGTAGTGAGTCGTGATGAAACAGGGAAAGAAAACAAGTTTTACGGCGAACTGATCTACCGAAGACGCACGTCACTAGCTCACAGCAATCCCGGCACAAACCAGAACCTCACTTCCGCAGCATATGCATCCCACTCTGATGTGCATAATTTACGAAGCTCGCCATCCTCTGCGTATGCACGGCTTACACCTACTGATAACGCCCAAACCCACCACGTAGCCCCTAACAATGCGGAACTGAAAGGTCCGAGGACGCCGCATTCGATTATCAAGCTCCCGGGAGTTAGATGCGAGAAGGCAATACCCGCAACCAGCAACAAGGAGCCTGTGTACGCTGGGTGCCGGACGTATTTGTAAAATCCAGAGGTCACAAGCTTGTGCTCAGGGTACATGGTGAGGTCGAAGGTGAACAAATGACCGAGCTCGTGGAAACAGCGCACACGGATGAACATCCCGAGAGCAGCCATCATGACTCCGAGCAAGAATACGGGAGTGACTAAATGTTGCGTGTACTGTGCGGGACATGATACCGAGTCGACACGGCTTGACAGCTGCGTTGACAACAACGATCCACGAAAACAGTGGAATGTCAAAATCACTTCATATGCAGCGCTCAGCCACAGAATTATTGTGTGGACCTAAATAAAATACGATTTTTAATCAAATACAACAGCTATAATATCACTAGCTTGCCTTGAAGATCAATGGAGCTATTTGCAAAACGGATGCCTCTTCAGTGTGATAGCGCAATTTTGCTGGCGTTTTATTAGGTGGAGTAAATGCGATCTGGTTGCAGAATGCTTGCACAAGGACAAGGGAAGAGCGTAGGAGAAGAGACATTGTGAGCTATACTGGGTAGCGAGTGAACGAGCATAAGATGCCCTTTATATCGGAGAAACGGATACACAGTGCGGCATAACAGGACAGACATATACTCATGGGGGGTTAGCCGGCAAGGTGTGTCAACCAAAGTTCAAAACCAATTCAAGCTGTGACTACGGGTTCGTGTCGACGGCCATCAAGCCGAGGAGGTGCGGCTTTGCAGTACCGCGGCGTGTTGCACTATAAATCTTATCTAGATCGCATGCATTATAGAGAAACCCATAGGACTGGTGAGCACTCCATTGGAATTGATTATGCTGAAGAAATTTTATGCTTGCCAGATTTGTGTCCGCGGAAAGTGGGTAGTTGAAACATACATCATACCTCGTTTTGGGTGACGGCGCACGATGAGATGACCCGCGGGTGCGGTCCGTCCAGTAGAAAACCCAAGCTGGTATATCAGTATGGAACGTCTCCAACAATTTGGGGAGGTGATAAGTTTTGTTTCTTTCGTATGTCAAAGGAATTTGAATGCGCGTACCGGTGTCGGTTTGAAAGCCTGGACAACAATCTGCAACAACCTAGTTGGCTACTGAGCTAAGTACTGCTTCTCCGTTGAACGTTCAAATTGTGTGGCCGCATCTGTTCAGAGTTGCTAAAATCGTGACTGTGATTATCGATCTGAGTCACATCGTTCGGAGAATTCCAGCACTGACTCGGATTATCATTAAACCACTGGGCTGATCAAACACGAGTCGCACAAGCTACCATAGATCGTGCCGATTTCTCCAATGGCAGACCTGAAGTGGTATCCCTCTTCATGGAAATCGAGGTCAGCTGCTCAGGTGGGAATAACATCGTCCAGGTTTAGCGCAATCGATGATGAAACGTTTGATTTACCATCAGATAGTGGATTACCCTGACCAACAGCATCTCGAAAGGTCTGCACATACACGTGTAATTTATGCATCCGTAACTTACTACTTGTTTTTTAAATTGTGTAAACAGAGTCTTGACAAAAATAAATGCTCTACCCCCTCTCGTAACGCCTGCAGAAGTCGGTGTCCGGTACTTCTACCTGCTGCTGTTCCTTACCGTGACTGCCTTCTAGATTGAGCGTCTTCGCTTTCAGTTAGCTGCTGTGCAACGGAACGAGGCTTTCTTGCTCCATGCGGGAGATTGCGCAGAAAGTTTTGATGCTTGTACTCAAGTGAGCTATTCCATTCTCAATGCGGCGTTCTAAGTGTTTCGAAGCAAAACATATCAGCAAAGATCGGATTGATACTTTCGTTTTCTCTCATACTCATTTGGGGTGGACGCCTCCCAGTGGTGCGTTGAAGATGCATGTCATAATGCATGATTGGCCTGCCAGTGTGCATATCTTCACAACGGGCTTTTGTAATCCAGGTACGCATCGGACGCATAGCTGGGCAATATGCCAAACCCAGGAGCAGCAGGACAGAAACGATCGACAATAGGGAGGTCTTGAGTTTCCGGTGTGCAATGACCAATTCAGACATCGAGTCGGACACCATCTGATTCCAATTCCTATTGCAGTGGTGACAACGTCAATGGGTACAACAAGAGAACCTATCTTGACTGAAAACTAAACTTTTAGCAGGCTTGATCCCAATGATCGAACCCCGGATCCTGAAAGGCTCCTCAGGTTTGTGCTTGACTACCTCATCATAATCGACATGAACATCCTTCCCCATATAAGTGCCTACTTTCATTCCACCGCTACTCTCAATTACGTTCGTGGCCTCCTCACATCCGGATTCGCTTCATTGCATCACCCGCGGGACTGGTCACTCTCACATGTCCGTTCGCCAGCATTACGGTCAGTATATCCTCGCACATGCTCTTGCACCCCTGATCTCGGATATCGTCTCCGCCGCAGGAGCGAGTTTGAAAAAATCACCCGAGGTCTTTCTGACGCGCTCGACTTCAGTCACACGATAGGCGCTGACTTAGGTAGGGAAAGTGTGCCCTTTGACCGGGGCGGTGGACGAGGTGTTCTAGGCGAGGTTGACTTTTACACGAGGTCAGCTCCCTGATGGCATGGTATAGTGTAGCGGATCAAGTTGATGGCATCGGGAATTGCAGCCATGAAGGTTTAATGTTGGACTGGGAGCAAGCAATGACACGGGAAGTCGATATCACTGGGTCAGGATCGTCTCCGAAGGAAAGGGGCTTCTACAATACTTCCGCCCACTTTCTATGGGTTGGCGATCGTACGCGACAACTGGATGGCGCCCATATCGAATATTTCCGAGGTATCCGCAATCCCATCGGCATCAAGGTCGGACCTTCATTGGAAAATGAGGAGCTAATCAGGCTCCTACAAAGTATGTATAATTCATGGCGTAGGTCTCGCAGAGCGCACTTATCACATGCCTCTTTATAGTCGTAAATCCAAACAAAGAAAGTGGTCGCGTGACACTCATCACCAGATATGGAGCAGGAAAAGTGCGTTGTTCATTCCCAACTGTCTCAAACAACTTTTGACTAAGCTGTCAAGATCGAGGACCACCTCGCTGGCCATATCGAAGCCGTTAAGCGCTCTCAACACCCGGTCGCATGGGTGTGTGATCCCATGCATGGAAAGTACGTTTATATCCTCGATGATGTGGAACGCGGACTGAGCCATTCCAAGCACACTTACTTCCGGCAGCGGCTTCAAAACACGCAACTTTGGGACTGTCATCAGTGAGCTGACTTCCTGCATCAGTATCCACGCTGCATGTGGTTCTCGGCTCGGTGGAGTCAGTCTTGAGTTCACAGGCGAGCTTAACGACGAAGGCTTCAGCGTGACAGAGTGTCTTGGTGGAAGCATGGAGCTCAGCGAAGAACAACTAGGGCTCAGATACCAGGTGAGCCGGACTATGTTCGTATTCGATTGCTCTTTTTACCCTCAACCTCAACGAAGTCGTTCTGTGACCCCCGACTCAATTTCGAGCAATCACTAGGTATGAAGAGCCAAATTTAAGCAAAGAATTAGTTTCAGCTGACACATTTGATAGACGTCGCCTTCCTTATATCGAACTACTTCAAGGAGGAAAGGCTTGGTGACAAAGGAGAAAACGGTATCTATGCTGCCCTTGGAGGAAGAAAAATAGTCTCATAGTAATCCGACGGAAATTGTAAAATCCATATCATACAGCTGTATATACCCGTGGTACAGCAACAACAATACAGTGGGTGAAATTGGTGATTGTAGAAGGGTACTATGAGAGATCGAAACCAGCGCCAGAAGAGATTGCCTGCAGGAGCTTGTCGTGAAGCTTTTTTTCGCTCATATATCTGGGCAGCTGATTCGTGACCAGTCAGTTACGCTATAAATGTCAGCACAAAATTATTTCACCTTTAAGAGATTCACGCAGGTGCTTGAAGTTGGTAATCGGTCCTCATCACTCCCTGCGTCGCGTATGGCAAAGAGGGGGTTTAGCTGCTTAAAGCCTCTGAAAAATAATGAGCGCCTGCAAAAACAAGTATCAAGGGAAAATAGTGGAGGCCATGAACTCACAGAAGTGGGGGTCGGCTACAGCTTGTCACAAATCTCAGGAATAGCCGTCGTTGTTCCTGATCGAAATCCTCCAAAACCTGCGGATGAAGATTAAGATTAAGAATGCAATCGCAGTCCTTGAAGATACTGACCTTCCAAAAAGTCTGTATGGTGGGTTCGTCATTATCATACAAACCCCCGTATTGGGTATGTGCTCTCAAGTCCTGCACATCCACAGGTGCGTTCACGCCACCTAGCAATATCTGAAGTTCCTGCTGATTGAACATTCTAGAAGGAACTACATCAACAATCCAGGGCAGGGTTAATTTGAACCTAACATACCGAAGCCATTTGGGGTCTATCATATCAGAAAGACCCTCAAAGAACGCCTCGCTCTGGAGCTTGATCTGCTTGCTCAGCCTGTAGTGAGAAGTAAGGTAGATGTATTGTAGTCGGTTCTCTCGGGTGACCGGGACATTGCTGCCGTCTGGTATGAGGTCCACAGCTTTGGCAACCCCAAACTCTGGCGACATCCCGCATCAGAAAAACCATAATTCGAGCACATGTGACTAACCTTCGATCGCAACTGTGAAGTTCAATGCGAGGGCTTCCACATCTCCGGTGTAGTTCTTGAGGAATATGAGACCTTGGTATAAATCAGGATCGAGAGAAGCAAGGTCGTCCAGAAAGCTTTGTTTGTCTAGCCACTTTATCGATAATCAATAACGTGGCAGCTTGTTATCAAATACACGGCAATTACCTTGGCCAGGAAAAACCCTGCGAATGCGACCTCGACTAGGATGCCCTTATAAAGTGCCTTGCCCAGAATTCGTCCGATGAAGCGATACCAGTTCAAATTGTGCGCTACATCGGATATGAACGTGAGTGTGTGGATCAGAGAACAAATCTGCGGACAACCTACGTTCTGTGGCGTACGAGTGGGGATTAGGGTAAATCTCATTCCTCTTATTCGCCAGCCATAGTCCGCGGTCTGTGTCAAATACTTCCTTGCACAAGGAAGTAAAAAACTCCTTGAACACGCCACCGCCGTCAATTCCGGCCCTAACGAATGGCCACTCCCATCAGTATCTATCTGTACATTGGATAAATTTTGTGCTTTATACGCACTCGGGCTCTCCAAACTGATCGATAAATGTTATGGCAATCGGGGCCCTTAGATCTGCTTCGGCCAGTCTGTCATATCCATCTTGCGCGATATGGCCTCTGCGAATGGATACATCGATCCGCCCACTTGTGTCCCTATTGCGGTTCCACTTATCGTTTTCTACGAAGCGCCGGAAAATCAATACACGAGTCTCGAATTGGATAGCAAATGGAATGTTGTTGAGGACCCCGAGCCGAGGGGAAAAGTGTGAAAGCTGTCTCTTCGTCAAGGCCCGCGGCGCTGAGGACTCATCAAGCTGCTGTTCTTCGAACCTGTGAAGACGTCGGTCAGCACAAGTTAGGGATGATAGATTCATAAGTGCGACGCACACAGCAGCATCTATGAAAGAGTTCATGTCGATTTGAGAGCTTACATGCCAGTGGTTCTCGGGCATGAACGGTTTGCGGGAGCTGAAAGACACCAAGTTGATATGAGTTACTGAGCGACTGCGATGATATGTACGGACTTACTCCCGTGCATGTATAGCTTGTAGACATTTCGTTATCTTGTCTCGTACACCTACCCAACGGAGATTCAGGCCCGGTACACCGCCCTCCTGAATCTTCGTTTGGTCATCCCGCCAGTAAAGAGCAAACGCGATGTTAAACAGTGCACGAGAAAAGGCCACCAGTTCGTCCAAAGTCAACGAGGTCCGGGAGTTGGAGAAAAACTCGTCATCACCCATCGTCAAGAGAGATTGAGTATAAAGCTCGGTGAGCAGTAGTAGAGGTGGCCACGCTGACGCCAGGGAGGGGTCTTGATTGTAATCAGTATGATTCACTGCAGGAGGTACGAAGACGAACCCATCAAAGATGTCATATTTTCATCTTTCCCGAGTGGAGAGTTCCGTACATAGTCACGGTAAATCTCACGCACAAGCCCACCCCCTCCATATAGCAGCAGCGTACTCAGTATTTTGTCCTTCCGGGTAGGCCATACGGTGTACAAGTTAACAAGCCATGATACGAGATCGGGAAGTGCGCCACGATCATGCTGAACTGCCTTCAGCAAGGCATTCAAGTGCGAAGGACTCGGAAGGGTCTGGAGGCGTTTCTGTGTCCGAGCATCCAGCGGGGGCAGCCTTGGCGTTGGTGCAAAAGATGTAACAACTGTAACTTGCGGTTGTTCTGATTCCGAATCACCATCGTCGGCCCAAGACATTGCAGGGGCGCGAGTATCGGATGCTGATGGTGGATCGAGCGCGTGCACAGGGAGGATGCTCAGTGAAGCAGTCATGAGCTGAAGATATGTTTTCAAAGACGAAAGAGGCAGAATCGCGTATCTTGGGGAGGTAAGAGCGTACAGGTTGGCTATGAGATGCACATGAGATTGGAGAGGGATTGTGGAGACAAGGTCAGCAATAGAAGTCGACAAGACTGACAATGAAGATAGAGGAAGTTTTGCGGAAAGGGCTGTGAGTGATGAGATCGGGATTCGATTTGGAAGAAGAGGAATTGTGAGTATATGGATGGCGAGCGACTGAAAACACAGCAAAAATGCCTCTGACGAGCGTTCTAATGTGTTGAGCGGGCGATATATGAGTTCCACAAAGAAAGGTAGGGTTGAAGCATTCTTTGTCTCCGGCCCCTGTGGACGATATAAAAGATATAGAGAAGATGGGGCCAAGGAAACTCACAATGGTTCGCATTGAACGGGCAAGATATTGATACAGGTCATGCCTTACGGCATATTCGGTGATGCTCACAGTGAGCCGGCTACCGGAAAATCCCAATGCCTCAATAGCGGATGCCGGGTTCAAGAGAGTGCACAAGACTTGTAGGCATGAGACAGTGCTTTCAGACCTGGATCAGGTTAGCTTAGTCAAGAGATAGATAATATGTATCAAAACCTTGGGCGATCAGAAACAGAGCGTAGGAGTAGGAAGAAAACCTGTCGCATTAATACAAGCCAGTGTTCTCGATCACTGCCATGGGCAAGGCCGAACAGTGAACCTAGATGAACGATAAGCTGGTGGAACTACGGCGTCATACAGAAGCCACATACCTTGAGAAAGGGCCTCCGCAGCCCATCTATCAAGGAAATCGATGTCTTGTCCGATAAGGACGAGGCATCGGAGGCCAGTGAGCCCTGTAATATCCCCTATGAACTGTTCACGAAGTTCCTGGCGGACCCTTCTGGCGTCGGTGATACCACGCCACCAAGCCTGGATTGTAACTGCACTCTCTTGTCGTTTGCGAACAGTTTCCCTCTCGATTCGTCGAGCTCTGGCCTGATTCAAGATAGCTGCTTGAGAGGTGGTGACCGAGCTTGATCCACCAAGATTGATCTCGCGACGTCTTTCATCCCCAAAGAGTGGTAACATATCCTGTGGTTTTGAGCTAAATTTGCGTGCTTGAAGATTTGCCTGTAGAAGTAGCCTCACCTGCTGTTAGAGTAGAATGACCTGGTAGTACTACCAGTAAGTGGTAAGTAGCAATAAGTATGTCGTAGTAGTAGTGTGCTACGCGTTCTCGCTTGGTCAGCGAATAAACCCTAACCCTAGAATGGGTTTTAAATTCAGATGGAATTCGCAGCTCACAAGTTGCCCACGTTTAAATTTGAACCAGTTCTTGAAATACGCCGGCCGGTTCTAAGAGCTAAGCTACTAGAGAGAAGAAAAATAAGCAGAGATCAGAGATAAGTGAGAGAGAAAGAGGACAAGCAGATTAGAAGAGAGAGGAACAAGCAAGAACAGACGAACAAGTTGGCTCTACTATCCATTTCGAGCATTACACGAGTCCGGAAACCAAGATCAAATATATGACGGATGGCATGCCGCAGCGTGAGTTGGTGATTCAATTTGACCCACTCCAGCAGATGCTTGTTCGCTCTCGTCGTCTCACCATACACAGTTTCTACTGGGAAGCTTCAGGAATAGTAATTACAATTTTACAAAGACAACATGTTGAGATATCAGAGTCGTGATACATTGTACAGTACTAGTGATACCGCATCTGCGAATCAATTCTCAAAGTGGCTAGACATCAGCTCCGTCATATAAAAAGCCAAACATCTGTTCTAAGTACCCCCGGTCCTGGGATTCTAAGCGCCGGGATGCAACTGCAGCGCGGATATCCTCTTTCTTTGCACTATGTGCGTAAAGGAATCATCGACAGCATGACCTTGGGAGGGTGTTATACAGCTGGTAGTCAGAATGAGGAATACCATGACATACCTGTCGCAGCGCTGCAAGGTCCTCACCACGATTTGCTCTCTCTAACTCTAGATCCATTCCAATATTGACATTTTCAAGTTGTTGTTTCTCCGCCATTTGCCTTAGCTCAATGATCGACCTGCCTTGTTCGTTCACAGTGCTCTTCAGGTCTGTGATAGCTACCAGCATCTCCTGAAGCTGGCTATTCGTAATATCGGTTCGGGACCGACGAGACTTCTTTGACATAGCTGTTAAAGTAAAATGGTCGGCTAAGTCATTTCTGAAAGCTGTAGTGCTTACTTTGACTTGCTGGCCGGCTCATCTCTAAGATGGCAGCATCTGCCAATGCGGTGTGATTGTTGATTAGCCTTTGCTTCTCTTCTGCATCATTGGTAATGCGGGTCTGTATGATCTGGGCAGTATGGTCGGTTGGCCGGAATAGAACTGCGAGAGCACTGGATTCAGAGTTGTGGCTGTCTGGGTCTAACAGCTCTTTGAGAGTATCATCAGAGTTCAATATGATATGCCCTGTGCACGTGGACTTGCTTACTGGGTGCATAGGGTACGCCGTCTGTGACATGGGACCCGAATGATGAGAGGCCATAAAACTGGCTAACTCTAGTATTCATCAACGATTGTAGCCGTCTCACGGCATCCTCCGGCGCTGGACAGTTGTTGGTAATAACCGACATACGTTCGTCGACCCAGATACCTTTGGCTCTGATATTTGGGTAATGCATGTTGTAGCAATCAAGGCGATTGATTATAGGCGGCCTAGGATGAATCCTTTGTATGTACTAGTATAGGTATCAATATATTGGACGCGACGACATCGCTCGTCACGCGTTAGCCCGAATGTTAAATATTGTAACCACTGTTATCATTTTTGCTCCCATTTAGGCCCTCGTATATCTTGCCAGCTCGACGGCATTGAGCATGTCTTCGCCTTGGTCGCAATTATTCCCAATCACCAACTTTCAGCTAGGATTTACGACCTTCTCGCCCTCTCCTGCATCCATTGCCGAGCTCGATGTCATATCAGTCCCGCTCGCAGATTCTCCTCTTGGGATACACAAAATCACGCACTCGTTGACTCACAAGGTTGTATGCCCACCGCCCTCTCTCCATCCATCTTCGGATGATCCTCAGCTCGCTTGGGAGGCCAGATATCCCAAGGGTTCCTGCAGCCCCCAAACGGAAATCCGTGGTGGATTCGGATTTTATCTTGGTGGACCTAAAGAAATTGTATCGTTGTTGGATGAAGGCGCAAAAGAAACAGTTTTTGGATATCGGGTGATGTTTGAGAAAGGTTGGGAGTGGGTCAAAGGAGGGAAATTGCCAGGAATGTGTGCGCATTCTCGATCAGGGTCTTGAATGAAACATTGATGCACAATTGCAGATGGTGGCGTCGGCGACTTCGCCTATAGATGCTCTGGTGGACGGCAGAACGACCGTTGCAAGTGTTTTGATGTTCGTCTCATGTGGAGGTGAGTAGCACCCACCCCTTTCTCACTTATTTCCCGACGTCTGCCTAGGCGTGATGGGAAAGGAGAAATTTACGCCTATCTACCTATGAATGAGACAAATACAAAAGCACTTCTTGCGGTTCCTCCATACTCCAAAGCCAACCCTGATTACGGGATTTCAGTCGGAATCGGCGCATGGACCTTTGGGTCAGGTGTCTGGACGACTATAGCACAACGTGTTAAACTCAACGATGTCGGCAGAGCTGATGGTAAGGCGTAGTGATTGCTGGGGTAATACTGAATCTTGTATCCTAGGAGAACTCCAGCTCTGGATTAACGGCGAATGCGTAATCCACGCAAAGGGGCTGATTTTCCGAGAAGACGAGGGATCCCATATCAAGGGCATGCATTTTCAGACGTTTTTTGGAGGTGCGCGAATGCTTCTGTTGCTTGTTGTCTGGTAGATGCTGTTCATTGCAAATCGGTTTCTCATATTATTATCGATCAGGACATGAGTCCGATTGGGCATCATCCAAAGATCAACGTGCCTGGTTTTCCGACGTCTCTGGAGCGGTCATTCGTTGATATTTGTTCTCTGAACGAGTTATTCGGCGTTCGTTCATACTACGCGTATCTCTACAATACATCTCTAGTAAGGCATTTAGCCATATATCTTGACTGATCGACTCAGCCCCCTTTTGATTTTCTTTGTTTGAAATGTGTCATGATACGCATGCCTTCCAATTTATTTTTGAACGTGCCCTAGGGTACTTTGATTGACTTCTTAACAGATAATATGATCCATTCAAGTTTTCAGAATGTGCTGCTCAAAGCTTTGATTGCGGCAGGTCACAATATATGTGGACATTCATTACAACAATACTACAACAAGCGGTTCTTGGCTGCGCTGCGCAGGGAATATCGTACGTACAGTAAGCACATTGCTCGTATCCACCTTGTGCAATTTTTTTCCCTCTCCAGCACGATCCAGTAGGAAACAGAGGTAGTCTTTCTTAGGATAAAGCACCCCGACTTCCTTGTCCTTGTGCCGATCTCGTTCATAGTTAACTATTCCCAGCATGAACTCGCGATTGTCGATCGAACGAGAGGTCTGTACAACCACTGGAGCAAATGGGGCAGTTGTGAATTTAGGACGTGCGATGAACCAGAAGGTCCCATCACGTTGTGGCTGTAACTCGCCCTTGGTAACCACGAGCTTGATCTGCAAGCCCTGGCGCGTCAACATAAACTCGTTATCGCCGTGTACCTCCCGATTCTGTCCATCTTTCCGCTCCTCTGGAAAATTAGATGCATCGAATGGACAGTAGCAACGTGGCGATCTGGGAATGGCAGCGCTATGGCTTGAAGACGGCCCTGCCCACGCAAACATATCCCATTCATCGCATCTCTGGATGATGATCTCCATCAAACGATGGAAGGCCCATTCTCCTTCCCCGTACGCAGTCGTCATGCTAACATTGAAGATACCAATAAGGGAGTATGCCACATCTTCAACCCTGGTTGTCGTACGTTTGGACGCCCATTTCATCTTTTTACGAATTTGAGTCAGTCCGGGGGAGAAGTGTTGGAGGTCTTCGACTGAAATCCCAGTGATTGTCGATATATCGTTCATGAGTTGAACGTCGTGTTTGTCGTTTGGGAGGCTCGTGTGGGACAGAGGTTCCCAATTCTTTCCGAAGAATTTAATCGAAAGGGCTGCGAGGAGTTCCTGTAAAGTCCACCCTCTCGTAAACCAAGCGTCGTCCATCATCTGCTGTGAATTCGAGGAGTCCGCGAGGTGCACAATGCAGATATCTGCATTACGATACCAATTGAACATGGATCGTATAGCCTCATCGAGCTCCGTGCTGTTCGTTTTGTCGATGCAACATGTATCCGACCATGCCAACTGGTATCCAAGTTCCCTCGCCTTCTCACAGAACTTTGACAGCTTCTGAAACCCATCTTTGCCGCATTCTTTGTCGATGCAGGGTGTATTCGACCATGCCAACCGCCATCCAAGTTCCCTCGCCTTGTTACAGAACTTTGACAACTTCTGAAACCAATCTTTGTCGCATTCCCATCCGTGAGGGATATCCTGAAAAGTGGGTTCTCCCTCGCGCAACCATCGGTGCGAAAAGATGGCATACTTGAGGGCGGGTTTGATAAGCTCACGTATGGCATCTTTAGTGGACTGTATCTTGTTTAGCTCGTCATCGTTGAGCTTTCTTGGCTTGAAGAGTTTGCTCAGCTCTCCGCGCTCCACTATCCTGATCTCCGAGTCGCCAATATATAATAGATGAGTCGGCATATGGTTGGTGACATAATAATCAAACAATTGCGAGACTTTCTAGTAGTGATTAAAACTTGGTGAGCGCATGAAAGCGATCTAGACAGGTTCGCTTGTACCTTTTCGTTTGTAGGATCAAATGGTGGCACACCCTGCTCGTCTGGGTATAGTTCCAAAGTATCCTCTATTGTCGACTGTAGGTGCGTGGTGAGTCTCTTGCAAGCTACATACGCATTCTAGAGGTTACCGAAGTGTTCCGAGGGATCGATTGCATGATTCAAACATGCAAACGTTGTCGTTGAAACGGTGGGCGGTGTTGATGGAAGACTGGATATGTTATATCCTCTTAGTTGAAGAGCCTTGAGAAATTTCACTGCCAGAGGATCAGACTGTTCTTTCTAATAATAATAACATTGGGCGGTGACATCGAAAGATTCGCTACCATGTCTCCCGTATGGTTACCGTCAGCTGGGATATAGAATCAAATGATGGATGCCTGGGCCTGGTAACTCAGAGTACAAAGATCTCAGCGTCCATCGTTAATATTAATAACCTTAACGTACCGCGTGTCAACGGACAGGACCTGGAATATACAGCTATGTCTCAAGCTGCCCCTCCGATAGCCTCCAACTCGCGTTCGTCTTGATGATGATCGCATCCCAAGTTGGTGAGCACCCTAAGCAGAAGTGTCGATGTACCTGCATTAATGTTCATCTCTGGTATAGGTGTCGTCCAGCAGCTCTGCGGACCCCAGTCTGGCATACAAGGTAACCTTGAAAAACGCCCGCCCGTCGGATCTTTATGATGGCAGAACCTAAAGTTCCACAGCTGGCAGTCGGCGGAGACTCGAGAGTATAACGGTTCGGATTATTAGGATAGTTGGTTCTAAGTTTGGGAAGTAGATATACCATACAAAAACACCGAAATCGGATTTCGACTCAGCTATAGAAATATTTCAAGATGCGCTCAGCGCTGGTTCATCCAAACGATGTCTGATCATGATGCTAATGCTGTTGGTGACAGCTACCTTCATATCGATAGAAAGGTCATGTAGGTGCACCGTATTGGGATAACATGCGAGTCAAGTGACACGAACATCGTCGCTGCCTAGACATAAACTCAACCACAATCAACTACAGAATAATACAAATACAACAGTTTTTCAACGTATTCATGCATAACCAGTCAACAGAATCGTGCCACTACCATAAAGTCACGTAACATACCTGGGGCAAGGTCATAAGTTCGCACGGCGAACCCCTAGTGAACAAAAATGGATTCTGGTCTATCGATATGAAGCCTGTAGTGTTGTTGGCAGATTACTGCCGTTCTGCCATTCGCCGTGGCAGAACTTGGCAGAACCTGGCAGTTGGCAGAAGGTCTGGGGCAGAACTTGGCAGAAGTACAAAAGGTACCGGAGGATGCGTGAGACGAATGTATGATAAACTGTATAGTTGTCAATGCAAATCCTTTCTGTATCTACCCAGTAAATGAACATTACTACTACTACGTGTTTTCCATGGCTAAGTCTGGAGGGCGCCCTCTTCCCAAGGTTGTCGAAGACAATTTTGACCGCCTCGAAGATGTCCCCAACTCATCTAATAGATCTTATTTCAACTGTCCGCTTAATTCCCCTGGCACTCATATCGAGAACCGCGACAACAATCTGCCGAAACACCTTACCGACGCCGCTCGATGCCCTAACTGTCCACCTGGAGACACTTGCTAGCGGGAGGCCTGTTCGTCGCCGTCATGCACACATGTACACCCGAGATGAGCCTGGTATCGACCTTGATACAGCACGTAACCTCGAAAACACATTTGCATTCGAGCCACCACTTACAATCCAAAGTAACAACATCGACGACCTGCTTGCTGGCCCGGAAGACATTTCAGTTGACGAGATTGATGCAGAATTTGATGCACTCGAGAAGCAGGATGTCGTTGAGAGTTTTGAAGATGTTGATATTGATGGACTCGAGATATTGGAAGGTAATGTGTATAACTTCGACGAGCTCGCACGAGTTGAGGCCGGTATGGTGCCAAAATCTATTGATGAAGAGTTCTCGGTGATTGATCATGGTGTGAGAGGGTGGTTGGGATGTTGCATCATTATATTAATGTCAACCAATGGTTTCTTGACAAATAATTTACCTCTGCCTAGTTTTGCCATGGCACAACCCTAGTTCTGCCATGTTCTGCCGGTTCTGCCGGCAGAACTGCCCGCAAATAGTTCTGCCCACAACACTATATGAAGGTAGCTATAACCGTACGTTCTTCCCATACTCATCGCATCTCTATCCCATTCATTGCACCAAAAAGTCTGGAGTTCAGCCACACGATAAATCGTTGCTAATGTTATCTTCGTTGTCCTTCCGGTTGTCACGTGGAGTGTCGACCACAATATATCCTCCGTGTGTACTTGCATCATGAGTTTTCTTATCTGACTGAAGACATGCTGCAGTATTACACACGCACAATCATGGGGAATGGTGTATAGGCCGACAATAACACGGCCCTTCATTGACATGTCGCAAGGTGTTCCAGGAACTCCTCCATCCAAAGTCCTTCTCGAGGCTCTATCACACTCATCGTCTTCTCCGGGATCATCAGGGTACGGCGATGTTGTTGGAGAATCTACCCTTCGTTCGGCCTTTGCGGAGGAGATGAAAACAGTATATGGACGAGAAATGGATGTTACCCAAGACGACATTGCTATAACGGCTGGGTGCAACTTGGCATTCGTTGCGACTGTGATGTGTCTTGCTGATCCAGGAGACGAGATTATCCTGCCAGTTCCGTGGTATGTTTTTTGTCTCTCCTTTGTGGTCCTGCTCAAAAGATGTTGGATAGGTATTTTAACCACCAGTATGGTAGTTTACCTGCTGAATCTGCTCTCATTTACCTGATCACCTACCCAGAATGACCTTGAATCTTCTCAGCATCAAAACAGTACCACTATACACTCGCGTTGATGAGGGCTTCCTTCCTTCAACAAGCGACTGCGAGAAGTTAATCAACTCACGAACAAAGGCAATTGCGCTTGTGACTCCAAGCAACCCAGTTCGTTCCTTTCTGGTTGACATGCATTAATTTATAACCACCATACAGACAGGTGCAATTTACTCTTCGGACTTGATTTCAAAGTTCGCCAAGCTCGCACAGAAACACAAGATTGCTCTTGTCCTCGACGAGACTTACCGGGATTTTGTGGATACTCTGCCCCCGCACACCCTTTTCGCTCCAGTTCAGACTGAGTTGTTGAAGCCCTCATCGTCATGGAGATCAAACATCATTCATCTCTTCTCCTTTTCCAAGTCTTACTGCTTCCCTGGACATCGGCTGGGTTTGATTGCAGCGTCACCCGACTTCTTGAAACACGTCACCACCACACTCGATTGCCTACAAATATGTGCGCCACGCCCTCCACAATTAGCTCTCACTTCTCCAGGCTTGCTACCTATATTGCGTCAGTCAATCCAAGCCAATGCTCAATCACTTAAAATACGCCACAATATCTTCCGCACGCATCTCCCTCCCAATTGGACGATCGGATCGCAAGGCGGTTATTTCGCCTTTGTAAAGCACCCTTTTGTCGGGATCCCTGCAATTACATTATGCCAACGACTTGCGGAAGAACTCGGCGTTTTGGCCCTTCCCATGCAGTTCTTCTGCGATGACAGCATCGGGCCTGACCTCGAGTCACTTGGTCAGTCAAAGATGGATTGGGAGCGCTGGATTAGATTCTCAGTGGCGAATGTGAGTGATGACTTGGTAAAACAAGTATGTGAGCGACTGCATGAGTGCGAGCGCCATCTCGGTTTGAAAGCAGAGTAGTCCAGATTAGTTCGTGCCTCCAGATGCCACTTGTTGCCACGGAGTAGGATTTTGCCGCAGCATCTTGGGGACAGGGGACTGCTCAGAATGATCCGTACCTTTGTTTGTTGACAACCAGTACCTTACGGCATGACATGAGTCACCCAAGCGGTGAGGTACCCATAGGTGTATGAAATGGAGTTTGAGCGCATACTTACGAGACTGAGTTGAATCTGAATGGCCGCTGTAAGTCCCGGCCATGCCAATTGAGTTGATTTCGTAGATCCAAGAGAATTGACAGGTAACGCTTATGTTAATGACGAGGTGGGCTGCTCCAGCTAGCTCCGCACTTTCAAAATCAAAGCCTAATCTGTCATGTTCACTCGAGAAACTACAAAGGGAGTGAAGTTTGTCAAATGACTAATTAGCGCGGTGTCTACTAAGTCTATTCTCCCTCTCTCTGCCACTGTCAATATCATGGCAACTCCAACAACAACCTTCCGCCCAACTACTCCGCCCGCTGGACGCACGTTTGCGAACCAGGATGCCCTGCCAAAGCTCCCAGTTCCATCTCTCGATGACACTTGCAAGCGCTACTTGACCGCTCTTCGAGGTCTCCAGGATGACAAGGAACATGCTGCCACTCAGCATGCTGTTCGAACTTTCTTAGATGGCGAAGGTCCCGCTCTACAGAGGAGATTGAACGAGTGGGCTCAAGAGAAAGCGAGGTGAGTTTCGTCCATCGCTAATCGAACTGCTTCTTCATTACGGCTTTCCGGATCTTGCCTTGCGACTCTTTCGCTGCTCGCAGCTATATCGAGGACTTCTGGTGAGCTTCTCTTATTTTGCCTCGAGGTACTTCTCTAATCATGGGTATCTCATCCTTGTGGGTAGGTATGAAAGCTACCTCTCGCACAGCGATCCTGTAGTACTTGCTCTCAATCCGTTTTTTGTCCTCGAGTACGTTTCATGTGATTTTCATCTGCCTTTTAAAACCCTCCTTAAATCCATTGCCGGCAGGAATGATCCTACCCCAGATCGGGGCTCTCAGCTACCCCGCGCTACGGCTCTTATTATATCATCATTAGGCTTTATTCATGATCTCCGCCAAGGTCTACTTGACCCCGATACCGTACGTGGTCGTGCACTAGATATGGATCAGTACAGTAGATTGTTTGGGACTGCTCGTATACCAACAGAGGTATGTCTCTCAAACTTGCACGTGAACTCGAATTAAATCTATCCGTTCGGTTAGCGTGGCTGCAAAATGCTCGCGAATGATGCGGCTCGTCATATAGTAGTTTTGCGGAGAGGACAATTCTGTTAGCTGGACATGCTAACTTATGCATTCAGCCGCTAATATCCCACTAGATTGGTTTGATGCCCTTGACGAGGACAACCGACCACTGTTAACAGAGCGTGAGGTTCTTCGCAACCTCCAAGCCATCTGCAAGGACGCTGACAAGACTCCGATCACTGAGGTCAGGACTTATTGATCAACACTTATCTACTTGCTCTAACTGTGACTCATAAAGGTTGCCCGTACGGCTATTGGTGTTCTCACTACTGAGAATCGGAAGACTTGGTCTTCTCTTCGACATGAACTCGCCCAGGACAAGACCAATGCAGCTTGCCTGCGCCTGGTCGACGATGCCTTGTTCATTGTCTGCTTGGATGATGCAGCCCCAAGTCGCGATGGTGTCGGCGCACTCGTTCGAAATGGTGAAAAGGGAGAAGACCTTGCTGCTCTATGCAGTAATTTCCTCTGTGGAACTTATGACCTGCGGGAAGGTGTGCAGGTGGGTACGTGCACTAACAGGTGGTATGACAAAGTGAGTCAGCGTTCACGATGTTTGTTGGTAATTGATTTCATTCGTTATTCAATTTAAGCTACAAATCATTGTGTGTGCGGATGGTGCCGCCGGCATCAATTTTGAACATACCGGCGTTGACGGCCACACAGTTTTGAGGTACTTCCCAGTCGCCTCAAACTTGTTTTCTTATATGCTCATGTTATCATCAGGTTTGCCGCAGATGTCTTCACTGAAGGCCTGATGCTCCTTGCGCGTTCAATCAATCCTTCCGCACCCACGCTGTTCCATGCGTCCCTTTCCCCGCACGCCAAATCCTACAAGCCCCCCAAGTCGATAGCTAATGGCAAATTGCCAATAACTTCTCAAATTGTCTCATATGATACCTCACCCTCTAAACTCATGTGGACCCTGACTCCCTCAATTCGCGTCGGCATTCGGTATGCTGAGACGCGGCTGAGTGACCTTATATGTCAGAATGATTGTCAGGCACTCGAGTTCAAGGGTTATGGAAAGAACTTTATCACGAGTCATGGTTTCAGTCCCGATGCGTTCGTGCAGATGGCTTTCCAGGCGGCATATTTCGGACTTTATGGTCAGGATGCGCTCTTCAGAGATTCTGAAACCTTAATGCTGACATGGTATTAGGGAGAACGGAATGCACTTATGAACCTGCGATGACGAAGGCCTTCCTTCATGGGAGGACTGAAGCAATCCGGACAGTGCAACCAGAGAGCGTCGAGTTCACGAAGGTAAGCGCCTACGTGATCATCGGGTCTTGCTTACTGGTTTCCACTCGTCTATTTAGACATTTTTCTCGGAGTGTTCGCCAGATGAGAAGATCCATGAATTGCGCAAGGCCTGTGAGCGACACGTACAACTTACGAAGGAATGCAGCCAGGGCTTTGGCCAAGACCGGTCTGTCCTCCTGTTAGCTGTACCCGATTTCAGTATTGATGGCTTGTTGTAGACACCTATATGCGTTATACTGCTTACATCAGCGCCAGGTGGCAGGAAACCTTGATCCATCTCCTGATGACCCAATCCCGAACGGAAACATTCGGAATAATGTCCTCCCATCAATCTTCGCTGACCCGGGCTGGAATCTACTAAGTACTTCTATCTTGTCCACTTCAAACTGTGGAAATCCTGCATTACGCCTGTTCGGATTCGGACCTGTTGCGGCTGATGGCTATGGCATTGGATATATCATTAAAGAGAACGGGATTAGCGTGTACGTCACAATTTTTATTATCAATTGACGTGTCACTGACGCTGACGAATGCGCCCACAGCGTCGCTTCATCGAAGCATCTACAGACGCGTCGATTCCTGGATACCCTTCAGGGATATCTGTTAGAAGTTCAGAGGATCTTAATTCAGCTCCACCGCTCTGCAAATGAACGCCCTGCGCCATTTGTTGATCACGCTGGTATCCTCCGTGACTCCAAGACTGGTCGGCCAATCAACGGCCATGGTTACGGGTCAGACGAATCAGGGAGCGACTACGAGGACACTATGCGTGAGTCATTTGGTTATGCGCAGCTTTTCGTAAGCTTACTAACGGATATATTCTTAGCCGGGTATTCGTTCTTTGGTAGTGGCGATATCGATCTGCTCGGACGCCGCAAGAGAAGTCCGTATGCGAATATTGGTGTGTCTCAATGTCCTCGTGCCTATGTTTTTCCAGCGCTGATTAACCTCGGCATGTAGGAAAAGTCCTCCCGCTGTCCGATTACTGACGGAAGGTGACTAAATGCTGTATGTACAAGTATCGGAGTATATATCCTGGCCTATGATTTTATTACTTTTTGTGCATCACTACATTTATGATGTATCTGAGTCGACCTATCTGTATATGTAATCATATGACGTGCTCTTTAGACCATAATGACATTCCGTGGGCTACCCGCTAGTATGCGGCGCTGATAAACAAACGACAACTGAGATAAATGGATGATGCTCTGAATCAGTCTCCTATCATATTCCCACTCTCTTCACCATCACTATCTCATCGAAACCATCATGTCCACCCACACTCTCCCTGATCTCCCATACGCCTATGATGCTCTCGAGCCTTTCATCTCGAGGCAGATTATGGAGCTTCACCACAAGAAGCACCATCAAACCTATGTGAACGCTCTCAACGCTGCCGAGGCTAGTTACGCAAAAAGCTCCACCCCCAGGGAGCGCATCGCCCTCCAGGCAGCACTCAAGTTCAACGGTGGTGGTAAGTCTTCATACTTAACTCAGGTGCCAAATGATCGCGTCATTGGTGTTCTTATCTTATCGCTCGTCATCGATCGTGACTCATCCACGTTATTCATTACACGTATTTAGGTCATATCAACCATTCTCTCTTCTGGAAGAACCTGGCGCCTGCCTCCAGTGAGGGCAAGGGTAACGGTGGTTCCCTGAAGTCTGGTCCTCTTAAGGATGCCATCGTGCAGACCTTCGGGTCGCTCGATGCTCTCAAGAAGGAGTTCAATGCCACCACCGCTGGTATTCAAGGTTCCGGATGGGGCTGGCTCGTAAGTTTCTTGTTTCATCACAAATGACTGATGTGATGTTCACGGCTCGTCATGCTCAGGGTTTGAACCCCGCCACAAAGCGCCTTGAGATCAGCACGACTGCAAACCAGGACCCGCTTTTGACACTCGTCCCTATCATTGGGGTTGACATTTGGGAGCATGCTTTCTACCTCCAGTATCTCAACGTTAAGGTTGATGTGAGTCATTATTCTTCGTTGGAGCGAGATACACTTTATTGATCACATCTTTTAGTACCTGAATGCCATTTGGAGCGTTATCAACTTTGAGGAGGCTGAAAAGAGGTACACGGAGGGTCTTTCTTCTAGCAAGCTGTAAGCTCTCGAGAAGGCAACAGAATAAAATAACAGAGGAATGAATTCGCGTCATGTTGTATTATCGATGCGTCGCTTGTCGCAATGAATTGTATCTATTGTTCGTTTTAGGACAAAGCTTTGATAGGTTTGGTTATCTGTTCGCTCGTTCAATCTATTTTCCCTTGAAGAAGTCGTTTATATTTACCACAGTATGCGCACGCAAGCCTCATGATTCATATACATATGTCAGCAAGGCTAATTAGACATGCAACAGCCTAATCTACGTGCACAGGTTTGTTGCTTGTCTGACATTCAGCACCGTCACCCTCTAATGTCACAAGGAAATCAGCAGGAATCCCTCGGAGACTAATAGTGATATCAGTCGCACGAATAGCTTGGAGAAAATCGTGAATATGTGCTGGGTGGATATAGGTATCACGAACCGGTAACGGCGACTTATTGCACTCCACTGAAGTGTGTTCTGGTTGGACACCCGGGCACCTTTCTAATAGAAGAAACGGAGGTCTGGATAGGGGAGTCTAGGATTCAGGTACCATCGAGTGGCTGAAAGAGCTTCTATAGGAGGGCATCATCGAGTGGCTGAATGGATATATGTAGATCGACGACACCACCGTGACACTGCATACTATTGATGCCGACATGTATAGCGTACGAAGTTTGTCTCTCCCGAGTGTTCTGGCTGGCTTGGCTCCTTGCCCAGGGGCGCTGCGAGGGCGATCAGGGATGACATCGACAAGGCTAGACAAGGACATGTGGCTGAGGAATGCAGTATTCTGGCACAACGCAGACGCAGAATGCATCAAACATATGGGGGAGGGAGATAGATACACAATCGGAGATTGAATCGTTGTTGGCTCTGGCCCTTGCTGAACGTTCGAACTTTGTCACTTTCACGAACTTATCAGCACCCTTCAAAGCTTAATTAAGCTTCATCGATCATCCCAAATTTCTACTTGCGGCAATCGCGCAACAGCGAGGACTGAAAACAAATGTTCGATTCTTGCCAAGGGTCTTTGCAATTGTGGCCCGGATTTTCGTTCACGAGAAGTTTTGAAGCATGCATTATAACCCCTGTCAACTCTAAATCTGGGAGAGAAGACAACTTCGTGTCATGCAGCACTCGGCCTGAACTTCTGAAAGGTACGTGTAGATTGTGATATTCCGAGTCTGGTGTGCTCTGAGCAGTTCTGAATCTTCTGATCAACACGTTGCACAGCGGACTTTCGAAAATCAATGACAACGGCATAATTGACATCCACCAACAATTCGCCAACACGACCCGCAACTCTCAGCGTCTGACCATTCCGATCTCGAATCCCGAAGTCTCTTCCGGATGCACAGAATCGAGTACTAGGTTTTTATGCGTCACATGTTACTCCTAGTCTACGGCATGCACATGATAAAATGATCGGAGTCGAGGGCTCAGACCTCCATGTATATGTACAGCTCCTGCTGTCACTTATCTCAGCACACGAATGACAGTCGACACCAAACCTCAAACTTTTTTTGCAGGACCCCCGGCTGCACAAGAGCACAAAGAGGGGTCAGAGGAGCTGGGAGTTGAATACCCAGTCTCCGAGGAATCCGATCTTCCTTTGGTCGTGCAAGAGTTTCCAGAAGGTGGTCTTGCCGCTTGGTCCACTGCTTTTGGATCGTAAGGAGACACAATTTTGGTGGGGCTGGCTCTTACTTAATTGGCCTAGGCGTCTTATACTGTTCTGCAGTTTGGGGTGAGTATTGCGCTCTATCATCGATGAAGAATCTCGCTCTGATGGTTAAAAGTTACACCTCTTCATTTGGTGTCTATCGAGGTATTGCTGAACACGAAATTGAGGATGGAACTATAAATAAACGGCTTGCCCTCCAGACTTCTATACTGAGCATTACCTCACACATGAGACGTCATTTGCTATTTCGTGAGTTCTACATGCTTCTCTATCGTGGGTATCCTCATGGTCTCTTGCAGATTCATCGGGAGCTTCAATGGGTCTTTAGGCAGCACTCTGCGCCTTATATCAGGCTCACTATATGATCGAGGTTATTTGTGAGTGTAGATGCAAGTGTCTTGGAGACGGTACTCAACAGGCCTACCTAGTTACCATCTTGTCATTACCGGATCGCTTCTGCAGAGTTTCTCTCTCTTCATGCTGTCACTGGCGAAGCCCAATCAGTACTTCCAGGTAACGCCCTCTGGCTTTCTGACGTTTCGTTTTCTAACATCGTAATAGGTATTCCTTACTCATGGCTTAGGCTCAGGTATCGCATTGGGGCTACTGCACGTCCCGAGCCTAGCTATTGTCTCGCATTATTTCAAACGGAGACGCACGCTAGTGATGACGTTTGCTACTTTGGGCTCATTGATGGGTGCTATCGTTTATTCAATTATGCTTAATAACCTCCTCAATGGACGCGTTGGTTTTGCCAATGGCGTGCGTGCAAGTGCAGGGTTGACCAGTGTTCTCCTTTTGGTTGCATACTTGTGTATGCGAACTCGTCTTGATTCGCCCACGACACCAGTGAACTATATTGCGGCAGCTAAAAAATGTCTTCGTGATGTTCCGTTTATTTTCGCGATAGTAAGGTGAGACCTGCAATACAGGATCTCTCGAATTCTCTCAAATGATCACTTGTTATGCAGGGCGTTTCTTTTCCTGATTGGCCTTTACTACCCGACATCTTTTCTTCAACTCGACTCTATGAAACACGGTATCGACACTACCTTTTTGTTTTACTCTGTGGGTTCTAGCATTATGCAAGTGGTTTTCTTGCTGATGCGATCACTAGCTTGTGATTGTAAATGCGTCCAGTTCTGTGGGACGAGTTACAGCAGGGTATATCGCAGCGTTTACAGGAGTACTAAACTTAATCGTGATTGCGGCAATTTCGTGCGGATCGCTAATTTTGGGTATGATTGGATTGGGCAGCCTGACCAGCGTTGTTATTCTCGGAGTGCTTTTTGGCTATTGTGCAGGGGTGTGTAAGTATTTTTCCGTTTCACTACATAGTTGAAGGTGTTATTGATCGTTCATGTAGATGACTCGATCGTGGGTCCACTCGTGGCTACCCTAACACCCAACCCATCTGAACTTGGGTGAGTGATAACTCGAGCTTCGGTATGTGCGAATGATCTGATCAGGTCCGACAGTGGGTGGATCTATTTCTTTGTTGGTGGTCAGTAGGATCAGATTTACTTCTATATTATTTTGAACTCGCACACGTTCATCCTGCAGGATTCGGAAATTTAATTGGTAGGTGCATTTGTAGCGTTTCTTGCTTCACCTTATAAATATTTATCTAGGAAACCCCATATCCGGTGCTCTGCTTACATCGAAATATATTTGGTGGAAACCCGCTTTGTTCTCTGGGGTGAGTGGACTGCTTCTCCATTCATATCCACTTCGATTAAATAAATCGCAGATCGTTTCACTGGCTGGTGCCGCAATGTACATTTTCATGCAGTTCATTTACATCAGAAGGCAGAAGAAGGATGAATCGTGAGTGACTGGCTCATGCGTCCATCTACGGGGCAATATTAATATATATGGCCACACTCAACAGAACGCGAGAACGACAACGTAGTGACACAGGATATGTCGAAACTGTTTATGATGGGAATCGGGGTACGAGCACGAAACAAGCAAACTGAGTGGCGAGGAAAGTACAAGTGATTACCACTGCACGTCTCGTAACCATGATTGTATTGTGTGGATGATTTGATTCTAGAAACGCATCATTGCAACTTGACCCTTCTTTCTCCCACAATTAATTTGGCCAAGCGGATTGAGACCGTACTAAGTCGAGGATGTAAAGTTGGCCGTCTGATCACAAAGGCGCGAAAGTAGAGTCAGGTGTAGAAAAGCCGGAAAAGCTATACAACACTTATATGGTCATTTCAGAAATAGGTTTCAAACTTGTGAAAAAAGTTCTTTTCATGGGCTGGTACATATCATGGAGGGTACTTCTAGGAATGATATGAGCCAACAATTAAAGAAATCGGTGGTTGGGTTGTGGAGATATGGCCAAAATACTGCGGCATTCCTAGGTTTTCCCACGGTCCAGGACTGCCCCCGCCGCGCCGCCATGCCTGGCGACACCACCATCCTTCGATCCCTATGCCTGGCGCTCTAGGACTGCCGCCGCCAACACCACCGTCATTCGACCCCCCCCCCCCCCTCACTCGCCACCATTTCTCACTATGCCTGGCGCTCTAGGACTGCCGCCGCCAACACCACCATCATTCGACCCCCCCATACACTGGCGCTCCACTGCTATACATGCATCTCCCTATGCCTGGTGCTCTAAGGACTGCCACCGCCGCACCACCATCATTCGACCCCCCTCCACAATCTCCCTGTGCACAGTGGCACTCTGAGACTGCCATCCATGCTGCATCATCATACATGATACATCATTCTCTACCCAAAAAAAAAAAAAAAAAAAAAAAAAAAAGACCCTGCACACAGTGGCACTCTAGGACTGCCACCACAGCACACCTTCTTATCATACATGCTAAACCCCCTCTAAAAATGACCCTGCACACACAGTGGCCATCCAGGAAGGCCACCATGCGTCATCATTCTCATCATATATACACTTCTCTGTCAAAAAATTGACCCCCACACACAGTGGCACTCTAGGACTGCCACAATGCGCATCTCACTGAAATGAACCATGCATCATGAATGCTGCTTCAATTCATGGTTGGCATCGAAAGACCACACACACAGTGGCACTCTAGGACTGCCACCATGCACTCCTTCAAAAAATATGTCACTATTCTCCATATTGTATATGAGATTGCCATGCGTACAACATTACATTTATGTATTCAAATGGTGGCGCTCGTACGCCTTCACAATATGTCCCTATTCTTGATGCTGTACACTGACTAAAATGAACCATGCATCAATGCCGCTTCGATTCCGTAAAAATAAATAACCCTGTGCCCAGTGGCACTCTGGGACTGCCACCACGGCACACCTTAAACCACACTAAAACGCTGGCAGCTTGTCCGACAACAAAAGCCCCATCCCCATCCCGCCCATCCTCTGTTTGACCGCACCGCTCATGTCTCGACAGAGGCTCGCATTATCAGACTGTCATTCATCACAAGCCTCCCTTTGTTTTCACCAACCACTCATGTCCCCCCCATGAAAAACAAGAAAAAACCTGATACACACAGTGGCACTCTGAGATGACCACCAATGCACACCCCTCCATTACTTAAATTCCCTTCATTTGACCACTCAAAAAAAAAAACAAATTCAATTGTTCCCCCTTGGCATTCTACCCACCCCCCACACACAGTGGCACTCTGAAGACTGCCACCAATAAAACATGCCCTTCATTTGACCGCTCAAAATGATGAGGAGTGGGCTGATGGTCAGAGGCCTGCTGCGCAAAGATACCATGTGCCAACAAGAAACAGTAGGTACATTTTTTCCAGCTACCATTGAAAACATACGTACAAACCCTCTCTGCAATCCCAACAAGAGGCAAAAGCTTCCTCCAGGCAAGTCCACAGTTTGAGTGATATCAGTTCTGTTCTTCAACTGTCGCTGTACTGTTTGCAATGCCACAACCTTGCTCGATGTGATGAGGACTGCAAGGCTGGTCAAGACTGCTTCCTGGTAATATTCTGGCTGGTGCAGATGATGTATGTAGCTGCACTGTGTTTTTTTGGCATATGAGCGGTGCCACAGCATTAGAACCTGGAAAAAACATGTTCGCAAGTCTCCAGATCCTTATCCTTGATCCCAAGACCTTCTTGATAGAGAGTATGGTACTGTAGTTGGCAGCAACGATTGTGGGCGTGTCCATGAAAAGAGTTGACAACAAAATGATGATTCAGCCTCTTCACTTTGTCGAGGTGATTGAGCTGGCGGCTACAGTCTTTGAGAATGAACACTCAATGGTCATAACCAGTCACGCCATTGGGCCCATAGACGTCAATCAACTTGTTTGCTGTTGCGAGAGCATACTTCGTTCACGCTTGACAAATGTATATCATTAATTAAACAATTAAGTTGAAATAGAACTGCACATACAGTTCACCACTTTGCCTAACGCCGTATACAATCTCCATCGTAGGGGTACACCGGGTTTTTCTCACGCCCGTCGTCCCTGCTTTTGCTTCCTGCACACCAATTCAAGTTCGACATGCTTAGGGTTAGGGTTAGGGTCTCTCGCGCGCGCCCGATCCGCATTTTCAAGTCTTTTTGTGTTTTTTTTTTTTTTTTTTTTTTTCCCTGGCGCTGGCACGAAACAAATACACAAAAGCATTACACAACAGGCACACTGATCAGCACATGAATAAGTAATCAGTTAAAGCTCGACTCGATCAACAGCGCAAACAACTCTCAACGCATCAACATGTGAGCGTAGATATCAGCGCAGAGCAGGCGCAATGAAATTATGACACCGAAACAACGAGCGACATCAGGACACTAGAGAGAGGGCGAGCTACATGCTTCAACATCATGCAAAAACGAGTGGAAGAGAACGTCGACCGGCAGGCCAGCAACGTAGAAGAAAAAGATAGGGCGCTGACAGACAATGGCCAGAGCGGAAGAGAGCTCATACCAACGGGACCAGAAAGTGGGGCAAGGAGAGGTTGGACTGGCCATGCCAGAAAGTGGAGCAGAGCAGAAAGATAGGTCGGACTGGCAGTGCCAGAAAAGCGGGTAGAGCAGCGAGCCAAAAGCGGGGGCAGAGCGGAAAGAGAGGTCAGACTGGCAGTGCCAGAAAAGTGGGTAGAGCGGCGAGCGGAAGGCAGCAAAAGAGGCCAGACTGGCAGTGCCAGAAAAGTGTGGGTAGAGCGGCGAGCGGAAAGCGGAAAGGAAGCGGGGCAGACCAGAAAAAGAGGTCAGACTGGCAGTGCCAGAAAAATGGGTAGAGTGGCGAGCGCAGGTAAGAGTTTGAGAACAAAGAGAAATTAGATTGGCTGTGCCAGAAAGCGGAGCAAGGAGAGAAGTTAGACTGGCTGGGCCAGAAAGTGTGGAAGGATAGGTTAGACTAGCTAGGCCAGAAAGTGGGTAGAGCGGCAAGGAGAGGTTAGACTGGCTGGGCCAGGAAGTGGGGAAGGAGGGGTTAGACTGGCTGGGCCAGGAAGTGGGGAAGGAGGGGTTATGAGACCTCCTAGTATTGGCTAGTATTGGCTTTTCACCTGTATCATCACATTGTTTTTATATTTATGTGGGAGTCCTCGACTCCCACTGTGCAGAGGCCCATCAACCTTCATCACATGTGCTTGTCGTTGTCATTGAAGTGGCCTTCCGGGACTCCCACTGTGTATGGGGCTCAAACATTACCACTCATACCTCTTGTTGCAGGCAGTGGCCTTCCAGGACTCCCACTGTGTGGAGGCATCTAAAATCATCATCCCTCATCTCTCCTCACAGATGGTGGCCTTCCAGGACTCCCACTGTGTGGAGGCATCCAAAATCATCATCCCTCATCTCTCCTCGCAGATGGTGGCCTTCCAGGACTCCCACTGTGTGGAGGCATCCAACATCATCATCCCTCATCCCCCCCCGCAGATAGTGGCCTTCCAGGACTCCCACTGTGTGGACTCCTCAAAAATTATCGTACCTTATCTCTGCTTGCACACAGTGGCCTTCCCAGACTCCCACTCTGTACAGGCCTCAGATCTTGCAACATCGTTCCTGTGTATAATGTGGAAGCATTGATTACATATGTACCTTATCTCGCCTTGCACATGGTGGCCTTCCAGGACTCCCACTGTATACAGGGCCCAAATATTATACCTTTCATTATGTATAATGTGGTAGCATCTCAAGCAGTTCGTTGAAATCTGTCTTCACACAGTGTGGCCTTCCAGGACTCCCACTCTGTAAAGGGCTCGAATGTTGGCCTTCACAACAACAACACCTCCTTTCCTTAAGTATGTGGAAGCGTGTACGAGCTGTATACCTTATGTCTCCTCGCACATGACATGGTGGCCTTCCAGGACTCCCACTCTGTATGGGCCTCATATATTATACCTTTCATTATGTATAATATGGTAGCATCTCAAACAGTTCGTTAAAATCTGTCTTCACACAGTGTGGCCTTCCAGGACTCCCACTCTGTTTGGGCCCCAAATATTGCACCCCACGCATATCAGTATGTATGTATAATATGGAAGCATCTCAAGGTGACTAATCTCTTCTCGCACATGGTGGCCTTCCAGGACTCCCACTGTGTATGGGCCACATATTTTACACTTATGCACTTTTCCTTATTTATAGTTTGGTAACATCTAACATCTAACATCTAACAATGGCATTCAGGATTACGTTCGTTTGTTCTGCTCGCACACAGTGGCCTTCCAGGACTCCCACTCTGTATGGGCCTCAAATCTTGCACTTTACAACCACATCACATCTTTACATCTTTACATCTTTCCTTATGTATAATATGGCAGTATCCAAAGATTTCGTATCTTACCTCTCATTTATCAACACACAGTGGCCTTCCAGGACTCCCACTGTGTACAGGGCTCAAATATTGATCTTCACAGCAACATCACATCACCTGTACATATGTATAATGTGGCATCACACACAGTGGCCTTCCAGGACTCCCACTGTAGCAGGTCACAATTATAATTTATAATTTATATGTCAGTTGGCCTCAATGACTGAACCCAACCCACCACTACAATCAATATACAGTTGTAGATAATGAAAGTCAACCATTTTAATCGTGCTTTGTTTTGCCTTTCAGGTATCTTGTAACCCCAACCGAACCCTAAGCTAGGGTTGGGGTTTAAGTAAAGTAAGTAGAGTAAGTTAAGTTCAGTTATGTCAAGATATGCTAGAGTTACCAATGAGACTTGTGTATATACATGTGGCACTTCTGGGACCCCCCGAGCTTGCGAGGGTGGGTTAGAAGTGCCACATGTATATACACAAGTCTCATTGGTATATAATTATAAGTGGGACTCAAAGTAGAAAGTAAAACCTGCTTAGTAGTATGAACCATTAGGTACATTTACAATGACTTGTTGATAATAATTGGCTGACCACTATAACTCCCTCCCCCCCCCAGGCTCAGATAAAGGCCAGATCTACCAGAGTATTGCCAAGCTCTTATTTGCGAACCACAGTAAGTATGATGCCGCATACACCATCAATCCCAAAAATTCTGTGACACAGTTGGCAACCGCATTGGAATGTGAGTCCTTTTTTTGATTTTACTCTGTTGATAAAGACACTAAAATTCCTCCAGTCTCAGGGGCAAATACAAGAAAATCAAGGCATCATTTGGCAGCACTGGTGCTGGTGTAATGCCAGCTGAAGGGACCCAAGCAAATAACCTCTTAGGTGAGTCCCTGGCCCTGATTTCTCGGTTCTCAACTGATTTATTTGTAGATGCAGCACTGTTGGAGCTGCCATGGTACACAGACCTGGACTCCATTTGGCATTCCAATCTGTCCATGGCCGCAGTGACTCATTCATCAAAACTGGGCGTTGATCATGCCGATGCATTATACTCACTTGTGCAACTGCGTGGTGGGGCTGGTCTCCCCACACACTTTGGCTTACTCATCAATGGTCACCTTGTGCTCTCCCATATCCCTTGTACGATACCCATCCTTATGGTTCCAGTACTTCATCTTTGCAATACAATCAATAATATTCTCTGAGTGCTCAATATTGTGTGTCTGCTCCTGCTCCTGTTCCCCCTTCTGCTCCTGCTCCTGCTCCTGCTCCTCCTTCTGCTCCCTCTTCTCCCCCTTCTTCCTCCCATACCGCCCCTTATAATATGTCCCCCAATTCCACCTTCCCAGTCTTCCGGCACCAGATTACAACTTCGACTATGACGACGATGACTTGAATCAAGAAATCAGTGGATGGTTTGACGCACCGCTTGAAGAAGGTGATGATATGATGGTTGACGAGACAACCAATTGCCCTCCCCATGTTGCAGGGAAGAAATGGCAGCTCCCCCTCATCACCATCACCCCCTCCTGATCCTCCAGCACCATTCTGTATGCCCGAAACATCCTCGACATCTTCCTACAACAGCCATTTGGCATTTGGTGCCCACCTACGTTGTGCACCTGAGTGAGGACTGTCAAAGAGTGCATCCATCAGCCTTGCACGAGCCGCTTGACCTGGAGTGCCTTCATATGTCCTGTCACCAACTACTTCTTCACCATCTGGACCCTCAATTTCTTGATTAACAAAATCTTCCCCCTCTACATGAGCCCACTTTAGAGAACTCTTGTATGTTCCATCCTTCTTGCGATGCTCAGTTTCAAAGCAAATGATCATGTTGTGCAGGATGATGCAGCACTTGATCCACTGCACAGCAAATTCAAGGTCTTTCTCAGCCTGAATCCTAAACTGGAGCTCTCGAAGGGACTGAAGCCATCCCTTCAAAACAGCAAATGTGTGTTCGGCATGAGCATGAATCTAAATAAATATAAATCAATTGAAAACCACCAAAAAAAAAACCCTTAGAGAGGTGATAATTAAATGACTTCTAGTCCTTTGTCAACCGCCCATTGTAAGGCTTCTTGAAAGGGGCAATGCACCATGGCTCCAATGGATATGCACTGTCAGCCTTCACCCAATGACCATCAGGTAGAAGGTCAGCATGCTCTTCATAGAGATGAGTAGATTGAAAAGTGAATGCATCATTGACACTCCCAGGATGACCCAGAGAATAATCCACAATGAGAAGGTTATGGGGCAAAATGACTGCCTAGAATTAAATTAAATTTTGCACATGAAAATAAAATAAAATAAAAACCTGACAGCCAAGGGAATACTTGGATTTCCCATCATAAAATGTCTCACCATAGTAGCCAGGTTTGGTAAAAAGATCCATAGTTGAGCCATCAATGGCTAGAAAGCCACCTTCACTCTGGGCAGGTACGTGACTCAGCAAATTTGTGAGCCAGGTCAGTGTCCTCAGAGTTACCTGCCAGAAAGCAGATAAACTAATCATGGGCATCAAGTACCGCAATCATCACATGATTAGTGCAATTAACTATGGACCCAACACTGACACCTGCCCATTGAGCAACATCCTCAAGAGTAATCGCATTGCCATAGTGGCTGGCCCAATTCAAAAAAATAGCCAGTTGGATGGAGACAGGGAGCTGAGGATTGTTGGATTGGTTTTGGAAGATGGGATGATCAGATATATAATCGAGAATATTGTCAAAGATCTTGGGGTTGACACAGAGGTTCTGCCGAAACAAGTGAGGGCGATGTTCTTCATGATGAACCAACATGTGAAGCTGAGGTGCTCATGGAGGAGGCTCATCAGGCTTGTGCAATACACAAGCCCTCTTAACCTCATCACGATGTGGTGAAAGAAATAGCAGTCAGCTAGATATACCAACTAACTTACTAAATCCTAATGGGTGTGAGTGCAGTACGTCGACCCAAGGACTGCTATTAAAGCACTTCCTTCTAATAGTGTGAGGGAAGAGAAAGGAAGAAGCTAAGATCTAAGACCTGAGATGTTCCGACCAACCGAAGGTTCGAGTCCGAGAATGTCTGATGCAACGTGGGATACCAACGGTGTACCCAATGCGAGATACCGACGAGGATCACCGATGCGAGATACCAATGATAAACACCAACACGAGTAGAGGAGTCTGATGCCAATGGGAGCGGCAGGTAAGGCTAGGCTGAGGTAAAGAGAGTCTAGGTATAACTAGGTATGGGTTGCCGAGTCTAGACTTGCAGTAGCGGTCCAAGTCTTATACAAGGCCTAGGTATAGAAACCTTAGAGAGTGCGCACTTAGCGCGGTTAAGGCACGTCCGAGTTGAAAAGCAAAGAGGGATCAATTGCACAATCAACACTAACTAAGGTGACTCCTACAACGGTAGGCAGGTATGTCCGGAGAAGGGAAGGAAGAGATAATATGAAACCTGAGTCCTATTTATCTAACTGCATGAACGTCCGGAATTGCACAGGCAAGAGTAGTAGCGAAACACAGGGTATTCGGTTCAATATGTAATAAGGCTTGCGAGTGCTGCGGTCATGGGGATACATGTAATAACACCTGCTGTTCATTCAGTAATGATAAAATAAGCTTAAAACACACCAATGGAGATAGGCGGACATGGGCAGGACATGGGAGGATTCGGTACCGATGGGATGGAACGGTCGGCCGAGGTGCGCAATGACCAAAACGACAAGTAAGGGATGGTACAGACAACCCTGGCTCCCTGCGAGTGGCTGAGGCAACAGGTCCGTATCGGCCAAGTTGGATATAGTCTGGTGCGACAAGGAAGAGTCGAGTGAGTCGAGGCTTTGCAAGGGAGTGATGCATGGAGATGATGTGGGCTTCTAGGATGCTTGACCTCTATAGCAAAAAGGGTTCTGCAAGGCTAGCCCGAGTTTGAACACCACAACAAAGAGCATTAATGGTGTGAAGAAGGCGGCCATAAGGCAAAGGGACATCATCAGAAGAGTTAGAGCTATCACCAGAAGAACCTGAAGTTCCTGCCATAGGGGAGAGGGGGGAGGGGGGAGAAGCAGAGCTAAAAGACAGACTGATGATGTCATCACTGTCAGAAGTAGTCGAGAGTGAGTCCACATCAGTAAACTGAACATTTCTCCCCAGATAGTGGCTATTTTGACAATTCCCCACAGTTGCTCACAGACTCTCACAGAGTGGACAGCGCTCACAAGAGGCATATAAACACAGTCAGGCAATTCGCTGTGCGGAATCACAACCTGGCTAGGCACTAAGAAATATAATGCTCAACCAGTATAAGTGAGTCTAAGCTCTGCCTAGCTGCTATACTCGCAGAATGCAAGAACGTTCGACCCTAAAGGGGAAGCAAGGAAAGCAAGGATTCATGGAATGATGCTGATCAACCCTGATTAAAGGCAACAAAAGGCGATGTGTAAGTGCGAGAAATGTGCTGAAGGCGCGCGTGCGGGAAAGCAAAACATGAAAGTAGCACAAAGTGAAGACATGTACTGAGATGATGATATGAGGAAAAGTGTGAATCTAGAATGGATACTGATAGTGCCACTAGCTTTAGACTGATGCTAGGGCTCTTAAGATGATGACGGATAGCATGCATTGCATGGAACTAACTGCCAAGTAACATGGTTAGTAGAAAGATGATAGGAAGATGGGTAAAAGGTGTAAAATGAACATGAAAGTATGTAAGTTCTACCTAAGCGCTTTCTCAGGGCTCAGAGCCAAATAGGAGCGCTCTAAGTATGTAAGTGAGGTAAAGTAAGGGTGCATAATGAAATACAAAGTGTAATATGCTAGATATAGTTAGATAATGAAAAGGGATGCACCAGGGAACTGGTTGGATGATGGATGGATGCTCCTGGATGATGCGCGACACAGTGTGCTTAAGCACGAGAAAGTGGGCACGTGGGAGTGCTGTGCATTGTGTACAGAATGATTAGAGACATGATAGAAAATCGCATATGGATGATGGTTGCAAGTCATGCAGTAAAGGCCAGTTGCCATGAGTCATGATGTAGGCTATATGTGCCCGCAGAGACTTGAGTCTCTACATCGCACAGCTCTCACAGGACATACAGGACATATAGCTATCAAGCTTTCAAGGTTGCCAATGCTGCCAGTGTCCGAGTTGAGCAACTCTAAGTTGTAAATACTAGTACTATGAGTTGTTCTACTGAAACACTTGATTGAATTTACGCCATTATACATAATGCACTTGGTAAGGTAATACAAAAAAAACAGTGCGCGACTATCAAATACACCTATGCCACATCAATCCAATTGGATAGTAATATTTTGACCAGCAGCCCATGACTCAATGTGAGAACCTGCGACTTGTTGACCATAGCACCACAAATATCAATGCATCAGGAGACTTACTGTGTAGAGTATGAGGAAGCACATGGTGGAAAAGACCGTGTTTTTTTAAAGGCAATCCACATCTTTCCCCATCCAATGTCTGCCTTGATGAGCTCAATATTCCCAATGATTCTCCCCCACTTCACAAACATGTATGAAGACTATGACAGATTTGGAGGCTGGGATGGGGATACTGGGGGGTGGTGTTGATTTAAATGATGATGGTTCTACCAGCAGTCTCGTCAATGAAGAAGGAATATTACAGACTGGGCGACTTCATTGACTGGTTCCCTGGAGCTTCTCAATCATATGGTACAGGCCATACTTTTCTTGACTTATTCAACTCAGACAAGAACAGTATACAATGTGCAACAAATCTTACTACCCATTCAGTGGCCAGAAAGATTAGGAACTTGCCTCATGGCTACTTTGTTTGGGATTAAGTATGGGGAGATAGATAGCTTTTTGGCACTCAGTATATTAAGTACTTGACATCTTCAATCGGTCAGTCTGAACGAAGTGCTCATTAAGATTCGGGGGTCTTCCTCTGTCGTTCTCTTCAGCCAAGGAAACTGCGAGGCAGAGCAGAAACGTTGCCAAGTGGCCCACACTGGATGTCTCAAGTAATTCAGACAATGCATCCGACAAAATCACTGGTTGTATTGTATTGGCATGACCCCCTTGGATTGTATCTTCAGCATACTCAACCATCCATCCTTTCATGACTGGTTTAAGATGTTTCGCCCCACAAGGTGTATACCCATGGTGGAGCAGCTGTGCTGTGTGTATTCCAAATGGATGATAGGAGATGACATGTGGATGATGCAGGTGTGTATCTTTGTTTGTGAAAGCTGCTCAGTACTTATCATTTTCAACACAGTCGGCTCTACCATGAGGTGCGACCCTACTTGGGACCATTCTATCATCCGACAAGACAAATATATCTGTGATAACGAGCGACTGAGTTGTGCACCCACTCCTCATCAGCCTCGCTAACATACCCATGTCCACCAGACTGAAGACATCATCTAATTCTTTTGTGCTCACTGCCCTGCTCCCCATGCCAAAATTCCTTTACAAAAAGAAACACATGCGTGGTATGCTGGAGGATCATTAGTCCATCAGTGCCTAAATCTTGTTTTAGAGCTGCTTAATCAGCCTGCCTGTGAGGGAATCATGTTGTCAGATCCCATTGGGCACAGTCACTATTGCTTTACTCCTCTTGCAAGTTACATCATCGATACTCCAAAAGCCATGATGCTGGCTACTGTTGGCAGCAAAACTTCCCTGGTTATTATGGCCATGTTCAAGCAATTTGGCGACCCTTCCAACACCAGCCTCAAACTAGTTCAACTATGACTCACACAAATAGCTGTTGTCCAGAGGAAAAGGTCGATTCCAATGATTATTAAAGCTTTCTTCAACAAAGTGCAAAAGTTTCATTACTAAATGGGGTCGACAAACCTTTCTGGCAGGATTGGCCCTTTGCTGACCCATCACACTTCCTCACACCCGGAAGATCTCCAGCATATTCATGAGAGTTTTACGATCACAACGTTAAGTGGATTATGTGTGGTTGGGGAAGCAGAAATTGATTTCCACTTCACGGTGTTGCAGCCTGTGACAGGGTTTTGCCATTTTTATGGTGGATCTCAAAGCTGAAGCAGGTCACAGGGTGTGCCCAATTTGACATCCAGCACTCAATTGTTTGGTCAGTGCAGATGTAGTACCCAGCACCATATGACTGCTGTATGAGCTCTGATGGACTTTCATTATCTCATACAGTCATCACGGATTGATGATCACAATATCAAGTGTATTTCACAGCACTGGCCAAATTTCATGCTAACAAACATTCAATCACTGCTGCTGGGCTTCATCGCAGAAAGGGCAACAAGGCCTATTCACAACTGGTACATTCCAAAGATAAAGCTCCTGCAGAATATAGCTCCCAGTATATGCAATACCAGTGTCACCATGCAGTGGAGTGCAGATGCAATGGAGCATGCACATATAACTGAAATAAAAAATCCTGCATGTTCAAGTAACAACCACAACTATGATTCACAAATCTGTTTGTTACCCTTGACCATGTAGACAAATGTTGTTGTTTGACCTTGCAACAGTCTAATTAGACTTGAGGCTGTGAACCAATCTGGACTATAACACCTTAATGTCAATCATGATGTCATTGATTTTGATTTTGATTATGATGATGACCTCCCCTGCAGACCTCTTGGCCCATAATCAAGTCTCCTGGATATGCACACCGGATCACTGACCTGACTTTGCAGTAGCAAAGGCCCTCCAGCCAAGGAAGGTAGGGACAGTCCCTCTGCCACTGTGTACCTTTGTTGTTAAATGTACAGCCTTTCATTCTAGCCTACCACCCATCCATCAGGGCCATTTCCGTCAATAATACTGCCTTCAATTCAGCCTTCCTGAACTTATGACCAGCCATCGCAGACTTCCTTCATCGTGAAGATACTCATGGGTTACGATCATGTTCATCTGCTTGGGGGGGGGCTAGGAGGACTGGGTCCAATGCTCTGCTTCCATTCGATAAACTTCAAATATGGTTCAAACTCCGGCTTCGAGATACCAAATTTCACGATATCACCAATGTGTGACCTGCACAGACCCTGAACTGCACACTGCCTTCTGACATCTGGACCTTCAGCAGTGTTATCGTCAATAACAAGGATGGGCACTCATGGCCCACTGATGGTCTTCATGGTGATCGATGTGTTTCTGTTATGTTAAATACTCTCTAACTCTTGAGATCCCAGGCCACATTGTCGCTCAAATCAGGCTTATTCTCTGTCCAATTAGAAAGATGGACACACAGGAGGCTGGGAAGGATTGCTTCCTCACTTACGTGCAATGCTTTAACAATAGTCATGGTGAGCGTGACCCAGCTATGCAGCTGCATTTGCTGAAGAGGGCAAAGCGGTCAAATGGGACTAGCACTGGTAATGTCATACCAGTCACTCAGCTCAGGGCGCCTGTTAATGTTGTCCCTCACTTTGGTGCAAGTGCAGACCCTCATCTCACTCAATATAACAGTATGGAACATGCATCAGAATTCTGGCTTAACAAGGACTAGGATAAAAATATTTTCTTTCCTCTTTCGATGTAGCACGCCATTTTTTTGAACTGTATTATGCCTGCTTTTGCTAATTCCAGTTATTTTTGTATGAATCTTGTGTTATTTTTAGTTAGACTGTGGTGATAAGCAATGTCTCTGTCTCACCACATTGCACCCTTTGTTCCCTCACTCAGCGCCAATATGCCATACTTTTATAGGACAATTGACAATGGAATAAAATTGGCATTGCTGATGTCAATTCCCATTAACGATGTTGCTACCTTGAACAAAATGACAACCATTGAACTTGACCGTTTAGTGACAACTGAACCTCAATCCCTGGCAAATGGCTCCCTAGGCCATCTACTACCTCTGATCTTTAAGCCTTTCACAATTAACATTCCCCAGGTGCACTCATTTACACACCGATATCGCAAGCTCAGAGTCTTGTTGTATGACTATGCTGGCGGTGCTGTGACCCCTCGCATCAAAATTTATCAGCATCCAGACACATTCGCCCAAATCATTGCTGCTGTTGTCTTCAGCAGCCCAGAATGTATCAGGTACAATTCCATGGTCACCTTCTGGGAAAGTGTTCCACTTCCCCCCCTCCAAGTACAGATATACCTGGCTATCACCCATTCAAGAACCTTCCTGCCCAAGCCACCCAGAGTATTACCATCCCTGCAGAACATGACAGTGAGTCTCTCGCTGCACTGCTTGGAGATCCCCAGGAGCTGCCCCATAATAATGGGGCTGGGTCAATATTCCCCTCTGATAACCCCCTTGAGCCAATACCTCTCGCTAATGATACCCTCGAGATGACAACACAGTGACAGAGTTTGATCTTTGGATCCATTTTTCTCTCTTCACTTTTTCAGGACCCTCTAGCTTTAATATCCTTTGAACGTCTTTCATGCGGCCCATTGTAACCCTGTCTCCATTCTGCCATCCTGTCTTTGATACAACCTGCATTAACTACTTCTGTCTTCACCAGTGCAATGTGCTCCATCCACATTTCCATATCATACTATACTACCACCTCTTCTTCTTTTCTGCCTTTGATAAAATCTGCAGCAACCATGTCTCCATTTCGTATTGTATCTCGACCTTGCTGTTCAATGCCATTAAAACCAAGTTACCATAACCACTGTCATAGTAGTACTGATTATCACTAGTACCTTTGCTCTTTCCCATCTATATGTCCTTTGACACAATAATGTGGTCTCAGTTCCCGACTCACGATTCCTGATCTCAAGATGATTGCATTACACAATACAATATTATTTATTGAAGTCTTACTCAATGGTGCAGTGCAAGTGCTGCCAGGCTGGATGCTATTCACGACGAGTTGTCCGACTTTCAAATCTCCCTCAGAATGGCACCGGATGACTTATATAGATAACACAACAAACTGTCAAACCAAAAGAAATTCTGAGCTTGCGAATTTGATGGATGTTTGACAATCGTGTTGTACCAGCAGATATACCATCATAGGAATGAGAGTCCAAGCTGGTAGTATTCAAAGTTAATGAAACATGTTACAGCATATTTGAAGTGCATCAATCCACAGTAACCTACAGCTGTCCATGGAGTAAGATGAGTAATGAGGTAGAAGGGTAAGCTGGTTATCTAGATCATGTATCTGTGCATCTGTCAGTGGACGGTTCGCTTCTGGTACCTGTACATCTGATAGCTGCTGTGGGGGATGAACGACAAATGCGTTGTCTGCTGTTTCATCCACACCATTTGCTGTATTATGGTGTTGACGAACATGATCTTCATCAAATGCTTCCCAGTCTATTCCATACTCTTGGAAGTCACCCACTTCATCATCTCCCGGGATGAATATAGCATCCACCCCACGCACACCATTTTGAAGCATGCCAAAGAAGAACATGTCGCGTGGACTGCGCTGGCGCTCATCACGAATTGAAATTCTGTGATGGTTCCATGATTCAGCCCAACATCAGTAAACACAATACATAGCATGTAATCACAAGCATCAGCATAATTCTGTTATCAATCATTGCATGGTCTTGTTTGACCATTTAAAGACACGGAACGTTCATGATTTTGGTACAGAAGTTTGTAATCAAGAAAAGACAGCTGTATTGCTCGAGTCTAAACTGAAAGGGATGGTGAAGACAAAGCTAAAATTTAGGATAGAAGACTCGCAACCACAATGCTGGAAGTGAGGCTCACAATCTCGAAGCTGAGTATGAAATACAGCGTCTTCCAGAAAACAACAGTAAATAAAGTTATGTACTGTAAAGCTAAGAATCAGGCCAGAGAACTCACAACCCCATGCCGGAGGTAAGGTTCACAATCTCGAAGCTGAGAATGACATATAATATCTTCCAGAGAACAACAAATGTCTACTGAGGAGGGAACAAAACATTACATAAACTCCTGTGAATTTTGTGCCACCTGCATTAAGATATGCGATGATTATCTGTCATATATCAATTGGGAATTGTGTGAAAATGCTGTCCCATTGCACTCTAGCTAACATGTGTTCACCAAGTGAACGACAACCAATCTACATCCTACTCTGAACATTTACGCAATTTTCTGTGTTTATTTAACCACCCACAATTGCATTCTGCTTTGCATACTGTTGCAGGAGGTTGTGGCCTTGCGCAGATGCTACATCTTGATGATGTAGTCTCTTACACCTGGCCTTGACAACAGTGGGTCATAGATTACCCCAGTACATCACTTACTATTCAAAGAAACATAGTTTATTGTGCCATGCATCAGGAAAATCTTGCATTTTTAGCTACTGCAAGGAGGACTTCTTTCCGTGAGCATTCAGACCTCCGTGTTTTAGATTATCATGTTTGTGACCATGTGGTCATTGAGCAAGATCATGTATTTGCAACAAGCTCTCCAAACCGCAAAGGAATATTATAGAAAGCCTAATATACATATTATAACTTGACTATCTCAATTTTCATTGATTGTGTTCATCTTGCAGAACTAGAGCTTCAATCATACTATTCACGTGAATACTATAAAATTCAGAGATGACCATGGTATTGATGTACGTCCTAGGATCAGTGTATAAACACAAGCGAACAGATGTACAAACAGAATTTGAATTATGCCATTTGCGCGAAGACTTATATTCTGGGGTTGCCACGATCTAGATGTATTCCCAGAATGGTGGCCATTCGGTGTTCACATTTCACAAAAATAAAATAATCATCAAGCCATGAGATTAAAATCAAACGTAAATGAGTGTATGTAGTTAGTAATCACAGAGCCCTAGGATGAATCAAAAGTAGCATCATTGCACTGTTCCCTCTGCCTCGCGAGAGTGTTGACGGACATATTGGCCTTTGCCATGTTGGTGAGGTTATTGCGGTCATTCCATCCGAAAACCTTTTCTATATAATAATTTCAGGTGAGGCTCGCAGCGGGGAGTGTACACGACAAACCTAGTCCACCATTCAAGGAGAAGGTCAATCCTGCGCTGTGCTGCACGACCAGGAGCCCTTTCAAAAAAGTCCATGATGATCCGCCAGAATTGTTCATAGTCGAAGTCACCATCAACAGAGCACCATGAGGTAACAGACAAAAGTGCAAATCAAACCTGTTATGTAGTTGTCATATATCATCAAGCTTACAGAATGATAATACTACTTACTTGACAGGCAATGTATGTGATCGAGCGAGGCATAACTTTTCTCATCTTGATGATGTGAGTGACGTGTTTCTTGACTTTAGCTCCGAAGGCCGACCTCTTAGCATGTCTGTTGTTCTGGATGACATCTGTGCCATCACCATCCCCTTCAACATCCTTTGCTGAGGAAGGTGATGTAAACACGGCTTTGTACGCCTGAAAAAACCCAGTGAGATCATGAGGATTTGGCTACTCCAATGCGACAAACCTGAAGGAGAACTTTGCCTTTGAAAAGACCTTCCTCTAGGTCATCTGAATTGGCAGTATACTTGTTATACAAGACAGCCGGAAAGGAGAGCTCAGTCACAATATGGCCCTCTAAGCAATCTCGAATCCTGGCCCTTACGCTAGGGAATAGTGAACATTTTTTCTTGAAATTCTGAGTGTACAACTTACATGGGGTTGCTCCAATCAAGCTCAGCTGGGCAGAGTAGCTTGCCGCACGCATCATTGGTGAATCCATGGGAATGCTTATCATCAGTGTCAATCAGGGGATCAGATTTAAATTCATGGTTAACCCATTCAGCAACAAGTGCCTTAAGCTTTGAGGTATCGTCACCTCGAGCACTGTCAGCCCCCTGCCAAAGCTAAACAAAACTCAGCACAACAAGACTAATCACTGACATAGTAGGAACAGCTAACCAGTTTCAACATGTGTGAGTAGTCATCATAATCCATGTCCATAGCTTTCACATGAAGCCATGGCAAAGTAGTCATGAGGGCAACATACCCTATCTGTAGTCGGTCTTCACTGCATAAAAATGCAGGGTATAAGTGTTCACCCGGAGCATCAAAAGGCAAAAAACTTACTCGAGGCTGGATTCTGTGTCATCCTCAGTTGTACACCTTCGGTCATTTTCGCCAATGAGATCCCTGATGTTATCAAATAGCATATAGTAGTTTGATTCCCTTGTAGGTAGTAGTGAGTAAAAGCTAACACTGTATATGCAATAGTAATCTCACTTTTCCTTGACCACGCACCCCGAGTTTCTTTTCCAGCTGTGTGATTCTCCGTCTCTGTCAAGCCTGCACAGATGCCACAACTGCCTGTGATTGTTGGCTGTGATTGTCCTGCCAGTCCTTCAGGTTGACGTGCAAAGGCTATCCTGGTCCTGGATGTGCAACCCCAATGTGCTGCCCTCAACATGTGACATACTAGAGACAGATAGAACAGATAAAATGGTTGATATAAGGCATTGCTCAATACTCAAGGAAAGGGAGATGCAAGACAAACCTAAGGGATAGAGCTCATATTATATGTCAGTGTCATATCCTGTATTCCGGACCTTTGTCTGATGATGTTCCCACGCCTTCCGGATGCACATCCAGACCTCCATACCCTTATCCATGACTCCAGTACTCCAGTCCACTATCGGTTTGGATCTGTACACCTTCATACATCCATATATCCATACCTTCGGACCTCCGCAGCTAAGCCTGCTTCATCCACCCTTGGTCCTATTGTATCCGAGCTCATTCCATCTCAGACTCTACCTTCCCTAGACTACCGGTCTATATCCATGATCCATATCCTAGTCTCGTCTTCATCTAGATCTCCGGATCTGCTCATCCGATATCCAGATGCCTCATCCGATATCTCTAGACCTCCGGATCTGACCTATACTCATATCCAAAGCTCAAACCTTAAATCAGCGTCTATCTCCTTATGGTAATCCCCTTGGCTCCAGACTTCGGTTATCTGTGTTTCTGTCTTGCTTATTGATCCTTGTACTCTGTTCATCTCCGAGTTCATTTACTTATGTTCCGTTCATACTTACCAATATATTTCCACATGCTTGTACATAGTATTTGTCTTCAGCTTACTGATCCTCTCGGATCCCTTCCAGTATATAAACCTCTGTACAACTCCTGTAAAGTTTCCTCAGTTCGAATATCATATTAGACTTCACTCGTTCTTGTCTTGGACTTTGGTCCATCTGAGTTCTGCCTTTCCATCATACGTATACCACCACACATCGAGGGAAGACAGCAAGGAAAGTAGTCCTCTGGGTTGTGCGTAGTAGGCCATGATATTGAACTGGCACCTGACACGGGTTCATTGCTGTTATTCAACAACAGTGAAAAGCCTGTAGGTCAGATCGACTCGGAATTAGTATGTCTGTGGTAAAGTCAGAAACAAAGGACGGA